AAGTAAGTCGACTTCTCTAAGATAGACGAGATATTATGACGGCTGACCGTAGTCTTATTTTTTGGTATAGGAAGTAAGTCGACTTCTCTAAGATGAATGAGATGCCATGACGGCTGACCGTAGTCTTATTTATTGGTATAGCCCGACTGGGATTATCTTCAGGATAATGACTTCGCCAGAATTTTTTTTAGCAATGTCGAAGACTCCTTAGAGTCCAATTCTAACCTCTGTCGGGGTTGCGCGAAAGATTTCTCTTCCGAACGGACCTTCTCTTTGCGCCAATTACGCGCACTTGCAGAGAACTGTGATCTTTGCAAGTTATTATATTTCGCGCTCTCTTCTCTTAACACAAATGATAAAGCGCCGATTCGAGTGCGAAGAAACGGCTCGGCCTTAGAGCTAGCTGATGGCAGTGAACGCATTCTTCATATCTGCTCTCCTTCTGGTTCGTGTTAATATTGAGATTTTATTTCATCGCTAACTGGGCACTCAATAAAGGTAGGGATATCAACAACGTCCAAGCCGGAATTCCTGATTTATTTGCATTCAGGAATTCTTTAATCAACTCGCCCCTCTATTTGAAGCTGCTTCGCCGATGGCTCGAAGAATGTGACCATCACCACGGATGTCATAGGGAAGCAAAATTCTGCCCGACGCGACTGATATTCGTTGGTGATTCCGATCGCAATACGCTTCGACTTGTGGAGCAGGCTGGTAAAGTGGACTATATCGCACTCTCACATTGTTGGGGTAATCCAACGACAGATGAAAAGAAGACGTACTGTACCACTCCTGAGAATATTTTGAGGCGGCAGAGCGGATTTGCCTGCGAAGATCTGCCAAAGACGTTTCAAGATGCCGTTCAAGTGACTCGGAAACTTGGAAAATGTTTCCTATGGGTAGACTCCCTTTGCATTATCCAGGACGAAATGGACAACTGCGATTGGAAAAAGGAGTCGAAACTCATGGAGCAAGTATTCTCCTCCGCCTATTGCACCATTGCTGCTACTTCAGCGGCTGGTTGGAATGAGGGATTCCTTGAGCGGGAATCTACAATCCAGTCTATCCGAGCCCAAGATGTCTCTGGAAACCGGATTTACGTTTGTAATAACGTTGATAACTTCGATAACGATGTGGAAGACGGAAATCTAAACAAAAGAGGCTGGGTCTTACAAGAGAGAGTTTTATCCCGTCGAATCATCCACTTCACCAAAAGACACACATATTGGGAATGCGGCGAGGGAGTGCGTTGTGAAAACTTCACAAGCATGAGAAGGTAAGGAAGGGGAGCAGATATTACTAGAGTTCGCACTAATTACGTCGCTTTTTGCCTTAGTTCATTTGGGAGGAAGTATTTCCTTCTTGACCCCAGATTTCCGGATCGACTTACCCAGTCAGGATATGTCCGAACTATTCAATTCTTACAATATTTTTTTCCAAGGTACGCTCGATGCCGTCTCAGCAAGCCATCAGATAGAGAAGTTGCAATTTTCGGTCTGATGGAACGAATGAAAAATCTCTGGGGGACTGAGCAAAAACATGGGGTATTTACGCACCTCCTTCCCAGGCTCCTTCTCTGGCAACGATCCGAAGAGAATGGTACGGAAAGTGTATTCGAAGGCCAGCCGTCGTGGTCCTGGATGAGGTATGGCTCGATCAATTTCCCACCTATTTCAACTAGGGTTATGCTCGCGAGTAATGTTACACCGTTGTTTGATGCTGGGGGAGATACACTTGTCGTCGAAGTTAGGTCATTTAAGAATTCTAAACTGAAACAAGAGGGAGGGGGACCCCCAATTTTGGTTGATTCACGATTGATGACAAGGTCACGATTGATGACAAGGTCACGTACCATTGGCGAGTTGTGGTTCGATAGAGAATTTGATCTCGATTTAGACCATGGTGTGGTCGTCGTTGCGGTGGAAGTCGAGCAACAGCGAGATACCAATAAAAACTGTTGGGTATTGGTCGTCCAAAGATCGTCGGAGAATCGATATATAAGAGTTGGGCTAGGGAAGATTGAGGCGCGCTACATATCAGAAGAAGGATATAAAAGATGGTTATTGTAAGCTTCAATCTACACGGAGACGTTTGATGACACCGAAGGAAATTGAAAAAGTCCTTGTGTTAGGAAGGCGTCTTTCCCATTGGCTAGTGACAAGGCTCAATGATGATAAGGTCCAATATGTGATCCCTCAAGCAGCCAGGCAGTCTTAGTACGTGCGATGTTGACTTCCAATCTTCCAAATCCCACGATATAGTGGCGACGCAGACCAGAAATGTCGTCTGGAGTCCTTGAGCGTTGAATTTTCACGAGATTATGGCGAAACAATACAGTGATGGATGGCGTCCTCGTACAGAGAGTGACCTGGGACTGCGAGTTGATGTGGCATGTGTGGCGCCTGTACTCCGTACAATTATAAATATGGTGCCCCCGCCCTTCGCTTTCGGAAGTCAAGCCGTTCCTTGCACGAACTGCTTCCTCTTCTGCTCTGAGCTATTGCACCTTACTGTTAGCTCGAACAGCCGTTCTATGTCTATGTACTTGCCAGGCTTTTCCTAGCTCTCTTCTGCTTCCGTATACCGATAATCACTCGGCTTCGCTATGTATATTTGAGCACTGATAGGACTACCCAGAATTGCTCCAGGAGTCCAGTCCATTGCCCCAAGACACATGTACGAGGACATCTTCACCATTGTTTAATATGAAGCACTTGGTGCTCGCCACAGACACAACCACTTTCCAGCAACGACAGGCACCAGACGTGGACTTCAAGCTTATACAAGATCCTAGAAATAAATCACCCCTGTCTTTCCCGAACTTTTAGTTTGTGAAAAGACAGGGCTGACACTCTAAAAGCGCATGGAAACAGAACAAGCTACGAGTAGTAACCACCACGAGAGGACTGTTGATATATTTAGCGCGGAGCCCGATTCAACACCCTGACAGATTATAGCTGTTCCTTTGATCAGGTGATCTGGAGACGCGACTTCAGCAGGAGAGCACTTGATTACCAAGAATTGAAAGTGTTGATTGATCTTGATCCTTAATGAGCGTACAAACTACAGGAATACGCTCATCTTATATGTTCTGTATACAATTGATGGTCGTGGGGACCTTGGTTTCCTCAAAACGAGCGAAGAAGCAAAGAAAGAAGCATTGGTGATATCGTGGGATGTGGGATGCTCCTCCACGTGGGAACCACGGGGGAACCATGGGGGCTAGACCACCTAAATACGGCTAAGAAATGGGGGCGCGGTCTGGAGACCGGCGGGTCCCGAAAAATAAGAGATATCCTGAAAGGCTGGTGAGATTTCTCCCTTGGTATTTGAGATTTCTCCCTTGCATGAGATTTCTCCCTCACACTAGTAATGGTGGAAATTAATTGCTCAACTGGGCCTAGCGCGCAATTTCTCATCCTCGCCTAGTTAGGGACAACTTCAAACCTAAAAACACCCACCCACAAACGCCCTCAAACGCAAACCCACAAACGCCCTCCTGTAAACGCCTTCCTGCAAATGCTCTCCTGCAAACGCCCTCTCCTACAAGCGCTCTTTCCTACAAACGCCCTCCCTCCCCCAAGTCTACAGGATAGAGCCATTTTCGGCCAAGCGAGCTAGACCCCTAAGTATGGCGAAAGCTACTCTAATAATAATAAAACCCAAAAGCCCCTAGACGCTTATCGACTCACCGCCTTGACAACTTTCTCCTAGTGCATGATTGCATCAACAAACTCGTTTCCTTTGACCTTCATTACCTGGTACCACTGCTTGCGTAATTTAATTAGAAAGTGCCGCCATAGAAGTTGATGCTGGCTTCGACATGGTCCCCTTGTCTATCTGAAGGAGTCGTTGATAGACACAAATGGAACCGGTTTATCGGCTTCATCAAGAACCATTATAAAGACGATAGCCAGGTCGAGATAAAACCGAATTACATCCTATTCAAAGCTGGGGAACACCCTATACTTCCTTTTGAGGGCCACAAATTCCTGCATTTCAGTTCGAAAGTTTCGGGGATCATCGCAGTGGCTACAAGAGTAGCAAGCTATATCAACACTATTACCAGAATTTCAAAGGTTCACTTCGGCTCCCGTGTCCAGTACTGGGACGAAGGTGCCGACCAGTATGGCAATTACGACGGGAATGAAGTCAGAGTCAATCAGATCCTATGAGCAAGTCAGTCATGCCTTCGTACAGTCTCGTTCCTGCTCTTTAACAACATCTAACCCCTTTACAAACAGCGAGACGAGCCTGAGATCAATACCAGCATCGCATCTCTCCTCACCGGTACTAATCCCATCAAAGAGCTTGGCATCCCACTTTTCGAAATTAAGGACATTCCCGGAAAAGGCAAAGGTCTCATTGCCCGTTTCAATATATCTAAAAGGCACGAGGATACTTTGTGAGAAGCCAGTTCTTACGGCTCAATCCATGCCGCCCAATGAGTTGGAGTTGATCTTCGCGGCCAGGCTAAGGGCTGTTGGATATCAACCATCCTCTAGAGGTTGGGAGTCAGGTGACATCCCAATACGGCTAGTATCATGTGTGGTTACCTCCTATTCCTCCGAGGCCTCCCATACTCCTAGATAGATCAATCAAATCACGTATCAATACTTCTACAAGGGCATTGCCCAAAGCGTCGCAACAATAATTTTTGTCCCTCTATAATAACTGCCCGGGAAAAGCATCCGTTTAACAACACTTTTAAGACTAATGCTCTACCCTGTGGCGCAGGCTCAGTGGTAGGTGGAGTCAACCCTACGATTTGCCTCATTAACCACAACTGTATTCTAAACTCTTATAACAACTGGGATAGTAACGCGGAGCACGAAACCATCTACGCGATCCGGCCAATCAAAACCGGAGAGGAGGTCACAATCTCGTATAATCACGGAGGTACTTTAATTGTACGACGTGCCTTCCTGAAAGAAGCCTTCGGTTTCGATTACAATTGCCGTAGATGCTCTCGTCCTTCCGAGCTCTAAGCTAGTAACAGCCGTCGTTTACTGATTCAAGACCTCGACGATGCCATCGGAGATCTATTCCGCATGCAGATTAGGCCGAAGGAGAGTCTGAGTGACTGCCACTCGCTGCTTCAAGTCCTTCAAGAGGAATATGACGGGTATGCTAGGGCGCTCATCGCCAGGCTCTATTACGACGCCTTTTAAGTCGGCATCGCGCATGGAGATCAGGCTCGGGTAAGCGTATTTGCGGAGAGAGCGTACGAAGTAAGGGTTATCGGCGAGGGTGAGGACAACCCCGAGACGCAGAGGGTGAAGTCACTCACGTTAAAGCTAGCCAATCATATTAGCTTTAGACTATGTTCTATTATATGGACGATAACGAGGGAAATAGTACCGAAAGGTCTAAATACGGCCCAGTTTGAAAAGTGGTTATTTAGAGAGTAGAGTTCGATGATAAATTTAACGAGGTTTACCGTTTGCCGCCAGGGAACAGCAGCGATTCGCACTTTTATTAATTTTACATATACAATTTACAATTCCTAGTTACCTATAGCTCCAAAACCAATCAGCCCTTAACAACGACACAGAAGGTATCGCTAAATTAAGTAGACGATGCAAAATCAAGCTCATACTAGACTCTAGAAACAAATCACCCATGTCTTTTATGAACTTTTGGTTATCAAAAACAGCGGTAATTAGTACGTAAGATGGCTCTGAAAGCGCATAGAAACAGAACGGACTTGTTTACCTGGAGCCTATTCGGGCTACGAATAGTTTAGCACTGGTGATCGGTGGATTGCCTACCGTGCGGATTTCGAGTCCATTTCTGGCCTTATCCGATATCAGGCGGTGTCCCAGTCGAATGCCATCCCTTATAGGAATGCCGCCCCTGCGGATTTCGAGTTTCTAACCTCACCCTTTATCAATGCATCTATTTTCGAGAGTCCTTATAGATCCCTTATGGGAACGCCATCCGTGCGGATCCCCACTCCATTTCTGGCCTCCAATATCAGTCGGTCCCAGTGGAATGCCATCCCTTATAGGGATGCCGTCCCTAAGGATTTTAGGGATCGTGTGTTTGTTTTTATTGTCTGTTGTAGCGATTGTTTTGGGTAAACATATACGCAATTTGAGTACCAGTGCTTATCTTTTCTTCAAAGAAGCTAGGCACGCTCTGGGATAGTGTTTTTAGGATAGAATTTCTAAGATTAGAAGGCTGCTGTTACGATTATGGCATCCTGACTTGATGCCTCAGGCATATATGGTCAGGTGACCACCTCATCTGTATCTAAGCTCTCCTACGTCACCTCCATAGTAATCAACATCTTCTCTACTATCTGTCTTTGTAACAGCTGCGGAACGATACAGGAATAATAAGCTTTAGAATATTACGAGTTGTGGAGTATTACGGGAAAGCTTTAGAATGCTACGAGCTGCGGAATGGCACGGGAAATATGAACTCTAGAATATTACGAGCTTTGGAGCGCTACGGGAGAGATGAGCCTGGAGTGATACGAGCTTTGGAGCGTTACGGGAGAGTGATGACTGTGGAGATATACGCTCACTTCCAGGTATATGTAAAGTTGTTTTTATCGCAACACAGAGTGGGTGAATAACGTAATACGAGTAAGCGAGTAGCAGGAGAGTAACTAGCGATGCTTGGTTGATGAAATCTATGCTGTTTCTGGCTTAAGACCAAGACTCAGACTGATCCTTGAGGACGAAAGAACTCTGTGATGGCTGCGATCGTTTATATAGAGGGATGCACGTGTATCACGAGACTAGCATCCTCCCAGCCTGACATGCTACGAGCTGCGAAATGTTACGGGGAAGAGGAGACATCAAGCGCATTCTCTGTAGCTCGTTAATGGCAGTACAAGCAGCCAAGATGATCCTTAGGACTGGGCTCTTAGAGCAATTCCGGGCAGTTCCATCCACAGTACTCAAATACACAGCGTAGACGAGCGATAACTAGTAAACAGAAGCAGAGGAAGGCCAGGAAAGGCCTTACAAGTACGTAGACACAGAACAGCAAGTAAGAGTATTATTAGAACTGTAGAGTACGTGTATAAAGATGAGAGATAAGTAGGCCATATATAGATACTCTAAAATATAAGCGCGAGGAAGGAAGAAGCGTTAATAAAAGACCAGCTACAAAATCGCGAGGATACTTCGAATTAGAACCAATAGAGATAAAGAAATGACCATATTCCTCGATCGTGGGGCCCCAGCTTTAATCAGCGGGCCAAGCGTCGATAACTTAGTATTAAAGTTCACGATACTGTCCCATATATCTTCTTCGCGTGGTTTTGCAAGTGCGTCTTGCAGTTGAGTGACATCTTATGTTGATAGCTTAGCGTGTCTATCCACACGGAAGCAATAGGTTACGTGACGAAGAATGTAAAGTGCTTGTATTTCTGTAAGAAGTAGAGTACCGAACGAGGTAGATATACATATGACTAAGTAATAGCCGAAGAGGGGAAACGAATGACTAAGTAATAGCCGAAGCGGGGAAACGGATGACTAAGTAATGACATCAGATCTTGACATCTTACAAACCCCGCAGTCGATCCTCTTGCCGTCCCTGATATTAGACAAGTATTTCCGTCGAAAGCGCTTACTAAGATCAGAGGGGGTGCTAAAGGAATAGACTCGTATAGCAAGCGGTAACGACTAAGACGATTCCTTTCAAAATTTCGAAATCTAGATAAATTGTGCTGGGAAAGGGGATAAAGGAGAGAAAACCTAAGGAGTAGATAAGACAAAGAAAGCGATGCAGCCCGATAAGTTCCCCGTAGTGTACATCCCCATCCACCTCATCTAAGCCACTATATTTCATCAAGCTCCATTCCGGGCTCTATTCTCGATCGTTTCGAATTTTACATCACCTCTTCCTGAAGCTAAAGGCACGTATTTCGGATTTATCGAATGCTAGGATCGCGGCCGACGGCTGAGATTTCGACTAAATGGACAGGATGCTGGGGCTTAGCGTACTTCTTAGCCTTTCGACTCCGTATTTCCCTCCTTCAGGATGATTGGGTCAATCCTTTCAAGAATATCTATATACGGCGGCGACGACGGTATTAATTCAGAATCCGTCATCGCCGTCACTGTCGTGCTTAGGGCCATTCCATCGATCGATAAACCTTCTAAGGACTCTGCACTCGAATCCTCGGTCGAAGGTCTTCTATTCCCGCCTATTTGCTGCGTGCGACAGAAACGCTCAAAGAAATAGGATCCAATCTTAACGTCGTAATCGTGGACCGTGGCAATATAGTTTAGGAAGGCTCTAATTTCGATAAAGGCAGATCTGCTTACGCATGTATCCCATACGCAGGAGAGAGGAACACCTTCAGGCAGATAACTCAGGTGTTAATTTATTAGGTGACGTCTTAACGAATCCATGCGCCGGAACCTGCGTCTATGCAATTTTGGGCACATGATACAAACGTCAGTCGGACATTTCGTTTCGTCGAGACATGGACTAGAGTCCTGCTCCTGCTTTGTCTTCATAACGTCATTAACCATGTCTTCGTTATCCTTGTTCCAGTCGAACCTCTTCCCTCGGCGGGTCGGCTCCCAAAGCCCGCAAAGTGCGATCATGTCCTTTGTGACCTGGATCCGTCGGCCGATGTCCTGTTCGCCATCAAGCGTGTTAGCGTCCGGCCCGTAGAAGGCGTCCACAAGACGTGCACGCTCCTAAAACACGTATTTGGGAGGCGGGGGGTCCGAGTCATCATCGTCGTTCTCACCATCCGAAGAGTCCACGCCTGGGTTATCCAGAAGTTGGTCGATCTGCTTGTCGACTTCGATTATTGGCATGCTATCGTAGTAGTCCTCCCTCATCTTCTCCTTAGCTTCCTGAAGGAGTCTCTTCCTTTCGCTATGCATTCTCTTGCAGACCCGGTCGTGTTTCTGGTGAAGCTCCGGATACAGATCTCTAGCAGCCTCTACGGTCCCCGCCAATAATCGTATCTCGTTCTTTAGTTCGATTCTCTCTTGTCTTAGAGAATCCGAGAATCCCTACGGACGACTTTGAGCTGCTCGCCGCTGAGCGCTTTTAGCGCTAGAGGATCTCTGTTCCTACACTTCCGCGCTTCGTTGTATAGAGCCGTCTGTGACGGCCGTATTAAGACAATATGTTAGAGACCACCGATGAAGTCGCTTTGATAGTATTTCTTAAAAACGCGATTCCTAGATTGACCGAGGACCCTCATGCGCTCCGCCTCGGTGTAATTACCTGCGTAGATATCAGTGCCGAGTTCTACGATAGTTCAAGTAATGGAGGCTCGGGCAAAAAGGAAGGTAGGATAAGTAGAATAGGGACCGTTCTCCGAAATTGCTTACGATTAACCGCGTTTGCAGCCTAGCGTCGAAAGTTGTAATGAGTTGGTAGGTCCTCGTACCCTAGCCCTTCTCCGATATGCTTCAGTGCGCTATTACTGGAGTCGTACTTCATCGGCAGGAACTGGTCTACTTCATAGCCGTAAGGAGCTTGCTTCATGCGACGGAGAACTGGAAATTTCAGTTTGTCTTTCTTCCATCTTAGAGGCAGGCTCGGTAGACGTTTCGGGACTCGAAGTCGCCAGAAAAGTTCTGGTGTTAGTCGTTCGTTTTCGAAGGCCCCGTCGCGGAACGCCATCGCCACGATGTGCAAGATCGGGCAATATGTCAGCAGGTAGTCGCAATGCATGAAGAATCGTGTTCTGTTCCAAAAATATATTAGCAACCCTTTTTGCTGCAAAAACACTTCCAGGAAAAGGTTGAATTATACCCGTCGGAGCCTTCTGGTCTGCCCTTCAAATTCCGGAAGGTAATAATTGCGCACGGGACGTCTCTACCGCCTTCTGGATTTCTGAGGTAGAAGAGTTCGATATCCTCCTTACAGACGGTTTTTAGGGAGGGATCAATGGAGACATACTCCGGCAGATCGCTAACGAAAGTTTGGTTCAGCTTCCGTCTCTTCGGTTTCGGTGTAATAGTGGTTTGCTGGTCTTCATCGTTCCGAGATAAAGCGTCAGGACTACAGTTATCCGGCAGAAGCACGCCAGGTCGAGTTCCCGTGATTGAAGACCACAGCATGATTATAGATTGCTAAACGAGCATGTTGCCGCAGCGGAAATAGAAGGAATATTTCCACAGATACCTCTGGAAAAGTCCATATTCCTCAATTGTCAGAGTATACTTGCTCTTGGCACGCCTTGAAATCTCGCGTTCGGCCGGGAATATATATTCAAGGAACTAATGGTACTCGATCAGCAGGGGAGGTTTGATGAATAGAAGGTACACAAACATACCCGTCTTATTTGTTGATGAACGTGGTTACTCATTGGATGGCGGGTGAAGAGAGTAAAGTACTGGTTCAATCGCCTCCAATACTCGTCGTATGATTGTAACTTCTTCTTCTTAGAAGACTCGTACATCCAATCAAAGAAGCTCATATAAACTGGGGGGTCCTCTGTAGTGAGATGTTCCATATAGTTTACTCCTAGGTGGTCGCAGTATCTACCGGCCTAATCGAGACTGTTAGCATTATCTGCCCAGCAATGTCGAAAAAGGTGACCGACCTGCGCCAATATCTCTCCACTACGGCGATACCCTGAAGTGTTTTAGGCTTAAAGTTTAGAGGAAGGTGTCCGAGGCTTCGAAAGTGCTCGAGCCTCGCTCGGGTCTCATCGCAGAGGATAGGCCGAGTCCAGTGCTAGTGCTCCTCTGCGTTAACGGCAGGAAGCGCCCTCTTTCCCATGGCGAAGCACGGGTAGAGAGAAAGTGAAAAGAGAGGCGAAAGAAAGGTAAGACCAGCTGGGAGTAGGGCGGCATACGAGAGAGCGAATCCGTAGGGATGCCGGAGAAGGGAAGATAAAAGCAGGTAGGAAGGGATAGGATAAGAGGATGAAGGGCATGGCAGCACACGGTAGGCTTTTATATACGATCATTTTTGGATGCTGCCGACTGTAGCGGCTAGAGGGGTGGCAGAGCATGTTGGAAAGTTGGGATGGGTTGAGTGCAGAAACGGGATCCCGATTTCTAAATTCATGAAACTCAAGAAACTGATAATGGACAGAGTCACATGCGCTTGGCATTACGGGGTGTTTGGGGAGGAGAAGAGTTGATTTTCATGACCAGGTCGTGTGGAAATGCCGCCAAAAACGGCGTCAGAAACCGCTCTTTTCGGCGGCAATTTCACAGGTCCTCAGATTCTAGTTGTAAATTTGCCATACCCTAAACTGGTCACCCACCTCGTTGCAGCTCCCCGTCAACACTAAGACTTATTCTGAACAGCTCCCCGCCATTACCCACATATCCCTTTGTCTGTTGCAGTGTTCGCGACTGGGGTATGGTATCCGTACTGATAGGCATTGGCTGGAGGTCGCGACGCGCCGGAACGTCACCAAATTTGTAAGTAATCGTGTTGTCCCATAACCATCAATACAAAGCAACAACTAGTTCGTATTCAATATTTTATGCAATGGCTATAGAATCCTATCATTACATTAATTTATTATTACACCAAAAGCATACTGTTTTAGGCGGTGGTGTGGGCGAAATCGATCGATCGATGCATTTTTGGTGTTCAAACCCCTGTCAGCGAATTGCAGCGACGACAGGCAAGGGAATAGTAGTAATAATAGCCCACACTGCTGCCATTCTTCAAATAGTAATCACCTATCCCTCAAGTCTTTCAGTACAGCGTGACTTGGCATCAACATCGTCACTAGGGACTTCTAACAATGTCCTACGACTGCAGAAATCTGCGAATGGCATACGAGGGGCCAATGGATCCTTCCAACCGCTCTCAATAGTGGACCTGGCTGTGTACCCTCTCAAGTCAGCTCTGCAACCCCTTCCAGATGCGAGTATCACTCGTTGACGGGAGTAAAATCCAGGAAGCATCCCCCATTTGGAATGACCAGGAAATGGTCGGTCCACTCCATATTCTCCGGCTTCATCGTTTCGTTTAACGTCACCACGTAACGTTTGATCAGGGACGCTACTGTCAAACGCAAGGTTAATAGCGCCATAGGCTGTCCGATGCAGTTTCGCATGCCTTTCGAAAACGGCATGTATAGTTTCCTCATCTCGTCGGTCCCGTTCGGATGCTCCAACCATCGCTGAGGGCTGAAGGATTCGGGCTCGGGAAACACCGCGGGATCGCGGTGGGTGGTGTGACAGGGCACGGAGACGACGGTCTCAAGATCATTCTCAGCTTCGTCTACTTCAATGACTGGAAGAACCTTACTTTTGCGGGAAGGAAATGACCAGAAATCTTCTTTCCTCCTGTTGGGACAGCTCGAAGCAAGCCCATGGGAACCGGAGGGTGTTTTCGCAAGGCCTCATTGATGACGGCATTTAGAAGAGGCAGATTCAGAACGTCGCGGTGGTCCGGAACCCCTGCTCCAGCGCTCACCGAAATGTCTTTCAGTTCTTCCCGCATTTGAGTTTGAAGATCGGGTTGCTTGGCCAGTTCCCAGAAGAGGTAGGTCAGGGAATTGCTTGATGTGTCTGTAGCAGCAAAGGTCAGATTGCTAATCTCATCGGCGACTTGTGCGTCAGTCAATCCTTCTTTCTGGTCCGGCGATCGCTTGACAATCTTCGTGAGGAGATCTTTCCGGTCGGATTGTCGACCATAACGAGCCAAGTAGCCATCGAAGGCCACGACTCCATGCGCGTAAATTCGGTCTTCTGTGGTCAGAAACTGTCGCACCGCTTTAGATGGCAGCGTGCTGATTAATTGCATCAGGGTGGGGAAACGGCCCCGGAGATCCCAGACGATGAAAGCCAAATCTAAATCTTCGATAAATTGCGGTGCTTTCTTACAGTCGAGACCACCGAAGGACTGGCCGAGAAAGACGGCGCCGGAGACATCGAAGCTTAACATTCGAAACCAATGCAGAAAATCCTGCGGACCCTGGCTACGATGGGTTTCAGTCACTCGTATCAGCTTCTGCACCTGATCACGGATCAGAGGTGCCATATCATTGACGCTTGCGGGTGAAAAGGCATGACTTATCAGCTTCCGTCTTTCGCGATGCGGGCCATGTTCGATCCTGTTGAAGACACCTGCTCGGGCAATGTTCTTGTACCATGGAGCCTTTGGAAAGAGGCTTTGAACGCCGTATAATGCTTCGATTGCGTCGACGGTAATGAAACTAACTTCACTAGGTGCGAGCTGGACGACAGGGCCATATTTTCTATGCAACTCATGGACAGTTTTGGCTCTCTTGCCCGCCATTTCAATGAAGAGGAGCCATATACCGGATAATTTTGCGAGAAATGGCCCTGGAACGTTCCGGAGGGGAGAAAAGAAGCGCATATAGAGGATCTAGGCCAGTCAGTCCAAAGAACGTATCATTATAACTGGTCATAAACTCACTTGCCAGGTAACATAAATGAGAATAGTACAGGCGCCCAGGCTCAGGCCTTTGACGGCCATCACATTACCGCTCTCTGGGAGAAGTTGTTTAAAGTTCTGGATCGACATCTTCGATGTCTTTGTCATACAACGCACTCGATGCAATATTGCAACGATTCCATCTTGACGGAATCAGGAGATAAGCCTGCTTCTTAAGCACAGGCACCAAAGGGGAGCCCTCCTCATCCCCCTCCTTTGTTCGAGGCTGCCGATCATAGCGTGCGCTGAGTGTGAGTTACACGTTACACACGTTGGGAAGGGAACGTTGCACGGCCGTGGTGCACAACCTGACTCAGTCATCGAGCCCTCGAGGTCGCAATTGGAAATTTGAGCACTGAGAAGCAAGCTAAATGCTTTCCTCTGTGCTCTGCAGACAGGAAGAGCTGGGATTAAGGTGGGTGTAAGAAATAAATGAAATAAGGCTGGTGAGATTTGTCCTTAAATATGGCAAGCCTAAAAATACACCCTATTGAGCGCGTGCTTGTGCTCAGAATCCTTACCCTTATCTATAATTTCCGGATCGATCACAGTAGTAGTAATATCGTGTCTTAACATTAGAATGGTGAGGTCTGCTCCGGTTGAGTAGGAAGCCGTAGCCATGCTGCATGCCATGGCTCCTGAGAGCATTGAACATTCTACTTGATTTTTCAATATTGTTGGTTGGTTTCAAGACCAACCATTTCTAAATATTTCCTGGCCAGACAGGCTGTGAAACCCTGATCACTTCGTCGATTATCGTCCAATTCATCCTAGGACCTTGTCACTTCTAGCATAATTAAAGACAACGTTCGAGGGCCTAGTGTTGATCATGATGAATGGGGAAGTGTTTAGATGCTACGGAGATGTGTCAATCAACCAGGGGCGAGCACGGCTTTGCCGATATTGTTAAACTACCCGTCGTAATAGCTTAGCTCGGAGTTGTATCTGGACGGATAAAAACACAGAAACAGCCATCTACGAAGACAGCTGAAGCATTGACTCGTTATATCGGTTCCCAGTGACGATGGCTTTGTGAAGAACCGGTTCACTAGCAATATCATCTAAGCAAATGAAACACCGTCGCTATGCAAAACAATCAGTACACCAGAATAATAGCTCCCACCTAAGACAATTTAAAGAATTCCGCCCCGATTAAAGGATGAACACCTTCTTGATGTCCTGCTCTCTGAACTTCAAGCCCACCTCTCCCGGGTCACGCACATGGCCCGGTTCGGTCCCCAGCTTCTCGTTAATATTTTCGAGCCGCTCTCTCCCATATATCCGACCATTGGGAAGCACCACAGGCTCGGAATCCACGTGGCTTTTCGAATGATGCGCATACGGTACGCCTTTCGCCAATTCGTTCAGTTCGGTACTGCAAATCGGGCAGACGGTGGCGGTCGCAGCCCCGACGGCGGCGCCGGAGCTGGAGGTGTTGAAGGCGCTGTGGCAGGTGGGGGTCTTCAACGCGGACAGGCCGGCGGTAAGCGCAATGTCCAGTAAAGGCCGAGTGGGGAGCGAAAAAAGCGCATGGTGGGTGGTGAGGAATAGATTGGCAAGGTACGGATAGCGTGATGGTGAGTAGAGAGTCGCATATGGCTCGGCGGCTGTATCGGGAGAGAAGGCGAGCAGACCAGCAGCTCGTATGGCGAAATCGGTGTCGTGATGTGGCGCCAAATGTTTCCGAGCATGCAAGGTAGCTTCGATGAGCTTCTCCTTCCTGCCCGTACGTACGGCCTCAATGTATTGCTGGAGACGAAGCTCGAACTCGAGACTATTCTAGAATGGAACGAAGGGTTAGTGGACGACTTGGGGGGGTTAATGGTACCGACTTACGCCCATCTTGCGCAGGTGCGATTTGTTATCCTCGCACCACGCAAGCGCTTCGGAAAGGCTTCCTCGCCGTAAAGCGTTTTCAATCTTCCCAACCGCTTCAAATGCTTCGATGTCGACTAGACTTTCAACGTTCTTTTCTATGGCTAGCTGCTTCGCGCTTTCTACGTATCCTGCGCGCAAGAGATAATCGATGAGGAGGCAGTCGAGCCGCACGCGGCTCCATACCTCATACTTGACGTCGGCAAGAGAATCCATGCTGTGCAACTGGTCGAGATGTTGTAACCGAGCGTCAAGTTGTTCACATCGGGTGCTGCTCGATGCGTCGAGGTGAGTGAGTTTCCGTTTAAGGTTCTTGAGCCTCGTTAGAGTGGCATCGAGTTCGGCCTGGGGCTTGGCCGAGGGGTCCTGCTGTCCATTTTCCGCCAGTGCAGCGTTGACCGCGTTCTTGATCAATGTTGGCACTTTCTTTTGTCCCGAGTCGATCTCTCGCTGAGCCGTCCTTAAGTTCTTGCGGTTGAGTTCTAAGGGTAAACGGAGAAGTGGTTGGTCCTATCCCGCATACATTAGGATCATCCTTTCCATGACTGTTGATTAACAGGACATACTAGTAGAAGATGTTCATCTGGATTCAGGTGAGTGGATGCAAAGTCTGCCATGGTGGCGACAGCACCATAAGCTGTTCAGCCGGCTGGAGCTGCTTCGTGTTGGCTTTGTAGTCAATGCAATTACGAGATACGGGTAGCTACTAAGAACGGAGAAGGCACTTGGTTTGAGCAACACAGAGGCAAGTAGGTTACCGGTACATCGCTTGGAGGTGCTGTAATAGTGAGGAGGAGTCCCATTTATGATTGAAACACCTAGATGCTGTGGAGTTCGTGGGATGAGGTCAGTGGATGTCGTGACGCCGAACAGGGATTACGGGTACCCCACGTGCAGGGGGGACATCGTGACCACATCTTCATGTTTGGAACGGGACATCAAGCATAACTCAAGTCTCATATTGACGCGTCAACTACCTATCCCATCAATAAATGGTTGGCATTTTCTGTATTGGTGATAGGCGGGTAGTGCTATGCCGGAGAAACACATGGGGATGACCAATCCTCTGAGACTTTCTCACAAGTCGCATATAAGGACGCGAGTTTGCCGTACACTTGCTTAGTTCATACCATGCGACTCGCCAATCAGCGAACCGTGCTATTCGACCCGTTGTACGCCGAATTGCTATCCGGACATCTTTCCTGTCTATCGCGGATGTCATCACGGCATTAACAGCAGGCTGCAGCGGGTGATATCCCACAAATTCGGAGCCTAAGGTGCTCACTTGTGCACCTTTATCACTTGGGCTTGGCCACGATGCTGACGACGTCTTCATCAGCAACCAGATGACCCAGTCCCACTCGTTGGGGAACATGGCGTGCACTTGCTCCCCAAACCAACGCGTACTTGAAGGTATCCTTCAACGTCCTGTGGACCTGGTCGCATACGTCTTCAATGCTCGACCCACTCCGTACAATCAGGGCCTCGCTGAAATCAGGGGCAATCCCCTTTCTGGGCATTGTTAGTACTCCAAAACATGCGCTTCGAGGAAAGGGAATATACCGTTTGGTATAGATGCGGATCAGCCGCAGCTCTTTCCAACATCTGTCTACAACGTCTTGAATACCCAGGTCCAATTCACAGCTCATGACGGCCGTGTGCGGTTCGCGCGCAAGCTGGTCCAGATATTCAATGCCTACGCTGTCTATCTTGTTATAGACGTAGAGACTATGCAAACGTTAGTTACATCGTAGAGTGAGAGCTTCATCTCTCACCATTTGATGTATTTTCGATGGTCTTTCATGATGACATCGAGGAAGTCATCCACAGTCACTGTTTTTCAAAGTTAACGAACGAAACGGTATTTTCTTGGACTTCAACCTACCATTCTCATCTCGGACCAGCACCTCGCAGTTTAGTATCTTGTAATCCCGGAGGATGTTGTACACCATCTTTTCATCGATGTTTTTCGGCGGTGCACTAAAGCTGATCTTCATTCCACCGGCCTTTTTGGCTTTGAGGTAGATGTTCCTGATGGCGTGAGCGGAGCTAGAATGCAGAATAATGAAGCACTCACGGTGGATCTCGGTTCAGCCTGATGCCGACCGCTTCCAGTTCCCCCTCTAAGAGGGCTCGCTGCTCGGCCTTTTTGGTCGCATCCAGCACCATTAAAATCATGTCACTAGTCTGGGACAGTCAGTTCGGAAGATCGTGAAAACCACGGACCCCAAACCTTTGCAGCGGAAATGACCTGCCGACCTCGTCCTTTGCCTTCCGCAGCGCCTTCGATAATCCCCGGGAGGTCGAGAATCTGGATCTCGGCGCCGCCGTACTCCAAGACACCGGGAATGGCAGTCAAGGTTGTGAATGCGTACGCAGCAACCTCGGCCTTCGTCTTGGTGATTTTCGAAAGGAAAGTTGACTTTCCTACGGAGGGAAAGCCGACGAGGGCGATCCGAGCATCTCCACTCTTGCTTACATCGAATCCTGCCCCGGCTCCTGCTCCAGCGCCTGGTCCCGGTTCAAGTAATTGCGCCCGCAAACGAGCGAGCTTGCTGCCTTGTGGTTAATGAGTGAACCACGCGGAGACATGGCAAGACGTACCCTTTCAGAAGTCCAAGATGATATTCTTGCGTGTGGTCAGCTCAAGCGATAGTCGCTAGATAAATTTACAATACCAGTCGCCTTGTTCTCTTGAAAAAGTTAGATGGTTCCTCCTGATAAAAGGTGAGTCGTATACTCTGTGTCCGCTTCATCTCCTCCTCGATCCTACAGCAGCGATATCAGCGCCGCAACTTGTAAAGGCCAGCACGAAAGCGCATACTCCTTGATTTTCTCTGTAATGTTCACCATCTTGACTGGTTTGCAGCAATGGAGCCGCTCAACCCACTACCGTATAAAGGAATAATACGTCGGTGTTTAGATTCGTATTGGCGGAGAGAGCATGAAGTTCCAGTCGATTTGGTGGAATACCTCAGGACTGGGACTGGGACTGTCGCGAGGCAACAAGGCAACTAAAGGGTTCGACGTCAGCCTTCTTTGACTTCCCAAATGTTGTGAACTGATTCAGTTCTCCCTCAGCGTCCACATTGACTACTCCCCCGACACCAACTTATTCAAGCTTTCTGACAGCCTAATTCGAGCGGAATTACTGAGTTGATCTGATATTTCCGGCGTATGACGATAGAGACTCATTAAGACGCCACGCGCATCCCCGCTGGGCTTGATTCACCATGGCAGACATCGACGTAACCACATCTGCCGTCAAACCCGCAGAACCATCGTCTGCTCCGGACACGGCTTCAACCGCATTGATCGTGAACGATTCGTCGGGTCGGAAAGTAGTGAAGAAGATCGTCAAGAGGAAAAGACGGCCTGCCCGTCCCCAAGTCGACCCAGCAACCTTTACATCCGAACCGCCGCCACAAACGGGAACCACCTTTAACATCTGGTACAACAAATGGTCAGGAGGCGACCGAGAAGATAAATACCTCTCCCAACAGGCCGCCAAGGGCCGATGTAATATCGCGCGTGATAGCGGATATACGAGAGCCGATAAAGTTCCTGGATCCTACTTTTGCCTCTTCTTCGCGAGAGGAATCTGCCCGAAAGGCCAGGATTGCGAATACCTCCACCGACTACCGGGGATTCATGACATATTCAATCCGAACGTGGATTGCTTTGGACGGGACAAATTCAACGACTACCGGGATGATATGGGCGGAGTGGGAAGCTTCATGCGCCAGAACCGGACATTGTATTGCGGGCGAATACATGTCACGGATGACATTGAGGAAATCGTCGCCCGGCATTTCCAGGAATGGGGTCAAATCGATCGCAGTACGTGACTCATCCATTCTCTTTCTGTTTCTATGCTGACATCTTCTAGCCCGGGTCCTCACCAACCGAGGAGTCGCTTTCATCACATACACCAACGAAGCCAACTCCCAGTTTGCGAAAGAAGCGATGGCGCACCAATCGCTTGATAATACCGAGATTTTGAACGTTCGATGGGCCACGGTGGATCCGAACCCCGCAGCACAAAAACGAGAAGCACGACAGCTGGAAGAACAAGCCGCTGAAGCGGTCCGACGGGCGCTGCCGGAAGAGTTTGTCGCGGAAATCGAGGGACGGGACCCGGAGGCGAAGCGGAGGCGGAAAGAGCTTGACTTTGGGTTGGAAGGTTACAATGCGCCGGATGGCGTGTACTATAACCAAGGCAAAGGGCTCGAAGCGGCGCAGGAGAAGATGTTGCTGGAAATGGAAAGGAACGAGGAACGAGAGCAGGATGTTGAGGATGGCCATGAAGATGGAGGCATATTTACGCGCTCCACAATACAGGCTTTGAAAGGACTGAACGGTCATGGCATAAGGATGGAGTCGAAAGATGCGCCGGCTGCGGCGAGTGGCCCTCTCGTGGGATATGGGAGCGAGGATGAGAGCGATTGAGCTGGACATGGGCATGGCATATACCACACGAGCTAATCGGGACGAGCTCAAAGAATCGGGGCTTCATATTCAAACAGTGGTGCTGCAGGCTACTAAATCGGAGCGATCCTTTCTGGTCCCTGCATATCCTCTCGTTTCTCCCCTGTCACCAAACAACCAATCCCAGGGTTTGAGATGTCAATGAATTTCATCTCCATGATAAGCTGTCCCTAGCGGATAATAAACGTCTTGTTATGCTTTCTTCCTCCTTGCTGCGTTTTCGTCTCGACGGGCCCTAAGTCTTGCTCTTGCAGCTGCAGTTTTCTCCTGAGGTAGAGGTGTCCTCGAAAGATTTATCCGTGACAATCTTGACAAGTCGATTTCGCTGTCCATGCCTGGAATACTGGACGGTTCCCATTGGGTTCGCACCTCTTTGAAACCTGCCGGCGCTGTCGGCAAATTTCCATCTCGGACTTCCACGCGTGCTTGCTCCGGACGACACTGCGTATTTGGAGGTCGATTCTCAGCGTCGGCGCCGACATCGGACGTGGATTGGCGTGATACACCGGCCATCCGTGGTGTATTTGTGCATGGAGGGCGATGAGGCAGGGATTTGTCGGATATTGTGGCAGAAGCAACCTGTGCCCCGTCTCCCTGCTGATCCGCCGGCGACGCCAGGTTTGCATCGCGCGGGCGAAGGATCTGACGGGCAACACGGCCGGTTCTGCTTCGTCCATGACGATTCTGCGGTCGAAGGGCCTGAAAACGTCGGTCCAAGACGAGACTGACCTCATCACCTGGTGCTTCTGTCTTCGTCCGCTCATTTTGCAGATCGTGATCCGCCCAGACGTCGCTCGAATGATGGGGCGTTACAGCTGGGCTAGACTCGTTCAGTCTCCGCTTCAGAATGGTCATTTCTGCAGTCAACCTGGTGATCTCGTCGTGCCCTCGCAGCAGTTGCCGCTTGAGCTCCTTCATTTGCTCGGACATTTCCCTCCCCTTGACCCTGTGTTCTCGATTGGTTTCGCTCAATTTGGATGTCAGCACCATGGCTTCTTCATCTTTGCGTTTTGCATAGCTCTTCGCGAGTTGATGCTTGGATACAAGTTTTTTCATCTCCTTCTCGCTTTTGGTGGAGTATGAAATGTACTGTTCCTTCCAGTACCTCCCAGATTCCGACCGAGGCTCCACGATATCGATCGTAAGGTCGGTATCGTCTTTCGCCCTGGGTTTGGCCGGCGATGCATTGCTTCGTTCGGTTTGGTTTGATACTGCTAAGGGATCTGGCGCATTCGCCTTTAAAATGGTCTCCTTTGAGATCGTCTTCTCGTCCTCTAGACTCGTTTGCAACAACGGCCTCGTTTTTGGTGTGAAAGGACTCGGGAACTTCCCAGGTACGGCTTTTGGAGTTGCCAATCGCGCGGCAAAGGAAGAGGTTTTGCCTTCGTTATCGACGACATGTGCGGGGAAAGAGACATTTTTCTTGCGACTCGTGCCAGCCCTAGGCGTCATGAGGATGCTGTTGGGTTTTGTAGGGGAGTCCTCATTGAATCGAGTAGCTCGATGCAAAGATGAAGGCCTGCTTATCTCGTCCTTCGCGGTCGGTTCCGTGCGTTTATTTTCTTCAGTATGAAGGAGTTGGCCGTCGATTCCGGGTTTGGGGGTACCGAATAACGCATATTTGAATGCTCGGACTGCGAAGACGGGTGCCGGTGTTTCTGGAGCTTCAAGCTCCGTGTCGTCTAGGATACCTAAACCATAGAAATCATTTAGATATGCAATTGAAGCCGCGCGACAAACATGGCAATACCTTGAGCGTTGGTACTGACACTTGCGCTGGACTGCGCCGAGTTCCCAAACCAGGACAACATGCCTGGACTGTTGGCCTTCTGCTTCGATGGGGCGAGTTCAGCGTAAGAACGCCTCAGACGAATAGAAATACCTCACTTCACAAGGAAGCTAAGCATGCATAGTGATCCTCGTCAGAAGTTCGGGAAAAGGCGAGTTGTAATTGATTCCGCAAGACAGCCGACGGTTTGTTTACACATCGAAGCCGCGGGGCAACAGCGACTTTCCACTTCACTGCTTGGAAGAAGTCCGAAAGGTCAGGGAAGTTCGTAAATTGGCATGAAATCACGCTTGGAAGCCAGACGAAGCGGAAGAAGTTGGTTTCAATTAGTTATTCGTATCAATTAGGTAGCATACCTGCATCGCGAGTATTTTGGAGACGCGTTGTTCTGATGATCCATGTTGTAGATCGCGAATTTTTTGACACGTGCTCGCCGTCACGTGCACAGCCCCTCCCACTATACATAGTCTCATCTGGCGGTCAATGCAAGCCATATCAATGGAGAATGAGAGAATAACACACGCTCGTAATAAGAGTTGTTCACATTTGAAGAGTTGGAGAATCAGAACATAATGACTCACGACCCCATGTGCCGTCTTTAGGTTGGCTGCAGCTTCGGCTGCAGGCTCGCAACTCTCCCATTGTCGCGAGTTGTCGAATAACCAACTGTGAGACCCGGGAGTTGCAGCCATGGCACCTCCAAAATCGCCGTGGCGCCAAACTCAATCTCGTGAACCAGAGGGACCGATTAAAAAGAAAACGGAGGCGCCAAAGTATGGTGGCGCGACGCCGACCGAGTATGCTCAGATGCAGCAGGATGAAATCGAAGCCTTGAAAGCTATATATGACGAGGATTTTGTCCTCGTTCAAAACAAAGGAGCATGGAGCAAGACGGAGACGGGATTCAGACTGACCGTGAGGTCTACCGTCGATCGAGAAACGCTGGTGATCCTGAACATCGCCTTCACTGCAACTTATCCAAAGACTCTACCGATTCTCAAGTTGGAGTCTAGTCAAGGATTGCGCGGTACGCCTCGTCAACGGATCGAAGAGATCGTCAAAACCAAACCTAAGGAACTCTTGGGTGAGGTGATGGTTTACGAACTCGCATGTTCCATCCAAGAGGCCCTCGACGATGGAGTTCAATTTCGAGAGGATGGGCAAGCTTTGCCAAGCTTTGCAGAGCAACGCGCCGAACAAGAAGCGGCGGCGCAGGAAGAAGCCCGACGACAAGAAGAGCAGAGTAAGAGGCGGCAGGAGGAAGCTAAGGAAGAGGAACAGCGGATGCTGAAAGAATTGGTGGACAACGAATTGTCCCGTCAATTAGCATCGAGAAGGAAGAGCAAGGTATTCGAGACTCCCGAACTGGGTTCGTCGCGGGCCATGAATGTCATCGAGTTCGATCGAACGATATCGTTTGGCCAGGTGACGTTCAACAAAGTGACCGCCTCGACCTGCCTTCGAACTGGACCCCTTACCGAAATCTTCATGGTGCAACCTCTTTCCCTTACTACAGGAAGCGATGACGCATCATCGCTGCAGCAGATCTCGGGGAGCAACGTCAGCTCGGGGTCCCGGCTCTCGCGCCAACTCGTGGTCAAGCGAGCAACAGTGATCGGGACTGGCGATGTTAAAGCATCTGTGCTTGGACTGGAGGCGTCTCTTGAAACACTAAAAGGCCTACCACGGCAAACCAACTCACTTGAAGTTCTAGAATACAACATCTCGGGAGGGGCGGATGTAGGAGCATGGGAAGTGGTCGTCCTCATGGAGTACGCAGATAACGGTTCCATTGATGCGATACTTCGTACCTTTGGGACGTTACCTGTGGGTCGGGTGAGGTCATGGGCGGCGGACCTGTTGGAAGCACTCGACTACTACCACCGGAATGGCGTGGTTCATGGGCGGATCCACGCTCGAAACATCTTATTATGTGAATCCACAGTTGGGGGTCCCGCCACAGTGAAGCTGGCCGATGCTTCTTATCAACAGAGCCTTTATGAGACGAAGACTACAGTGTCACCGAAGAGGTCCGCTGATATGGCCTGGGCTGCTCCCGAGCTACGACAACTCGACAATGGCCATAAGACACGCAAATCGGATATCTGGGACTTTGGGGTGGTGTTTTTGCAAATGCTGTTCGGCCTCGAATGTATCCAAGATTACGAGTCTCCGATCTCGCTTATTGAGTCGAAAGGGGTGTCTGAGCCCTTTGCAGACATGGTTCGGAAGATTTTCAGGTTGGACGCAAAGAAGCGACCGTCTGCGTTCGACCTTCTTCCATCGGAGTTCATACGAAATGATATTCCGCTATTGATGCGGCTGACACCTCCACCCCTCTCTCAGCATTCTTCCTCTGCTAGCATCCCGCAGCATCATGGACGAGCCCGACCTTCGTTCTCTGGTGCTCCTATGTTCTCCCGGTATGCTTCAGATTGGGCAGAACTGGGTAGGCTTGGGAAAGGCGGGTACGGGGAGGTAGTCAAGGCAAGAAACAGAATGGATGGGAGGATCTATGCCATCAAAAAGATCACCCAAAGTTCTGCTGCTCTTTCCGAGGTCTTGTCCGAGGTGATGCTTTTATCTCAGCTCAATCATCCATACGTTGTCCGCTATTTCTCGGCTTGGCCAGAGGACCTCCCTGCAGATCCTTCTGAAAGTGGAGATGATTCATTTCCCACACTGTCAGAAGCGTCGGAGGCGACGTCTGTGGATGTTGGCTCGAATATTGAATTTGGATTTAGTTCAACCGGTGGTCTTGATTTTATCAGCTCGTCAGGCTTTCCGAAGATCGAATTTGCTGAAGATTCGTCCGAGGATGAGACCGAGGAAGAGAATGGGTCATTGAAAAGGCATGGGAATCACCAGATTCCTAGCGATGCCAGTCGTAGCCCGAAGGTAAGCTGCAATTTCCTAACTCCATCGTTTGTGTGGAATCAATTCCAGAGCGCCTGGAAAGCGTTCTGACAGTTCTTAGCAATTTAGGAGGTTCGACAAATCTCGAAATGTGAAGACGACTCTTTACATCCAAATGGAGTACTGTGAACGTCGAACGCTTCGCGATATTATCCGAAAAGATATCAGCGAAAATTCGGATGAATGTTGGAAGCTTTTCCGTCAGGTATTAGAAGGCCTCGCGCATATTCATGGTCTTGGTATCATCCATCGCGACTTGAAGCCCGACAATATCTTCATTGATGCCGGTAATAATCCTAAAATCGGCGACTTCGGATTGGCGACGACCGGCCAACTTCACGCCTCCGACAGGACAGCTGCCGACCTCCCAGACGGCGATATGACCAAAAGCATTGGGACCACCTTCTATGTCGCTCCAGAGCTTCGGTCCAATGCTGGAGGTTCGTACAACAACAAGGTCGACATGTACTCGTTGGGGATAATATTTTTCGAGATGTGCCATCCCTTGAAAACTGCCATGGAGAGAGACAAGACTATCCGCGCGCTCAGGGAGAAGGAACATTCGCTACCGCAAGAGTTTTCTGGACCAGCCAAGGCGGTTCAAGCCGGTATCATCTTATCGCTTGTATCCCATCGTCCGAGTGAACGACCCGGCAGTGCAGAACTACTGCGAAGCGGGAAAATCCCTCTACAGTTCGAGGACGGCACCGTTCGGATTGCGATCGACGCCCTTTCGGACCCCAAATCGCCCCATCATCATGAAATGGTCTCGGCGATGTTTGCGTATGGACCGAATCAGAAGATCAAAGACTATACCTGGAATGTTGAACGTACACACACATCTGAGGCCCCGGATTCGCAGATGACTACCCTTCAAGGGTTTGTTAAGAAACGCCTGGTCTCCATATTCAAACGACATGGGGCGGTGGAAGACCCTCGACCTGCAACGTTTCCCTATTCGACACATTATGACAGCAACAGTGCCGTCAAAATGATGGACACATCCGGGACGCTGGTCCAGTTGCCATACGATCTGACGCTTCCCTACGCACGTTGCATCGCAAGAAGCGCGCCGACGCACGATCGGACCTTTGCATTCGCACGCGTATACCGGGAGACATATGTTGGAGGAGCACCCAAGTTCAGTGGTGAAGCCGACTTTGACGTGGTCTCCTACGATACCGGGGACTCGGCTCTGGAGGAAGCCGAAGTCATCAAGGTCCTCGATGAGGTCCTCGACGAGTTTCCGCCCTTTGCGTCCACGCCGATGTGCTTTCACTTGAACCATTCCCGCCTGCTAGATCTCATCATGACCTTTTGCAGGATCAGCAAGCCACAGTGGCACGGCGTGAAAGAGACTTTGAGCAAGTTGAATATCCATCAATGGACCTGGGCCCGGATCCGGACCGAATTGCGAGCCCCGGCGCTTGGGGTGTCTTCTACATCGTTAGACGATATGGCACGGTTTGATTTTCGCGATACCCCTGAGAAAGCAATGTCGAAGATCCAGAAGTTATTCGACGGGGTAGATCCTTCATTGTCTGAGAATTTGAAGCCGGTGTTTGAGCACTTTCGTGCGCTCGTACGCTGCACCAAACAGTTCGGCGTTGGACGAAAGGTTTACATTTGCCCGCTCAGCAGCTTTAACGAGAAGTTCTACGGCGGCGGAATATTATTCCAATGCATCTACGATAGCAAAAAGCGCGATGTACTTGCTGCAGGAGGCAGATATGATTCGCTCATTGAGGAATACAAGCCGAAGGCCCAAGGGCATTTTACTGGTGGGCCTTATCCCTTTCCGGGTGCGTGATGGACAAGACGAGACTAACTGGTACAGGTTGTCGAGCGGTCGGGATGAATTTGGGTTGGGACCGTATTGTTGCGTCGATGGGCCGATATGCGCGCAAAATGCCGTCCAAACCCAACTACGTGAAGAAATCCGACTCCGAAGCCTCCGTACTCAGTCAGGTCGCGACCCGCCGTTGCGACATTCTCGTGTCGAGCACCAGACCGTCGATCCTTCGTTCGACGGGGGTGAAACTGGTCGCCGACTTGTGGGCAAATCACATCAGTGCGGAGCTCGCCATTGATGCTCGGACGTTTGACGAACTGCTGGAGCATTACGACGGAAGCTCTCACAGTTGGATCATCGTGATCAAGCATGATTCTCCGCATTCCGTCCAGCCCGACCTCAAGATCCGTTGCTTGGCTCGAAACGAGGATAGCGAGATACGCAGTTCGGAGTTGCTAAGTTACCTACGTGCAGAATATCGAGAGAGGGACCAGCGAGAAGGTACCGCCACGGCAAGCGCGAAGGCTGCTCACATGACGAGCACTGGAGGTCGGATACCGGTTGGCGCAGCAGAGGATCGAAAGAGCAATGTTTATGTCTTGGGGAGTCACCGCGGGAAAAGGAGTGGGAAATGGAACATTGTGGACTCGGCATTGGCATCCGTTCAGGCACTGGCGGCATCGTTTTCGTCCGCGCCGATCGTTGCGGTTGAAGCGAAGGATGACACGGTCATTGAGGTGATCCGCGACAAAACTCGACTTTCCGACCCGGATTCCTGGCGCAAGGTCATCCACAGTATGCCGCAAACGGAGAGGACGTATTGGACTCAATTGCACGAGCTTCTATGCCAGTGGAAGGAGGATGGGCAGGGTGGTGAAGCAGAGGTTCATCGCGCAGCATTCTTATACAACTGGAGGACAGGAACGACCGCATATTATGACCTAGGTCAGTAGACATTACTGGCCATGCTGGGTCGGCGAACGAACATCCTTAATCTGGAGTTCTAGCGCAAGTAGCTGTGATCAAGCATTGATGAAGCACATGTGCATATTTGCAACCTTCAGTCCTGAGGAACGCTGGAGCGCGTAAAGGAGTGAGCATTTTTGGTCATATTTACCGATTGAGATGATGCAATGCTGCTCCGAAGCTCACCCGAGAAAAACGCCCTGACCAAGTGCATCCAGCACGTTCCGAGCCCCCAACCGATGATGGACACCCGAATTTCATGCCTCACCAAAGAGCCTCGCCGTTATATCCCCCATGTATGCCTCTTCCAGCTCATAGTCTTGGCCATCGTTTTTGTCGATCCCAACGTATTCAAATGCCGCCACCACGGACGGCACGTCAAAGCCCATGGCAACAAATCTATCAATGAGATCTTTATTGTAGTTGTGATACCTGGTTCCACATTAGCATTTGTTTGTACCCAATAGAGAGCATCCACATACTGAGCCAGCTGTGCCTTTTCCTCGTTTTCTTTGGACCGCTGCGCCTTGCGTTTGATTGACGAAGCGGTCGCTCCCCCGCTCCCTTCACCCCGTTCCTTCCGCGGGGCGTTGGCGTGTTTGACGGCCCATTCTCGTGCGACGTGTTCGAATTCGGCGGGGTTCCGGATCATCATGCTCGCCACTTCGTGATCTTGTGGGTCCTTGGGTTCCGGCGTGCTGAGCAGGAGCTGGAGGGATTGGAGGGCGGATTTGAGGTTCATGATCGGGGTCCAGGCTTTACCGAGAGTGTCAAGACAGATGGCGCCCTACGAGATGTTAGAATGACGCGCGCTGAGAAGAGGATTGGGGGGGGGCTCCTCACCGTGACGCTGCTGACATTTGGATGCCATATCTTTGTTGTGAACCGGATCGTCGGGGGTTTGAAAGGGTAGTTAGTAGGGACGGAGATGGTGACGTCGTAAGTGCCACCCTCATAGGGTGTATCGGGAGGTCCAATAAAGGTTCCTCGTAGTTTGCTCATGTCATGGTCCTCAAGAGTTTCCACTTGGAGTCCCGCATCCTTATCTGCCTTAACTTCGCCGATCTCTTTCACGATGCGTCTTGCAAATATGCTGCTGGTGGCCATCGTGCCCCAAAGCAATGTCCGGCCAACAAGCTCTTGGACTTGTCGTCTGAAACCTTGGGATCTCGTGATGTCTTTCGGGTTCCTCTTGCTGGTATGGTGAGGTATAAGTCAGGCGGGATTGATATAAGGCCGAGGATTATTGCGCAGTGTTTAAATGGTGGAGGGCTAGGTGGAATAACGAGTGGTTAGGCAACGAAGGTATGGAACACAAATGAGGTCAGGTACGGGGGGAGGTTGAAGAGTTCACAGTGGGACGCGGGGGGGTTCGGGTAAAGCAGAGATTAAGTAAGTAGACAGGAAACTTGTTCGTCCACGGGCAGATCAGGGAATGGAGGAGAGGTTCTGGAAGCGTTGAATGTTGAATGAGGCTGCAGCCAGCAAGGAGCGACTCTACAGAACGTACCTGTACGCCGTACAGGGTGTATATCTGATGATACAGGATATGTGAGTTGTCACTGTCGGGCTGTGGTAGTGGCGTATTAGTGGTGGTTCGCGGTCAGTCCACCCGCAGGTTATATCAATTCTCAGTATCTGATGGTCTGGGAAGGTCGGATATCTGTGTGATGTCGCTGGTGGTGGGATGAGTTGGATAAGGGACCTAGAGTCACAGCCTCACCTTAATATTGGTCACGTGGACGGGAGGGGCTCGAATCACGACACCTCAGGCTCCAAGGTGTCAAGGGACTCTGATCTGTCATCTATCACGTGCCATCACGTGTTTCCAGGCTCACCAGCTCTGGCGCGTCAACTGGAGGAACTTCCTTCGACGTCCGCAACGCAACACGAAGCTCCCCGTCACTGCACTTCCAAACATCGAAATCAAACGCCGGAATCAAAACATCCACCCTGCCCTTGACCACGGACACCTTGGACCACGGGCTCCTTTGGCCTCAAGAAAAATCATCCCCGAGACTGACTTGACTCCTTTGGCTCCTATCGCTACCGTTCCGTTCAACCCTTTGCCACTGCCTCACACCTACCTCTCCGTAGCTTCGCTGCATAGTAGCGATGGTGAGTTTCACTTGACTGTTATCATAGCGCTTACGACTAACAGTCTCATAGGGTGCAAACCAGTCGAATATGCCCCCCGGGGCCGGCGGTGATGGCAAGGACAAGAAAGATAAGGTACGTCTACTTCACCGGACTGCAGAACAAGGTTTCATCGATGATTATTTTGCCATCTGCTGACTATTCTCGGATTTACAGAAAGACAAGCCGAAGTATGAGCCTCCACCACAACCCACCACTCGCATCGGCCGGAAGAAACGCAGGGCAGCCGGTCCCAATGCTGCTGCGAAGCTGCCGACCGTGTATCCATCTGCAAGATGCAAGCTGAAGTACCTCCGAATGCAACGAGTCCACGATCATCTCCTGCTAGAAGAGGAATACGTAGAGAATCAAGAGAGATTACGAAAGGGAAAGGCCGCCACCTCGCAGCAGCCCTCCAGTGCGGGAGGCGATTCGGACGCCATCGATCGCAATGCGGACGAGCGCTCTCGAGTGGACGATATGCGCGGCAGCCCGATGGGTGTCGGGAACTTGGAAGAGTTGATCGATGACGATCATGCCATCGTTTCGAGTGCGACCGGGCCGGAATACTACGTTTCGATCATGTCGTTCGTGGACAAGGACTTGCTGGAACCTGGGGCGAGCATTCTTCTTCATCACAAATCCGTGTCGGTCGTCGGCGTCTTGACGGACGATGCTGACCCGCTGGTCTCGGTGATGAAACTCGACAAAGCGCCGACGGAGTCGTATGCCGACATTGGAGGCCTGGAATCACAGATACAGGAAGTCCGCGAGGCGGTGGAACTGCCTTTGCTTCATCCGGAGCTGTATGAAGAGATGGGTATCAAACCACCGAAGGGCGTGATCCTCTACGGTGCTCCAGGAACCGGAAAAACACTGCTGGCGAAGGCGGTTGCTAACCAAACGAGCGCCACCTTCCTTCGCATCGTCGGTAGCGAACTGATTCAGAAGTACTTGGGGGATGGACCTCGTCTGGTCCGCCAGCTCTTCCAGGTCGCCGCCGAGCATTCCCCTGCGATTGTTTTCATCGACGAAATCGATGCCATCGGCACGAAGCGGTACGAGTCGACCTCCGGCGGAGAGCGCGAGGTTCAGCGAACGATGTTGGAACTTCTCAATCAACTCGATGGTTTCGATGACCGTGGCGATGTGAAGGTGATCATGGCCACGAACAAGATTGAGACGCTCGATCCCGCCCTGATCCGTCCTGGTCGCATTGACCGGAAGATTCTATTCGAGAATCCCGATCGTAAGTTTATGCTCCTTGCCTGAGTTCCATTCATTCTGACTCCTTCTAGAAAACACCAAGAAAAAGATCTTCACATTGCACACGTCGAAGATGTCACTGAGCACTGACGTCGATCTCGATGAGTTCATCAACCAAAAAGACGAGCTGTCTGGCGCCGACATCAAGGCGATCTGTTCGGAAGCTGGCCTCATGGCACTGCGCGAGCGACGAATGCGCGTTCAAATGGCCGATTTCCGTTCCGCCAGGGAACGGGTCTTGAAAACGAAGAGCGAGGGCGAACCGGAAGGGTTGTATTTGTAGGCTGTGTCTCATGGTCGAGATCCTGACCAGAGAAACCGAGGGTTCTTCCGAAACGACAACTACTAGACAGCGTCCTTTACCATCGCAAGACTACAGCGGAGGCTAGGGAGTTCAATTATGGTCTTGCGTCTTATCGAGCGAGTGCTGAGTGTAATATCAAGCTATTCAATAATACCGTACCTCCCATCCCTTGCCACTCTACACCGGGTGCTGTGTGTAGATTTCCTGAGCCAAAGGTTTCCAACATAATACCTATTCGTACAAACCAGCTAACATAGCCAGCTGTCCATTGGGCAAGCCGAGGGGAGGGAGAATACAATAGAAGGCTACTTAGTAATGCGGCGAAACAGGATCGGAGTCCGGGGAAGTCGGTATTAATTCCTCGAGCTGTTGATGGAACAGTGGGAACGTCTTAATTATGGTAGTGACTGAACAGGGATTATCTGACGCCATACCGCTTGAATCAGATTCATCACCCATCTCGTCGCCTGGAAGCAATTGTACCTGCAGAACTCCCATCAACCCGATCTCGCTTTCAATTCAACTTTGCCAATCATTGACATTGTCTGGTTTTGTGAACAGAATTGAACCCGAACTCCTTCAATCCTCTCCTACACCCTTTCATGTTTGCCAAAGGGTAATATCTATATCGTCCTTGAATCCCTCCCCCGCCACCAATCCTATCTCCGACTCTCCCTCCGACATCGCCCATATCCTCCAAATATTACACTCGAAAATGGACAACTCAAAGACCAAGGCGAATGTCTCTGTCAAGACTAGTCGAGGCAAAGATCTGGAGGGACACGACTTGCCGCCATCCCCCGCACCCTCCAGTCCTCGCCCGCGTCGGAAGTATGCCTTAGCCACCGAATTGGTCTATACCGAGAGCAATGACCAGTACAATGCCTCGAGCATCCCGATTTACCAGGTATGCCATCGCACATGCCTCTCGACAAACAAGCCATTGGACCGCCCGGTCTCGGTTCATAGCTGGTACTCGTGCTGACCTTCATAGTCCGCAACATTCAAGCAATCCTCCGCATCCGGCTCCGGCGAATATGACTATACCCGGTCCGGGAACCCTACACGAACGCATGTCGAACGTCACCTCGCCAAGATCATGTCTGCATCACGGGCGCTAGTGGTCACGTCCGGAATGGCAGCTCTTGATGTCATCACCCGCCTCCTCCGCCCCGGCGATGAAGTGGTGACCGGAGAAGATCTATACGGCGGATCTCACCGATTGTTGAAGTTCCTGTCGACGACCAGCGGGATCATCGTCCATCACGTCGACACTACGAACGTCGACGCGGTCACAGGAGTTCTCTCCGACAAAACCACCCTGGTGCTCTTGGAGACCCCTACGAACCCGCTACTCAAAATTGTCGATATCCCCGCCATCGCCGCCGCGGCTCACTCCGCGAATCCCGACTGCCTAGTCTCCGTCGATAACACCATGCTCTCGCCCCTGCTTCAGACACCCTTGGATCTCGGCGCCGACATCGTGTACGAGTCGGGGACCAAGTACCTGTCGGGACATCATGATATCATGGCCGGTGTCATCGCGGTCAACAACACCGTGCTCGGCGACAAGCTGTACCACAGCATCAACGTGTTCGGCTGCGGGCTTTCGCCGAACGATTCGTGGCTGCTCATCCGCGGAGTGAAGACCTTGGGTGTCCGCATGGACAAGCAGCAAGCGAACGCGCAACGGATCGCCGAATTCCTGGAGGATCTGGGACTCAAAGTGCGGTTCCCTGGGCTCCGCTCACATCCGCAGTACGATCTGCACTGGAGCATGGCCCGCGGTGCCGGGGCGGTGCTCTCGTTCGAGACGGGCGATGTGGAAAAGAGCGAGCGGATCGTGGAGTCGGCGCGGCTCTGGGGCATCTCGGTGAGCTTCGGGTGCGTCAACAGTCTGATCAGCATGCCGTGCCGGATGAGCCATGCGAGCATCGATGCGAAGACGCGGGCCGAACGGGCGATGCCTGAGGATATCGTGCGGTTATGTGTGGGGATTGAAGATGCGGATGATTTGATTGACGATTTACGGCGAGCGGTACGTCTCCCTCCCTTCATGACTGAATCCTGTGCTGACTGAACGATCGATAGTTGGTGCAAGCTGGCGCGGTCGATGTCTCCCCTGAGGGCATTAAAGCCCTCGAGAACGAAGCTCAATCATGAGTGATGACCCGACGGCGGTACAGTCCCCTCTTTCATATTATTTTGGCCCTCGAACCGGGTCATTCTCGAATACGGTTTGCATTGCAGCCCTTGTTTGGAGTCGGGCGCGGAACTGAACGGCACTGATGCAATTGTAATGTTTTATGGCATGCGCACATGGAGGCATTATTGCGAGGCTCCGATTTTCCACTTGGGATCCAGGCCAAAAGTTCATTAGATGAGATGTCTGCCAATCAAACTTTACAGTGTGTTTGGGAGCTACACAAGGTCTCTGAACCACGGAATCGGCGCTTTGTATTTGAATCGAGCTCCTCACTTCAATGCATGAGTGACACTAATAATTCATTCTCAAACTTGAGATCGGATTCTGTCCAATGGCTTCTGTACGGTCTTCACTTGGTTTAAGGGGCCTGTCCTTTCATCCAGGGTTCATTGTGTGCCTCGACATTCATTACATTGCGAGTACCTTCTTCTCTATGTCGGTGAGTGATAACTCGGCATTTCGATCTAAGATCTTCTAGTGGGTGGGCAATGCTCTGTGATTGACTTATACCTATTTCCCTTATACCTATTTCCCTTATGCCGACTAAGTGAAAGTCCCACCTGGGGTGGTAGTTTCAAAAGTCCCACCTGGATAGCGGTCATTCATTCGATGCGGTGTTCCAACCACAGCGTCTTCTGAGACATTGAGATTAGTCCGGACTAACTACCTGAAACTTGGAGTAATTACCGAATAAAGATTATGCAACGAACACAGACACAGGCATGAACACGGACTGTATTTCCCAAGGTTCAAGCGTTTGCTTCAAGTTCAGCCATTAAACGTTCTGAAATGTAACGGCGAGAATAACTTGGCTTGCATAAGGTAGATTAAAAGGGGTGATGCGGGTGATCAACTCCGAGATGCCGTCCGTACCGCCCGGTATATATACAGCTTACTGTATCGGTTGCGTCTCGCGCTCTAACCATGCCAGGGCCAATTCATTCTTGCCTTTGAAGAAACCATGGGTCTTCTCGAAAACTTCCGCATGATATTGATTCAACCACTCCTTTTCATCGGCTGTCAGCATGTCGGAAGCAATGAGCTTCTGGCCCATGGGAACCATGGTGACGTGCTCGAATCCATAGAATGGCTTCTCTCCGAATTTGTACTTCGTCTGCACTTCTTTGACCAGAATAATGTTCTCGATACGGATGCCGAAATTTCCGTCCTCATAATACCCAGGTTCTGCAGATATCATGTCAATGGAGGATGAGTGGTGATGCGTGGAGTTACGTACCATTCGATAAGACATTGCCAACCGAGAGCGGGACTTCGGCCAGCGAAATTCGCGTTCCGATGCCGATCGGGCCTTCATGAACATTCTGGTCAAAATTAGCTTGCAATTCGAACCGTGTCACGCTGCTACTCACGAGATATGATCCAACTCCGTGACCGGTGCCATGCCTGTAGTCCAGGCCTTGGTCCCAGAGGAACTGTCGAGCCAGTGTATCCAGGGCAAATCCACTGACGCCCTTCGGAAATTTGACTCTCTCCAGCGCAATGTGTCCCTTCAGGACCAGAGTGAAGGCTTTCTTCTCCATCTCCGTCGGTTCGCCGAAATGGAGGGTCCGCGTAGTATCCGTGGTTCCATCAGTATATTGTGCACCCGAATCGCAAAGATAGACTGCCGATGGGTCGATTACGGAGCAAGCTCCTTTCAGTGGCTTGTAATGGATGACTGCCGCGTTTGGTCCCGTAGATGAGATGGTGTCAAACGATAATCCCACAAAATGCTCATGCTTGGAACGGATCTTCTCCAGCTCATCCGCTGCATCGACTTCATCCGGCCTGGCGCCTTTGGCGAGTAGTTGGTCCTCAAGCCATGCAAAGAACTCGATCAGAGCCGCACCATCGCGAATATGGCAAGCCCGCATTCCCTCGAGCTCGACGTCATTCTTGATCGCCTTCACATCGCCGATCGGGCTCCTGATCTCTTCCACTTTCCCTTCACCCCCCAAACTCTGGTTGAGAGCCCATGATGCCCTGGTCGACGTGAGGTACTTCTTCGTGGAAGGCTGAGGCGAATTGGATGCGTTCTCTCCACCCAGTTGGTCCGAGGAACTCAGTGCCTCGATGTCGGCAAAGATGGCTTCATAAGGTCGGATATTCACGGCCCCATCAAGGTGCTTCCAGACATCGTCGCTCAGCTTTTTGTCGTCGATGTAGATGGTTGCAGACGAAGGTGTGACCACTGCATAGGAGAAGAAGACAGGGTTATACGGTATATCGTTGCCTCTCATGTTGAACAGCCAGGCGATTTCATCAAGCATCGATACGACAAAGCCCGCCGACTGCTTCTTCTCCAACTCTTTCCTTAGATCTTCGAGTTTCTCTTGAAACGGCTTCCCAGAGAATTCGACGCCCAAGACTTTGGCCGGTTCATTGGTCCGATCGGGCTTGTCCGTACCCCACACCAGGTCAACAAGATTCTCCCTCACTGGCTTTAAAGAGGCACCGCCCTTTTTCTTGATTTTATCCGATAGTTTTCGAGCTTCCGATGCTGTTATCAAGGTTGGATCGACACCAACCACTCTCCCCTCTTCGGATTGTTCGGCAGCCCTACGAGATCCCGAGTTAGAGCCGCCTTTCGGGTGACGCGAGAACCATACCATTCCTGCCAAGTGGGAACATCTTGTAGGCCCTGCTTCAGCAATAGCCAATTGTCATCGAGTTGTTTCTCTGCTTGGTTGAAGTATCGTCCGTCCGTGGCGAGGGCGGCCTTGTCGAGTGAAATGACCGCCGTGCCCGCGGAGCCTGAAAAGCCGCAGATGAACTCTGAGCGGGAATAAGCATTCGTATGGGGTGATTGGATGCATATATGGGATAGGAACCTCTTCTCGCATCACATGCAGCAATGTATTCGGATTGATGGCTATCTTCCGAGGGTACGACTATGTGGTTGCGTCAGTGGAAAGGCCCATCGATAATATCGAGGCAATAGTACCATAGATGTCCACCTCATGCTTCTTCATAAGCTCCCGCAGCTCATTGATTCGTGCCGTGGTCTGTACCGTCGCCATCTTGTCGGGGAGGGTGTTGAGATATGCGGATTGAATGCGAGGAAGGAATTGGAGCAGCGACCGGCTATTACACTTCACTGAGGTGTGGAAGGGTTGAAGGGTTGATAATCGAGAGAAAGAGATCCCACTACAAGGCACTCGAAGTCTGATGGAGAGTGTGAACATGCAGCCGAGCGTTTAGTACACGTAGGGTGTGGAGGTTGATACCTCGTCGACCCCGCTAAATGCTGATATAGGAGGTGAAGGCGGGATGGTTGTTTCGTCTTCCAGCTGGTATAGCAAACTACGAGATTTGTTTGTAGATTGATATCATCGGAAACCAGTGAAAGAAGATACAGCGCCGATATTCTATTCCTTCAGTAATCGATCGGATGTGGTTGCAGCTTGAGATGGAGGTCAATAGAACGTCACAGCAAAAGCTGTGAACAATGGGACACCAACAACAGAACAATTGAAGCGTGGGAGCTTCAACATCCTTGTCTGGCTCCATTTCATCAACTCCAACCTTCCGATTCAATATACCAGCTCATATTTTCTCACAAGAAACGCGTATAGGAACGTGTTGGCATAATAAACTTGGCTTCTGAAGCTTCCGCTCTGGCTGCTGGAGCCTTGCGTTAAGCTGAAGTCCTTTCGAGCATACCTGTACTCGAAAAGTGCGTCCAGAGTGGACGGCACAGTATCAATCAGCCTATCCGTTCTATGTTTGGACAGCCTTTGTATCTCCCAATCATCGATGTTCAGGATGGATTGACTGCCTCGTTTTCGACTTTCATATTTTCCCATTTCGTCAACCTCTTTGGCTTATCTCGTTACTGTTCGTACTCTGCAAAACCGATGCGGGAAGCTCTCTGAAATCCCAAGTCCTTTCTGTCTGGAGTCCAGCCTGGAGAATTGTGGCAGAAGCAAATATTTCGACTAGATACTTTCTTGAGTTCGTCAGGTCGTCCGTCACTGTCTCTTACTCTCTTCCTGTCAGCAGCCGTAGCTTCATCCTTAAGGCACCAATCATGGAGTCAAGTATTAGCCTGGATGGCCTGAGAGAGCCAGCCTTGGATCCCTCTCTTGTGACATCGGTGCGTTTTAATTGCTCTGGCAGATTTCCCTATTCGACGATTCTGACGTGGAATAAAGATCATTACAGCGTTGCACGACCCGAAAACAGAGAAGAGCCGTATTCCCGACCTGAGCCGTTGGCTGTTGGAATTCCGCCAACTTCCCAACTCTCTAGATGTCACGTTGCAACTACTCCAAAGCCCATATACGGAAGTACGGTTCCATGCGATTGGCATGGTTGAATTCCACTTGGATAAGATAATGTAAGTGGTCATCCGCAATCTACTAAACTCTATACTAATAGATCTCCAGAGAAGCTGAAAGGCTGGCTGCCCAGGTTGACCCTTCCAATATCACATCGTCACCGCTGCCTTTTCACTTGCTCGAATGCTTTGTACGGGATTGAATCAGCTTAGTCTTATCCATGTTAACCGTTATCTAGTCTCTATATATCTCCAACAAGGAAAAGGAGATGAACCTCCGAAAGCTCTGCTCCCTGATTGCTAAATACGCAGGGTGTCTAGAGCATGTGGGAGAAATGTGGATTCGACTTTTCGTGGCGAAGGCCATTGAACCGACCTTGACAACTGCCGACCTTGCTAGTGCAAGGGCCACCCCCGTGTCTCCCGAGATATCCAGGCTCGTTGCCCCTGAAACTCTATACTTCGTCATCTGCTTCCTGAACGAGCTCGGAGGCTTTCTCTATAGCTCGATCCGCGAATTTCGGAATAATTTGACCAACCGTGCAGCAGAAGTACGGGTGGGAGCCCTCACCGCGATCGAATCCTCTGTGAGAGACGCATCCAATATCATCCTTCTCGGCCTCCAGACGGGCCACGAGCACAACGGCGGAATCGACTCTGGTTTGGCAGAGAAGATTAGAACAGCAGCTGCTGAATCCGTGGTGGCATGTTTTCCTTTAGGGCAAATCTTCGAACGTGGCTAACATGGTATAGTTATGGAACAAAATTGGAAATCCACAGTCTGGCGCCGTCGATAATCTGGACCCTATCAGAGCGGAGCTTGCTCACTCATTGATTGTCTGTATTTCTCATGGAGCGACACCCGAAGCGTGTCAGTATCTCCAAACCATCGTCAGCCGCACCTTATATGGGATGTCGCCATCGGTCTGGAAGGATGTGCAGGTGTTACTTGCTCATCCTGATAGCATCTTCCGCCGTATGGTCAAGCAAGCGCAGCTGGGGGATGATGAGGCGAGGCCATACTTTAACCTGTTTTTGACCGTCGCAGAACAAAGTGTCCAGGAGATGCTGCGCGAACCAGAGACGGATTTCCACGGATATCTACTAGGTGAGCCGGAAGCAGCCGTGGCGCAACCCGTTCTAACTTTCTTGTAGAAGTGATGAAGGAGTCACTTTCGGCCAGCGATTGGCCTGTTGAGCCGTCACATCCCGCTATACTTGCCTTGCAATTTTGGCAAAATTTTATCGACGAGATGTCGGATGCCCTCATGGCGGATGAGTCTCCATCAGAGTTCCCGCAAAGCCGCATTGTATGGTGGAACTCCGCACGCCTCAATCTTCTCGCTGCTATCGAGAAATTCATGATCCGTCTTCGACTGCCCTCACTCTCCGAGCTTCATGACTGGGGTAAGGACGAACGAGATGTGTTCCGGGAATTTAGAAGGGATGTGAAAGATCTCTTCTCGGAAGCATACTCGATCATCGGCAACGATATTCTCGTGGGATTTGTCCGGTTCACAGCATCCGCACTGGAGAGCAGTTCACCCGATCCTCTGCAAATCGAGGCATCACTGACATCGTTTTCTGCGATTGGCGATGCCATCAATGAATCCGATGAGACGGACCAGGCCGTGGCAACCATTGTCGGAAGCCGTCTATTTCAGTTTCTATCGAGTCCCGAGCTACCATACCTCGTGAAGAAATCGGGAATTGATTTGATCGCATCCATGACTTCGTTCTATCAACGACGACCAGATTTAGTTCCTCTCGCATTGAATTTCCTCTTCGAGGCGGCGAAGCACGAGTCCCTCGCGGTTTCAGCATCGCGATCTATTAGCCAATTGACGTCGGCCTGTAGATCGGAGCTGACGAGCGAGCTTAGCACGTTCTTCGTCAAGTACGATGAATTTATCGCAGGGCCGACTATTGACTCTCTCACGAAAGAAAAACTGATCGGATCCATCGCAGCAGTTGTGCAGGCTATTCCGGTCCATGAAGACAGACTGTCGGCGTTGGAAACCCTCCTTCGGTATGTTTCGAAAGACATCGAACGCTCCATCGAGTTGATGAACCTCGCTCAACGGCCTGGCCATCCTGAATCCGCAAGGGAGTCGTTACAAGCCGGAGAACAAGCCATGCGGTGTTTGGCCGCGATCGCTCGGTCATTCGAAGACGACGGGACTCAAGTCGTTGATCTTGAGAACAGCGAGGGGGGTGGACCAATGTCCACTGAGCGCGAGAAAATCCTTCAGCTCCAAATCAGCCGAATGATATCTACCCAACTCTCGTTATTTGGCGATCATGCGACTTTCGAGGTGGTCGAATCCGCGTGCTCTGTTTTCAGAACAGGCTTCAAAGGCCGAGATGGAGGTCCATTTTCACTCCCTGCCGCCGACTTCCTGGCTCTTCTATTTCAACGCTCCATCCACTCGCCGGGGTTTTCGGACGAGTGGCTGAAATCTTTATGCACCTATCTCAGTGCCGCCTCGCTTCAGAAATCTCAACAGAAGGAATCCGACATGAACGATATTTTGGAGTATCTTCTAAACCTCGTGACAGTTCAACTGCAGAATGATCCGGGACAAGATCCCGATGCTACTGTTGGTATTGTACAATGCTTGAGCAAGTTTTTCAGAAGCAACCTGGCTTTTTTCAGTCGACTGCGCGTTGATTGTCGACCCATCCTTCATTTTGCTGCAAGGTCACTCGAGACGAGAGAAATTCTTCCTAGACGCGCCGCTGCTGAGTTTTGGGTAGGTGCATTTTACGAACACCTTTTCCTCGGACGCTTGAACGATCCGCTTACACAATGCAGAAACAGTTCCTCGAATACACGAATCAGCCCCCTGAAATCCAGCCATTGCTGGATAGCATGTTTGACGAGATCCACAGCCAGCTCGCCGTTGCGCTCGTATCACAGGTTGCCTTGCATAGTTCCAAAAGCGAGCTAGGAACCTTTGCGGAGCCCATTGGGAAATACGTTCAACGGCATCGGAATTCAATTTCGTGGATGGAACAAGCCATCCATACAGTTCTGCGACCGTTGGTACAAGAAACTGTGTATAGCTCGGCTGCACAACGTTATCTGAAGAGCATACAGAAGGCGAGAGGATCACTTTATGCCACCAAGAAGGCAAATCTTGAGTTTCGGGAGGCATGCCGGGGCCCTGGTTTGACTTTATAACTACTGTCCATCCCGAAATGAACGTCCATCTGGAACCGTATACGAAGCCACGATTGAATATTTCGGACTGGACTGTCAGGGCAGGTACAGAACACACGATGATTAAAGCTCGCATTGTTCTGAATCCGATGCCGATACCCGGGGACTATGGACAGCAGTATATAATACATCGCAGCTGGCTGTACACATGCTAGCAAAATCACTGAAGCCACACAACCCGTTCACGATATTCTCTGAGGAATGCAGTATCAGATCTCATCGCCACGCCATTGAAATGCTGTACGGAATCTAAGAACTCAAGCAATTTGATAGCTGGTGGATCACCACCCTCTCACCGCCAGTCTCTCGGCCTCCGGCAATTTCTCGACATTGATTCCCACCATGGCCTCACCGATATCCATGCTCACTTCTGCGAGCAGCTTCGCGTCCCTGAAGTGGGTCACGGCCTGAACGATCGCCTTTGCCCTCTTCGCGGCGTCTCCCGACTTGAAAATGCCCGACCCAACAAACACGCCGTCACATCCCAATTGCATCATGAGAGCGGCATCTGCCGGGGTGGCCACGCCGCCTGCCGCAAAGTTGACCACCGGCAACCTCTTTAACTCGGCGGTCTTCTTCAGCAGCTCGAACGGCGCCCCGATTTCCTTGGCGAATAACCGAAGTTCCTCGTCCGACATGCCCGCGGCCCGCGCGATCTCCGCGTTCACCGTCCGCATGTGCTTCACGGCCTCAACCACATCACCGGTGCCGGCCTCGCCCTTGGTTCGGATCATGGCGGCGCCTTCGCTGATGCGTCGGAGAGCTTCTCCCAGATTTCGGCAACCGCACACGAAGGGGACGCGGTACGAGGCCTTTTCGACGTGGTGGATATGGTCGGCCGGGGTGAGGACTTCGGACTCGTCGATATAATCGACACCAATCGCTTCCAAGATCTGTAAAAAGGTTGTTAGCGCGTGGAATGGAGATATTCGTTGCGATCGCATTGTTTGATCCAGTTGTGAATTGCATACCTGGCATTCGACGAAATGACCAATCCGGGCCTTGGCCATGACCGGAATTGTAACCGTATCCATGATCTCCTTGATCATTTTCGGATCCGACATACGCGCAACTCCTCCCTGTACTCGGATGTCGGCTGGTACTCTCTCCAGAGCCATAACGGCCGCTGCGCCCGCTTCCTCGGCGATTCGTGCCTAGACGATGGTTAGATTTGCTGGCGCATTGGCGAAACGGGTCAACAAACCTGCTCTGCATTCACCACGTCCATGATGACACCGCCCTTCAGCATCCGGGCCAAGCCTTCCTTCACCTTTTGACGGTTCGCCACGTCACCTTCGGCGGCGTACCCATTGGATGGGGGTAATTCAGAAGCCATGATTGAGGATGGAATTGAGGAATTGAGGAATTGAGGAATTGAGCACGTTTACGGATGGTCAATGTTATCGTGGATATCGAGCCCTCTACCAGAATGCTAGAATTGAGAAAACGCAGATACACCGTGACGAATACGAATTATGAGTCAAAGAGATCAAGTTCTGACCGAAAATCGGCATACCGTACGATAATAGGGCGGGAATCATGGGTGTTAGATCGACATGGATCAAAATTTTTGGTTGGCGGGGCTGACCGCCGCCGACAGGGTTCGCCACTTTCGTGGAGAGGGTCCAGCCCACCCATTCATTCGTGAATACGGAATTGGGAGGTTCTGGGGCTGCTGGACGGCTGGACCTGGTCGCTTTGCGAATGATAAGTTAATTACGGTATCTGCTGCAGTAAGGCAGTTACAGGTATAGAATATCAAACACTAGGCAAAAATAGACCGCTTCTTGCCGCAACTAGGCGGTTCGTATCGCCGTTGTGCTTCCCCGCCGTCCGAGCGGATTCTGCTGAAAGAGCATGAGGGATCCTTTCTGCCGGCCCACCGCTGCTGGATACCGAGTTGCAGTGGAGAATGGATTCCGCTCCTCTCCACTCCATACTGTAATCGCACTTTCCGCTCCTCTACTAATGACATCAGAGCTGTCAATAGGGCATTCTTCCTCACCAAAAGTGTTGACTTCCATTGAGCTTCGGTCAGAAGCCGTTTGGAAGCAGCGTACCTGTCACTGTCTGTCGTAGTGACCCTCTGGTACTTATTTTTCTTATACCACTCCTCCTTACCAGGCATCGCTTCTGCATCGTCCCTTGTTTCCCTCTCCGCCCCTGGTTTTGGTGAAGGTGTCTGTTCCACCAAGCTGCACATCATGGCCTCCATCTTCTATGGGCGGCCCTTCGCAATTCGGATAGCTCGTGTGGCCTCATTGACGGCATCGGCCACACTTGTCTCCCCATTCTTTTTCCAACGGCCATTACGGGCGGATTCGCACGCTTCTCCTTTCAATACCCTCCTAGGCAGTCTTCCTCCCAAGGTAGAGCAACGCAGTGATGATGGGATACTCAACCGAAAGGTGGTGGGCCAGATTGCGAGTGGTAGCATGCTTGGTAAGGCAAGGACCCAAGTAAAACAAATGAGATATTTACCTTGAAATAGGCGTCATAGGTGGTCTTGTTATCAGCATCCTTTCCAAACCATTGGCACTACTCTTGGGCCTGTTATTTCTGGGAGAACAGGTATGTTCGCCAAAACGTCCCTGTATGACCTTGAGACATCTAGCTGACTGGTATTCGAGGCATTGGAACATCATGGCATCAGACTCATTCCCTATGGCCGGATTCAAGGATTCCTCCAGCGGGTCGGTGTAAAATCAGTGTTTCACGAAAATCCGGCCTTTAAACTCTCCTTTAGTACGACTTTCTTACTAGCTTCCTTCGCAGAGTTCCGGGAACCCCAGTTATGATTAACTCTCTGCCGTTGCGAACGTCAAACGGCTCGGTCTGTCAGAAACCTGTAATTGGCAAATGAAGCGGAACAATATCATTAGACGGGTTGCATAGACAAAGTTTCTTTACGTGGCGAATTCACCAACCAGCTCTTCTAGTAACGCTTCTAACTCCTCTTTCCTGAAGGGCACAATGAGCCTCTCTGATCCCGTCGCATCTCGCTTGCTCTCAATGATTTGATGATCGAAAAATTCCTTGAGCAATGTTCGATACTGATGCTCGTTTGTACAGATGAGCTCTTCAGCAGCCTTCTGGTACAGCAGCCGGAAATCAACCCCTTCATCCTCTCCTGCGGCTTTGCCACGCTTGTCACCATCCATGATGTCATCTTCATCCTCTTCAGCGCCTGCAATGGTATCTTCGAGATCGATCGAGGCTGCCAATTGCTCGGCAACGAGGAGGCGAAACAAACTCCTCGCATTGCCCGGAAGACTTCGAAGTACAAAAATGACACCGTCCTTCCCTCCCAGGCGTTTGCCCATGCGGCCTAATGCCCCGTTCACCATGTCGACGACATCCGTTTCAGCCTCGAATGAGGCAAAAGTTGTGGCATCATGGAACACGAACCTGAACTGTTCTCGAAGCCGTTGATCCCAAAGTAAAGGAAACATAGGGGTGTCGCATGTTGCAACGAGAGAGAACCGAGGATGTGCCGCCAGCATGCCAAAGAGGTTCTGCACTTTTGGGGAGCGTAAAGGTCGAGCATCGAATGAATTAATGATCAATGTGATGTATGGGAACGAGGCCTTGCCGTGGGATAATTGCGTGCCCAGGGCTTCGAGTATGGCCGAAACGAGAGCTACCGGTTGCGTGGGCAGTTTGAGATTCGCAGGAAACAGAATGGTCGCAATCTGACCCAGAACATCATTGACATTGAGGTCCGGATCGTACCCATTCACCATAACAATCTTCGGGCTGGATCCACGGGAGCGCCAGAGCCTGGCTGCAAAATTCCGCGTCACCTGTCGCTTCGACCCGAAGCCGTATAAACAGATGTTGTATCCCGACCGCAACTCCAAATCCCACTGGGCGAAGTTGCGTTTGTGTAACTCGAGAAGGAAGGTTTTCTCCTCGCCATGGGAATCGCTTTTCTGATCTCGCCGCCACGCTAAGAACTCCTCGTGGTTGAGCAGACGTTGGCTTGGGAAGGTGTTGTTGGAAGTGCTGGGGCCGGCGCCCTTCGTGTAGTGGAAGAAAAGCTCGTACGGTGGTAGATCTCTCGGAGGTGTGGCCATTCTCTTGTTTTTACTCCCTTTAGGGCGTCCCCGTCCTCTTTTAGGTGCCGATTTAGCTCCGCCATCATCATCAACTCCATCACTGGAATCGGAGGTATCGTCTGAAGCATGTGCATCCACGCCATCGCCACCGGGTGCAACCTCCTGGAGAGCCGGTGTTTCAAGATTCGCAGCCTCAGCCGGATCAATAGAGTCTTGATTTTGAGCTCTATTACCCTCCGATGGATGTGTGCTCGCTGCCATGCTTTCTCTTTTTCGTTTCGGCATGGTGATCGAGGTGTGCACTGTATGAAACGGTAGTATGGCACCGATGCCCAATATGACCAGCTTACATGACGAGAAGACACACGATTCAGGGCTAGCCTGCCTGTGCCAGACTTGTGAGTTACCCCAATAAATATGAATCTGCAGAGTGTTGACTGTTGAATCGATGTCTCCTTACTCCCGTCTTTGGTCGACAGCACACACGTGACCTCATATCAGGCTAACCCCTTTGGGTCGCAAATTGATACCCAGACGATCACCACGTCGATCATTGATGATCATAAAGGCCAGTTTAAAGTAAAGGAAGGTCTTAGAACGCGTGAAAACCGAAAAGGTGATAGGTTCATAAGATTCCTCATTCTGAGTTTCACTTGCTCACTCCAATAGCTCAGATTAAAGTCTTCTATTCCTCCAGCCGAGCAAACAACCCTCCATCTATCTTATTTGTACGTTGCGACAAGAGGAAGACGAGTGGCACGTCATGGCATCCGATGTACAAGTCACGAATGGGGCAAGCAAAGACGCTTCAACAGATGGTAAAAACGAAGGAATATCCGAAGGCAAGTACACCTCATCTAAAGCAAGATCTTTACTAACCATGCCGAGTAGAGGAGATTGCTCTCTACGACCGTCAGATCCGATTATGGGGCATGAAAGCCCAAGAGAAGTGAGCTACGAAAATCCCAGTTCTTCCTATCCTGTCCTCTAGAGAGACTGACAGGTCATTCTGTCAATTAGGATTCGAACCGCGAATATCCTTCTCATCACGTGCCGGGCACTTGGGAATGAGATCGCGAAGAACCTAGTGCTCGCCGGAATAGGCTCGATTACGATACTGGATCATGAAGTCGTATCACCAGATGATCTTGGTGCCCAATTTCTCATCACGGAGGCGGACATCGGCAAGCCGGTGAGTTTTTCATGCATCACGACACCGAAATCGAACCTCTGTCTAACGCATCCCCCCAAGCGAGCCGAAGCTGTTCGCCCCCCCCTTCAAAAAATGAACCCCCGCGTTACCATCACCGCCGACACCTCTATCGCAGCGTTAAAAGACCCTTCCTTCTACGCCACCTTCACCCTCACCATCGCCACCGACCTCGACTACACGGCCCTCTGCACCATCAACGAAGCCGCCAACTTCAGCGCCCGGCCCTTCTATGCCGCCTGCCTCCATGGCCTCTACGGCTTCGCCTTCGCTGACCTCATCACACACGACTACCAAATCGAGCGCCAAGTCCTCTCCACCACCACCCTCCTCGGCCCCGAAACCCCCTCCCGCACCCTCCTCTCTGTCACCCCGACCCCCTCCACCGGCCCCGGCGCCCCCCACCGCGAAGTCCTCACCAAACGCGAAGTCTACTACCCCCTCCGCATCGCCAACTCCTCCCCCCTCCCCCCTACCATCACGCGCCTCGCACGCCGCAAAAAGCAAGTCCCCCCTCTCCTCACCTGCGCGCGCGCCCTCTTCGAGTTCCAAGCCGCCCACCTCGGTCGCTCCCCCTCGCACGCCGCGGCCGACCTCGCCGCCTTCACCCAGCTGGCGCGCGCCACCCACGACATGCTGAGCCTGCCGCGGGAGACGCTGACGGCGGAGTTCCTGAAGGGGTTCCTGGCGAGCCTGCACGCGGAGGTGGCGCCGGCGGCCGCGTGGGTGGGCGGGTTCGTGGCGCAGGATGTCATCAACGTGCTGGGGCGGCGGGAGCAGCCGTTGCAGAATTTCGGGGTGTTTGATGGGGAGAGCGGGGAGGCGAGGGTGTTTGCGTTGCAGCCGATTTTTGAGGCGGAGGGGATGGGGAATGGGATGGCGATGCGACAGGCGGGGGCGCAGGCGTCGACGGATCAAGCGCCTTTGTGAATTGAATGGGAGGACAGGAGTTACGGTAGGATGAATTCAACTTGGTCACTGGACTTCGTGCCAGGAAATGGATACACAGGTCGTCTACCAAGACGCAGAGCGTGGGAGATCGCCCGAACAAGGCTCTACCGAACCATGATCAATTGCACAGCAAAGCACATCAGTGTATTTTGAAAGCTCCTATTGATCTGATATACAGCCGGTCCCATCTCCCATAGCAACGCTCGCGAATTCAATAGCAGTGAGAATCCATGCCCCCGCTTCCCGTGGAGCTCGCCATTCCCATAACCGCGTGGCATGCCGTTCCCATCCATCATGTACATGAACCGCATGTCTTCATTACCCATCGCGTGTCCGACCCTCAAGGGGGAAGTGACCGAAAATCCGTTGGAAGAACCGGTCGAGACGCGCCAAACGCAAGGAAAAGAAGAAAAGGAAAAACAAGGTATTTCAGGAATCCCTGTGTGGTCATCATCCCCCTTCGTCTCCTACCATTTTCCATTCCGCAACCTTCTCCGCCTCAAAGAGCAGGAATCGCTCAAGTCTCCCGGGACCGGGAGCACAACTTCAATTTAAACAAAGTCATCATTCCATCGTGACACATAAACATTATGGGTCCGTCCTATCACCCTGCGCCCCAAGCATCCTTGTCTGGCATAGACGCCCGTTCGGTTCAATACCATTCAAAGCCACCCCCTCCCCTATTTGCGCCAAAGGTCCCCGGATGAAAGAAGTGTGGGACAAGAAAGCGCGAGGTATTTTTGGTCGCACAGAAATCTCCAAAACAGGATCAAATCAAAGTACGCTTCGCTCGGTTGTTCTGCCGGATCGAGCTGGCCGGCTAGTACGCATACAGCTTGTACACCGCAGTTATTTTCCCGGACGCGAGCCGGATTTCGAAAGGTGGTAGGTCGGATGAAGAAAACACGGTTGTTCTGGCGGACGTGTGGCCGCATGGAGTAGAGGAGCACAGTTATCGAGCTGGTATACGACCAGGTAGGATTGATTCGTTCAAGGTGGTGGTACAAGTGCAGCTGATCTTCCGTTCTCTTTTTTTTGACTTTTTTGATTTTCTCTATTGTCGAACATCGCTAGTTGTTCTCCCGGGATTGCGCCGGTGGCGGTGGTGGTAGAGTGCAAGAGTCGGATCGAGTACGAAGATTGGTTCGGATAGTTGTTCTCCGGGAATGGTGCCGGTGGGTGGTAGTACAGATAGGTGAGACGCGTAGTTGGTCTGCCGGATACGCAGCCGGTCAAGGTTCGTTTCGTTCCGAACGAACCTTTTGTGTCATGGTGTTTCGTGATGGGTGCAGAAAGAATATGCATGCGGTTCCGTTTGTTCTGGGATGGTCGGCGATGCTAGATAATGGATGCTGCCGGAATGATGAATGCTACGAAAAGATGGAGAGGAAGAATAATGCATTGTGTCAGTGGCGTGAGAGGTACCGTACCGGAGTCATGATCCAGGAGTTCGATTGCCGACACAAGAACTTCGTCCAGACCGTGACATACCGGTTCCCTCAATGTGAACATGCCAGCGCGCTCAGTCCAGGAGTTCAATTGCGGAAGCAAGAACTTCGTCCGAACAAGCACACAGCTGGTTCGCTTGATAAGACGAGATGATGAAATCCAAAAATGACCCGCCTTCCAACGCAAAATTCCGAGGATCTCACCGCGGTGAGTTCGACTCGTCGGCCGAAAAGGAAAACCAAACCAAGGAAGTCATCGAAGGACCTCGACCTGGTATCGGCCAACCGAAATTTGTGCGAGGGAGAGGAGTGAACGCCATCCGAGGATAGTCTCGACCAAGTCGTGAGGAGTCCAATGTCGTGAAAGGTGATGGTGATAAAGAAAGGTGCATCCAATTCGTGTCGCGTCGCATCAACTTCTCATTCGCTCCGCCGTCGCCTCCCCAGGCGCCCCCTACCGAAACGTCGCGCTCCTCCCCATCGGCGGCCGCCTCGCCGGACTCCCATTCTTGGTCACTGCGAACCCGGCGCCCGCGCGCGCTCCGATGCGCTCGAACCCCTGCATGAGGTCGACGCCCGGCGCGTCCTCGTCGTCCGAGCTGAGGAGGAGGAGGTCCGTCGCGGTGAGGGCGGGGGGAATGTTTTCCTTGTTGGAGTTGGTGGGTCGGGGGAGGTCGGTGGCGAGGGTGGGCTTGCCGGCTTTGGTGTTGCTGGTGTTGTTGAGGTTCATGGTGGCGGCAGTCTTCTTCACGGGCGACATTCCCGCGTTGGCGCTGTTGCCGTCGCCATTGTCCCGCTGCCGGTTCGCCGCCTGCTGCAGGTCCTTGAATGAGAACCGCGACGACAGCGAGTGGCGCGACTTATGGCTGTTGTGCTGGAATTCTTGCGGGTTGATGAACGGCGGTGGAGCGAGCGGCTTGCTGGCGGTGGCCGAGCTGCTGGTCGCGGGCCGGTGTTGCTGTGTGGAACCATTACCGATGGCGCGTGTCCAGTCTTTGAGGCCGAGGATCTCAGCGAGGGGGGCTTGGCTGGTGAGGGCCGTGGGCTCGTCGGTGGATTGAGAGGGGAGCGCCGAGAGGGTTTTGCTGCGTTTCAGGCCAGGACGAGCGGGGGAGAGGCCAGATTTCGGGTGGGAAATCTGTTGATTCATAGACGCGATGGCCTGCGGGAGAAGAGGTGAGTAGGATTTGAAGGCAGTAAGAGGGTCTTCGTCTTTCAGTCGCTTGGCTTGGCGGTGGATTTCGAGGAACTGGCGCTTGGCAAGCGGGGAGAATTGACCGTCGATGAACTCCGAGTAGTCCACCTCATGAGCCTTGCGCTTGGTTCCAGCGAGAGACGACTCGGCTTTGTTGCTGGGTTTCGTCGGGCTTGGCTGGTGCTGGCGGTATGGATCGAAGTTCTTGAGTGAGATGTCGACATCAGGAATCGGGCAATTGGCCCGATCGCGGATCGCCTTGGCCAAACCTCCGTTGGGCGTGTCGAAGACGGCCGAGTATTCGTGGTGCAGAGGATACGTGAGGCGGTTATCATCGACCGGATAGCCATCTGGTGTGATCTTATCCCACAGCTCACACGGCGACAGTCCGGTCTTGTACTTTTGTATCTCCACGGGGCTCGATGTGTGCTTGACGCTTTCATTTTCAGCAACAGTTGCCAAAGGCGAGGCTTGGTGAAGCATCCCAGGTGACAGTTGGGGCGCCGGGGCGAAACCGAAAGGGATGTTGGCGAGCTGTTCGGCGGAGCGGGTGGGGCTCTGGAAGGGGCCGCTTAATTCGTCTAGAACCAGGCCCGCGTGGAACATATCCTGGACCATTTGTCGGTGGATCATCAAGCTGGTGTGAGGGGAAACCGAAGGAGGCGGGCCAGCAGGCCGCTTGAAGACAACGGGAGGGGTCATTGGTCCGTTCCGTTCCACGTCGGTGTGGGCGTTGCGTGCCGTCTTCCGCTTCTTGATTGCGGGGCCCTCTGGATGCGATGTAACATTCTCATTCGGTGGAAGGGGTGAGCTTGAGAACTCGTTCAATGAGGGCCATCGTGCGAATCTACTAACGGGAAGGGACTTGGATGGACTTTCGCCATCATAGCTTCCGCGTCGCATGCGCGCAATCTCCTCTTCGGCGCGCCCCTTTCGCTTGCTCATGTCTCCCAGGCTGCTGCCCGGATGGCGTTCATTGGGATTGAAACGACGAGCGGACGAGTCGATCGACGAGAAGTAGCCGCTGTCGAGCTTGCGCTTGCGAGAGGCATGGTGACCTCCCGATCGAGTCGCGGGCGGGAATTGTCCCGATGGCGGCGGTGGAGTTCCACGTCGTGATACTGGTCGCGACAGGGGCTGGGAGAATGAAACGCGTCGAACATGCGCGTGAACTGGCGGGGGAGGGGACGAGGTGATGGTCTCGATGGGAAGCTCGACGGGAGGAGAAGACCGAAGATGTTGGGGTCCGCGAGACGCGGTGCGTGCCATCGGTGGTACCTTTGCGTTGCCTCCGAGGTGACAGTTGTCCGGGTCCGACGCGAGAATGGTCGCGTCAGACGACGGATCGTCATCCGTCGGAATTTTCGCCGAGTCCATGCGCGTGCTCGGTGGCAGAGCGGTCGAGTTCTTGCGTTGCCTTGGCGGAGCAACGGACTGGCCGGACGACGATGGACGGGTCGCATGACTGGAGGAAGGACGCACGATATCGTTCTGCGTGGCATTGATGAAACCAATGCTGGTGGAAGCGTCGGTGACGGAGGCAGTGCGTCGAATCGGTTTTCCCTGCAAGAATTGCTGCTCGTGGCCTGGGGTGATGACCCAATAATGACCTTTGCCCGGGTCGTCCTTGGGTCGATCGACCTTCATAAAGGCTTTGCTCAAGCTCAGGTTGTGACGGATCGAATTCTGCCAACCACTCTCGGATGTGCGATAGAAGGAGAAGTTATCGGAGATCCACTTGTAGATCTGGGCGAGAGTGAGGCGTCGATGAGGTGAACGCAAGATCGCCATGCCAATCATGTTTGCGTAACTGAACGGTGGTTTCTTGCCGTCGTCCTCGACAGGAGGCATTGCACTGGGATCCGGCAAGGGAAGCGGTTCCCGCGATGCGGTGTTTTTCTGTTTCTTCGACGGTCGTTCACGAAGTGGAGCCGAGTCCGTCAGAGCGTGCTTGTTGTGGGTTTTCGGGGGAGGGTCCATGGCGCCGTCGAGTCCCATGAAGGAGTCCGATGTGAAGGAGCTCTGGATGTTCTCTTGATCCAAGGTGGGATGAGACGGGAATGATCCGTACATGGGAGTTTGGAACGAGGCGGTGGGAGGGTACGAGAGATGGTGCGGAGGTTTCGCGAGTGAGTCGGTGGAGTGGTTGTTGTTCTGGCTGTGAGGTGGGAATTTGACCATGTTGATGGTGGATTGCGTGAGCTGCTTCAAGGGAGCGGGTTGCGCGGTGGTTGAGTTCTTGCGAGGGGCCATGTTACCGGAATGGTCGAATGTGGGTTGAAGATTCATGTGTGGGTGTTCAGATAGGCCTCCCATGGCGTCAATGCCTGCGTAATGTTGAAGGGAGCTGTAGAATGTCTTATCGTTCACGGCGAAGTTCTCATCCATCACTGGGGACGTGGGGTCCTGATAGATCTCGAGAGGGGCCGCGCCACGCGTGGCTGCCATGGCGGGCAGAAAAAATCACGATCGCTGCGGTTGTTGATGGTCCAGTCGAGATCGGAGACGCGTAAATCGACGTGTTTCGATTGCTGAGAGGGTTGTGGGAGGATGTGTTGAGGATCGGAAGCTGAAGAGGGCGCCAGATCTGCGCGCGGCCAGGTCGGTAAGGCTGAGTACAAGCGAGGTGAATTCAATCCAATGTTTTGTACTATATTCCCCCAACCAAGTTAGTAAACATGTGGCAACTCGAACTGCACAAGATGCGAATTAGAGGCCTTGCAGCAATACCTGATATAGAGCAAGAAGTTCACGATGTCGGGTAAGGGATGAGTGGAGGAGCTTACCGGGAAGAAGTAAGCGCCGGAGGCTAATATGGAGATCCAAAGGTTGCAGGTGGAGCGAATATGGCATCCGTAAGCTATCATGGGTAGTGCAAGAAACCAAAAAGCTCAAGAAGGATAACTTGAACGTGGTAACGAATGCTGGATAGAGAGGTGAATGGGGATGGGAGAGGGAGGAGTGTGAATGAGGGATGAGGGATGAAGAGGAATGCGAGAGATGTGAGAGAGTGAAAGGTGAGAGAGGGAGAGTTGGGATGGGAGAGCGGGAAGGTGCCGGGCAATTGGGCGAATGGGAGGGGAAGGCGCTATGCTGTGCTCCTGCTGTCCAACTGCTGTGCCTGTCTGCCCTGAAAGCTTTGGTGCACTACAAACGCCAGTGCAGCAATTCCTTACAGCGAATCCCTTGCTTCCCCTCCAGCTTTGTCACAAATCTCTACTCTGGGCTCTGGCATTCTGACAGTCTCTCATGCTCTCTCAGTCTAAACTAGTATCTCTTATCAGACGATACAGCGATGCTGTTCTACAACTTCCTATCCAATCAATCCATACCAGCTTACCCATCATGCTGCACTTCTCTCACCTGCACCAACTTTGCCGAGCCCAGCTGTCGTTTCACCCCCCGTACCCACCGTGCTGCAATCGTCCGATCTGCTAACTCCTAACTAAGCCTCTGATCCCTCATTTATTGGGGCAGGAATCGGGAGGCTTTCTTGCCAAAATCCCAACTAATCCTCCGTCCCAATTTTCCATCGTCATACCCACGATGCCGGTGGTTCTTAGCCTAGGAATCGGGCGGTGGTGGCTTGGGCTGGAACAGGTTGCAAAGACGAACGTGCACCGCCCACAAAGGCGAGGGACTGGGCGGTTCTTTTTTTCTCCGGTGCACGCCCAATTCCATCGCAACACTCCGAAATCTTCGAGATTTATGCCATCAAATATGAGCGGGATCCATTCCATAGAATATTATCTCTTTTACAGCTCCTCGTGGTCGAGAGGCGCGGCATTTCCAGCGTCGAGCATTCCAATGTTTACATTCACGGCGCGTCGACAGGGGCAAGACGCGTCAAGCTTATTCCCGTCCAGTCACCTCATGCCTCATGGTGCAGCAGATGAAAGCACCGCATCTCGTGTTCACCTCCTCACTAAGCTGCAAAACCGCTCAACATTTGACCTTCGCACCAGTTGCGTATCTCGTCCCCCTTCGTTCCTTGCACTAGGAACCGCTGATCCCCTTGATTAACCCGTCCTTTGCACTTGGCACTCTCGCCTGCACCCCAGATAGATTGCTTTCGCAGCAGGGCTCCCGCCAACCCATCCCCAACAGGTCTGGCGTGCTTCTGTCTCCTCAGTCCTCACACAGCGACCATCAGCTATCAATTGTCGCCAAACCGTCCATCGCCAATATGACCCCGTGCAACCCTGCTGATGCTCGAAGGAGCAAGAGGCGCAGACGTTGCAGTCATCCCGAGCGCATCATGATTGATTCGCTCAGTGTCGTGCGAGACCGAACATGTGGTGGCAGCCGGCGTGTCACAGGCGCGTGCATTCTCGGCCAATCGATCGCCTCGCTCAGGCCACGCTAGCTGATTCCCCGACCGGATCCATCGTCACCACTTCCGAAGTTTGGTTCTGTAGCCGACGTCTTATGCGGTTATGCCGTATCGTACTGTAGATAGTAGTGACTGGGACAAAGAATACTTAACGACGCCATCGGCTGCAATCAATAATACTATGAATTACTATGAAAGATTGGAAACATATTATAAGGTATGTGAATTCATGTTTGGGGCTGGGACTGTCTGGTTCCAAAGGTTAGTTGGCAGGATCGACAATTCCGATATCAACTTCATCTTTAAACTCTTGTCGTAGCAGGTAGTGGAATTATCATCTCTCGACACCTGCATAGGAACATAGCCCGTAAGGAGATGATATATCCTAGTAACTTTTATAAATCCCAAACGCCGAATTGTCTTATCATGATAGAAACAAGTCTTTGACGATTATATTTTGGCCCGGTATCAAACCGTCGCTCTTCGAGCAGGAAATATTTCTCTATAGTCATTTCGCATCCCAACATATCCGCACGACTTTTATTGCTCCAACTTTGCAACACCTTCAAGTCACCTTATCAATATGCCAATTCTAGAGAAAAGCCATGCTCTCCATGAGCACAACATCGAATGAGATGGACGAGGAATAGCTGGGAAATATTCGTGATTTAGCCTTCGTATAGACCCCCAAGGACACCAGAACCAAGAATCCAGTCTAGGGAAGGCGTTGATGGACACCCTGACATCAACTTCAGAACCCTCGCTGCACTACCTCTCGCAGCCGATATCAAACTACTCACAGCGCCAGGAAATGCACCGGGGGCCTGCGTACAAACCATTTCCCGCACGGCTTTAAACCGCAGTTCTCGGTCCCGACACTGGAGGGAAAGAGGTATGTACGGAGCTTGACTTGGTAGATGGCGTTGAATGTCGTGGCAACTGCGGCGTGAGTGGATATCGGGACGACATGGCCTCGTGGGACGGTGAGAAGACATGGTTGCTGAGTACGGATGGTATCCGTCAGGAAAGTTGGCGACGTGGAGCGACGTAGAGCGGTGATGGTGATATATCCCCTGAACGAAACCTCTCCCCACGGGGTACGTACATGGTCTAAAAATCGTCCGCGTGCGGCTCGTCTCGGCTCCTCACCAGCCCCACCGCCTCCCGTACCTCCGAGAGCTTCAACGCGGTGCCTAACGTCGCCATCTTCCCTCCCGCCCATCGAGCCTCCTGCAGCTCCCTCCGTCCATCCGGGCTCTTCGTCAGCCACTCATACTTGACCCGGAACGGCATCAGCTCGTCCGACACCGCCTGCGCGACCACCCCCTTCAAGAGCTTCAACCGCATTGGCACCGCGAACTTGATCGTGTCCGCCTTGAGCTCCGCGAAGTCGTAGTTCCGCCCCTCGCGCCGCAGCTTCAGCTCGTACATCCAGGTGAGGATGTCGATGAGGTTTGCGATCCCCGGCCGATGCACGGGGTCGTAGCTCGTGCCCCCCTGGATCGAGTCCGTCGTCGCATACCGGATCTTCTCCTGGATCACCTCCGGGCTGTCGGTGAGCAGGATGCGCGACCAGTCGGACGGGTCGGACTTGGACATCTTGCGCGCGGGGTCGGTGAGCGAGCGCACGCGCTTGGCGGGGGAGATGAGGGTTTGCGGGGGGAGGAGGATCGGTTTTGTGGGGCTGTAGAGGTGGTTGAAGGTGTCGGCGAGGTCGCGCGCGAACTCGAGGTGTTGCGCCTGGTCCTCGCCCACCGGGACGTGGGTTGCCCTGGATTCGTTAGTCGCGGTTGGAGAAAGAAAACCATCTCCCTTACCCATGAATGAGGATGTCTGCAGCTTGTAGCACGGGGTAGGAGAAAAGCCCGAGTTTTTGCGCCGCCCGAGCCGACTCGGAGGACACTTCTGGCGCGGGGTTGGCCCGGTCTCCAAGCCCTGCGCCGCCCTCGACGATTTGTCCGGTTTTACTCTGGATGAATGTGAGCGCGGTGCGGATCGAAATCGACAGGACCCTCGTATACCTTCCACTGCGTCATCCGGCTCAAATTCCCCATCGACGTGAGACAGGAGAGAATCCACATCAGCTCCATCCGGCGAGGCAGCTGCACAGCGCTCCATCAGCTTTTCTTCTTCCCAAGCATATCCCACCTGTCATCCATTCTCCCGAACTTCCGCACACTCACGCACCTGATTCTGAAAGAACACCCCAACCTGCACCCCCCGTTCCATCCGCGTCTCCGGTGTGATCCCCACCGCTAACAAGCTCGCCAACCCTCGCCACGACCGCTTCCGCAACTTCTCTGGCTCCGGCCGCGTCGTCAACGCATGCATATCCACGATACTAAACAGCAGCACGTCGTCGGGCACCGCGTCCCGCTGTATCTGCCGCCACGGCGCCAGCGCGCCCAAGTAGTTCCCTAGATGCGGGATCCCCGTGGGCTGGATGCCGGAGAAGACCACGCGCGGGGGCCGTTTCTTGCGGGACGGGCGGGGGGCGGGGTCCATGTATTTCGGGTCGGTCTCGATCGGGGGGTTGTTCGGTCGGCGACATGTTGCGTGGAAGCTTCGTGTGGAGGGTTGATGGGGTGGAGGCCGTTGGGGGGCGCCCGAAAGGACGCGGGAGAAAGATGCTATGGCATTATGAGAGCGTGGTGGGGGGTGGGAGAAGGAAATGAGGGACATTAGTTGGAGCCTCCGAGTATCATATTAAATATATAGATAAAGAGAGAAAGCGCAAATGGAGAAGGTTGCCATGGATTGACATGAGGTTGAAATGTTCTACCATAGCGCCAAGCCCTAAAATAATAATGTGAGGTGACCCTAGTTAGTTAGTTAATAATGGTTCTGACGGAGTTGCTGTGCTGTTAATAGATCAACGTCATGAAGCCACGCAGGTTGGACAAGCACCGCCTCAACTTCTTCCAACTTCCTTCTCTGCTTTGATCCATCGGGATTAGATCTCCTTATAATTCTTCACTCATTATCCAACGACTGCATAAATCCCTTTAATTCTACCCTTCACGATCTAGCTTAGTACCTGACGCAACGATCATCAACGAGAATATTCCTCATCCACCCGACAAGTCAACCGAACGACCGAGCCACCCGCACACAAGCACCTCTGTCCGACCATTCGACGATTTGAAGTTACGAACGGCATTTAATAGTGACTAGAGACACCGCATCAAGATGTCGTGGTCCGGTAAGACCCCAAGCCGCTGTTCACGGCTCCATTGCGACCGCCATAGCTCCCCCGAACTTCGTAGCTAACGTGCGACGTAGGCTTCAAGAAGAATCTGAACCGCGCGACGACGCAGGTGATGATGAAAGCGGGCCAGGTGGAGAAGACAAATGATCGCGATTTTGAGACGGAACTGCGGTAAGCCACTTCGACCCATTTATCCTCTACCGATCGGCGGTTTGAACGTGGTCTGACCGGAGTCGGATATGCAGGCGCTACCGCACGATGGAAACAGCGGCGATGAAACTACAGAAAGAGGCACGGGGCTATCTGGACTCACTACGAGGTATGCGAACTTTAAAATTCGGAGTCTCGAGCGTATGCTGACGACATGGAGCCATGACCGCTTCGCAAATGCGGATTGCGGAGACGATCGATGCGTTCTATGGCGATGCGGGCACTCGTGACGGTGTAAGCCGGTCATATAAGAAAGCCGTGGACGATCTCGACGCCGAGACGGTCAAGGCATTGGATGGACCATACCGGTAGACCGCCCTCTACCATCTCTTCCCTACGAAAACCGACTAACCAACCTCCAGCACCTGCGTCCTCGAACCTATCGAGCGGTTCTGCGCCTACTTCCCGGACATCAACGAATGCATCAAAAAGCGGCAACACAAGCTGACCGACTACGACGGGACGCGGGCCAAGGTAAAGAAGCTCGTCGAGAAACCCGACAAGGACGTCACCAAGCTGCCCACCGCCGAGAAGGAGGCCGAGACCGCCAAGCAGGCCTACGAGGTCATGAACGACCAGATGGTCACCGAACTGCCGCAGCTGATCGACCTGCGCGTGCCCTACCTCGACCCCAGCTTCGAGGCCCTCGTGAAGATCCAGCTGCGCTTTTGCGCCGAGGCGTACAGCCGGATGGCCCAGGTGCAGCAGTATTTGGATAAGGATACGCGGGATCAGTATGCGGAGGGCCAGTTGGATGCGAGGGTGGAGGAGGTGTTGCATGAGATTCGGAATTTGAGCATAGCCGGGACGGTTTAATGAGGGGTTGCTGTCTTTTTTTCTGGAGTCACTGAGGAATGCTGTTGTCATCGGACGTGGGCGTTAGAGAAGTTCTTTTTCTGCCCGCTGTCTCGTACCTATGACATTGTTCTAGCTGACAGAACAACCAAGGATCGAATCATTTTCTCACTTGCCATCTGAAGGTCCGACTACATATCCCGGGAGATTTTCACTCCGTGGTTAATCTGCTTCGAACTGTTGGACACTGAGGCGGTTCGCCAATGGTCTCACTGCACCTTGACAAATATATATCCCTAACAAACGATATTACTCATTCTTCTGCGGCCGGCATCTGGCCAATGCTATCTTCTGACACTGTGGCGTTTTCCTTTATCCCTCAAGCTGCACAGTCACTCCGATGCATTTAGCAGATCCCACGACGACCGGGATGACTTCTAGAACGGCTCTGGAATCTCGGGCAAAAAAGGGATGGAATTCCCCCAACCTACGATCCTCGCGGATCAATCGGACCCGGAGTACATCGTACATCGGATGAGCATACTAATGTGAACTTTCGAATGCCTTTGCCATGTCTCTCTTGGCCATCGCGCACGAGCAACAAGCCTGCAAGCGGAGCAGCTAGACGCACCGGAGGCGTCCGATATTCTGTTAACAATAAAGCTGAGTAGGCGAAAGGAAGTCGAAAAGTCACATCACCTCTCAGTTAAATGGCTTAGTATGAGAAGCACTAGTACCACTGTACCAGGTACTACAGGTACGTCCTTACCGAGCGCTTCTAGTAATCAAGCGGCTACTGCCACGTTGGATTGGCGTAGGTACATTTAACATTGCCCTTCAGCCCGCCACCAAGCATGGCAAAGCGAAATATGGCCGCTCCAAATCCAAATCACCTGCATCCATGAAACTAAAGCCTAGGTGCCTTCTAAACGACCATGTTCGTTCCTTGCAGGCGGAGAGCGGTCTCGACCGATCTCAACCACCATCCATGCCCCGAAGCGGCTAGCGCCATCAGTAGCGCCACAGCGCCAAAGAGATCAAATCATGACGACGGAGTGTCTGACAAGCGAAACTTCCTGTCATTCTTCGCTAGATGAGCTAAGAAAGCTTGTAATATCATTTACAGCTGGGGAGTCGATGAGATGCATGTATGATTCTAGACGCAGATGGTGCTTAGGTTCTCCTCTATGCGGAGTGAAGCCCTCAGGTAGGTACTTTGTGGTTCTCCTCGAGATGAGAGGGGATCATGGGAGGTATCATTGTTGTCTTGATGAATGGCAATCAGCTCAATCATTGACAAATATGACGTCCATCGTCAACCCTTGGAGCTCGTATCGATATCATCGAAAATCAATCTGGACCCGATCCCCAGTTCCAGGACACTGGTCTCGCAAGATGGCGCCCGCAAATCACCGCAAATCACCACCATGCCATCAAGGGGTGACCCTTGGAATCTGTAGAATGTAGACCAGTCGTGCACATGGCGCTGAGCTTCATTCCAGTCAAATTCCACCTCTTCCAACCACCTCACACGGATCACAATTCACAACTCCCACGAGCCCACGAGGCGGTATGACCCAGGTCGCGTGAGATGGGACCTGCACTCTAGCCTCAATCGGTGGGACGGTGTCTTCTCCTGCTACGAATCCGACCAAGCCATGCTCGATAAGTCCTTAGGCGGCGCTGGATCTAAGTTTTCTGGGGGCCGCAGTCTAACTGTTTGGAGTCTCACGATGCTCGCCTGTAGCCCGATTGGCTTCTTCACTGGATTCGTACTCAATGCCGGGAGTTGAGAAGCCTGCGAAGCTTCCCCTGACTACTGTATGGTTATCCAAAGATGCGGAGGCTCGCAAAGAGACTGACCACGATCTCCGTATATCCTTTAAAGTCCTCACGATGCCTTGGTCTCGAGTCTAGATCTTATTCTTGTCAATCCTTCTTTTGCGACCACACTACTTACGTCGCATCGCCTCAGTCTCTCGTTGAGAAGCATACACTCGTTTTTCATTGTTTGTCCAATTTACCACTCTTTTAATATTTGCAGCATCATTTCTTGCATTCTATGAAGTTCCTACTCACTCTCGCGGCCCTCGCGGCTATGGGAGCCCATGCCATACCTACGGCAGGGTCTCTCTCCCATACGCAAGATCAGCGCCCCGTCGTCTACGAATACATCTAAGTTGATGGATATGGCAATAAGCTCAGTGGCCCAGATAGCTGTAGCATTGTCTCTGGCTCTGGTTCTGGTTCTAGCCACGGCTCTGGTTATGACTCAAGCAGTTCCAGTGCGCCCACTGTATTGAAGCCTGTCATTCCATCTATCATCAAGCCTTCTTCTCTCGACAACGTTGTCCCTTGTCCTGCGGACAAACCTAATAGCCTCTACTTTTCTTCTGGATCTGGAGGTGTGTGCCACCAATATTTCCGCACACCGAAAGCCGGAACCTGGACTTACTCTTTTACAGCTTCTCAATCAGTCGATGCGTTCGCCAACCTCCACTTTACTCATCCTTCCGTCGTATTGGACCACTGCGGCTACCTGGTAGTTGAATTCTCTGGCAATTCCCTCCTCATCCGATTCAGCAGCCTCGCCGCGTATAACGCTGCTAAGAACCACTGGAAAGGGTTGGATCAGTTCTTCCTCATCAACAGTGCCGCAGGCTGTGCAAGCAAGGCGGGTGGGCAATACTGCTTCTTCTTGGCCATCATATGCACCTTCGACGATAGCACGAACACTATCATTTGTTCGGGTTCCCCCAAGGCACCCGAGGACGCATGCACCGATTACGACATTGGTTGGGGTCCACCTGCTTCGCCCGGAAACGGTGGCACCACCCCAGGTGGTGGCTCCGGAGGCTCTGGAGGCAATGGTGGCTCTGGTGGCTCAACTCCCCCTTCAAACGGGACCAACACCACATGTGTTGCCCCAGTAGATACCGAGTATGGTCTACCCACTGCCTGCTTGGGTCCGTACTTTGACGATGACCTCCACTTTACCATCGGGTACACCGACGCCAGTCAAGCATCGTGGGCTGCACATGCTGCGCCGTTCCTTAACAATGTCGCGCTCGAAGGCTCCACAACGAAGCGCTCCACCGAGGAGCGTGGTGGGTTGGATATTTCTCGGACAAGTTCGCTAAGGGAAAGGCAGCGATCCAGAAGGGTGCCGCCGCCGTCGGGAATGCTCTTAACAATATCCCGGCCATCACCAAGAATGTCAACATCAATACCGGCTCCCTGACGATGAATGTGAAGACACCCAAACAGCAGCCGGTTTCCAAGGGTTCCCCGTGGCCCAATTCTCGCCTTATCCGTAAGGGGATTCCAAACGAAGTCAAACTCAAGGAGTTCGGAAAAGGAGGCAAAGGCACGATCGATCTTGAGTCGGCTCTTGATATTTACTGTGTAGACTGCGGCATCGAGGGCAAGGTTGTATCACAGGGTCGCATCAGCGGAAAAATAATTGGCGGGGTCGACAATGGCTTCATCGATGTTCGCATGGATATGGCGGCGAGTCTATTCGTTGGTATCGTTGGAAACATCTCGGTCACTCTACCGAAGTGGACCATTGAGTATGGGAACTTCCCGTTGACCCCCCCACGCCTCTTACCATCCCTGGTTTGGTCGACCTTGGGCTCTCCGCCTCTATGGCGGTCGATGCCGCAGTTAAGCTTAGCCTTGACGATGCGAAAATTCTTGCCGGTGGTACTCTTGGTTGGAAGGGTGCCCATGTCCATGCTAGATTTGGTAGCGAAAAATCCTATGCTAGGTGAGTTGGCTTGACCCCCACGATTTTGGAAAGATGACTGACAGATGCAGTGGCTGGACCCCCGAGTTCAAACCATCCTTCAAGGCCGAGGGATCCATCGGCGTCGCTATTGACATCGGTCTTCCCTTTGAGATCTCCTTGGGAGTCAAATTCCTAAACACCAAGATGGGAACTATCGGAACCGTCTGGGGAGAACGGCCGTCAATCGAGATCAAGGGGTCGATCGCCGGCAAAATCGAGGCTGGGAACGGCCCGGTTCAAGGGGAGTTTGGCGATGAGGAATGCAAAGGCATCAAGACCGGCATCGAGCTGAAGAACGACACGGCCATCAAGCTGCGTGCTGGAGCACTTACCACGAAGCTCACCGACGTCGGCAAGCCCTTAAGCAAGGAACTGAAGAAAGGATGCATCGCCCTCATCAAGAAGAAGATCAAGCGCGACTTCCCGCTCCTTGGACGCCAGGTTACCAACGGCACCGTATCTGGAAACAGCACCGAGGAAGAGTTCTTCATGTCTCCGGACTTCCTCATCGACCAGACCGCCGTGGGCAACGCATCGGACCCGCTGGAAGAGTACAACTTCCCTTCCCAGGAAATCTCGGCCTACAACCGCACCGACAATCTCGAGTTCATCGGCCTCCTCGATTTCACCCAGGAGTACATGGCCACAGCATGTGGTAACGGCAACATGTACCTCCAGATCGCCCAGAACGAGGCCGTCCTTGATGCCTCTGGTTGCGGTCCTCTCTTCGCGTGCGACTGGGACAGTGACACCGTCCTCGGCGACGGTTCCGGCCGCATTGCTTACTTCCACTCCGACGTCATGGAGAAGGTCGGCGTGTCGCGACTCCGGTTCGCCAGCACGGCATACTTTCCCGCCGGCGCTCAGTACGTGTCCTTCGTGCCATACGAAGCGGAGGAGGGCTGGATATATCTTCCGCCCGACGACGCGGGCAACGTCTACGGCACCGCGGTCTGCACGTACAAGGGTCCCGCGCTGCCCGCCAAGCTGTTCGCGATCAATGACCCGGAGACGGCGATCGAGGTACTCATGAGCCCGGATGTGAAGTATAGCATCACCGGAGGCGACGTGGAGGATTGCTTCTCCCTACCGCTACGCGAGGGAGATGACGAGCCCGATGCCGCGTGGAGTGGAGTGGGTGAGGGTGACGCTTGGGAAGATGATTGGGTGGAGGAGTGGACCGAGGAGGACTTCTTTGATTTGATCTCGGGAATGACCGATGAGGAGTTTGATGCGTGGTTGGCGGAAGATTGGTAGATGGTGATCCGCACATAAACGAAAAAGGTGGAGTTTGACGATATCAAGATTATAATTCATGTTAATAGTTTCCCTTCGAATGCTTGCATGGCAGAGTCTGAGATGAAAACAACATGTAAATTTACATATGCTATTTGTATACTCTGAAGACTTAATAGATAGAGCGGCCAGTATAGAAACTTCTTGGCTGTGTTTGAACTATAAATGCCACCATATCGGCCATTCACAGTACGAGTCGACCCCAATACGGCTCGTGAAGATGTGAGATAAATAGCGGTTTCGTTCAATCAGGTGATTAATGCAGCGACACGGTGGAAAAACACCGTTAGATTCCAAAAGAGCGTAGATAGATTGAACTTGATCCTGAAGAGCCGGATCCTACGAAAACAGGCTGTTCCTTTATATGGTTTACAATGGTGATCTTTTCCCTAAAAAGGGAAAGAATAGGGGTATAGAATCGAATGCGGAATGAAGCCGTGGGAAAACGCCAAGAAACACGATATTCTGTGACAGAAGGACTCAAATCGACTGGAACAGCTCGCGAGGGCCACATATGATGCGAATTTGGCGGTCAGGATTGACATGTTTCAGTTCTCTCAACCATATCCGGGAAGGATCGACGATCGTACACGATCGATTAGACATTTTAACGAGATAAATGCATTACTGCAGCCGTCTAGGGGGAGAGCTTGGAGTCGATGAAGTTGAGAACTTGAGATAGGAGACGGGGAGCTTAGTCAACACTGAAATCACATGACTGCTGAATCAGCTTTACACCTCAGGCAATAATGTTTGCAATTCCGACGGACTGCAGTGGCCACGCATGCTGTCGAGTGTCGACATCTGATGGACCGGAGGTTGTGAACGGCAAGCAAACAACTCCACTGGAAAGCTCCCTATCTGTGATTTACCAGTCAACATCATTCAAAAAGCCTGCAGCACTGGTTCAAGTTTGGGACCTGAACCTTTGAGCTCCTTGATATTAGCGCATCCATCGCCACGACCCGATATTAAGCTTCGTTGTCAAGGAATCAGGCAGCATGGCGAACGGGTAACTCTGCCATCCATTCATACTGGGGATACTATTAACGTGTATTCTTCTCTAGTTGGAGCCTTCTCGTCGGCATTCTCGTCGTGATTGCCTTCTGTGTGGCTTCTTATTTTCTAGCTCCGAAGGGCGAGGATCAATTGTACGCACCATCTCCTTTACGTTCCGGACTTCTCCTCGGACATCGCACACGTTTGAGACGACTCTTTCTAGGAGACACGATGATTAGTGATGCGATACGGAAGGCTCACGATAATCTATAGGGTTTGGCGATCAAGTCTGATGATATCAGCAACAGCATGTTATCTCATGTGGGGTATGTGTGAATCTCGCAAAGGGCAATGTCCGTGAGGAGCCGTACTGACATGCGAGGGATTATAGCAATCACATTCTTGGCACAGTGGCATCCTCTCATTGTACCGCAACGAAACGACCTAAGACCGGAATACCTGCAGGACAAGATGCTGTAAAGAAGGAGAGGCGTGGAGGATACGAAGACATAGCGCAGACGGCGAATGCTGTATAATTTATGTTGGAGTCTTCCAGTAGACGAGTGCTTTTGGGAAGTGGAAGTATGGCGTTTGATGGATCACTTTTAGGGAGTACATCTGAGCGAATATCAATCATTGCCTGACTAAATATCAAACTGAGGGTATCATATCATTATATTGTTGCTCACCATCACGCCGTATTTACGCCCCGAAATCCTTCCAAAACGCAATCAGCCCCTCCCACCCTAGATCCCCCGTCGCTTTCTCCCCCAACCCTACTGCACTCAAGACCACCCACGACACGGCGGCCCGGCACGCCGCGCCGATGGCCACCAGCATCCCCGCTCGCACGTACCCACAATCCATCAAGATCTCCAGCGCCGCGACATTGTTCACGATGACCGCCCAGCTGACCGCGCTCGCGCTGCTCGGGAGATCGTAGTCCCAGATGATCAGCAAGATCGGGAAGAGCTTCGTGCAGCTGCTGACGAATAGCGCCGTGCTGATGCGGTTGGTGTAGGGAAAGTGGGGGAAGAGGTGCGTGGAAGGCGATGGGGCTGGCGATGGCGACGACGGAGAGGAGACGGGGGCCGGAGTGGGGACGGGACGAGGTGGTCGGTAGGAGCAGAGAGAGCGGATGGGTAAATGGAAGGCGAGGGTGCAGAGGGTGCATAGGAGGAGGAAGAAAAGGTATTGGACGACGAGCGGCTGGGTGGAGAGGACGGAGGTGGCGGGCAAGCTGGACTTTTCAATTCGGGCCCAGGTGAGGTAGACGTCGAAGAGCAAGAGGAGGATGGAGAGGCGGGAGATGGAGGGCTGTAGATCGAAGAAATGTGAGCGACGGACGGGGACCGGGACATAACCACAGGGGGACGTACATCAAGCCTGTCATCTTCTCGTCCAAGGCGGTTGAATAGTAGATGTCGATAGACCTAGGCTCAATTCTTAGCGACGTTCCAATGTCCCGCAGTAACTAGATTCGGAGCTGCACACACCTGAGGCTTGATCAACACCATATCAATGAACAGAACTACAAAGTCATGCTCCACGTATTTGTCCGCGAACCGCTTGCACCGTGGACATTGCGTCAATCGAACGCCTTTGCCTAGCGATCGATCGTCGGCTTTGCTGTAGCTCGTGTACAGCTGCGCGGGATTTAGCGACGTCCAGTTGCACCGCGACACGGCAGGTATGGATAGGGTACCTGATTAATGGGGTATCGGCATTCAATACATATCGGCATCTTGGATCATTGGATGTGCGCAATGAGCAGTGTCAGAATATTCCCCGCATCGCTGGAGTGGTTCATGAACGGTCTCTTATCATCGCCGGTTCGTTCAAAGAGCTGAATCCTGTACCATTGATGCTACCATAATTGCGTGGGCTAAGCATGCGAGACTCGTCCCCAAACATGCCCATACGGAACTAAAACGTGGAGAGATGGCCTAAGTTAGCAGGGAGACCTAATATTAGTTAGTCCTGTTTACTTAAAAGAACGCTCACGAATAAATCGGTGGATGTATCCATATTGCGATGGTCCGAGCTTTTTTGTATCATCTGGCGTAGTTCTGGAGTATTAACTATACTTAGTTAGCAGTTAACTAACTAGGACTTAAACCATCTATGTTTACCGCCATGTCTAGAAGCTGGAAAGGTCATGAATTCATCTCATTAAGCTACACAGAACTTCGGCTCAATCAGGACCCGGGGGCTGATGAATGGGCACAGGATAGAGAAGAAAGGACCAGTAGAAACGGCTCATGAGAAGCAATGATATACGGTATATTACACAGGGAATATGTGAGATATATCGGCCGTCCTGAACGAGATGCTCCCCCCAAATTTGTATGCTGATGTGGAGTCCTCCTAGATCTTTCAATATCAATCTGCGAACATTTCAATCCACATCCGGACATCCCTATGTCATACTCATGTCTCATAAAGCACCAAAAAACCCGGCGCAATGTATACTGTGAATACGCTCCGTGCGCGTTTGCCGTGACTGCACTAAAATCACCCTGCGGCCTATCACCAACGCAATCGCTCACGTCAAAGTGGACACCGCGAACCCCAACGCCTTTGGATCTGCCCGCCGTCGACGCCTGGATCGAGACCTCACTGTAAAAAAAGCCAAGTTAGGTCCTGCGCCTTTCTCAAATGAAGAAAGAGAACATTATCTTGCAATGTGCGAAGGAGGAGACGAGCACAAATCCACCAGGGACGCAAACGTCGAACCTCAATGGTTCGACCGCACTAGGGCCATCCTACCTCGGGAATCCTTCTCCACGCGGAGCACCTCCCGGTCACGCGGGTCGTGATGGTGGTGGTGGTGATGATGATGATCGTAATCGTAGTCTCGATCGCGGACCCGCTCAGCGATGATGAGGTCTTTCTCGGTGTCGCGCTCCCGTTGCAGGGCCCGACGTTCCGACTCGAGGGCGCGGATTTCCTCGCGGATCTCGCGGTCAGATTTGGGGCGGGGAGGTTCACGGATGACGAGGGCGCCGTCGTGGTGATGGTGGTCATGGAGATGATGGTCGTGGTGATGGTCTTCCTCGACGAATTTCCGCGTAATTACCTCCTCCATGCCGGGGTGGGGTGGGATGCTATGGACGTGGCCATGATCGACTGGTGGCGCAGGCACAGCAACTGGAGGTGGCGGCAGCGCCTGAGGGGGAGAACGATTTTCCGCCCCTTTCTCGTACTTGTAAGTCGTGGTCGTTTTCTCTGGAAATTTTGGTCAGCCCCCGCGCCCGACGGATGAAGCTGGCAGCCTTACTGTTTCCATTGCTTGTTTTGATCGTTTCACTGATCTTGATGGCCTCATCAATGTGCTCTTTTGCCAACGCTCGTCGGACAATGAAAAAATCTGTCTATACAACCTGTCAGTCTGGGGACCTTCTGGAAAATCGGCCACACATACCTCTTCCTCATATGGAAGGCCCATTTGGACTATGGCTTCTTTGCGAACAAGACGTTTGGGCATCCGGGTCTTGCCTCGCTTCCCAATGAGTACTACCGGAGGTGACGACCCTTCGCTGGAGCTGGACGATCCAATTGAGCTGACTGAAGGAGCACGGCTCTTTCGTCGCTTGCTCTTGGACCGGTGGATGGAGACATCTCGGTACCGCTCATCTCTAGGGCCGACTATGATTTCCTCGCGATGCTCGCGGTATCGCTGGCGCGGAGGTGTGGGGGTGTCATGTTTACGGTAGGGTAGCGGCAGATCCACATATCTGGGAGGTCGATACGGATCTTCATAGCGAGGCAGAGGCCTCCGATCGAATGTGTCGAGCGACGACTGACGACGGAGGTACGTTGGCCGACGCGGACGCGCGAGCTCATCATCACGTACCGCCACCGACTTGCGACGGGTGTACGGCTGGAGTGCCTGGCTAGTGGTGTCTGGCCGGTCGGTGAAATCGGGTCGCCTCGCATAGCGATCGTCCTCGGAGTATCGGTCGGGCTCTGCAAATGAGACGCCGCGATCTCGTTCAAATCCGCGATCATACTCTTCATGGTGGTGCCGGTCGTCACGACCTCCCAAACGCTCGAACCGGTCACGATCCCATCGTTCCGGCCGACGTGGTTCGTCGTAGTGATCTAAGGGTCCGGATGCGCGATACATTGTGCTCTTCGACAGAGCCCCCAGCGTCTGGTATTGTCGAAAGAGACGAAGTCAAGATAGCTGTGATAGCGAAATGAAATGACGAAATCTTCAATTGGACTAAGGGTGGGTGGTGGTTCGAGCCTACGGGAACAAGGAACGGAAGATTGGTACACGTTGGAAGGAAATCACAAGACTTTGTACGCCACAATGATGTTCAACCGGGAGCAACGACGTCAAGGATGAAACGGCAGGAGAAGAACGGAGAGATATATATAAGAGATCCGGAGAATATAAGATAATTCAGGGATCGTTGGAAATCGAAATTGAACCCAAGGGGGAGGCGGGCGATGACGACATCGGACATAATAGGCGTCGTTCGCGTCGGCAGGAACGACTGAAACGCGTGCAATTGGCCTTGTTTTCTGCCAGGCAGGAACGAAATTGACACCTTATCGCCTCAAACGGGGATGTAGATGTGTCAGTCTTGGTTTTGAGAAGAAAAGCGGCGGAGGCGGTTGCGAAGATACGTTTTCTAACAACACTCAGAACTACCGTACTACTGTGTCCTCCATCTGTGTCCTTCGCACTAAAGTACGGACATAGCCCCGGTGACAATGATGCCTGCTATTTCAATAGCCATTTCGCGGCGCCGTCAGTCCGTGTCCGTGTCAAGGATGAGGTGAGTTGAAGTCAGCATCTCCTGGCAGGAGAATCATCAATCAAAATTGGCCAATCCGTCTTATTCAGTTACTATTGCCTCTTCTATTGAACTGGTAATCCCTAGTGGATTTGTGACTTTGTCCTAGAGGTCATGGTAGTCCTGGCCGTCGACAGAGGCCTGGACTGGTCATCCCTGTACCATACACCCAAATTCCATCTCTATTTGCCAGGCCAGGATTGAGAGCGTCAACGGAGAAAGTTGTGACTTGTGAGTGACATCTTGCCAGATAATGTAATGGAATTCCGAGTGGCTAGCATGGGCGTGTTGAGCATTCTGTTTCATGCCGCCCTGCTCCATTCCTTCCAAAATCTCATTTCATTTGTTAGCTTATCGAATTCTTTCATCAATCAAAATTGGAGTCTTCCTGAAATTTGAATCGATCTATTCTTTGGAGTTTAGATGAAGTGTTGCAAGCAGGACGAGGTGTGATCACACAACAAGAAAGTCTCAGCACAGCTGTAGACCGACGAAGGAACCATCGCAATCATCCTTCCGACCTGAATGCCAATGGCTTGGTTCTTATTCTTTTCCTTTACAAGGCGCTCATTCGATCATGTTCGGGGTGCATATGCTTTCAGCTCATTCTTGGCGAAAATTTTCCTGTCATACCGTGGAGTTATGGACCGGATTTCCAACAAGTTATACTTACGACATTCAGCTTACCTGGATTTGAGATGCTACTTCCCTTGTCTACCATTCCAAAATTTGTGTCTGTAACTTTCTAGAACCGCCGAGCACGACGTTGTACGTCGTGACCATTGGTCCAATGATAGAGCGTGGACTTTTTTTGGACGTGGGTACGTTGTACCGTGGGTATAATTCTCCTAGTCTACTTCCGTATCCAGAAATTCCCCGCAAAGTTCACCAAAAGCGCTGGACCCTGGTCTCCATTTCATGGCGAAACTTGGCTCCAGATATTACGTTCCGTTGTTCCATGGAGACAAACCACAGACACACGACTGTAATGGATGAGCACCTGAAGGGGTCACTGATCTCCTCCTTCACATCGTCTGGTATACACTACGTGGGAAACCATTCACCAGTCGCTAAGATAAACGCAGCTGAGAACATTGGGTATCGAACCATCGAGACCCTCAGGAGAGACGCTACGGTTGTCGGCCGTTCTTCCTCCCAGACAAGGTAAAGTTTCGTCCAATTTGTCATTTCGACTTCGCCTTTCCAGAACGCTGGACGGACCGTTTTACAGTTGTGCCAGTTCATGTGGCCGATACTAATATATTCAAGTAACTGATCTATTTTCCTTGGCCCCGATGGATCTGTATAAGTATGGCTATTAAAGTCTGCAGGTTCAGATGATAAAAACAATGATGAGTAGTGTGGCTCGCAGCAATGGTACCAAGGATACCGAGCTACCCAACGGCCCCTGAGATGTTTGGAACGGACTTGATACCCTTCCAGATACCCAGTGATGATACTGGGCTCACCATCAAGGTGTTGATGTTAGGAGAGTGGTACGCATACCTTATTCTCTCCCTAGCGTGCTTCTCACCTGAATCTTTTATACCCACGGCTTCGAAATTCCTGGATAGGGTTTATGCACCCACGGATTCTGTCGTGGACCATTTTCATCTATGCGAGAAAGAAGGGGTCGTTCAACCGATCCAAGGGTCATTCGTCCTGTGCGTGCGAGGAGCTCCAGCTGCATTTAAAACCAGAGTCTCTCCCTTTGAAATACTTCTTCTGTAAAATCTTCCAGCACTTCCAGTATTACAGGTCTTCTACTCGTTCTTGGTATCCTGCGACTTGTCAAGGTCCATATTTTATATTCAACATGAAGATCACTCTTGCTCTCGCCGCTTTCCTTGTCGGCCAGTCTGCCGCTGGACTGAGCCGTCGAGGCGATTCGGACTCCTATGACGACTCTGTCGCCCCTGACTCAACTTCCCCTGATTCCGCCGGGACCACGATTGTCACCCCGGAGCAGGTCATTCAGATCGCCGATGGTCAGGTCCAAGTTATTCCAGGAACCACCGAGATCATCCATCCAACCCACACCTCCGAGGCACCGCATTACCCCACCCAATCGTGCGCGAAGCAGACTTCTTGTGGGTGCAAGCCGCATACCCATTGCTACTGCAAGCCGCAACTTGAGCCTCCTCGCTGCAGCGTTGTGACCACTCAGTCTCCCGTCCACTACTATGGCCACTCCACCGAGACGTTGACCCACTCGAGCACCAATATCTGGACCGAGACCGAGTTCGTCACTCGCTACGAGACCATCCATAACCCGACGACCATCCCCATCCTCTCCACCCTGACAATTGTCGAGACGTCGTTCAGCATCGACGACCCCATCGAGACGCAGACGGAGATCGACCCCATCGTCGTCACCAGCACCGAGGTGCAAACCTCCCTGGAAACCTCCGTCCACCAGGTCACTGAAACGTCCTATGAGACGTACAAGGCTACCTTGTGCCCGTGCCCCACGTACACTGCTCACTATGGTCACCACGGCCATGGCCATGGCTATAACCACTGGTCGTAAGCGTGCCTAGCGTGAAAAGATGCAGTTGCTAGACTGCAAGATCGCATGGAACCGTGGAGAATGAAAGCTAGTGAGATCGAAGTTGTCGAGTCTCCCGTGGAGTGAGGATGGTTTGACTGGAGTTCAGGTCTGAATTTGCCTACTTAGATAGGTATAAAAATAATACAGGGTTCTTGAGATAATTCTAGCTTCGCACCTAAGTGAACATCCCGTCACAGGTCTGCCTGATCGTGTCACACCGTCTCAATAACCGATGCCCGGCCCGCAGTACGTAGTTCCTACCACTGTCGCCCGTACCGTAGTGATAAATCTACCCATTGTTGCCTTGATGGACATGCGCCTTGTAGATGAGTATAACATTGACTGATTGAGTTCGATCTCAGAGTGTCTGGTACTGTAACTGAATTGAGCCTATCTAAGACCCTCGACCTCTCCTAAGACGAGGGATCATACTGTACACTGCTGGTATGCATGATGATGTGAGATACAAGTGTAGAGTGCTCAAACCCCCGCCCTTATTTCCGTAATCCTCTGAAACCGCCCGACCACTACTCTCTCATACACATAAACAGTGAACCGAACCATATACCCCCAGCATCTCACCCAACACGCAGGATGGCAGTTGACGTCCTTTTCTTGCTGGTTGGAGAGCCTACGTACTTTCGGAGTCCGGAGAGGAACTGCGTCGTTCGCGTCACTGCCAGTCTCAACGTATGGTTCCTTGTAACTCTGAGGTCGTTTGGAGTGTCGAGTATATTCCTTAGGTCCACCTTCCCAGACTTCTAGGAGAGTGGAGCGCGGTGCCGGCCGTTTAGATGGAACGATTGTTAAGTCGCCATCATCCGATACGGCGCTGTCGCTGTCGGTTTCTTCCATTCTGGGCCTTAGTCGGGTCTGAAATCCTGGTGCTGCGTGGTCAGTTGCAGCACAGATTTAGGAGTGTTGAAGTTGCCCGGGTAAGGTGGAATCATATGGAAACTCTTTTCCGTTTGCATCTTCTGTGAGATATAGCCCCTTGACTGTAGTTGTTCAGTGAGTTTCCATACATACGTTACACATCCCTAAAGATACTTACGCTGAACATGATCCTGCTTATCCAGTGCCAGTTCATCGTCTGTGAGCCGCCGAAAGATGTTCCTGTAGGCAGAAACGGTAGCCCGGTCTCTACTAAACAAACCCCTCCAAGCATTCATGTTGCTTAAGCGACCTCATCACGGCGCTCCTAACTGGCACTGTTCGCCTATCCGGGCACTGAGAACAACCAACCGAACCGGAATGTTAAAAAACATAGCAATATATTCATAGACAACACGTAGGAGGGAGGGCTGTTAGGGAAGTACGCGATGGGAGCGCCACTGTCGCGGGATCTGGTGACTCTCCCAGATTCTTAGTTAGTTGTGAGCTCAACATTCTATCAATGATTTGATCCAGATACGGAGTATCAAGCAGAGAAAAATTCCGTTGGCTGGCAGCTGAGGTGACGGAGGTGACGTTCAAACATTAATTGAACGAGATACCTGTAATACAGTAATACCGGGCCTTGTACATATTAGGTTTAGCGTTCTAGTCCAGATGCTCCTGTCGACGCCTCGGTGGAGCGAAATTGTTGGGGAGCCTGTGAGTCGAGTTTTGGGGAGCCGGAAGCTACCCCTTTTATAATGTGGTTGCTGTAAGAGGCCGTTGAAAGTTCCACGAGTCGAATGCGAGAATAAAATCAGATCATGAGGTTGACGGGTTCCCCGTGGGGAAGCGTAGGAGCATGGATTAATCAAAACTGTTTTGGCAAGATTAGGGGACTGGCAGCGAATTAATTTGAATATACCTCAATGTACCTCGATGTTTGCCAATCATGGCAATTATACAGGCTCAAGGGTTGACTGATGGCCCCGTCTCCTCCTGCTCAGGTACCACTCGACCATCGTGGCACTCAGCTGGCATTTCCCCATTCACTTTTCGCTCCTTTGAATTTCACTCAATGCTTCTTACAAAGACCCTTCGCACGACTCGAATCTCCCGCTCTCAAATTGGAGCATTTGTGTGGTCTTTCCCTCAGAATCTTTCCAATCTCAATCAAGCCCGGCTGCCGGCAACGCATTGGAAGCGGATCTGTGGCGTATAGAGCGTGTCGGGCGCGTGATCGGGGTCGGGGTCGAATACTTCGCCGAGGGAGGTGACCCCTCGAACTCATCATCCTGGGGGGCCTCCGAATGCACATCATCCTCTTCATACGTTCCCGGATCCGTTCGTGGGCGCTTGGGCAAACCTGAGTGGGCCATGTCTGGGGAATTGTCCCGCTTGCGGGTGGTGGCAGTGGAGGTTTTGGTTTCAGACGTGGGGGATGGGGACGTCCCCATCGGTTCTGTAGCTGGTAGCAAAGAGTCGACTGCATCTCAATTAGCTTATATGTGTAACAGTGCTTTCAGGAGCTGTATACTGTGTACACACTATTCATAGGGTTCTCGTCAATGCGAAGACACTCTTCCTCAGTGAGCGTGCGGAACCAAGCCTTATAAGCACACAACATCGCCAGCGGGTCTTTCATATATTGGCTGAACTCGCTAAAGCCATGAGGAACTCCATGCACACTGCGAATGTGCGTATAAAGACCTTGAACAGTGAAAGGTCGAGTGGTTCCGGTGCTCTGACTTTTGCCACATCTCGGGCAAATTAGAAGAATCGTTTCTCTCCAGAGCTTGTCGTAATTGCTGCTCCTGGTGTTCATCCAACAGTTGGGTGCAGTGCTCCATCACGCCGCGATAATTTTGTTTCAGCTTGTCCTTCGGGTGATGGCTCGATTGATGGCTAGCAAGCCCCGGGACGCCTCGGAATGCGTTCACTTCGCCAGTACGTAATTTGTTGGCATTGCATCCATGGAAGCAATGCAATTCAAGGTATGTTCCGTCTTCAAGTTGCAGGATGGTCGGCCAAGCCTCGAAGAAAGCCGGGGCATTTCCGCGCTTGGGCGTCATTTGTATCTTGGGACGTTGGTTTTCGAGGATTTTTTCGGATGTCACTGGAGTTTCAGTTCCCCTGTGGTGGCGGCGGGTGAAGGGCGTTCCTGGTGGCAGACTCGAGGTCCCAGATGGAGTCATACCTAGGCCCCTGTTAGACAACACTCAATTGTCATTGGCAGGTGGCGGCAATGACGCTGGGGTATATAACAGACCAGTGGTGCCTGTCGAAGATTGAGGTTGACTGGGCTAGATTAGCGCAGCATTAGCTTGTATATCCCTAGCTATTAACATGAAGTCACAAACTTCCAGGCGTAGGATCACATTGTCTTGGACCCTAAGGCTCGACTCAATCACATCATATCGCCCTTTGGTGACCACAAGCTCCTGCAGGAGTTCATCTCTGCAGGCCTTCTCGCGAGCAAGCCTTTGTTCTGGGGTGATTCGAGGCGGATCAGTCATGATGCTAGAGCTTGGCGAGATCAATGACTTGGTGCAGATGGAGCTTTTGATTCAGTACTGGAGAGTAAGAGAGCAAAATGAGAGAAGTCAGAGCAACTAGCAAGAATTGGGTGAAGCTCGGAATGAAGTAAACTTTTTTAAGTAAGCGTCCACTGCGGGAGACATCAGTTTCTAGAGGTGTCCGCCGAGAGTACTCTCGGCGTTTATAAAAGTCCTGGATCTTAATGCAAATTCACCGACATATGATCCCACTTCTATGAAAAAATTCAAGTGGCCATCAACACGGTACTAGTTGTATAGACAGTGAGAAAAGACATCGCAGATCAAATCCAGGGACTCGAAAGGCGACCAGACATTTCAAATGAACGGAAAATGGTCGTGGACCTCTGGATGATGCACAGTCAGATATACTTGCTGACCCATGAATTCGGGCGCCATAGTAAGAGATGTGTAAGATAGAATCAGGTTGCCGCTTCCTAGTCCTATACGATGCATGGCGATACCATTAGTGATTTATATAGCACAACTACAGAGTGCGGCGGAATGTGTGTTTACTAAAAAGTTCATCAAAAAAGGAAATGATATTCTACCAATCCAAATGCTGGACCAAAGACATGATGATATGTGATTTACCAAACTATCTGGATGATGTTGGAAGAAACAAAGATGTGAGGACTCGACAGACGTTGAAGCCTCTTATATCCGAAAGCCTGGGATTTATCTCCGAACTCCTTTATGTCCGAAGTTTAGCCGCAAATTAGTCACGTGCGTTCGTGTCGTTCGGCAGATATTCGGTATATCACGCGTTTTGGGGCGAGGGGTGAGGTCGCCAAACTCGTCTTCAGAACATGTCACGGTGAGTCTCGGTCTCTTGTATTATATCTTCACTTGAAAGACTGGGGTGCTTTGCAACCTGGCATACTATTCACGGCCCGCAAAAGAAGAGATTGTTCAGAATGAGTTCTAGAAAAACCACGCCACCCCCGCCATCTAGGCCAGGCGTCATGCCCACTGGGCCAGTGACACCGGAGGCGGTACGACGTATGGTGAGTAAGTGCCGAGCGGGATCGATCATTTTGAACACGATCCTAACGCCGATGATTTAGGAGGAAGCGCGGCTCAAGGCAAAAGCCCGCCGCGTCGAACATGATGCAGCAACCGGTCTCTCCGGCCCACCAACCGCCGCCGGCCAGAAGCGGTCCTACGCATCCATGGCCACCAGCTCACGACCATCGGTCCCAGGGAGTGCCCCGACGACCGCCCCAGGCGGCATCCGACCTGCCCCCAAGGACCCTCACCTCCATTCGTCCAAGAAATTCCTAGCGCAGAACTACATCGAGTACGACTTCTCGAAGATGTCCGACTCGCGCGGCGGGTTCCTGTCTGCACAAGACGACCCGCACAACCGGGCGATGCAGCACCCGACTAACGAACCGGAACGGCCGGCGCACATGACCGAGGCGGAGTGGGAGCGGCATCGGCTGTTGCAGAGCCTCCGGAAGAACCGGGCGGGCCCGTTCGAGCCGGGGATCAGCGTCCTAGACCGGGGGACGGAGCATAAGAAATGTCAGGAGTGTGAGAGTTTGGAACTGGATTGGCAACTGGACGACGTGTTTGGGGTCAAGGTTTGCAAGGCGTGCAAAGAGAAGCTTGGGGACAAGTATAGCCTCCTGACGAAGACGGAGTGTAGGGAGGACTATCTGCTTACGGACGAGGAACTCCGCGACGAGAACCTGTTGCCGAGATTGGAACGGCCAAACCCCCATATGCCACATTGGAAACCCATGATGCTATTTCTGCGGTTACAGGTCGAGGAGTATGCGTTTGGACCGAAGCGATGGGGGAGTCAGGAGGGGCTGGACCAGGAGTGGGAACGACGAGAGGCGGACAAGAAGGTGCGCAAGGACAAGAAGTTCAGAGAGAAACTCGACGATTTGAAGAAGAAGACGCGAGTCGAGGCGTATCGACGGGGCAAGGCCGCGGAGATGGCGGCAAGGAAGCGTGGCGACGATGATGTCCAGGTCAGGGCGGGAGAGTTTGGCCAAAGGGTAATCCGGAGGGGCGAGAAGCACGAGCATGAATGGGGGAGGCCGATAACAGACCCGGGGACGGGGTCGGTGAAGAAACGGTGTGTCGAATGCGGCATGGAGGTTGAGGAATTGGAGCTATGATTGTCAATGGTCATCGGACATGAATCGCATTACTGATATGACGGACACGAGGACGAATGAACGAAAACAATTAAATTATGAACCATTCTCTATCAAGTACCCTACGCCCTATTGCTAATAGGAAGAGTGTTTGTCCGAACCAGTACAAAACGAAAATGGAGACCTTTCCCACTGCCCCCCAAAAGTCCAGGTGGAGGAGTGTGTGGACCCATCCGACGACGAGATCGCGAGAAAGCTTCAGGAAGAAGGTAAGCAGAAAAAATAGGCCTCGAAGCAAGAAGCACAAGAAAAGAAAAGAAAAGACATAGTAGACCCCATCCCAAACCAAGCCCAAAACCGACCAACCTCGTTCTTCAACATGCGCTCGGGGTGCATCGGGACAATTTGGCGCAGCTGAATCCGGAGGCTCATGCATGTCAGAGTGATAGCCAACATCAAGCATCGCGTCAATCAATCTGAAATGGTCCATCATGCGTATCGGTAAGGCGTGGCGCCTTTGTAGGGTGTCATCTTGATCTGAATCGGGGTGCAGCGGCCCATCCTCTTCAGGTAGGCCTTCTCGACCTCATCGAGGGGAAGCTTGTAGTCCGACTCACGCTTGGCCGGCTTATTGAGCTCCTTGACACGATCGGCGCCGCCCATTGAGTCGAAGACGGACCGGCTGTAGATCTGCCATGCACAAGCTTCATCGCGACCAGGTTGCGCACCCTGACTGCAAGTCGAGCAGGCCAGGAAGTTCACGTTGTCGCCGATGGCCATGTGACTTTCGGGTTGGCGAACTGAGGCACCGACGACGGAGCTTCTTCCGATGTCAATGGGCTTCGCTGTGGATGAGAGGTCAACCTTGCCGGAGGGGAGGTTGTACGAGAGGGCGCCGTCCCTGCGCATGAAGTAGAGCTGCGGATGGTCGGCATCGGAGTTGGCCTGTAAAAGTCAAGTCAGCGCAAGGAACCGGGTGAAAGCGATGTCAACGTCGACGTACCATCTCAAATCCAGGGAAAAGCACAGTGTTCAGCTCACGACGACACTTCCCATGCACACGCAGGTTCTTCTGCAGCGCGTTGTAGAACACCTCCTCAGCAGTTCGGGGGACTGCTTGCTTGCATAAGCACTCAGTCTCGCCACGGGCCTTCTTCTCGGTTCCGAAGAAGATGGGTTCATGCGTCCTTCCAAGGCGAACCATTGCCGGCTGGGCCAGGTGTGTCTGGTTGGCGAGGTCTCGCTCGATCTCCTCCGCCTCACGCTTGCCATGGTGGTCGCAGTTGCAATCCCCGCCATGGTGGTCATCGCCGTGGTCATTGTCGTGGTGGATCTTCTCCCAGAAGACACAATCATCGCCACCGCCGCATGCATCATGTTTGGCTTTCTGGTACGTCTCGCACACCTTGCCATTGTCCTTATCCGTGTCCTTGCAGCTACCATCGCAACACTTGTCAAGGTGCTTGCTGTGCTCTGGATATGCCTGCAAGCATTCCTTCACCGGACGATCGCCGAAGCACTGGTAGAGCTCCTTGTAGATAATGTGGCAGTTTTGGTCCTTGCATTGGAGTTTGAAGGGGTCATCGCTATCTGAGCTGGATGAAGAATCGCAGTGATGGCAGTGCTTGCTGCTCTTGCTGCTCTTGCTGCTCTTGCTCTTGCTGTTCTTACTTTTCTTGCCGCTCTTGCCCTTCTTTCCAGGCAGGGAAAACCCGCGTGTCTCGAGACTTCGATGATGCTGATGCTGATTGCACTCGCATGGCTGGTTCTGTTTGCAGTTCACATTGCAGTTGGCCATATAATTTTTATAGTAAGACTCGTCGTCGGAGCTGGATGAAGAAGAAGAGGAAGAAGAAGAAGAAGAAGAGCAGTGTTTACACCCCCGTTCGTCAAGACTTCGCTTGTCACCGTGATGGCCGGAGTGGTCGGAGCTGGACGAAGATTGGTGGGAGTGGTGGGCACTGTATTCGCAAGGCTTGCCCTCCTCGCAATGGTAAGGAAGGACAGGTTCCCAGTAAGAGATAATGCAGTCACACTGCCTACCCTTGTCGCATTCGCAATGAATGGGCTTCTCCTCGCAGTGACATTGCTTGCCCGGGTCGCAGTGGCAAGGCAGGCCAAAGTCCTTCGGTGGAAGGACTAGGACATTGCAGTTACCTCCATGGCAAGGATCCTGATCCAAGACCGTGACTTTGAAGTCGCAATGGGTGTCTCCGTTGCACGTGGAATGGAAGTATTTGTCCTCGCAATGGCATGGATGCGTCCCATCGCATTTGCAAGGGACTTCGAATTTGCCGGGGTCTTCGATATGGAGATGGTAATGACAGGTCTTACCTTTCTCGCATTTGAACTGGGGGTCGACATTGGAGTACCCGTCCGAGCTGCTGGCGGAGGACCACCACGAATGCTCGAGTTCGTGGGACCACCACGAATTCTCGTGTTCGCCTCTCTCTTCGCTATCCGCTAGCGTCTCGGCCTCACGCTTCCAGTGTGGAGAGCAGACCTGGCAAGGCGGGCCGTCACGGACCCAGAAATTGCCATTGCAAGCTTGAATGGCCGTCTTGTCCAAATGAAAGCCGGGGGAGTCAACGGAGAGAGTGAACTTCGCTTTTGGACGCTTAAGCGGTTCCAGTCCCCCGTGTCCATCACATCTGTTGTTCGAGGTCAGAACTAACGTTGCTTTCGTTTGGGATCGAAGTGCACTCACGAGAATCTATCATCATAGTAGCAGGATCTCCCACATACTCTGGTCACCTTGCCATTGATTTTGGGACAGAGAGTCTTATCGTCGAAGCAAGTGTACTGATGAAGTGTTAGCTGACGTCGAAAAGGCCATGCACGGCATACTGACCTTATCCTCATTATAGGGTCCGTCACCACAGTACTTCACTACCGAGCCGGACGATGCAGATATGCTCGACGCCAGACACAGTGCGACAAGTGCCACGCCACCAAGAAGCGGCATCCTGACCACCTGAGAACCAGTCCGTAGACCAAAGCGGAGGTGGCAAGCCAAACAAGGGAGAAATGAGATAGGTGGTTGGGATGGACTAACGAAGTGACAAAAGAGTCAAGACAGCAGCAATTAAAGAAGATCTATATTTGCATAGAGTATGTGATGCTGATGGCAATATGGAAAGTGAAGATTCCGAGATGGTAGTTTAGAAAGGATCTTGGAAATGGAGTTTTAAGACCTGGTATATGAATAGTAAACATGCTTAAGAGGAAGGGGGTGCCATCTTCAGTATGAAGAGACAATAACGGTAGGAGGAGTTCTCTATCCCCGGCAGCGGCCATGGGAGTCGAATGGAAGCTGCAATTGCCGTCGGGTATAATCCTTCTATCGCTGGCTTGGTGCCGATTTTTGTCCGAACATGACTACGTGCAAAGAGAGATTGAGGGATTTAACCATAAGAACGTTGACAATTGGGTATCTTGAGAACTAACGTAAAGAAAGGCCATAGATGACTTTAACATTTGCGTCAATGTATGCCATATGACAATGCAACATGAAGATGATGCTTTTGTAAAACCTGCGCCTTCTGCACCAGCTTGTGCTAGATGGAAAGCGCAACAATTAAAAGGTGTTCCTGCGGACAACAGACCGAGAAAATGGGTGGAACAGAAAGTAACTCCGGCTCCGTCCAGCATAACCCAGAAATTGCCACGGAACTGGCTAGACATAATGAGATGGTGCGACCAACTGGGCAGAAGCTTGAACAGATTTTGGAGGCGCAATACCTTCGATGCTCTATCGAGGTACTATGGTTCGAAGCACGCTTGGAAACACTGGAATGGTCGAAATAAGACAGCTGCTTGCTTCGCAAACCATATATCGGCCGATCAAACTGCGACTTAGAGTTCAAGCACCGTCGGGCACGACATCCAGCCAAGCCCACGTCACCCCAACTCTTCCGTAGTCCCTTGGAGCTAGCTCATCAAAGATTGCCGGGCTAACATCTATATCCGTCGGCTGGCACCCGGTGCATCTATCCACCACCGTCAGATCCACGCTCCGGTCCTCTCCGGTCGCCTCGTTGTGCCGTCTCGCGCGGATCTTCTTCCCACATAGTGGATTCAGGTTCGGGTTCGAACCCGTCGACACAGCATCGTATAGGAGATGCGACACCGCAACGATGGGGTCGTTGTCAGTCGAGTCGATGCCGCACGAGCCGAGTCCGGGGTTGTAGTATGTGAGGTCGCCGGTATGTGCTTCGGCGGAGGTGGGGAGCGGGAGGTTTTGTTTGCTGCCTTTGCCGGAGAGGCCGATTGAGAGGCCTAGGATGAGTGCGAGCAGGCTGAGGAAGATGGCGACGAGGATAATGAGGAAAGTTCGGCGGCGCAATCCGAGGTATTGGCGGTTCGGGGGGACGATGCGGTCGAGTCGCGTCCGGAGAGTGGGGAGGATGGCAGGAGTTGAGAGTTTCGATATATGAGAAAGCGCCGAACGTCGATGGCTATCCGTAGCGGGAGTTTCCCACTCAATTGCTATTATCGCATGACCTGGCTTGTCGTCGACGGTGACTGTCGATCCTTCTGTGGTGGAATGCGACAGTTCCGACTTGATCTGGATCTCTTTATCTTTCTCCATGACCTCAAATCAGCGCTCTCGGTTGCTATTGATCCAGTTCAGATCTCGACGTTGCTTTTATCGTGGCACTTGCTGTCCCTTTATGCATGTTTGAGTAGTAGTAACTGGGAGGATCTGCTCTACATTGTATGCAGCCAAGTCAGGGGCATGCAGGGTCATTGTTGACAGTTGAGTTTAATTGCGGCGGCTAAAGTGACGCGCCCGCCGCTAGAGGCGCGCCTAAATCCACGTCACATTCTTTTCTCCGGTCAAATTAAATGTTCTGGAGACATTGACGCGGGTTGCTTGCGAATATCTAGTTGATTCTTATGAGTATCTCCTCGAAAGAAGAGGTATGGCGGGACAAGGTCCAACTAGCTGAAACCGAACTGCCCCTGTGGCGATATCGCTCAGCCCTACATGACCAGCTGATCGGATGAAGGCTATGACCGCCACGTCTTCATACATCGTCAACACCCGACAATATCTACTGGTCATCTATCGCCGCCTGCTATCATTCTTCTCATCATTTTATTGTACCATCTAAAACCGGATTATGTCTTGTATCAATTATATTTACTGGGCTAAAGGCTGTGGTTCTACTTCTTTAGCTCGAAGCTCAACGATCGCCACCTCTAGAACGACGAGCCATTGTGATCTGCCGACGTGAAGGGCGGTGCCATAAGGCAGTGCTACCAACCCCCGGAGCCTTGCGATCTCGACAGCATTGCAGCCTGTGCTGCAGTTAACCGCCGTCATGAACTCGGTCATCCCAAATCTGCCTCTCCCCAAGGCACCCTGGAGAGCAAACTCTTCATCGTCGAAGGAGTCACTGGTATCCCATTCCGTGGATAACGTTCGCGCCGGTGAGGCTGAGCAAGCAAGCGAACTTGAAATAGAGCTTGATCCTCCTAACTTGCGAGACTTAAACACATCTCTTCAATTACTATCCGAAGTGTTTCCCGAGATCCAACCCGAAGTCCTACGTGAAATGCTGTCCTCGTTCAGCGAAGAAAGCCGGGTCCAGGTGGTGACGGAGAATCTTCTCAAGAATCCCTCGAAATGGGTCCGAGGACGCGTTCGAGCTTATCACGAAAGTGAGCCAAAGCATGACGCAGGGAAGGATGGACGTGCAACGAATTCCGGTCTTCCACCTCCGTCCGGAACCTCACATCCTGATCCCGCGCCTCTTGCCCGCGAAGAGCAGTTTAGAAGCCCCATGTACTGCGGAGCAGTGAGGGAGGTATTCTACTTCGAATTCAAAGGGTTGTCACGGAGTACCATCCGAGCCATTCTAGCAGAGAACAATTACTCCTATGGTGCCTCCCGCCCCGTCCTTCTTGCTTTGGTTTCGAAATCATGGCGGTTCTCCCTGACATCGTTTTTCTTTCGTCGCCGCATCCCCACTACCGATCCCACGTCTCATCCAGCTGTTTATTGGCGGCCGAATCGCAAGACGGGCAAAAATGAACCTCATCTTCGGTACACGCCTTCAGCGGAGTTGAATATCGAGTTATGGGCAATGCTTATCGAGCCTTGGGTTGAGTCTGAAAAAGAAGCCCAGAAAAAGGGCGATCGAGCAGTCGCCGATCAACTGAATACCGCTCAAGCGGAAGATGTGGAAGAGCTGTATGACTGTGGTTGCTGCTTCTCCACCACAACTATGGAACATATGGCAGCATGCGACGACCAAGGCCACTTCGTTTGCTCCACCTGCGTCCGGGCTGCCGTCAACGAAGGCCTCTATGGACAGGCATGGGGGCGTAATGTCAATGTCGGCCGAGGAACTTTACGATGTTGTGCTCCAAACCTATCCATGAGCGGCGACGATTGTCAAGGCTGCATCCCTCTGGAACACGTCGAGAAAGCCCTCAGAGAAGACGATAATGGCGATGTCACGGCGCGCAAATTTTCAGACCGTTTCGCGAAAGAGTCGATACAGAAAAGCAGACTTCCAGTCGCCCAATGTCCGTTCTGTTCGTATGTCGAAGCGGACCAACTGGGCATCTCCTTTACACTTTTACTGTTTCTCTTCTTCCCTTTCACCCGGCGATGGCATGCACTCAGTTATGATTGCAGTCCAGAAACCCTCGCAGAACTGCCGAAGCTACGATTCAAGAATCGAGAAACCTTCGTCGTAATCCTTCTCGCTCTCGTCAATCTCTGCTACCTCATCCCTGGGATCTTCCCCATTCTCAGTTTCTTTGCATTTATCACCATTACATCCGTATTATCCGTCATCGCCACTCCTCCTTCCCTCAGAACACAATTCACATCCTACCTCGGCTCCATGCCGCGCCAACTCTCCTCCTCCCTCCACCGTCCTCTCCGTCGCAAGATGGCCCCCCGCCTCCTCTGCCGCAACCCCTCCTGCCTCCGCCCCTCCTGCCTCAACTGCCACGCCTCCTGGCCACCCAACACCGCGCACGTCTGCTTCACCTCGGCACGCGACTCGCTCCGCCTGGCGCTCGAATCCGCCGCCACCTCCGCGATCAAGCGCACGTGCCCGTCCTGCAGCCTCTCCTTCCTCAAGGACTCCGGGTGCAACAAGCTGGTGTGTCCGTGCGGCTACGTCATGTGCTACGTGTGCCGGCGGCAGATCACCACGGCGGAGGGGTATTCGCATTTCTGCCAGCATTTCCGTGAGCGGCCCGGGGATGCGTGCAGGGATGGGGAGGATGGCGGGTTGTGTGGGAAGTGCGACCTGTATCGCGTGGAGGGAGAGGAGGAGACGATTCGGCGGGCGGTAAGGAGGGCGGAGGAGGAGTGGTGGGAGCAGGAAGGGAAGAAGATGGCGAGAGGGAGGGAGATGGAGGGGTTGAGAAGGGGCTTGGATATGAACATCGAGGGACATGAGATCCGGGTCGGTGGGGTACAATCGCCAGGCGACCCAGGGACGAGACTACGAAAGTGGTGGAGAAAAATGAGTGTTGACTACGTCGTGGAAGTGTTTTGGGATACTTTCGTGGTCTGAATGAATCGAACTCATTTTATGCGTCCATTTCTGTGCTCCTATTGTCTATCCACAATTGTAGTCTTCATTTTCTTGAGGTTCTATACGATGTTTGTTGGCCGGTTCGGTTGTGAAATTCAACCATGGGGCTGACAGGGTCACAGTAAACTTTTCCAGCATAAAAAAACCAATTCCCACCCTGTCATTTTGTTGAATATTTCGACAATACAGACGAATGAATGGCATTGTCTAAATTTAAATTTTTATGTGTAAAGCCAGTTGTGGAGTACGGTGTCTTCTAAATGTTTCTGGGACTGCCGCCCAACCTACCTGTTGTATCAAGGCCAAACTTTGATAAGCTCCCTATAGTATACGGTCAAGCCGGCCTTGCTATGACTAGTACTGTAGGTATGTAATTCTCTACCGGTCCGTTGAGGATGGTGTTTCTCAGCACTCCGTACCACCACAGGTTTTCCGGAATATCTCCACGGTTATTAAAGGGATGATCCCTTGGGTAAAAGTCTTCAAATCGTGGCCCAACCTTGAATACACAATTTCGCTCTATACCGTACTTTCAAAGCATACTTCACCACGATGCTCCAGCTGTATCCCCGTACTTTCAAAGAATTATTCACCACGAATCTCCAGGGGTCCACCGGTGGGACTTCCCTCCACTGATTCCACAAACTGAGGCCTATCCCCGAACCCTATCTCTAAATGACCTCGATGACATTGACTTGTTCACGGCAGCATCCCGCTGGGATTACGGCGACCTCGCCGAAAGACACCGATACCGCGAGCACATGATGATACTAGGAGAGCCCTGGGAAGAAGACCATGATGACTACGGCGAGCACGACGAGTACGACGAGTACGACGACGACGCCTAGGAGGAATGGATCATTCAGGACATAGTTTTGGAGAAGGGGGACGATGACGACGGGGACGAGGATGAAAAATTTCCTGAGTTCGAGAAGAAAGGGGATTCAGTGTATGACGGAGACGAGGAAGGCAGTGGAGGGCCATCTGAGAGCCACAGTTAGGAAGACCCAGAGGGCAGCAATGATGATAAGGGGGGCGATAAACCCAGCGGTAGGTGTCGAAGCACACGCCGTCCCAGCTTATATTAACCTACATATTAGGCGAATCCGGTGAGGAGGATGATGAGGAGGAGGAGGACGTGTATGATGAAGATGCTGAGACGACGATGGTGAATCTAAGGAAGAGGAAGAGGATGAGGAACCGTCCGCTAATTAGCGGCAGCGGAGAGGACCAGAAGATAAAGAGGAGTCCGAACTGCCCACCCCTTCCCATGTAAGAGTCTTGGGCTATACGCCCAGACTATAGGTTGTGGCCTAGCGGCCTCAGACCAGTGTCTAGGTGAATGAGAATACGCGTATTTAGAACTCTAGAAGAAGAGAGGCCCTTTTCCTCCTCTTCTTCTTTTCTCTAGCAATTCGATAACCCTGAAAGCCTGATCTCTGACAAGTAGCAGCTTAACGATGGCCTCGTGACCATTCTCAGCCGCCCACGACAGCGGCGTCCGGTTGTCTTCAAGTGCAATATTTGCGTTGATAATGTTTTTGCTCAGTAATCGAAGCAACAACTTGATCAGAGATCGCTCTTGCTTCGGGGCGCATATGATATGCTGCATGCAGAACGACTTCGCATAATCATAAAAGTAAAAGTGATCCAGTGAACGCGTGTAACAGCGACTGTTTGTATCCATAGTGGTCTTACCCATATCAAAGTTAGGCATTTTCCTAGACTTCAATAATTTCAACGCAATGGTTCGGCCCATGCTGGAGCCTATTGCTTCTCGAACGATCTCTGACGGCGCTGATCCCATTTTCATGCGAGGAGCCACAGCAGTCGACAACTGGGTTCCAAAAACCCCATAGTTGAGATAGGTAACGATGGTATCGGCGACGTTTTTGTGTGCGAGGTCTATTATGAATTCTCCATCGTTCGGGTCTCTAAATCCAGTGAGGAGGAACTGCTTAAAACTGTGATGTACTAGCCGAGCAGTCTTCTCTTCTTCGTCAACGACAACAAGGCCTCCACAACTAGCCAATGTTGATATAATGCCGTTAATAAGACTTGAAAGTCTCCAGTCCGTATTTCCTAGAACCACGCTGAAGGCTTCTCGAAGTTCTTCCGTTGTTAAGGGACGAAATGCCCCCACCACGGGGTCTAAAACCTGCCCTGCTCTCCGGATCTCTGAAGGATGCGAGTATACGTTTCCGGAAGTTCTTTCGGAAGATGATCTAGTGCCTGGAGGATTTCGTCGTCTGTCCTCATCGTGCAAAGAGACTGAAGTTGAAGAGCGACCCATAAAAACATGCCTTGCGATCCCTTCATGAGTTTCCGCTGTATGTCCGAAATGATCACAGGGTTCCTATTTTCAGTTTCTCAGAGGAGACGAGACTCTCTAACTCTCCATCAATATACGCCTCAAGGTCGGGATTGTCGTCAGGCATGAAAACTGTCCTGGAAGCAACGAGTCCTTCAAGACTCAAACTTTGGTTCTTAGCCGGATCGAGGCGGACTGAAACGCAAAGGTGAAGAGTGACGGTTCCCTGGAGCTTCTGGAGTTGCTGAACTAATAGATCTCCAATCGTAAAGTCGCATTCATCAATCCCGTCAAGTACAACGTATGCGGGGGTATTTTCTGGGAAGACGCGCTGAAGAAGACGGCATACATCTTCGACATCCAGATGTGAAGTGGTCTCGTCAGGAAGTTCTTTTGATAACACCAAGTCCGGGATTGAGATAAGTAATTGTCGAGCAAGAGATCCAAAGATTGTCCGAGCCTTGAGACTTTCGGGGATGTCATGCCGACAAAAGAAGTAAGCAACGGGAGTGGGTTTTCCTTCAACCCAGGTACTGAGGTCGTGCACGATATTGCACAGAAGAACGGACTTTCCAGATCCCAGCTTGCCCATATATATCAGGGTCGAAGAACTCGCACGGCTTCTCCAACCCAGGTATACAGTGCATCGGGAATACAGAGAGCAGTGTCCGAGTTTTCGAGTTTGCTTCCAAGTCGTCTAAAAATCATATGTGGAGCAGAGATCTAGAACCCGTAACCTGGTCTGCAGGTTCCGCTGATGCGACACAAACTCTGGCCTTTAGTCACAAGTGCTTTGATTCCAGTAATTTCGTGGCCATCGTCATGGACCTTCTTGGCCATAAGAAGGTTTACCTCTTCTTTGATTGTATTGGCCCAGCTCTCTAGGTTAGACTGGTCCGTCCTTACATCCGAGTCACTGAGGGCGGATACGAATTTGGTGATGGCTGATTTCTGTGCAAACTTCCATATTTGATGGCAGAAGCCGACAACCACAATATAATACTCGGCAAGACTGGCCTGCAACCGTTTCGATTGCGGATAGAGAAGGGCCATAATTTGATAGCGGGGAGCGGAGCGACCAATATCCATAAAAAGGCTCGATAGCTTGTCCAGGTATGATGAGTATGTGGCCATTGACTGCAACAGCATTAATATCACATCTTCTCCAATAGAGCGTCACCCGGAATACCGTACTCACGAGCAGAGACATTCGCACGAGCATCCAGACGCCACAATAAAACCAGGTTCTGACTACCGCCAAGAATTACATCTCCAAGCGCTGCGAATTGCTGAACGGCGTGAAGGAAACTTGTCAGCCGCGGACCGAAACATCGTCTACCAGCAACAAGTCCAGAAGTATTGTCGATCCCGGAAGTAAGCCTCATGATATCGCTCTGATCGGGAGGTGAGAAATGCAGCTGTAAGTTTTGAATTCGGAGTCCAGCTTTCTGCTCGCTAGAGAGGTCCGTTTCGAGCTGCGACACGGCTTGGGCGAGGCGGATCCCGGGTTTCAACCGCGAAGCGTTCGCTAGCAGCGGACATGTTGAAAGCGTCTATACCGTAAAGTCTACGAAGTAAAGTGTCTCATGAAATGAATGGCCATGTTATATCAAGTTGAGAAATTGTAGTCAAATGGAAGGGTTTGACTAGGAAATCCTTGAGAGACATGAGGTTTTGGGACTGGATTTAAGTAAATACATTATCATGAGTATGGCCCATATGGATATGTAAAGTACTAGGACAAAAGTCTGTGCATGCCCCACACCAAAATCAAACAAGCTGAACAACCACCAATTTTCAACCATCAATATTATCATCAAAATGAGGTCGTTTGGGTAAGAAATTAGTGGTAATCGACAGAGAAATCGCGAATTAAGCGAACGTCAAAGAGCTGCGATTTTACAGGCTGTTGCGACGATAGAACTGAGGCGGAGGTTGCAGAGGAGCATAATGTCGTTATTCGCACCGTATACAATACCATCAATCGATGGAACCACCACCACGTCACTGCATCCTTACCCCGTAAGGGGACCCCCCGAAAGCTATCGCGGTCTGACGAACGGCATATCGTCAAAATTGCACGCAGATTCCCAAAGATAGAGTATACAGAGCTCCTCGAAAGCGTCGAATACCTCCGGATCTCAAAGAGGACTATCTACCGAACCCTTAAGAAATATCACCTTACGAAGTGGCGAGCGAAGGAGAGGCCGCATCTTAGGCCTCATCACGTCAAAGACCGGCTCCAATTCGCCCGCGAATTCGTGAAATTCGACTTCTCAAGGACCCACTCTACAGACGAGTGCTCTTATGAGAAAGGGGCCAGCGGAAAACAGGTTTGGGTATGGCGCCAAACTCTACTATGTACTACCGTACCGCGTGCCCGCGGTATTCCCGAAAAGTTGTAAAGGAAGCGATTGGCCAGAGCGTAATATCAGTTCTATGCAGCTACGCCCGCATTATTTCCTTAATCCTAATCCATAATTCTCCAACTTACCTTTCCTGATGCTTGACTAGTTAGCCAAACCTAACCAAACTACCCCGACGACCATCTATAATCTTGCTCGTTAAAATCCGCAGTAATTCCATAAGTATCAGGCTGATTCTGCCTTTCCCCGCACATCGTCAGATATCCTCGCTAAAATCACTGGTTCTTACAGCCTCGGCCAAGAAGGTATATCATGTATTCTGTAGTAACGAATGGTTATAAAAGGCGGCATCCTCCCATTGGAGTATAAGGTTGGTATCCCTTCTTGTTCGTCACTTCAATCCAAGCCTTCCCCGTCATCATGTTATCCACCCTTCTCTTTTCATTCTTGGGGCTAGTGGGCCTGACTCTCGGGCATGGAAACAGTCACGGAAACCAAAAGCACGAGTGTGCCGACATTCGTCTTCCCCTGTTCAACGAGTTCAAGGTCCTTGATATCTGGGCGGAAGGTCTACGATTACGCCTCCGGCGGCGCATCCGGGCTTAACTTCTGCAATCTCACCGCCGCCATTACTCACAACAACGCGGGCGATTACGTCTATGTCCACGTCTGGCTCCCTTTGGAGGGATGGAACGGTCGATTCTTGGCAACGGGAGGTGGCGGTCTTGTGGCTGGTTCCGACACCAACTTGCCCGTACCAGTCTCTCAAGGTTACGCTGCTGGTGCCACAGATGCTGGCTTAACTTTAAACCATACAATTGACCCGACCTCAGGTCTCTGGACCTTGAACAGTGACAACAGCCCCAATTGGGAGCTGGTTGAAAATTTTGCTAAGAGGTCGATCCATGACTTGACTGTACTTGGAAAGGAGGCTGTCAAGGCATACTACAAGAAAAAGCCTCATCACTCATATTATAGTGGGTGCTCCACTGGCGGCCGACAAGGCTACGCTGCGGCCCAATACTATCCGAACGATTTCGATGGAATTATGGCTGCCGCCCCCGCATATTTCTCTCCCAGGTTGACGCCGGGCCTGTTCTGGCCTTCTGTCGTCTTGGGGAACATTATTGCTCCGCCTCAATGTGTCTTCGAGGCATATGAGGCCGACATCAATGCATTCTGTGATCCGCTTGATGGAGCAGTCGATCAATTGGTCGGAGATCCCGATCACTGTAATTATGATCCTAGGAAACTGATTGGTACGACCATCAATTGTGATCAGACAGGTGGGGAGATTAGCATCAATGATGAGCACGCACAAGTGGTTGAGAGAATCCTTGAAGGCGCGCGGGGTATTAACGGAGACTTCCTGTGGTATGGTCTGGCTCCTGGGGCAGGTTTTAACGGAATGGCCAACACGAGAACGACCGAGAATGGAACCGTCGCGGTCCCATTTGACGCTGCGGAGATTTGGATCAGATTCCTCGTCCTCCAAGACCCGGACTATAACACTGCGGCTATGACCTTCGCCGACTTCGAGCGCATCCATCATAGAAGTGTGGAACTTCTCAGCCCAAGAATCGGGACTGACGACGCGGACCTCTCTGCCTTCCAGAGGGTTGGTGGCAAGCTTATAACCTGGCATGGATATTCCGATCAGCTTATCTCCCACGAGAGCTCTATTCGCATGCGAGAAGTGTTAGAGAAGAATATGGGCAAGCGAAATGTCGAAAAGTTCCAACGGCTCTTCCTCGCTCCTGGTGCAGCGCATTGCCGCGGAGGTTTGGGACCAGTCCCAGCCGATCCTCTGACTTCCGTTGTGGCATGGGTAGAAAGGGGTGATGCTCCGCGAACGCTGTTCGCATCTACAACAGCGGGTCCGGGTGGAGTTAACATAACGAGGAACCTTTGCCCTTGGCCTCAGATTTTGACATACAAGGGTGGAGATGTAAATTCCGCAGAGAGCTTCAAGTGTAAATAAGGAGACTAGACAACCCATTACTTAGCATATCACAATGTATAATGTGGAAGAAGTGCACCTTGTGCTGGTCAAAAATATACTTATAAGTATTGCAAGGCGACAACGTAGAAGGAGAAGAACAAAGATGCCTACTTATATACATGGGTGCTCGGTCGCGATCACAGCGATCACTCTGACCACCACGACTAGAGAGAGAGAGGTTCATACTCCGTACGCCGGTCAGGCCTCTCTGCGAGGCCTATGTGGGGAACCACCTAGCCTGACTAATTACATGCGTAGTGCCTTGTGGCCTCGTGCCCCCATTCTGAGTTGCCTTGACGCCTTGACGCCTTAATCAAGCATTGCATCAGCATCAGCATCTGCATTTACCATAACTTCGTGCCAATTCTCACCAAACTCACCTTCGATACGCATTCGATCCAAACGACCACGATCCCGAAGTCAATTCTCCTCCCCTTCTCCACCATGGCAAAGAAAGGCATACCCCCCTCCCCCATCTTGACTCTCCAACCATCTAACCCCTCCCAGCCAAATCCCGCACCGTCGCCGTCCGGCTCATCTCAATGGCTATGACGGGCTACTTCCGCACCTTTGTCCGACCGCGTGCTCACCGGCCGCTCAGCATGCTGAAATACGACCCAGTCGGTATGTTGTGACGGATATCCCTCGACAAAATATTCGTGGCCAGATTATAGAACAGGATGATGCTGACGGGATTGGTGTTGCAGTTAAGAAGCAGGTGCTTTTCCTCGAGCAAAAACGGAGCGGGAATAAGTAGATGGGAAGATGCGCGCGCGTGTGAGCGGGAGGTGTCTTTGGTACTGGATGTGCACGATGTACACTACTGGGTTTATTTGAGGAGTTTGGGCATCAGCGACGGCGTTATACCAGCCTCAGGCGATGGCGGGTGGGACGGCATCCCCGTGAACCCAGGTTGGGACTCTTCACTGCATCGAGTACACAGGGACGAGCATAAGAGTGAAGCGTTTAGAATATATCTGCTGAGCTAATCTATATCTCTCCGAATCATACCCTCCGAAAGCTGACTGTGTTCCATATTTCAATATCTTGTCCGTTCTGATCAGTCAACTTTGCCTTGCATTCTGTCATCGGTTCCATCCTCATACATCATTACCCATCAAGTCCACTGCCTATTCCGTGCTTCCTAACATCTGTTATTGTTGGATGCTCACATATAACCTGTCTCATCGCTATCATATTTCTGTAAGCTCGTCATTCTCGAAGTTGTACCATGGTCCGCATTGCCATGCAGTCAGCATTGACGACCGAAACCGCTCAATGACTGCTCTGCGAGAACCTCTGGGCATACTTTTGCGCTACTCAATGTTAGCAAACCCATCCATGCAATTCCTTGCCACTTACTCTTCGTCACCCTCGAAGTTCGTTTCTGTGATCCCTGCCGAGCCGGCTGCTTCCCCGTGCGAGCACTGACAAAGTCCCCTGTAAACTCAACCGACCTAGAGACACTCTCGCTCTTCATCGCGGTCTTGTGGCGCGTGTGTCCGGAGATCGGACTCTGTCCTGTCGGGACGATCTCATCATGCGCCGTGGGTTCGGCGATTTGGACACGTTTCTTTGCTGGCGGCCCAACGGCAAGCGGGGCGCCTCGCTTCGTGCCCTGTTGAATTGGCTTTACAAATTGTCGCGGACCGGGATTGAACTTCGCCTGAGTCTCCGGTCGTCGTGAGGCCACGCCGGACAATGGGCTGGAGACTGAACTAGGGGATCCGGAGAGCTGCCTCACCTTTGCTCTGGTTATGTTACCGTCTCCAAGCTGCGTTGGAGCATCTCGATGTTCTTCGGAAGGAGTAGCTGCAATCATGTCCGCACCCTGGACGAAGGAGAGTTGTTTGGCCATCTTGGTCCTGCCTTGGGGTACAAAACCCTTCGTCACTGGACTCTCTGGGACTCTGGGTGGTTGGTATGTGTCCGGTGGGGTCAGTCCAGTCTCGATAGGACTCTTTGTTGGCCGTACGTGTGCATGTGAACCTTGGGAGTATCGCTCTTGAGGATCCAGAGACACCTGGCTCAGATTCACGTACTGGTCCATCCTGCCGAGCTGTTGTCGAGGGGCACCACTCTCAGCCAAACCATCGTTTCCCATCTGGGTGATCAGATCCTCAACGAATTGGTTCTCCTTGTCGGACAGCTGAGAGTTTCGAGGTGGAGACAGCGGGTTTAACCCCGCAAAGGCTTGAGCCGGGCGCTCACCCGTTGCTTTCACAGCTTCTTGAGCCGGCTGTTGGGCGGGGGTGAAATATTGCGTCTCATAGACGATGTCATTTCCGTACATGTTCACAGCCAAAGCGTCAGGCCCGTCGATACGCTCATGGGCATCCACAAACACGTTAGGGTCCCTCAGTTGAGACTGGGCGTCCACAAACATGCTAGGGCCGCTCAGGTGAGACTGGGCATCTTTGCTTGCGGAATCTTTGCTCCGTTGGGAGTCATTCTGGACGTCTTGGCTTCCAAGATCGCTCTGCATCTGGTGACCTGCCACTTCGATTCTCTTCAACGGCTGACGTTCACCAGGATGGTGTGCGGATGGTCTCAAACCTTCACTGCCGCTCTCGAATCCGGGTGTCTCGGTGATAGAACGGATGAACGATTGGGATTCTTCTAGAGGACCGCTATCACGACGATGTGATTCAAGCAAGGCTTGTCGGCCTCTCTTCCCAAGCCGATGGAGCTTCTCAAGCTCGGAATTTGCATTGCTTGTCGGATGGTTCTGATGTCCAAACGGCGCTCTTTTACTTTCTAGCATTTTTGGATGCACGTCGGCAGCTTCTCCCTCTGGCCTCCACTTACCGCTCGGCGGCATGAACGACATGATATCTTTGATGACTCCCTCCTGTGCTTGCACGGTGCTTTGTAGTTCTTGATTCCGATTCTCGACGAACTTTTGGTTGTGTGCATTCTTTTCCTTCTCAACCTTCATTGCTTCCTGGATCTCTTCGAGATTAGCAGACTTGGCCTTCTCATCCTGAAGTTGTTGCCGAAGCAGTTTATTCTCGTCCCTGGACCCGTCCAGCTCGGCTTGGATCCTTCCGGAATCGTCATCGTGAGTTTGCTTGAGCTGGTGTATCTGGTTCTCATGCGATGCTTTCGTCTCCGCGAGAAGCCTGTTAGCGTCCTGGTTGAGTTGGTTTTTTGATGCTTCGAGTTGCTGTGTCATCTCGGTTGCTTTCTTTGCATCGTCTTGCTGTGCTTCGACTAACAAAGATTCCAAATCCCGTGATTTACTGCCCAAGTCACTGACTTGTCTGAGTAGGAGAGCATTGGCCTTTCGGATCTCCTCATTAGCCGTATTGGCTTTCTCCAACTCTTTCTCAGTGCTCTCTCGAGCATTCCTGGTCTCACCAACGAGCTGTTGCAAAATTGCGATCTTGTCGAAGGCGTCTCGATGCCCTAGAGCCTCTTGTTGACTGTTCTTAAGATCCGTTTCGAGTTGCTGAATCCGGTCACGCAGCTCATTCTCTGTCATAGCTCCTGCTGTCTCGGATGCCTCCAACTTCGTGATCTTGGACTGGAATGCCTTCGTCGCTTCTTTCATAGCCGCATTCTGTGAGCGTAGCTCAATGGTCTCCTCGTGACTACGTTGTGTCTCAAGCATTCTCGTCTTGAGATCCATAATACTCTTCTGAGCAGACTGGTCCAGGCAACCGGGGCAAGGTTTTCTATCCTCGAGCGTAGAATGAAGCTCTTGGGACAACACTTTGATGCTGAAAATTGTGAGATGGTATCCATGCTTCCATCACGACCTTTTCTTACCTCTGTGATATGCAGTTTGCATTCTCCTCTAGCTTCGCTGCATTGATGGAAGGCTGATCTCGCAGGCCATCAACAGCCTTCAAAACCGTTTCAAGTTTGCTCACAACTTCTGGAACGTCGGGAAGGGTGCGAATGTGCTGCTTGACTGCCTGCTCTAAGGCCTCTTTCATTGTCCCCGAGATCTGGTCCATCTTTTGCCACATTTCTTCTGGCTTCACCTGAGTTTCTCCCACCTGCTTGGCAAGTTCGGCGTGCATATCGTGAACCTTTCCCAAGGCACTGTATGCCCGATTCATCGCGATGAGAAAAGTGTCGGCTCTCGCTTTCCATACAGCAATATCTGATTGGACGCCGGCAAGAGACTGATCGGCTTGAGCTTTGACATTGGCCAACTCAGTGTTCAAAGATTCGACACCGCGAATTGAATCTTCGAGCTTCTGCTTAGTCTGCTGCAGCTCAGAATTCAGTGTCTCTTTTCGGTCTTCGAGGTGCTTTTCTCTGATACTAGAGCTTGTCAACTGGGATTCAAGGTCTTTGATCAAGCCTGTGCTCTCAGTAACCTTCGACTCGGCCTTAACCAAGTGTTGGTCCTTCTCCTGATGCCTGCTTCCGAGTTCATCGTGGCGCTGCAAGAGAGACTGATGACGCTCCTTCAAGGTGGCGATTTCCTGCACAAGGTTTAACTTCTCTTCCGTAATCCTCGCGATCGTTGTTTGGAATTCCTTTCGTTCATGCTCTAAAGCGTTTGACTTTTTCTTCTCATCCTGATGAATGATCCAGCCCAGAAAGTTCAGTGTGTCAGTCGTTGTACTGTGACCACTGATCTTGGGAACTGTCCGCTCTGGGGTTGGCGTGCCTGCCCGTGAGTGATTACCGTTACGGGACTTGACTACACCAACAGGATGTGCACCTTCGAGAATCAGGTTGGGAAGTTTTCCGCAGCGCACTGGTGTTGATTCGGATGGTGGAGGTTGCGTAGAGATCCGAGGGCCCGGACACTGGCCTTGTCCTGGCTGTTCTGGCATTCTCTGTTGCCTTGTCTGTGTTGAGTCCGCACTTATCTCAATGTTGCTATTGTGAGGCTGGGGCTTCGGTTTTTCGCTATGATCGACGACATTGAGACGCCCTTGCCGAGAGAATAGTCGGTTGACTTCCATTGTAGTTCCCTTCCCTACTCGTGCTTTGTTCTCGGAAGATGCGCCCTTTGCCGACCTACTCGCTTGTTCCTCCGATGATGGCCTTCTTGCTGAAGAAATTGGCCTTTCAGCGATAGATCCTGGAGCCATGTGGGGCTCAGTCTGCATGAAAGTTTCACCCCCCTGGCATAGGCGTTCGTCACGCCCGTTTGGACGCTTGATCTTCTTTCCCTCACAGTCAATGTCACTCTTTTGTCCCTGTTTCATGGCTTCCCTGTCAGACTGAGCAGGAGCGGAAGTGATCCAGGGGTTGAGATATTGTGGCTGAAAATTGTTGCGGTCGTTGAGCTTCGGCGTGTTTGGTCTAGAATGAGCCTGATCCTGAGGCTTAACTTCGCTTCTCGCCTCGCTCACTGGCTGCGGGGTTCTATCCATTCCCTCGTCTTGGGCTTCAACGCCAATGGCCGAGCCTGGTATCGCTAGACCAGATGGTACTGTCCATTGTAAGCGGGAGGTCAACCATATGGATCAATGATGACACTAACCAGGAAGACATGGATCATTTGTCGGGTTCGTAGTGAGTCGAACCGGACGGATTGAAATCCTACTTGGCGGATCGACTCGCTTGGTGAACTTGAACTCGGGGATAGCTAGGCCTGCTGAAATAGGGCGAACAGTAAGATGATGAGGAACCGCCGGTGGTGGCATGTCTGAGCTAGTGTCCTTCCCCTGAGGCAAACCGGAGGCTATGGTAGACTTCTCAAAGTTCGCTGGAGCTGCCTTCGGAGCCAACCCGGACTGCGGCAAATCGGACCCAAAGGGAAGAATGTCTGGTCCACGGTTCTCCATGGTTACGAGTTTTGACAATTATGCCATTTACACTAAACAGTAACGAGGTTGACTCGTGGTCAATGAACCAGAGGTGTACAAAGCTTGAGAAGTGAGATTTCCAGCAGTACCACGCGCAGTTAACCTGCTGTACGAAGGATGGTTCGGAAAAGGGATGAATATTGCTTGATCCTCCTCTTGACTTCTGATGATATAGTCAGGACGCTCACAAGACCATGATACCCGCTGACTGAATAAAGGGAAGCTGAAGTTGAGACGAGATTCAGAAGCGTGTGGCGAATGCAATTATTGGATCCTGTAGTAATATCGTAAGCTCCATTGCAGTCAGAGGTGGACGGTTGCCTGATTCAGATAATGGAAGTCGAACATATCGCTCCTTCCTCCTTGTGGCTCCGGAGTCATCCATACTGTGTCAGACGCCTCTGCTGCTTCAGACAATCAACACGCCAAACGAGGTCGAATCAACTGAAAATGTTTAGTCTGATTGTTTAATAAGAAAGCAAAAACGAATTAGATTAAGAGAGAAAAGGTCAAAAAAAATGGAAGTAGGAGGAGTCGAACCTTCTCCAGTGGAGTTTATCAATGGTTGAAACAATTCGCCCAAGTGTGAGGAACACTATGATGGACGGTCCATCATCATTACCTATGAGCACCAGTACTTGAGGAGGTTAGGCTTGCCAGTATATGATGATTATCTGTTTCTGTCGAACCAACTGTCTCACTTCGTTGATATCCCTATCGACCGCCATTTTCATACAATCAGATGTAACTGGGGCTGTTTGGACGCTGACCATAATGGGATTAGTCGCAACATCAAGCAAGAACCTAAACCAAGTATAATAATGACATCAAAGTCTGTGAGTATGAAACAATTCATCATATCAAGAGAGCTCAGTCCGTACAAGTGATGTGACCGGGTGGAATTGCAAACCCAAATGCGAATACAGTCTAAATGCCTACCGATATATTTATCTTATAATTTCGCTGCCTTTTGCTGGGCCCTGAGTCGCTCGTGATACTGGTCTCTCATCTGCCTCCTCAACGTCTTTCCAGACGGGGTTCGCGGTATCTGACCACCAGTAAGCAACATGACAACCACGAGAATCAGCCAAGGAACTTACCAAATCCACGATCTCAATGCCCCCATCCAGGTGTTTATGTCTGCTCAACTTCCCATTGACCCACTCATGCAACTTTCGCAAGACAGCTTCCTCCCCCTGTCTCGTCCCCTCCTCAGTCACCACCACCCACGCCCTCGGAAACAGGCTCCCATCCCCCCTCCCATTATCCACCCCCGCCACACATGCATCCCGAATCAACTTCTCCGGATGATCCAACAACGTATCCTCCACCTCCGTCGCCGCCACCTGCAGCCCCTTCACCTTGATCATCTCCTTCAACCGGTCCATATAGTGGATCCGATCCCACTCATCACGATACACCAAGTCCCCCGTCCGTAGCCACCCCGGCTCGGTGAATAGCTCCGCCGTCGCCTTCGCGTCCTGGAAGTATCCCGGCGTCACCACATGTGCGCGGGCCCACAACTCGCCCTTCTGGCCCCGCGGCACGTCTTTCAGAGTGTCCGGGTCGACGATGCGGCCCTCGACGCCTGGGAGCAGGTACCCGATCGTAGTGGGGTCGGCAGCAGGCAGGCCGAAGATCCCAGGGGCAGGAGGCGAGGCGATGGACGCGGCTTCCGATAGGCCGTACCCCGACGGGATGGGGGCCTTCTGGGGGAGTTTCTGGCCGAGGGCGTGGGAGACGTCCGGGGGGAGGTAAGCGGCGCCGGAGACGCAGGTCATGACGGAGGAGAGGTCGTATTTGTCGGTGAGGGGGGACTGGGCGATCTGGCGGACGAGAGGGGGCACAAGGGGGAGCATGGTGATTTTGTATTTTTCGATGGCTTGGAGCGCAGTTTCGAGGTCCCATCGGTGCATCATGATGTTGGTGGCCGAGTAGAGGTTGACGCGGAGGATCCAGAGGATCATGCCGTAGGAGTGGTAGGCGGGGACGACGCCGAGTAGGGTGGAATGGGTTGGGGTGACGCCGAGCTGGGGGTGGTTAGTGCGCGCCATATTGCAACGAGGATGTACTCACAAATTCCGCGGTTCGAGTGGCGCCGACCATGCCTTGCAAGGCCGTATGTATTGCGTTCCAATGCGAGATCATCATCGCCTTCGGAAGCCCCGACGTGCCTGACGACTGGAACAAGAAGCAGAGCTTCTTCCCACCCTTCCGCTTCCTCGTCGGTTCTGCCATCTTCGCGCCGCTCCGAATCAGATGCCCGACCGTCGGGAACTGTTCAACAAAGTCCGCCGTAGGATTATCCGAAAGGACAATGATCTTCTTCGGGTTCAGGACGAGTTTCGACCCGCCATTTTTACCGTCCTCACTTTGCGCAATCTTCACTGCTTCTCTCAGCACGGGCAAATGACTCTCATGAATCAGCAGGGAGGTCGCCTGCATTCGCCGCAGAATATGGAACAGCTCGTACGGCGTCGATCCAGGACTGATCCCCCCAGTGACAAGCTCGGACCGGAAGCACGCATGCACGATCACTGGATAATAGATATTGTTCCTCGAGAAGATCCCCATGATCTCTCCAGGCTCCTTATCGGTCTCCGGTGACTTGCTGAACCCCATTGGATTCGGCCCGTCATATCGGAACGCCCGTGCGAGGGAGCACACCTTATCGTAGAACTCGTACAGCGTCAGCTTCGAGCCGGTGTAGGCGTCGATAAAGAGGTCATAGTCGGCTTTCGGGAGCGGGTTTTCGGGTGGGAAGCAGAAGTCATGGATATTCAGGTCTTCCAGGATAGACGGGAACGGACCAAATGGACTCCTGAATATCGCGCCTGGTTGCGGCTTGAATTGGCCGTGAACGTCTGGGGATTTCGGGCCCATGCAACGGGGATCCGGGATGGGATCATCGATGGAAGCCATGTTGATAGGAAGACAGGACCCAGGAAGCGGAGAATGAGTGAACGAGGGGCAAGACTGATTTGAAAGGACTGAATCGGCTCTTTTTTGCAAAGAAGAATACTTTAACTCTTGAGAGGTTGGACTACATGTTTGAAATAGCATTTATCGACTCGAATGCCCCGCCTACTTACCGACAACCGTACGGCGTACACATTGCCGTGGTCCACACAGTATAATGCTCAGCAGCTTAAGCTTTTTAGCGTTCTAGGTATCCCCGTGGGGTTGCCTCCACGGGGTCTTTTACTAGTTGGTGGGGGAGAGTCGGTCCTCGGGCCGAATCGTCTCAAGAAAAACCAGGTGCTTACTATTGTGAGAGCGTCCATGGGTTAATTTTAAGGGACAGTATGGTTGCCTGCTTGAGTGATTGAATGATAGTCTGTATCGACCTTCTGGTACGTATAAAGGGTGACATTTAGGACCCTGGTGGCCTGGTTGTTCATGCTTCATGCTGATGTCGTTATTGTTGTTGGGAGAGGTTGAGATAAAGTCTGTGTTCGCGTGGAGTTGGCGGACAGGCGGAGACCGGAATGACAGGAGAAGTGGAGCGTGGACCAGCGAGCAAAACGTCAGATCACATCCTGAATAAATCCGATTTTCTGCTTGGATAAATTCAACACAGGGCTTGAACGGTGCGTTATCAATTATCATGGTAGGTCATCAACAAATATCTGGATGAATGTATGGTATCCGCCTTACCGTTCATGATTTCCTTAGTTACGACTCAATAAATACCCTCCATCCAGGATCCAACCCGAACATCCGGCCATCGTGTGGCAGTGCTGGGGTCACAGCATGGGATCGACAGTTGACCTGTGACCAGATCGATGAACATGAACTCCTGATCTGAACTCCCGCATGGCCAACTGCTGTACGCCTGTATCGCACCAAAAGGCTTTGGAAAGTGTTTTGACTAAACAACATGACCCGCAAAGTCGCGGCTTTGCTCTTGTTGTGCAAGGGGACATCGGATGGAATGAAGCCCAAAGCTATCACGACAATGCCCGGCTTCGCGGAGCATTTTAGCACGCAGTCTGTCTTGACCCGGGATCAATCCTTGCGCCGAAGCAAAAGAAGGCCTCGTGAAAGCCTGTCGATAAGTTGAATCCTCTTGCTTGGAGGAGGAACTAACAGAAGAATTTTCTGCCTTTCATGCTGCGGATTAGACATGTCCGTATCTCCAGCGGCCCAGCCTCCCACTTGCTGTCCGCCTGGCAAAACCGTGCGGGACCTCCAACGAGGCTTAGAAAATCCTCTGATATCATCGATCTTGATCCACTGGATGCCTTTGCTATCAAATAAAACTGCCCTCCAGGACAGAAATACATAAGTATCGCATGACGACGTGACAGGTTGCCGAAGACTAACGCCATACCAATCTGATTGAGACGCCCCATGTTTGCTGCGACTTTTCTACTTATTACGATAACGTGGTTACTAGATTCAGGTTGAAATAGCATAACCCTAAGAGGTGGAAACCATATTTACCTATTATAATCGAACCATTCCCTCGTTGGATATCCAGACGCGACGCATCTCAATACTCTATTTTTATTTTGGATTTTCTCCGTCACTGCGAGCATATCACATCTGGTTCAACTGTTCCTCGATGGTCGATGCCACATGGTGATTCTGTTACAAAAGTAAAGACGTTCATCACATTATGCGAAGGGACAATTCTACCTCAGGGGTGACTATCGGTGTGATCATTTGCATCGTGTGTATCATGGTGGCCCTATTAGTGTAAGTCGAAAGCAAAGCGATACGGGTCGATGTTCCAAGTAGACAGCCGTCGTGAACCAGGGATGCATAAAGTGTGCTAACAGACTGGTATAGGTTCGGGGTCCACCGCGGGAAGAGACTCCATATTACGGGCCAGGGAACGGCGCGCACACAGGAGGCGGCCGAGCGGAGGCGGATTCAAAGGTTGATGGAAGTGACAAGCGCAAAGCCGTACAGGGACATCTGTGCGGAGAGGATGGCGCAGTTGGGGGATGCATTCGAGATGAATCGGCTCTGGTATGTTGAACCGCACGGTGGACTTCAGTCAAGAAGCGGGAGCTGACTGGCGATCTGCAGTACGATTTGTCTGAAGGGTATCAGCGACCTTGCGTACGTCCGTGGGTTGCAATGCCAACATACGTTCCATCAGTTCTGCCTAGATCGGTGGTATTCGACGTCGAACGATTTCTGTCCGCTCTGCCACCACCCGATCATTCCTCAGAGCGAGGAAGAAGACATCGTTGGGGGCCAAATCACCTCTACGCGCCCAGCGCAGGTCGAAGCTCCGCCGAGATATGAGGATATAGACAGTACAACACCGGCACAACCACAGCCATCAAATGGAGCAACGGGAGCAAGGTGACATGGGGTATTGTGCCGGTTGGGATATGGCGTGAGAATGTCATGAATGACAACGCAGAGATGAGACGAATGTAGATACCTATCCGTAGTAGGCAACTCTAAGCCTTGATACCCCTCAAGTTCGACTCAACATGAAGGGATTAGCATGAACGTGCGTCGCTGCCTGGAGGTGTTTGACGCTGGTGTCGCGAGGTGGGACAGAAACGGGCTATGTTACGGGTAGCAACAGCGACACGGTCGGTACGGCCCTCAACGTATTCAGTTGATTGGATCGAGGAGATCGGGGGCTGGTTGAGATGAGTATCTCCAGTCAAGATCATGCACTGAAGAAATCATGCATCTATCTTAATTCTTCTTTCGTGACAATAATGGATCAAGATGTCAATGACGCTAGTATTAATTAAGTTAGCGTATAACACTCAGGATCGATAAGTGGGAATCCGGGGTTAAGCCGATTGGAGAACCTAACTAAACACTGTAACTATGGAGATCATTCAGCAGAGAGCTCGATCAGGAAGAGCTGAGAGATAACAGTGACTATGCTGCTTGCTATGATGAAGTGCATATGGAAAGCGTTTGGCAGGTGGAAAATTGATCGTAAAGATAGCGAAATAAGGAGAGTCTTGTGAGCAGCAGCTCTTGTGACCGGATGGAATAGAAACAGCTTCTGGAGGACCCGACCCTGGCCCGCCCTGTTATCGAATTCCCTGTCACATTTCCTAGTCAATCGCTAGTCAATGACCAGTCACGCATGACGCTCCATCCAACCCATGGCCCAGAGCTCCAACTGAAGCCTCACCCAAGCCCTCGACCTTCAACCTCTCAACTCAACTCATCTGCTTCGTCTGCCTAATCCTAGGACATTCTGCCTGGCCTGATCATCTCCTATCTTCTATCTCGTCCCCTTGCTGCTTACCCTTCGATACCCTCATACAACATGCATCCCGCTACTACAAGATGACCGACCGCACGAGGATCGGGATCGGAAGTCCCGAAGCATACCATACATCTTTGGGCGAAAGCGGCAGTGAGAGCGGCTCTTCATTAAGTATAGATGAGAGGCAAGCTGCTCAGCTCAGAGCTACCCAGAAGTTGAACCAGGTCATCCAGGCATGTGCTCATCCATCATAGGGAAGACATGGCACTAACTGATGATAGCAATTCTACTTTAAAGGTTCTCTGACCATCATAGCCTCTCGAACAACTCTTCCTCACGCCTACAACAAGAATGGCGACCTCAAACAAAACAAATGGGTAGGTGTAGCCTTGGTGGCGGAGGACCGACTTCGCAACAAAGCCTGTTCAAACGCTGACCATCGGCAGTTCAACCTCGTTGTGGATGATACAGACGAGTTCCAAGACGACGTCAGACAATGGAAAACTTGCAATGTCGCCGAATCCAAACCCCCGCCTCTAGTCATAGAGGTGTATCTTGACCTCGCTGAACTTACACCGAATCAAACCTTGGTGGTTCTAGACGATCAAGGAAAACGATGGGATGTTGCATCCTCGCTCAACCCTCCGATACGATCCGGCTCGACCAAGACGGAAAGAACCACAACCGTCACTTTGGAACGATGGCAGATTGAGCTGGGTCCGATATCATCAGGGTATTCGCCCGAGGGCGGTGATCCTCTGCCGAACACGTACAAGAAGGGCGTCGTCCTGTTTCGGTCACTCTACATGATAGCTCGCTCCAACGCTGTCTGGAAGTTATACCGTCGTATTGCGAGACAAGCGGCCAACCATCCAAACTTGAAGCTACGGTATCGCATTCTCGAGGCTAGCCCGCGATCGGCACTGAAATATAGCACCGTTGACGTTGGTCTATACCCATCGCAGGAAGCCGTCACAGAGAAGTATACGTTCACACCGACACACTCGCCCGCTGGAGACCTGTGCATCTCCGTCATTCATCGAAAGAATTGCGATTTCCGCGTCGATGATTCAGAAGCGCTCTTAAGTTCCCAGTTCATGGGCATGGATGATCAATACTTTCGTCCAACCCTGTCTCCACGAGCAGCCGAAGCCATCCCTGGGTCATTACCCAACAAACCAAACTATACTCCCGAAGTCGGTGACCCTGGCACGGCGTATGGGAGTTTATCGACTTTCCACCAACCTGGACCTGCCCTTGGTGCCAGTCCGCTGTCGACATTGCGGACTGCGAAGGACTTTGGGACCACGCCGGAATCACACAAAGATATGCCGAGACACCGATTCTCTACCTCGCGACCATCGGCCCGTGCTGATGGACGACGACCATCCGTTTCATTTCCAGCCTTTAAGGCAGGCTCATTGGCTTCCTCTCCAGCGTCTAATCCGCCTGTGGCGCCGTCGCCTGGAAGCTCCCTGGGGCGAGGCGCTGGCCAACATCTACATCACCGGAGTAGAGGATCGATAACGACTCTCCCACAACAGGTGCTAAGGACTCCTGGTATCCCAAATGAGACCGCCATCGCATCATCCCCATCCGCATCGAGCTCACCAAAGCCAGCGCCGATTAATCGATACAGTAGCAGCTTCGGCCATCGACGCAGTCGCTTTTCATCGGGCGGCGGAAGCAAAATCGATGAAGACAATACGAGCAGCGGCAAAGGTTCTCTCGCGTCATCTGCGCAACCCGGCTCCGGGGTGCTCAATGAAGGCGAAGCTAGCTCCAGTAGCGTGCAAACCGATGACGACAACATCAAAGACTTCATCCGGCTGCTGCAGGATAAGAAAGAGCTTGACTCCTTCCAGAAAAACAACGATGCAACGCGGCAAGCGTCTACGCAACGCGCAACCGCGGTCCTATCGCGCTTCCAGAAGGTGAAAGAATCCAACGCCGCCCTCTCCGAGAGCATGGCCACGTCCCTCCTTCTCCACCGCTCCTCGTCCTCCTCATCCCGCCAACTTGCCAACGTCCCTCAAATCGCCGGGACCTCTATCTCCACCGCCTCATCCCCCGGCAAGCCCGTCAGCCCCCACACCCCGCATACCCCCTCCGTCCCCTCCCGCCTCTCCGTCGACGACGGAATCTCCTACCCCCAGACCGTCATCCACCGCTCCCAATCCCGCGGCCGCTCCAACCGCAACCACCCCGGCCCCTCCTCCCCCTCACACCCCCATCCCCACCCCCACCCCGCCACCCCTCACCACCCCTCCTCCTCCAGCGCTCAAACCTCCACCGGCACCCGCACCGACGCCATCGACATCCCCACCTCCCCCCCAGTCTGGCCCTTCGCCCGCCGCTCCTCCTCCGCCAACCCCAACCAACCCCCCCGTCGCGAGCGCCCCGTCCTCGACGACGACCCCGACCTCCCCTATGGCCTCCGCAGCGCCAGCGTGCCCGCCGACGACGCCGGCGCCGACCCGGCCCTCCGCGAGCTCAGCCTCAGCGAACTGCACCAGCTACAGGAAGGCGGGGCGGACGGCGGCGGTGACGGGGTGGAGGGGGACATCGGCGCGGATGGCGCCGACGCCGACGACGTGGGCACGCTGGCGACCAAGCGGCGCGGGACGCCCGGAGCGTCGGCGCTACGGTCGCGGAGCGAGCTGAATTTGCAGGCGCGCGGGGACGAGCCGGAGGAAGGGCCGGCGTCGGGGATGGACGGGGTGCGCGGGCGGATGAGCCCTGGGTTTCGGACGAGTAGTGGGACGCGGTTGGCGCGGGATGTTGGGGGATATCGGCGGGGGTCGCCGGCGAGTTTGTCGAGCGGATCGCGGGGGGACGGGACGGTGGGGGGAGGGCGGAGTCGGTATGCGTTTCCGAATCGGGGGAGTTTTGCAGATGAGGAGGAGTTGTTGTTTAATATGAGTGAGTTGGGGGCGGGGGCGGGGAGTCGGCGGAGTTTGGAGAGTGGGGATTCGAGGAGGGGAGGACAGGGGAGAGGGGGTGGGTGGAGGTAGAGGTAAAGGGGCGAGAGAAATGTTCGCTGCATGGTGTCGGTGTGAACTCTTTTTTTGGTTGTTTGTTCTTGGGATAGATTAGGCCTCGGTGCTCCCTGGAGCGGCGTTTTGGGAATGGATCCCTCTGGTGTTTCGGGCGTCGAGGGTTATCCTGCCAGATTGGACACATACACATGGTCATCTCACCAGTGTGGATACCAAATGTTTGACGGGAGGCTAGAAGCGGTCTGTGGTTTTGAGGGAGGAATTGGAGACGAACATGTTATGGTATCTGATGGAGATTGGAACGGGTGTCTATAGACTAGAGAACGCATAGGGAATTCGAACGCAAGTTGGCGCAGATTGGATTTTTGGACCTTGTTATCTACCAGGGATCATACAGTGCACCGTTGAGAAACTATTTTTATATACATGATTGACCAAACCAAGCCTTCATGGCACGCATGTCTACCTCTATTTCTTCGGCTCCTCCTTCGGTGGCTCAGGTTGAGGCGTCGGTAGTTTGAACTGTAGGAATCATGTCAGTCATTTGTTGGTGATAAAACAATCATATACGCACCTGATCCGGCGTCCGGTCATCACCCGGCCCCACCGGCTCCCACACGCTGCTCCCGTCGGTAAAGTTCCGGAACGCCTGGGTCATCTCCAACGGCTCGACGACGATGCGCTTCTTCTCCTCATCGTACCGGATCTCAGTATACCCGGTCATGGGGAAATCCTTCCGCAGCGGATGGCCATCGAAGCCGTAATCGGTCATGATGCGCCGCAAGTCCGGGTGGTCGGTGAAGAAGACACCGTAGAGATCGTAGACCTCGCGCTCGAACCAGTTGGCGCCATCGTACAGGCCGCAGAGGGAGGGGACCGGGGTGGCTTCGTCGGCGTAGGCCTTGACGCGGATGCGGCTGTTGTGGCGGACGGAGAGGAGGTTGTAGACGACTTCGAAGCGGTGGTTGCGGGAGGGGTAGTCGGCGGCGGTGACGTCGGTGAGTTGAGTGAATTCGGCGGCGGTGTGCAGTTTGAGGAAGGAGACGACAGGGATCACACCGGTGGGAGGAATATAGATAGTCAATTCGTCTTTCCAGACGGAGAATCTGCGCATGTGTTAGTGAATGATATTGCGGTTGGTGATAAGAGCTCGGTGAGGGGAGATTCACTGTTGGATGTATTTCGGTAAACACGACATCAAGTACTGCCCGTATTTATGCAATTGCTCCGCCTTCTCCGTGTATTTATCGACCGGATTCACAATCGGTGCCTTGAGCGGTCCTACTGGAGGTCGTTGTGCGTGCTGGTGATAATCCGATTAGCATTCCTTCTCCCACAACACTCCCACGGATTGAAAACACTACGCTCTCCGTTCCTACCTTCATATTCGGCGGTTCCTCTCCCACCACATCTTTTCTCCTCACGCAGCTGGACGAGAGATTCCTCGCGACCATCAACGAGCACACGGGGCGCCCTGCAACGGACCGACGAGACAGCACCCGTCCCGGGGCCAATCGAAGCGCCATGATGAACGGTGGTCAACAGCCGCCAGACAAGGCTAGATATCGCGGATGTCGGGCAGGTAGGAACCACAACCGGTCCAAGAAGCGGGCAATGAAGGAAGCAGGGTCGGCATCCAAGTTGGAGGTGATAGACGAGGTGAGTTCTACGAGTTCTTGATTGATGTTCCTATCCTTCCAGCATGATGGCAGCGCCTCCTATTTGGGAATAGCGCGGCGTGACCTTGACCGCTATAGTCACGTGGCTCAGCTTGAGCTGGCAACTGCGTAGTGGCCCCTGCCCAATCTTCTTCTTCTGCTTCTTCAGTCGATGTTTCGCCGCCAGCCCTCACTCATTGCTTTTACGTCTTCACCATCACCACCACTCTTCCACCTCCACCTCCACGTTCGCGTCCACTTCGTTCAATAATTCCTCTTTCTCCATTCTCTCTTCCCCTCCAGCCTCCCCTCCCTCTTCTTCGTCACGTCCCACTACCCGCGTCAGACCTCTGGATGCCTTGTCATACCCCCTCTCAATCCTGATTTCACCGTCCCTTGCACATGCATCATCCAGCGCATCGGCGTCCAGCATCTTTCTTCCCCCCTTTCTTCTCGATATCGACCTCTTTCTCACGAGCATCACACTCTAGGGAGTCGTCTTCACACCCCAACAGCACACATACCCACCGGTCCACATGTCTCGGTCCCAGCATGACCAGTTCATCGACGATGAAGAGGAGGAGACGTGTCCGCTCTGCGTCGAGGAATTCGATCTTTCCGACAAGAACTTCAAACCGTGCCCATGCGGCTATCAGGTACGTCGGCGCCCGAAATTTCGGAAAATTGGGGATTCTGACGATCCGTGATATAGGTTTGCCAGTTCTGCTACAACAATATCAAAAATGCTGTGAACGGGCTGTGTCCGGCATGTCGACGACCCTATGACGACAACAGAATCGAATGGAAGTCTATCAGTCCTGAAGAGTACGTATTACTTAGATTTTCTAGGTCTAATGGTCTTACTGATCATTTTCTAGGCTAGCAAGCTACAAGGCCGACCAAGCTCAACAAGCCAAGCGCAAGGCAGCCGCCCGACAAAAGGAAGCGCAGAAGAAAGAAGCAGAGTCGCTCAGTCGTAAACACCTTGCCGGCCTTCGCGTGGTCCAGAAGAACCTGGTCTACGTCACGGGCATGACGCCAAACACACGCGAAGCACGTTTACTGGACATCTTGCGAAGTAACGATTACTTTGGGCAGTACGGCGAAATCGTCAAAATTGTGGTCAGCAAACCCAAGGAGACAATCGGTCCACATGCCAATTCCGTTGGCGTTTACGTTACCTACAAGCGGAAGGAAGATGCGGCCAAATGCATCGCAAGTGTCAATGGCTCACGGAACGGTGACAGGGTGCTGAAGTAAGTTTGGTTGATGTGGCGATTGCTTCCATCCGCTTACATTTTCTCAGAGCACAGTACGGAACGACAAAGTACTGCTCCGCATATCTGCGCAACGAAACCTGCTCGAACCGAAATTGCATGTTTTTGCATGAGGCGGGCGACGAAAACGAAACCTTCTCAAGAAAGGATATGTCCTCCATGAACGCAGCCCACAACCTCCCCGAACAAGAAGACGCTCCCGACCATCCGTCCGTTCCTCAACCGGTTCAGCCACACATTGAACATCGCGAATACCTCATGGGTCATGGGGAAGGCACTTCGGATGGCCCTGCACTTCCATCCACGGCGAGCTGGGCGGACAAGAATCAACAAGGTCGACGTGCCAGCCGCACCACGACGAGCAGTGGTGTCAGTCCAATGGCAACGGCCTCGGTCCCTGCGTCAAAGCCTACCGAGACAGAACCTGCTCCATCAGAGTCGCATGAGGGACGCTCAAACTCTCCAGAAACCGTCGACACCACTACGCATCCTCCACCAAAAGCAAAGCGTCTGGGTAAGACGCCCCAACAACTCGAGAGGGCGGCATACATGAAGCTGGCGAAGAAAGTTTGCGATGACCTCCTGTTCCACTTCATGCCACCGCCTTACTATACTCAAGAAGATGTGGAGGTCCTTAAATGCATGCCACCCATGTGGGATTCGATGGCCGGTATGCGACGCCGTGTTCTGAAAGAGAAGCTGATGCAGGAACGGGCCGAACGCGACCGACAGCAAACCGAAACAGACGCCCAGCAGCCGCGGATCGACCGTATTCCCGAGGAGTCAGCAGAAGCCGGAAGCTTACAGCTTGGAGGAGAACCTGAAGATCGATCGGACCTTGCAAATCAAGGGGCCGTTCAACCTCCACAAGGCCCACTCGAGTCTATTGGACTCGGTTCCGGAGCATTTAACGATGATTTCGGGAATCTGAACCTGGGACGGGGACTTACACCTCAACAACAGCAGGAATTGCTCTTGCAGCAGTTCAAGTCCGGTTCACCCCAACCTCCCGGTTTCCAAACTTCTGGCCAGACGAATCTACATGCGGGTACCATGCCAGGTCATTCCCGAACCACCTCTCGATTCTCCTTTGCGAACGATACCTCCACTGCCACGACATCGGTTAAGCCTGTTGCCAATCCCAAGCTGATGAGCCAACAAGCCAGTATGATGCCACAGGGAGGGCATTTCAACACCCTCTCTCAGCAACAACAACTTGGTGGACCGCAATTCTTCCCAACTACCCAAGGCCCTCCTCCGGGCTTGAAGGCTACAGGTACTCCTCCAGTCAGCGGCGGTGGAATGTTCGGCCAAGGTCACGGCTTCGCCAGTACCCTTGGAGGGTACGGCAGCAACATCAGCAGTCGAAACACGAATGATGAGATGATGCGCGAGCTACTTCGAAACCAACAGCGCGGCAACGCTGGTGGTAGCGGCATGCCGGATGCCGTAAAGCGTGAGTCTATGTTTCCATCATTCCTTCATCAACACCCACACCCACCGGCCTCAACCGCAACCCCTGTCCCCAATGCGCCTGGGCTCATCAGCCTTCCGTACGGATCGCAGCCGCCTGGTGCTGGTGGTAGCTTCCAGGAAGCCGTCGGTCCTCAGAAGAAGAGAAAGGGGAAAAAGCACAGGCATGCTAACACTTCCTCCTCTGGTGGGGGTGGTGGTGTAGTCGATGTTGCAGACCCAAGTATTTTGCAGGCGAGGCTCCACCACGGCGCGGCCGGCGGCGGCGCTGGCTCAGGCAGCATCCATACAGGACAGGGAGTTTACGGGCAAGGCTCAGGTGGGTTCCCCTCCATGTATAACGGTGCATATGGACGGTGGTAGTCCAATTTCAACAACGATCTGGGTCTTGCGTTCATCATAAATACCCCTCTTTTCACTCTGGGAGGATGGGCACAACGTGTATCATGATTTTTTTTCCTTTTTTTCACCTTTTCCAAGGGAACGATGGTTCTCGCCATTTCCTTCGCTTAACTCATTTCCCCCTTCCTATGCACGCGGCGTCCAGGACGGGCTCGAGCGAAATCATCGGGCAACATTCAGGCAACATGCCGATTGTCGACGGGCAAAACCTATGGCGTTTGTTCACGGGAATACTTCTCACTTTTCTTTTTCAAAACGGACGATTCACGCGGGTTGCTAGGGATGGATTCCAGTCATGCACACGCACCCAGTTTCCGTCCTTCTGCTTCTGTCGACTGCAACCGCTGAGTGCTCACGGGCGGTGCATGTATCGCTATGCTCTTGATCGGGTCGCGCGTCGCACGCTCTCACTCGTCGAACTTCGTCCATTCATGTACGTAACTTGGCCCCCTTCGAAATTGAAACGCAAAACCTAAGCTAAGGGGGCCCATTAGTAACGCTAGAAATAGATTCTGGTGTTTCTTTTCTTTCAGACTCCTGTATTCTTTGTGACGAAGATCGACGAGCGAGCGCTGTGACCGACCTGAATTGAGAGGATGACGAGACCCAGTCCCGAGCTCGTGGATACCACCCGACGTGCACCGTACCCTTTTCCATCCCACACGTCGCTTATTGTAGATTTAGTACCTTAGGAGCCGCCATCGCTGACCACATCGCAGTCATCTCAGATCCATTCTACGTCGATCCGTCACTCCCAAGTCAAACCCCACACGACAGCTTTTCCGCCGACTTCCCTCCACTTGAACCTGGCCGTCGTGCCACACCCACTATTCCTCCTGGATTCGAGGCGGACGCAACGTCTCGTGCCACATCTCGTGCCGGGTCTCGCACTGCATCGATATCTGGATCAGTTGTTGGCGCTTCTCGACCCGCAAGCTCTTCCATTGTGCCTGCCGTCCCGGTACTTCCTTCACGAATTGGGACGATTAGTCGGCCGGGGACTCCGAGTCGGCCCGGAACGCCTTTGCGATTGGTGTCGGTTGCGAAGCGAGGCCAAGTTGATGAATCTCCTTCCAAGGAAGGTGCTCAGAAAGGGCATAGTAAAGAAGTGTTGTCAAAACACAAGGGCAAGGAGAACATACCTAGCGCAAAGCCTTCTAAAACGGACGTTTCTACCGATGCCGAGGTACTTCCTGCTACTCCAGTAAAGAATGAAGGTGTCCCACGAAAGGGAAAGGCGGGCAAAACTGCATCGCCTTCCTTGGGAGCGGAAGCAACTCCAGAACGCAAGCGGACCACCGATGGCGGGAAGGCCGAGTCCAAGCAGGATGTGTCGAAGCGACAGCACCTGGGAAAGCTTGACATCTCTGCCGCGATAAAACCCGCGATGCCCGACTTCCAAGGCCAAACCGGGTCGGGTGCCGACTCACCGGCGTCTACTCACGCGGGTGAAGTTCCCAAATCCTGGGCAACCAAGTCTGCATCCAATTCGCGGCCAGCCACTCCAGCGAGTACGGCAGCCACGGAATCGCCCATCAAACGTGTCATCCAGCCGCGGACGATTCGAGTTCTGCCAACTCCGAAGGCAGAGACACCACCACCTCTAGCCGCAGGACTGGCGGCCGTTCCTTCTTCCTTGGCGTCCGTCGTCGGTAAGCTGCCGTCTCGTCAGCCCAGTCTCACGTCCACCAATCCTCCCGGCACTCCCATCAGCGATCTGATATCGGAGAACGCCTCGGTGACGTCGCAATCGCTCTCTCGGACCGCATCTCCCGCGCCCGGCGAGAAGCTCGGTGCCGTGGCGCCGAAAAAGACGAAATCGGCGCTCGCGAAGGAGAAGAAAGAGCGGGCAAGGAAAATCGAGGAGGAGGCGATGGTGGCGAAAACGGTTGCGGACGAGCCGGTGCACGAGGCGATTATTGGGAGGAAGAAGAAGACGAGGAAACCGACATCTCTCCTGACCAAGGCAACACCGACTCAGTCCACTTCCAAAGGAGGCGAGGTTGCTCAGAGGCCTGAGGATTCGACTGCAGAAGCAGGAAAAGTGGGTACCAAGCAGAGAGGGGCTACGAAGGGACGGACGGAGGAGAATGAGCAAACCGGTGCAAAATCCGGAGCGCTCTCACTTCCAGAGCGGTTCAAGCGGATGCAAGAGGAGCTTGGCATTCCAGCGAAAGAGATGCTTTTCTTCAAGACGAGCACTGGAATTTCCATCCCCAAAGGCGACATCACCGCAGCCGACTTCGAGGTACTCAATGAGGTCGTTCCACCTCGGGAAGCCGGTAAATCCGGCGTCGTCCGCACTAACGGTAAAGACGGCCGGGTCTGGTCCCGCAAGATGATCACTCAAACAGGGGTGCACATCGCCTCCCTCACCGAGGATGAAGAGAACAAATACCTCGCCCTCGAACGCGAGCTCGACAAAGCCGCGCGCTCTCTCAACGGCGTCCAACACAAATGGGTCCCGAAAGCCAAGAGCGCCGAAGTGAAAGCGACCCTCGCCCAGCTCGAGAAGCACCTCTCCGGCCAGCTCGAGAACCTCCAGAAGAGCATCGAGGAACAAACCGCCTCTACCTCCTCGTCCGCAAAGGTTCGCCACGACCAGAAACACGGCGGCAAACATAATCATGCCGTCGACGAGGTCGACTCCTATCTCGACGGCTTCATCGTCCCCTCCTCCAGCTCCAGTATGACGAAGCTCGACTCCGACACCTACAAGGCGGCGAGCAAGGTCGCGACGGGCCTGATGGGCACGCTGAGCACGGCGCTGTCCGCGGCGCAGACGGCGCTGGAGGTGAGCGGGCTGTCAGGCGAGGGCAACTGCCCACCAGCGGCGATGGCGAAGTTGGACGAAATCGAGGCGGCGTTGGCATCCAGTCGGAAGGAGACGGAAGCGCTGGAGAAGAAGTTGCTGGCGTTGATTAAGAAGAATCGGAAGGCGGCGCAGGTCTGAGGAGTTTCAGACATCCTGCACATATGCAGGCCGAATGGGTTATTATGGTTTTGGGGTGGTTCGCTGTCGGTTCAGGCACGGTATGATAAGCACGACATGCATGGTTTGGCGCTGTATCTATTATCACGGAGTTCTGCACTCGGTTTAGGGTCTCCGATGGGCACCGGGACTCGCGGAACATTATGTACAATTAGGATAACGGTAGCATGGGTATCATCAGGACCGGCTTTCAACCAAAAGTGATCCTCTTTCCAGTAAACTCTATCTTCTTCTCTGCTAGCTTCGCTTTCCTCTTTGCCACCCACGACGGATGCAACGTGCCTTTCCCGTCTTCCTTCTCCTGCTTGGCCTTGGGCTTCTCCGGCGCCATCCCCGGCCTCTCTTCGAATTTCAATTCCCGTCGGAATCCTCCGCGCACACCATCGCCGCGTCTATCCCCCTTCCCCTGCCACCCCTTCCTCTTCTCATCCTTATCCACTGCCCCCTTCCTCGCATCCCACCCCGCACCTCTCTCATCCTTCGCCCCCGCCTTCGGCTCCGCCAAATGCCGCGCCTTATCCCCGTACATCTTCTCCCACTTCGCCCGCCGCGCCTGCTGGCCTGGCCGGTTCTTCTTCGGCGGCGCCTCTTCGAAGGGTTCCGGGGAAGAGGAGCCGGACATGTAGCCGTGCATAGACAGGGAGGAAAGGAAGGCGGAGGATTTGGGCGCGAGGGCGCTGGAGGGGGAGAGGGAGGGCGTTTGTGAGGGAGATCGAGAGTCGGAGTTGGGGCGGGAGCGGGAGTGTGAAACGGAGCGTGAGAGGCTTTGATCGCGAGATTTCGTCGACGCAACGTCCTTGCCGTGCTTCTCGTGTAGCCCATCGTCATCCTCGATTGACTCTACTATGGACATTTGAGAATCATCGCCGCTGCCGTCGAGATCGGAGTCAAGCGATTCTGATCTATCCTCCGGTCCAATCCGTCTTCTATTAGACCGCGTCGTTTTGTCGATCTCTGCTCCATCTGCAGGCTTGGCCAAATCGGCTGTCTTCTTCCTTTTTGACTCTTTCTGATCCGTCTTCGCCTTCTTCTTGGGCTGGATAATATCCCCGAGATCGACCTCGAGCTCCCGTCCTAGCTTTATCAGCATTCCCCTGGTCGCCTCCTGAACCGCGTTCGAATTGAGCAGTCGGGAAAGCACGGTCGCTTGGGTAGGGTTGATCTCGAACGGTGGCACCTGCAAGATCTCTTCACAGCCCGGTAGTGATGAGATGAGTTTGCTCTTCGAGATTGTCTTCAAAACATGTCGCTTTGCCGCCGCATGGATGTCGACGACCTGTCCGAGAGTAAGTTACCGAACCGCAAGAAGATCTGATATTTCCCACCTTTGATGTCTGCTGCTCCTCCTCTATTCGAGCCAACAGCTTCTCATCTTTTTGATCTCTCGCTTTTCTAAGCCGCTTCACCAACTTCTGCTGTTCCTGGCCGCGAGCGAGCTTTAGCGCTCTACCAACCAGCTTTTCGCCATATTCGATCCCGGTTTTGAGCGTGGCTCTCGTTTTGTCTTCGGGGGTGTCGTACGTCTCCTTTTCTCGTTTTCGTTTGGGCATGATCATCTGGGCACTGGCAGTGCTACCTCAGTAACCGAGTAGAGTCCATTCAAAGAAAGAAATATGTTCATAGGGTGTGGAATTTCTCGTGATACAAACTGTACCCCTCAAGGTGACAAGGTCCAGTGTGGCGGTGCACGGAAGTTTTTCTGCCCGATGACTGAAAGCCGATGTGTGGCTTGTGCCCAAGTCCCACTCGAGCCCACATGTCAGCTGAGTCTCAGATGAGAGTTCATCTGAGATGGTCTGGTCTGCGCGTCAGGCCAAAATTTGATGCCTGGTGAGGCAACGACGCACAAATCTTCCTCAGCCGAACTCAGGTCTCTCAGATCAACTTCTACATTTCGCACTACATGTAGTTAGTTAATTCTTGTTGTGACTGTTTTTGTGTCGATATGAATTATTGATTGTATGATTATAAGCCAGTCCATGACAAGTCTATGAAATGCCACCCGCCCTTCTACCAACCATAACCAGAGAACTTATCCGATTCATCGATAATCACATCTTCTAACAGCCCCCTATCTATATATCCTGTCTTCGACGGGCTGAAGACCAGACGCTCTGTATTCGGGTTATGAAATATTTGCACATGGCAATGCACGCAGACGTCCCTAGTCCTTGAAACCCCAAGAGATTTTGCCACATCAGCCTGAGCCGCCTTGATAGAGAGCATCAGCCCCTGAATTAATCGCTCCAGCCCGTTCATTCCTCCTAAAAACAGTGGCATGACCGCATATAACGCAGGAGACTCCAGTTGTGTATACTAGCCAGCACAGCATCTTCCTCCCCATCCCCAGTTTATTCGTAGAGTGTGTATCTCCGTCAGATTCGGTCCGCTGAAAGTGCTGGTCGGTCTGAGATGGCTCGGATCAAGAACGACCTGCTCCGTTGGACCAAGTCAATATCCTATACTGTGGTAAAATTCCAGGAGCGTATGGCTGTAAAGGCTTCGGACAAATCTCCCATTCGTGGCTCTTTCTGGGGCGTCGGGTGCATTTCCCACGCATTATCCGCGATGAGGCTCCCTACCACTACTCTAAAAGACCGGGAACGTCATCCTTCACCGCTATGAAAATATCGGATATGCCTTTTCAAATTGTCCTTCCTTGAATAGCCCTTGGTACAACCTGGTTCCAAACATGGGAACTTTGGTGGCTGGTCCATATGGCTGGTCTTGTGTCTTTCCAAGTCCTTCGGATATTGGAAAGCCCTTTCACAGCCTGGATGAAGGCAATGATGTCGTCGTTGTTGATGCCGCAGATGCTTTCTTCTTTTGTGGGTTCTGGTCGGAATAATTAGTCAGTAAGTACGACAAGTCTACACATGGAATCAATAACCTACGTTAGCGCACTATTAATGTCGAATCGCTCCTCACACTCGTCGCAGGTATACCCATCCGCCTCCCGCGGCATGCGACGCCTAGAATCGGTCGGCAGCGAGATGCGTGCTGAGGTATCGACGGAGCCGATTCGGCTGGGGGAATCGGGAACAGTTTCAGCCATAGGATAAGGGATTGCTGGCGACATGATAACCGATGGATCGCCGTAAGTGCCATCTGGAGCCTCGTTGATCCCGACTGGCTTATTGTATATAATGTCGAGATCCTTCAGTCCCTCAGCGTCGGAGGCGAAGCTCGGGTCGTTCTCCCAGACGATGTCCATTGCTCTAAGATTCTGTATCGATCTCGAAGTGGGATTGGTCTTTCGCTTCTTCGAATGGTGCGGCTGCTCTTCGATCGTTGGTAGATAGAAGTGTTTCAGATTTCGATGTTCAGCACCAAACTGTGGGACGTCCGAAACCCATGTATTCAACGATCCAATGCTCATATGGGTGATCTGCTGCATAGGCCGTCCGACAGGACTAAACCCCATATCATCGTTGTTATGAGATCCTGCATAATGCGAATTATCCGCAGAATACACGGAATACCCTTGATCTGCCGTCTGTGTTGATGGTCCTGCGGACGACACCTCATTATACATGCCATCGTAGACTCTTCTTGGGGGCTGTTGGAAGGGGTTGGTCGGAAACTTGGTGTCGAAATTCTCCCCGACCAGTGCTGCGTAGACCGCTTCGTCGAAAGATGAGAAATCGCAGGAAGCTTCAGGGTCGAGGACACCGAAACTGTTCTCGGAGCTGTTTAACCGAGACATTGCGCTCGGTCGCCGGAAATGGGGTCCGTTGACGGTCAAGACAAGGCGGCGCGACGGTGTCTGCCTGAATTAAAACCGTTGCGGATATGAGTCCCTAAAATGAGGCTGGTCTGAGGACTCGACGACCAAATCAATGCAGAGGCCAAATGGAGAAACGTGTAACTCCTAAACTATCAAATCACTCTTCAAACGAAACCAAAATAGAGAAATTGGATACTCCCGTAGTTGTGAAAACGAGGCATTTGGGCATGACAACGCATCGACGCCGAGGAGGCCGCTGAGATTGACTCCTTCGAGTACGTAAGTGTTCACACTTCTCTGTTCCGACCTTCGCCCTTTGGAGCTCATAGCTCCATTGGGCAATTGGGGTCAGAACTCATTGTTGAAGCTTTGGAGGGAACCTTACGGAAAAGTGCGAACTTGATGAACTCGGTGAGGGACTCGACGGAATCTGTACAGACTCGGAATTTCAGACAACGAGCAGCGGCAGCGCTTCCCTTATGAATTGACGCTTTAATGAGATCCGTCCATCTGTTGAGCGCAATTGGCGCCCATCTTGACGCCACAAGCGATAACAACATCAACTGATCCTTGAGCTCAAGTGCAGTGATGGCGTGGTACTGCCCCTCTATTCTATATACAATGGTATCGGCAAGCATGTCCGATATCGAGGCAGCCCAACTGCTGAAAGGCTCATCATCCTGTTGTATTCTCATCGGAGAAGACTTCGAAGAGCTCGAGACAAAAGTAAAGGCATCTAAGATAGTATATGAAGCTGAAATGTTTGCTGCGGAATATATTTGCAGTTCCTCACGCCAGAGATGTTCCTGGTGGCTCCTTAAATACTCCAGCTTGGGCTAGGTCCTATGGGGGCGAAGTCTGTGCGTTCCTGGAATCAAAACAATGAAACATGAAACATCCAAGTTCAACGACATGCGTCCAACACGATACAATGAAAGGACTGCAAATCGAGTCTGAGGACCGTATCATGGCTGGGGATGGCTCATCCTTAAATACTAAGGCCAACAGACCGTGATTTATCCATTGTCTCATCCATTCCCTTACCGAGTCCGCCATCGGCGAGAGATAGAGCCAATCCTACAGGTTCCGGAAACAGCCTGCAGTTCCCCGGCTGTCAAAGGTCCTGCTGCATCACGAATTGGGCGTCAACCGGTTGAGCCCAAGGGCGATAAACATGCTGTATACGGCCTCGTTCCTTATGACAACTTTGACCTCGTGCTATTGAGCGTCCTATCAAATCTCTCTCTTATAAGCTGCGACTTCCGATTCGTTCGACAACGGAAACCAGCACATCTTGAAGACGTCCACGTCACCGGAAACCTAACGCCATGGATGCGTGATAATGCAAAGAATCATCCGGGGTGAACGAAATAGATGGACGCACTTGACACACGCCCCCTGCCAACATAAAGATGGAAAATATAATGATCCGCTTGGCTGGAAGGGATATAATAAGGAAACGCTGTGAGATTTTGAAACACTGGAGATATGCTTCCAGGATCAATATTACCTACTCTCATAGACGATCGAAGTGGTTAGAATCGATGGCACTGCGCCGTTGATGCCCTCCCCCAGCCTGTCTGAACGGAGAGTTGTATCAGACTAACTAGCGTTGCTGGAGAGCAAAGAAACGATAGTGTTTTCCATGCCCTGGAATTATGCGTCAAGACTACCAATTTCATCTTCCGTCAGCGAACTTTTTGCATTGGCTAATCTAAACGTAGCCCGTCTCTATTGAGATAGTCCTTTGATGTCAGTGGGACTGCTGGCAGATTGTCAGTCGCTCAATCTGCTGGTGAGCCACCTCAAGTTTGAGGCTCATACGCGCTTCTCGGAGACCCACGTCTGCCTTCAACGCTGCGAGCTCATCTTTCAGGTCCATATGCGCTTTTTCTCGGAGACTCTCATCCTTCTTCAATGCTACAAGCTCGTCTTTCAGGTCCATTCGCGCTTCTCGGAGACTCGTGTTCCGCAAGCCGTTGGTGCTCATATTGGAGGATCCCATAGTCCTCCTTCAGACTCTCAAGCTCATTCTTGAGCATCATCATCTGTGCCTTCAATCCCAGTTCTGGTTTCTTGGTGGCCTGACCGTCAACCACTCCCGTCCCATCCACTTCATCCACGTCACGCTTTCTCTTCCTTAGTGTAGTAACATCGGATGTCTCAGCAGCTCCCCAAATGATGGCACCCCCTTTCTGAGTCCAGTCATTGCTGCCCGGGTGTTTGAAGGCAACACCGAAGGACTCTCGACCCTAACTATAATAAGTTATAATCTTATCCAGTAATACCTTCTAATTAGTCATTACAATGACACAGAGGCGTAATTATCACATAGCGAATGATTTTGGGAAAGATGGCAAAAAAAAGAAAGAAAAAGAAAAATCTAGCCTAGCCAAGTTCGAACTCATGGACTTTTGCACATACCCTATATATATCTTTGCCCTTATATCTCTCATAATTAATAATAAGAATCAATTTAACGTACTATCTGGATCCCTTTCGGGTCTATGAGCACGGTATTCTATCTGATCTGCCGCGGGCAAAAGTTTCCCTGTAGCCCTGAGGCTGGGAGTACATAAAATCCCGTCTCCTCCCTTTAGTAGACTATCTTAAACGCTTTCATCTTTCTGTACGAGTCGGTGTTTCCGCCTACGCGGAGAGCTTATTCTGGCACATCGTGGAGGAGCTGGAACGGTTTCCAGTCCTCTATTACCTCCATCTCAACTTCCTTGGCCACCCGGTATTGCTCTAGATCTCCCCGATCGATCAGCCACCTTGCTGCGTGGCGCACATTGTCCCCGTCATGCAGTACCCTCTTAAAGTCCGTTGTTCCAGCTCGTTGGAGGAGCGCGATCCTCTGGTCGGTCCGCTGCGGGCAAAACGCAAGGAGATGGTAGAGAGACTGCCGGGGGGCACCGCACTCACACGCGGGGTGGATTCCAGGGACACCAATTTTCGCGAGCCATCCTTTAACTCCAACTACCTCAGTCCGTAGTGCCATAAGCGCCGAGGCCTCGTGTTTCTGAAGGCCATCGAACCGGTTAAGGCACTGGGTTTCCCACGGATCCTTCCATGTCCTTGCTCTCCTTCCTGGTTTAGCCGCTTCGGCTTGCCATCTCTCCCTCCATTTCGCCCAATACTCATCCTGGATCATCCTGTGCGGACCTGTTCGCTGTTGTGCCTGGTATCCCCTATCTGGTTCGGGCCGGGAAAATAGAAGTTTCTCATACTGGGTCCGGAGAGCACATATTGCGGGTTCAGGTTTAGACCGGACCGGGCGGGGTCGGCCTCGAGTTCGTCTCGGGGGAGCGGAGGCAGCATCCCAGTCCTGCACCAGGGCTCCTTTAATCTGGGTAGTCACCTTATGGGAGTTCGTCGATGCTGCTCTTTGAGCGGCCCGCTCTTGGATGTAGAGTTCGATTGGGGGAACGTCCGCCTCTCTCTCAAGCACGGCGATTGGTGTCCGTTCGTAAGCCTCGAAATCTCTCATAATTAACTAGTAGTAATATTTACTTTGGCTAGCATCAAGTGCTCATCTCACAGGTGGCTGAAAAAAAGGAAATAAAACGACTAAGGTCGGATTCGAACATATGAGATTGGACGCTTTCCCTGGGCGGCTTTTTCAATCATGCGCGAACCATAAGGGGAGACGAACCACTAACGATATGGGGTATCACTCGACCAACCATGGATATGTACATGGCCTGGATGTGGATATCACAATCACACGAGAGCAACATTGAGAGTTATCTAGGGATCCATAACTTGCTAGCATCTCAGCAGTGCGCCTTCATTCCCCCAATTACCAGTCTGTTAACAGCAGTTGGTCGTTCAACGTTCCAGCTCCCACCAGCCACTCTCCTCCACTGAACGCTACCGCGAACTAGGGGGAACTGGTATCAGATCTATTCGTCCCCATCGTCCGAAACTTTGTTGAGTTTTCAGAGATTCCGGCCTCCACTGTAGAAAATCGCGGGGCCACCGAACGACCACATTGCCAACAACATAACAGTCAGATCGCAGTTCAGCCCTCGAGCGATACAGGTGGAGAACATTGAGAGGGATGACATAGCTACCAGCAGTCTCAAAAGCAGACGCAAGTGTATCAAAGCCTCCATCAATAAACAAAACAATGAGCGGTCGACGGCGTCAAGACAGATGAACACAGACAGTGTGAGCCTGCCAACCGTTCAACTCAATGGCCGTTGCCACTGTCCGTACTCCTGAGAGTCGCTTTCTTGGTCTCCTTGATTGAATAACCACCATATCCTACCCTATCATGTGTTCTATTTCAAATTTCCCGAGAAGCATAGCTCAACCTATACTCTTACCTGATGCGCATCTTTTAGGTGTCTTCCGAGATTGTCTTTCCGTAAATATTCCTTGGAGCAAATCTCGCAGCGGTATAGCGGCCGGCCGGCAGGATAGTGAGAGTGCATGTGCTTCTCGAGGTCTTTTGGATAGTAGAAACTCTTGTTGCAATTGGGCTCCAGGCATTTGTGCTCCCGTTCTGTTTTCGGGGAGTGTCGCTTCTTATGTGTTCTTCGTCTGAAGTTAGCTAATGTTTGATAGCATGATACAGTAGAGTACGGAGGCATACGTAAGATCGCACTCTCTGTTGAACTTCTTTGGGCAGGTATCACACGCATAGCCGTTTTCTATCCATGGGTTCCGTCGACTTCGTTTCGAGCTCTTTACTGTCGTCCAACCGGTGTCATCATCGACGTTACTACTGGCGAGAGGAATTGCCGGTGAAACCACTCCAAGACGTGGATCCAAGTTCTCCGGACCTGGCGCAGGAATAGGCGGAAAAACGACGTCTGACGAAGGATCAGTAAGAGGAGCTCGGTCGAACCCCCAAACATCATATTGTTCGCCAAATCCAGGGTGGGGAATCGAAGAAAACGGATTTTCTACATCCGCCAGCGCAACTGTCCCAGGGGGCAGGTCCTGGGACAGGTCCCTTTTTCGTCCGAGGTCTGCACTGGTGTACAGTCCTTCACTCCAGAGCGGAATGCTTCTCTCATCGAAAGGCAACGGCAAGTGAAACCCTCCAGATCCAGCAGCCCATGAGCCATCATAGTGCGATTGCGACTGAGGCGAGAAGACTAGTTCCGAGTACAGCTTTTCTCCGGTGTGGAATGAAGGGCCAGTTGAAGGGGGAGTGTAATAGCTCCTGCTGTTACAGAGAGGAGTCGTTGGGAAGGGGGAATAGGAAGGGGCGGCATCCTTCGACGTTGTGGGGCCAGCACGCCGCCGCCGAGGACGCCGGGTCTTCGATTTTATGTTCTGCTCTGGGTTTCGATCCGGCCTCAGAGCGTCGAATCGGTTCGAAAAGGGTTGTTCCCCAGCCATACCTAGTCCACAGCCGGGAATGGACAGTCACGGCGGTGTAGAAGGCCGAAATTAGGCGGGTGATGGCGGAGTGTGCAAGGCGTGGAAGCTCCGGATCTGGTCCGCCGCCTTTTTGGTCGAACGAACACTCGACAGGTGATAGGACGACTGCGAAAAAGTTATAGGTCTGTATATCGGCGGTATCGAAGCCTTACAGCCGTTCGTCTCCTCCTAATTGCAACTTTTTAAAAGATAAGTTCACCTTCAAGAGTCAAAGTTATTTACACCGAAAGGTTGGAGTCCGCCAGTAACATCCAGCCAATGATGGGGCGCTAGAACATCTCGCCAATCACACAGCAATTCGGGCGTTAATCCCCTCTTCTATCCCGAGATAGAGAAGCAAGCCAAACTTAGCGGAGTAAGCTGGACAGTAAATGCAGCGAAGACTTGAAGAATGAAATGCCTCCAACTGAGGTCATTGCTCAGCGTAACAAGTACGGACTTTAGAATACTCAATCGCGGGTTTGGAATGGTGAACCTTCTTCGGAGATACTCCGTACATGATGCCCATTACTGCTATTGGTGCTACCCTTTGCCACCTTTGACACAATGCATTCCCCGGAGCGGTCGACCTGTGGGGAGCTTTGGCCTGCATGGGGTCGGGAGCCCGAGGCCAATGTGAATGTCATTTGATGTGGTCAAGATTATCAACAAGAGGCTGGCCGTTGTCAACATGTCGAACGGTTTCTCGCTAGATATCCACCACTCGGTTGAAACAAAGTTTGATTTTCTACTTGTACAAAGGTAATCGCATATATGTAAACAGAACGTATAATGAAACAGATCACGAAACAAAGAACAAGGACTCAAGGAGCGTGGACGTGGTACACGACCCACATCTTGACTCCACTAAAGAAAGCCAATTTCAACGTCCCTCCACCTTTCGTTGATCTTGATGCGAATTCTTCCAACTAGATAGCTGGTCTTTCCGAAGAAAAGAATATGCTAATCAAACTCTGGCAATGCGAGATATGCATCAGGCCTCATGAATATCTCTCCGTTTTCAACGGTCAACCCTAGTCTTGATATGTTCTCTCCTATGTTCTGTGTGACGCCCCTTGCTTACGATGGAGCGGTTTCTTCTTCTTGATAGTAGGGCCTTTCTCAGCGAAATAAATTTCAGCTTTGTCGATGCTTTGCCAAACATCGGAGTCCATATACGAAGCCATCTCTTTTATGCGCTTTTCCAGTCTTTCTGCCTGAGATTGGCGCCGGTGGATCCCGATGGTCCTTGAAGTGCGTCGCTGAAAGATTGCAAACTCGTCGTTCGCCCGCGTTGCCATTATATCTGCAACCTCGTTCCCTTCAACACCTATATGCCCTTTGATCCACCGGAGGTCGACAGTGCGCCAAGGGACGCCAGGTCTGCACAGACGAGGATCTGGCATATTAGGCTGCCTTTAACGTGTTGAGTTGTGGAGCACATGGTTTTCCCAACTACATTGCCATGATATCGTCGAGGATAGGCACGGCATCTATGAAGATGATGGCAGCGAAAGGTTTTGAATTGGCCTAAAAGGTATCCCAATTGGTCTGCAATGCCGTCTCTAGAGCCTTCAGGACTCCTAATGTCTCGCTCTCCCCTGAGTGAAGCCCACGGTTTGTTTAGATGGCTCCGTGCATCATCTAACTGAGCGTTTGAAAAGCCTTGCACACTTTAATGGAACCAACCATGCAATGGAGGACGAAATTGGACACCGGGCAATTTTGTGGTATCCGCAGAACTAGCTAGTTAATTATACATGTATTATGGCTCTAAGCCTGTTTTTCTAATCCTCTAGAGTGAGTCGCGATGGCGCATTTTTTGATCGTATTCTTGTACTTGTTCATTTTTTTCGTTCTGACTTTGGGTCGAGCCACGTTCTGGTTATCGGTGGTTGCGGTGTTTGGGGATCTGCTTGAGAGCGCAGCTTTTCGTATTGTGGTATGTTCATGTTGTACAAAATGGCGACCTGCGGAGGGAAAATGTTGCGGGAAAGTGTTGGTGAGATGTGTAGAAATGGGTGATTTGACTTATAATTATGATATACATTATTGATGTTGTGCTTGAATAAAAATTGAAGACTGCTCTAGGCCGTCAAGGGGTGAATGAATTTGATGATGCTACACTTTCGACAGACCCCAAGCCACGGAAATGGGGAACCATATAAATATACCTGACTAGACCGAGCATGATATGAGCAGAATCTATATTATCTCAAATGGCTGTCAAGCTAAATAGGTTAAGGAACCAGGAATTTGTGAGCCCAGGGGGTTTGCTTCAGGGTCACCAATTTCGTCCATCTGTAACAATCAAGCGAAGGCCGTTGGCTTATCTAAGTAGTAGTGTTCTAAAGGTTTTTTAAATAGCAAGCTCTGACACACTCGATTATATATTCTTTTGAAATTTCAGGGCTGTCGAATTTCTGAACATCATGGCCGTGAGGGACGAAGTACACTTCCCCAGTAGCTTTTGCAAAAAATGGCTATCTTTACCTCAAATTTACGAAATTGTAGACTAACATTGAGATTTGATTGGTATTAGAAACATTTGTCTGAAGCCGTGCATGGCCTTTCCGGTTACCACCAGTGGTACTAATAGTGCTTTTTGGCCCAAAGCGTTGCAGACAGGGTTTCAAGTTTTGCGCTCCGGTAGAACTAAAACTGAAGGAATCTTGCCATGACCGCCTTGCCAGAAAACGACCCAGAATTCTGCATAACTAGGTACATCTTGATCCTTGGCAGGCAATAAAACTGTTGTTTCAGTGCCAATGACGCCTCAAGCGCGGAGAGTCAGAGTAGCTTGTAAGGCTGCTAAACGCCTATGAAATGATTTCAAAGATACATAGAATGAGAAATGCTCTGCTAGGGTCCTAGGGGACGTAAAAGACCTTCCGAAAAAAGCAGAAAAAACAGACCTGTCCAACCCAACGTCAAGTAGAGGATCATCAACCCCAAGGGGTCCGGCTTCTCAGGGGATGTACCAATTAGGCTATCATGCTCATACTTATGTACTAGGAATGTAAGTTTAAAACTTATACACTTCAAGGTTCGGACGCAGCCACTGAAACAGGCCTGCTGGGATTCCTCCCTAACCTAAGTGCCATCGACGGAGCGTGGACAAAACAAAACAACAAGTCTACCACTATGTCGAAGACATACGCATCGTGTATTCGGGAGACGAGACCGATATCTCCGAGCCATCATCCTTCGAGTCACTGGCTATACAGGTATTCAGCTCACATTCAAAAGGGATGATGAAGCGGGAAGACTCCATGTTGTCACAAAGATATCTGCAAAGGTACCTATCAAACTCATACAGTCCATGCGGCCGCAGCCGATCCAACACCTGACGATGCAACAAATCAACACGACTCCACCAAACGCCACCGCGAACCCCCTGCCTGTCGAGCCTACCGAGCGGCGAACTGCCTCAATGCTCTGTACAATACTATCAATAACATACAACCATAGCACCATGAAACGCCGACCTTAATCGACCTTCCCTGCCGCCGCTCCACCCCCCATGAACCCACCCATCATTTTCTCCGGATCGCTCATGTGGAAAAAGCCGGGGGTGTGCCCGTGCGACCGGCGTCGAACCCGGTGCTTGTTAGTCAAATAGACCAACAGCAGCGCGCCGACGACGATGCCGAGGCTGATGAAGGAGTGGTTGGATGCGAAGGAGGTGATGCCGAACACGACACGGCCGATGGAGCCGTGGGTGGACTTCGCTGGGATCTTGGGAGGGTTGGCGATGACCTTCGGGAGTGTCTCGAGGATCGAGGTGCGGCTGGGCATAATGTGGTTTCCGGTGATGGTGGTGTCCCAATATCGGCGGTTCTGGGTGAGCATGTTAGTATTGAGAGTAGAATGAAGCGCCCTGACAACTAACGGCTTGGTCGTTGATGATCACACTCTCACCACCATTGACATCGATTCCGTATGTAGTCCGGATCCATCGCTCCCAGAAGATGCCATCCACCCACGCAAACCTCACCTTCTTCCGGTCAACCTGATCCATGTCGATGGTGATGAGCTTCGCGGTCTTCAGACTCTTCTCATCATTGCGATCTTCCGCCTCCTCGATCCGCAACTGCTTCGCATCCCGCAGTTCCTGCTGCTCCAGGTCGAACGCATGCTGCTCCTTATCCATCCACTCGCCAGCTGCGTTCTTAATCTCGCGGATCGCCGTTTCGAACTCGGTGCGTTGCCGGGATAGGATGCCAAGAACGACGAGCTTGCCATCCATGATCTCATGGGAATTCTGCGCGGTGAGCTCGGGCACCAGCGGCAACCAAACCGTCTTCATCCAGGTGAGGATCTTGCGGAAATCGCGCATCTCTTTCGGAGTGATGGGCGCGTAGGTGTTCGACTTGGTATCGCGGGAGACCAGGAGTCGTGGCCAAGTCGAGACCTTGAATCGTTCGAACATCTTCTTGTCCTTCGTTTTGACCAGTTTACCGTGGCCGATGAGAGCCAAAGTTAATTTTTCCAGCACCGCGAAGTCTTCCGTTGTGGTCGCATGGTCGTAGCAATAAATGAAAAGAACCGGCTCCTTCTCCTCCATCTTCTCGAACGCCTTGAGATCCACATCGGCAATTCCGTCGCTGAGCTCAGCACCCTTCTCGGCGAAGTCTACGAAGTCCCCAACGCCGCGCATGCCGTCATATTCGACGCGTTCTCCACCACGGAAGAAGCTGATGGTGGGAAACATCTTCACCTTGGCGTCCTTGCAAAGCTGTCTCTCAATGTCGCAATTGACTTCGCCAACGTTAAGCTTTCCCTTCATGGCACGGGCCATCTCTACCCAGTTTGGAGCCATATGTATGCAATGAGGACACCCGGGAGAGTAGAACTTCACAAACCAGGAGTCTCCGGTTTCGGTGACCAGCGTCTTGAAGCTCTCGGAGGTGAGAACTTTGGATTCGCCATTCGGATTCGCATCTGGTTTCGGGTGGCTAATGATCGGTTTGCCGGACTCATTGGTTGGCACGGGCTTTGACTCGGGCTTTTTGCCAGGAGTGGGCGGTTTAAAGTCAGGGGTGGTGCTTGCGCCAACGTCGGGCAGCTGCAGTCCTTCTCTCTGTCGCGAACCAGGCCGGATGGTTTCCAATGTCTCTTCAATCCAGTCGGAGTAGAATTTGAGACTGTTAACTCCCGTCACGGACTTCAGCTGCTTGCCATCTTTGTACATGCGGATCGTCGGGTATGAATTCACGTCCTTCGCCGCGCAGGCATCAGCGTTCGTAACGCAGTTGACCCGGGCAAAGTTGAATTTGTAGTATCGGTTGAAGGTGTTCAGCGCTTCGGCGTTGCCTTTCGAGATTCCGGCCAACGGATCGACGGTGTAATAGAACTCGTATAGCGTCTGCCATGTTGGCGCCAGTTCCTGGCAGTGGTGGCAAATGGGTGAGAAGAACTCGACAAACCTGCATGTGTTAGCTCCGACGATACATGATATTGGTGACAGCCAATGAAATACCAGTGACCATTCTGAAGGTGCTCATCGATCGAATCCAATGTCAACTCCTCCAGGGGAGGCACTTCCTGAGCATTGAAAATCGTGGGTTGCGGCTCGTCGTCCGAGTCTGTAGTTTTCGCATCTCTTTCCTCTAATGATTTACCCTCCATTGCGAGACCCAGAACTGGTGATAGCAGGGCCAGCGCCGCTGCTGAAAACCACAGTGGCCTCATGGTGGTTTCGGAGGATAGTTGTAGGGGGCCGGGATGAGGATGCTTTCGAGGCCGTAGGACCCAAATAATCACCGTCTCTGGCCCTTTTCTGTTTGATGATCAACAGAGTCCGGTCATCTGTTTCATCGGTACCGGCAGTCGACGAGAACAAGGCTGGCAACCTGAAAGAGTTGTAGGACGTGGAGGCTGACCGGAGCAAGGCCGGGACACGCCTTCCTACGAGGATAGACGAGGTTCAGGGTAGTCAATAAGCAATAAGGTATGTGATGCTGCAAGATGACAACACTCAAATCTGAAGGCGAAGCTCTTAGACGTACCGAACCGAAGGGTTGAAGGAGCGCATTACAATATAAATGAGGTCTCGTGTCCAGATGCAGCTCCATTGTATGGATATGATCAATGCCGCAGGGTCTCGCCAAGCCTTTTTGTCTTGGCCTTCAACTGCATCTCGAGCTCCACATCTGAACATCAAGCTTCGACATCACCGTTCACCCATCATCTGAACTCAGCTCAATTGACCACACCCTACCTCTGAACCAATTCTAAAAAGGTCCATTATCTCCGTACGGGCGTACTTCCTCCATCATGCGGGCAGCAACCCGCCTTCTCGCCCGATTCCTCGAACCCGGCCAACCCACCGGCTTGACAGGACTCCGGGTCCATCCCTCTCCACGATCCACCCTCATCTACCTCTACAGCCAGACCCTCAGCAAACTCCAGACGATACCGAGTTCCTCCGCCTACCGGGTTGCCACCGAATCCCTCACGAAGCACCGGTTACAGATCATCGAGGAGTCCAAGCCGACGGGGTACGCGGAATGGCAGCAGCGCATCCGCCAGGCTATCGCCAGCGACCCGAAGAAATATGCGGCCGCCGGGCTTGCGATTCAGAAATCGGATGATGGGAGGGAATTTGTGCATATGAAGCCGGTGGAACATATTGACTGGAGGGGCCCGAAACAGTCCACGGATCCAATTGGCGAAGATATGGGGGCAGAGGCGGTGAAGGAAGATGCTAGGGACGTGCATTTGGAGGCAGAACCGCAGCTGACGGCGGAGCAGTACGTTTCCTCTTTCATTTGATGCCAGCAGCTCCGCTCCGACGATGATTGTGGAGCAAAATTTTGTCAACATTGATAGATGGCTAACAGAGTCCTAGAATCTCCGAGGTCGAGACCAAAATCGGCGCAGGATTAATAGAAGAAGTCATCCAGGTTGCAGAGGGAGAGTTGGAGCTGGCGAACCAGATGATTAAAGATAAAGTGTAAGTTTCCCGCGATAGAATTCCAGCCATGTCACTAAACTCACCCTTGGCAGGTGGGAGGAGCTCATCGAGAAACCGGTCGAAGGCCAGTGGACATATTTCGACCGACCATCCACGTAGGCAGTACTTCACAGAACCCTGAATGGATCCAAAATATCGTTCGTCCATCGAGCTCGACTGTACATATATCTTACTGCTGCGGGCATCAAAGAGGCTGGAGGTACCATGTATGCTGACCAAATAGACCATGAATTCAATTGAACCAATATAGAACAACCGGATGCTCTCAATACGAGCATCTGTTGGCTCTTTCTTTGCCCCGTTGCAGTACGATGCGCCATCCAAGTTATGACAGCAAACCACCACGCTTTATTGAATCAACCCCACCTTGGGCATGAGGAATGTGCGGACAAGATCTGAACTGCTTGTATGGGATGCTACCTCTCAACAGTTCTTGGAATACTAAGTATACGTACTCCCTAGTGAACAACTTTCCCGCTTGCTCACTTCCCGCTTGCTCAAAAGGCATCGAATTATTGTTCAAAGATAGGGAAGAACCGCCGAGAGGCTCCAGTGGCAGTCTCTGGAGACGCGAAATTGTTGCTGCAAGGAGAGAAAGCGTTTCCTGTGCGTATCCTTGAAGTTCTAGACAGTCATTCAGTCTTCAAACCAATCCCCCTACCCAAGATACGAGATATCTACGAAAGCTACATACATAGTAGACTCTCAAACGAGGTCTGAATTGAGCACTGATCAACCTGTACTCGATGTGGCTAATTGCTCCGGCGATTCTGAAACACGGATACGATCTCATGGATGCATCTTCCTCTAATCTCCTCCGTATTTCTACTCGTCACATTACACATAAAGTATAGGACTCGTTAACTACCGGCAACCTAGAAGTGCACTTGCAAATCGTATACCAATGAGGAATGTCATATTGAAGACAATGTCGAGGACTATCCCCATCTAGTTGCAACCGCTATATGATCGTATATCTGTAGATTTAACAACTGTTTAGGGCACGGCCGGAATAACAGGTGCCGATACAAGACGACTATTAGCTGAACGGATGTGATTGGCGCCGTAATGTCATCTTTCCTTCTTCGGCCAGCTCTTCATTTTGGCTGTAACGTGTAAGAGATTGCGATCGATCAGATTTCGCAGGGATAGTTTCTGTCACTTCATCCATGTCTATCACGAATGATCGTCGCCCGTTTCGTGCGTCGTGATATGTACCTACGCGAAGAATTGCCCGAGAATCATACCGGTCAAATGGGAATTGGGATGGCGCGTTAAGCGCGACTCGATGAGAGCGTTCGTTTCATTACAATCCTCTCGGCTCTCATTCCCCAAGTCGCCACCGTTGCCAAAACGAAATATATCATATGAAACCCACGATTCATCTACAAGACGCGGAACAATTCGCCGTTCTACCGTCAACTGAATCCTGATGTTCAAACCCCGAGTCGCGAACCAATATCTCAATCTCCACCCATCTAGCCACGCCGCCACCGTGCCACACGTCTCCCGCAGGCCGCACGGGAGCAAGCGTCGGGGGATCCAGATTCCAGGCGTCGCGGTGCCTGAGTGCCTGAGTGCCGAGGGAGGGTGTCAGGGTGGACCGTGGACGTGGTGGTGGACGCGGTGGATCGGCGGGACGAGGGAGACGAGGAGGCGCGAGGAGGACCGGGCGGGCGGAGATCGCGTAGCACAAAGTGATCAGGTCCCACTGTGGGTGCGAACACCAAGAGGGCTAGGTGGGATGGACACGAATTACGATGTATCGCAGGATTTTGGGAAGTGATTCGGGATAGAAGGGGGAATGGGCTGGTTTGGATTGTGCGTGATCAATTGGGATTGGGATGGCATTGGGATGAGATTCCTTGACGTGTTGTTTATCTACTATGTATGAAGGTGAGGAATATCTTCCGGGTTCGGGATTAGCCAGTGATATTTTCTCTAAAGCTTGCCCAGGAGATTGTTTCTGATGTAAGGTGTCTGTCTTCCTCCAACAATATTGATATCGCACACACAATTTGGCCTTGCATCGCAAAGCGTTATTGAAACTTCTTCATGACATCGGCACACTCCGATACTAGAGTATTGAAGAGATCGAGAACATTTGAAATCAGGATATTCCAAGGAATTATGCAATTAACCGTTCATGATTGCCGATATTGAAGGAACTAAGTTGGCAACTAGCTGAGTTCCATGCATGATGCATTGGATTCTGTACGTTAGTAGTTAGTACGTAGTTTCGGTGAGGCTGTGAGGAATAAAAAGGGGTTGTACTCTCCGGTCCAGGTTGCAAAAGCCCGATAGATCGTTGAACTGATCAACTGACATGTGCTGAATTTGACGTTGCATTTTCCGATCATGGAAAATAGGCGTAACCACCAATTGGAACAGTATGCCCTCACCTTCTGAGTTTTCATATCACAGATGTACTCAGCGTAATCCAATCCGATCAATTATTGTCAGCATCACCACATCTCAATTCCCAGACTCCCAGACTCCCAAACATACCACACAATCGGATCTCAGCACCCGGAAACATCTCAGGGCACCAACGGACAGATTCCGTTTCCCAAGACCGGTAGTCAAGCGACGCGGCGCGGTGGCGTGCGTTGGCGCCAGCGCCACCGGCGCCGCGTTGGGACTGATGCCAAGGGACTCGCTCGGAAATCGCTCGCATTTACGATTTTATCAACAATTGGTGGGTCCGCGAGGGATGAAACACCTGGTCCCCCCTCGATAATGCAACATGAGATGGTGACGATGGATTACGGTACCTAGGGAGCGGATAAGTTGCAGGAAGATATTGATTTTATGACGATCAGGGGGAGAGGGAAAGCGACAAGTGTACCAGACACTGCGATACCGAAATGCTGAACGCCTTTCAATCGTTCGGTGGGATGCACAGCATCTCGATAACTCCCTCATGGATGCGACATGGAATGCATGCATGCACAACAGAACAATTCGATTGAAGTGCCGAAATTCGTCGTGAATCTGGTTTCAGCTGAGTCATGCTACCTGGGAAGTGTGTGGTGATTGAGTCGCGCCCACAACGTCCAACAATTGGTCGAAATGCAAGGGAAGCTGCGTAAGGTATTATTAGCACCAATGGAAACGTCAGCGGTAATGTTGGACGCATGATCTCCAAAGACTGTGTAATGTTAATCTCGTCCGTTTTGTCCGCTTAGGGATAAAAGGAGTCCCTTGATGGCAAACCGTGTTTCTATTTCGACTCTAGGCGTGCCACTCTCCTTGAACCGCGCTGTGTCCGTTCCCTGTTCCCCGTACCATTGAAACCATCTACAAATCGCTCAGCTCAACCATTCCTCCATCGAACCATCGAAACTTCATGCTTCATGCTCCGTGACCCCCGACATCGGTGATAAGGAAGTCAAATCCAGCCAACCGAGGGCTAATTCGATTCGGGGAACGAATCCCTGGATCGGCATACCTTGGTCCGGGGCGATCTCAGTGCTCAGCAATGACGGAAAGGGGGGGTTGTAGGGAAGGACTTCCTCTTTGGGTCTGTAAAGCGCGGAAAGATTTTCCGAAATCATCGGTGGTGTTGAGAAGAATGCGCGGATTCGTTCCAGCAATGATCGGCCTGAAGCTGCGGCATGGGAACTTTATTACGCACGCCCATGGTGACTAAGTGGCTCTTAAGGAGGTCGCCTGACGGAAGGGAATGGGTGAGAGACCTCCGGTCATGAGAAATGATGACATGCCCTTACAATATCGCGTACCGAAAGGTATAGGCATTATAGATACGATGCGAAAGCAGCCGATGATGATCAGCTTCGTAGGCCGACTAGATAACTGAAGTTGAAATAAAGTTGGTGATGCTCCATCCAGGTGGGACCATCACTGGCAAACTGGGGCCGCCCTCCCTCGTGGTCGACGCGGGCGGTGTGGGAGATTCTGGACTTCTGGAGAGGGTGGTGGGTTGCGGACTTACGGTGGCAGGATGCGGACGAAAAAAAAGCCCTGATCCAGATCGAAAGTGGGTTTGAATTGATCGTTGCTGGGGACATGATTGAACGAGTGGAGTGTTCGTGGTGAAGAGGCTAACAATGGGTCCTCAATGTCCCTCTTCCTTGACAATATCAAGTTATCAACCTACACAGGGGAAGATGAGCAACGCCATACCGAGTACGAGTATCCGTGTAATAATGAGAATATCGACTTTAAGACCATACCTTAACGGCTGTGAGCTTCCAACTTGAGATGCGCCCACCCACCGTTTTATCAGGTGTTACCACTTACCACGCTTATCCCCGACCACCCGAAGCTCCCTTGTCGACGGCTGTTTTTGTCCGAAGACCAGGTCAGTCAGCACTCAGCGGGATGCCGTACTTCCGATCACCCTGGTTGCTTGAATGCAAACTTTGTGAATTGTACGAAGCATCCAGGGACTAATTCCGCCTCAATACAATACGAAGTTGGTACGCATGTACAGTACCAATGTGATATGATACCTCAAACGCCACGAATCCTTCTGTTCCCTCAGGGCTCAGGCTCACCAAAGCTTCCGCGGAAAGGGACTGAGCGTCCGAGCCGCTCAGGGAGGCAGGGAGAGATCGGCGGCTGGGCGCTTGGGACACTTCATGGCTTGCATCTGCATTTCGGCGGTTTTTAGGAACCATGAAAGGTGGCTGACTCTATCCGCGTATCCCTGCACCCATGGCGTTCAGATTTTCAAGTTTCAGTTCGATTTTGCCGCTCCCATGCCTGGCGTCATGCAACATGGATGGGTGGTGCTGAATCGATCGAAGGCGATCGAAAAGACCAGACGTGAGCGTGATGTCTCTCAACCGAAGATGAGAGAAAGTCATGTCAGCAGCGCGCGACGATTGGACGTCCAGCCATGGAAGCTGATGGTTTCGTGATGTCGTGGACGGCGCAACCTCACTGGTCGGCCAGGAATCATCCCAAACAAGCAACGCTGAACCGTGAACACGCGTCCTAGTGAGGAACCTAGTCCCTCGTGAGTTTAGGCTCAAATCGCAAACTCGAATCATCGGCATTTGTCTCGCTTCCTTTCCTGCGCATTTCTCGCTTCGGCGGATTCCCCTGATCGGAGCTCTCGGGGGCGGGCTCCCTTTTTCATTTCTGCGACGCCTGCACTGCCAGGTGCGCCGTAGGAGGGTCAAGCACTTGGAAAGTCCTTGGGACGTCACTATTGGTGCATCGTGTCCTTCTCTTGCTTGACTATAGTCCGTGACAAGAGTTAGAATGGTTACGGAAGACCGGAAATTTCCTAGTACTGGTAAGCGGAAAGCGAGATTCGTTTGGGATAAGCAGATGCCCACGATGATCAGACGAGGATAGCGCAGTAATACCAGGATTATTTCATACCGTGAAGACTTTGACAGCGATGATGACAATGGTATTTCTTAAAGCGACAACGGCAGGAGACACCCTTAGAGAGCCTCCTTTGAGTCGTCCTAGTGTTCCTTCCCTTTTGATATATCCCTTGGAATGCGAACCATATACGAGAGGCTAGTAATTCCGTCTGTACAACGATATTCATGTATTAAAGGTACAGTTAAATCCTATTTCCGGTAGCCGGCCGGTCCTGGTGGCTTATCCATCCTGCCTGTATTGATAGGGGTATTAACTGTGAATGGAAAATGGTTGCGATCCTCACGCCCTAACTCCAACAGTCCAACTCAACGCCTGTGAAAGTTACAGCTCTACTGTGAATCTATTTTGATTTTGGGATATCTGCAGATTCTCGTGGCCTCGATTCTCCCCCAAACTATTCGTTTACTAGATCCTGCAAGTCCTCGAAGAAACCCAATTCCTTTCAAATTGCCTTGGGTAATATTTCCTTGAATTGCCATCCCACCAACCCCTCGAGACCGCAGCCATCGGTTCAATCCACGTCATAGAGGTGTTCCGTGCATTGGTCGAGTTTTTCTAGCATCGTCACTGGGCCGAAAACGGGCAAGTCTCGGTAGATTAAGGGCATTCGGGCATTTAGGCGCCGGTGAGGGCCCGGCGGCCTAAGGGATCAAACCCATCAAGGGAACTGGGCGCAGGCGAAAAGAAAAATCTGAGGAGCCGGAGGCATGAGCTGACCAGTTTACATTGATGCCCTCGCACGATTCTTCACTCAATTATTATTGAACCCTTTAACCCTGTTGCCGCACCAGTTGTTGGCGGGTTGTACTCTGTAATAACCAGTTAGTGTCTCCAATCGCCAATCGCCAATCGCCTCCCGGCTCCTATTTCGCAGCAACGCTCCGTCACCCAGACCGTCAGCAAGCCCTCTCCCAATTCATTCTAGGTTTTGCCATCCATCCATTCGACCCGGCTGGTTGATGGTTCCTCTCCTCTCTAATACTGTTCTAGGCGGTTTATCCTAGTTCGCCCTTGGGTCATCCCCCGAACTGCCGTCCGTAACGGCGTAACCACAGGCTACCCGTACAGGCTACTGTTAGCACCGTACAGGCTACCGCCCACTTACTACATTTACAGGCTACGGCCTCCAGCCTACAGGGCACACAACCTGACACTAGGAGTCGACGACTAACAACGAGGCGACGAGTTGACGACCTTGGCCATTCTTCTCCTGCTGGTACTCATCTTTCCCGCTCACACAAATTTCTTTAAAACTTCTACCACTCCCTTCTCCAGCGCGTCGCCCCGATTTTTCCACCATGAATACCAACAACGGCTCGCGTTCAACCCACCCTTCCCACTCGGATACTGGAGACAGAAGGAATCCCACCTCAGCAGCATCGTCGTCGTTGTCGTATTCACAGCACCCCCATCTTCAACCCAATCTTCAAAATCTCCCGAATCTCACGGCCAACGTCGCTGGTGCAGCCGCTCCACAGGGCGCTCTCACTGCAGGCCTCCCTGGCCAGACCCACCACACCACCTCCCACCACACCACCTCCCACCAGGGCCACCATCCTCAACTTCCGCCCATCACCGACTCAAACCATCAACGGAGGTCTGGTGCTATCGCTACGAATCAGTCGAATCTCCATCCGCGTCCCTCGAACATGACTGCGATGTATTCGCATAACATGAACGCGATGCCTCATACCCCTATGGTTACCCACGGCTCCAATCCCGCCCTCAACATGCCGACCAGTGGCCTGAACGGCTACCCTTCAGCTTCCGGAACGCCACTTCCCTCGGCCATTCGACACTCCAACGCCATGTACAATCCACATGTTCAACAGCACCATCCGTCATCACACCAAGGAGGTCCTCAATCGATACAGCCGCAACCACCGCATTCGCAACAGCAGCATTCGCAACCATCGTACGCGTCGTCGCATGCGATGAACCTTCCGACCACCACGAGTACCTATTCGCCCATTAACGGCGTCTCTCCCGCTCCGACCAATTCGCTTCACAACGGTGTTCATTCTTATCCATCATCGACGCAGATCAGTCCGCAACACACCCCGCTCACGATGCCATCGCAGCTGCCGTTGTCGGCCGACATGAACGGGTCGTTAGCGCGCGCAGGAATGCCCCAGCTAGGAGCGCAAATCTCGCAATATCAGCAGCAGCAGCCGCAGACGCCAGGTTCGCCGAAACATGTTGTCGGACAGCAGGGACGGAGAGGGATTCTTCCATCTGCAACAGGCCAGAATCCAACTCCCGTGGCCAGGACCCAGATGCCGACCAAAAATGATGATGGCAAATACCCGTGCCAGCACTGCAATAAGCAGTATCAGCACTTGAAACATCTCAAGCGCCATATGTTGAGACGTGAGTTGCCCCTCTTTCCGCGTTCCATACTATTCTTCAGGATCGAGTGTCGGTTCGGTGTCCACAGAACCCTTTTTGCACCACATATCCCCACAACTTCGCATCGCCAATCGGACCCACTCGCTGACCTCAACTAGATACTGGTGAACGTCCATACCCTTGCCGTCTATGTCAAGATCGCTTCTCTCGCTCCGATATTCTGAAGCGACACTTCCAAAAGTGTGCGGAACGTCGCGGTCATCCAGCTGGCTCGCTCGACCATCTCGAAGGGACCCGTGGTTCCGGTCCGAACTCGCAACGTGGCGGCACTGCCACCGCGTCGAACCGCAACAGCACCGGCAGCCTTGCCGATAGCTTCCAACCGGGTACATCCACCCTCGATATCTCCGGATCGGACTCCCACGTGAATGTGTCCTCCGCCGGCATCCCTAGCATCAACACGATGGATCCTTCCAACCCACTACTAGGTATTTTTACCTCCTCCGTGACGGGATCCCGAGCGCTTACTGTTTCAACAGGCCATCATCTCTCCCACCCGCAACAGCACGCGCACCATCCTTTTCCGAGCGCATTCCAATCCACCTCCCGCGCCAATTCCGCCGCAGGCATCCCCGCCTCCCGGCCGTCGATCAACAACCTGCAATCCATCTCCCCGCATCACCAGCATCACGGCCACCCGCAACAGCAAGGTCATCCCGCGGAACCCCGTCGCAGCATCTCCACTCTCGAGATGCCTCATCTCCAGAACCACGGCGCCGCTGGCAACAACCTTGCGCCCATGATGCACATGCAAGGTGGAGCCGGCCAAAGCGGACAAGCTGGAACCGGCGCCAACGCAGGCATGGGACCTGACAGCGGCGACTGGAGTATCGATATGCAGATGTTGTTGAATGCGACACACGGGGCTGCGAACATGAACGCGGTGGGAGCGGGGAGGTGAGCTCCTTATAACATGACATTCGCATGAGGACGCGGGGTCGTTCGACGTGGTGAAGACGTCGGGCTAACATTGAGAGTAGCAGCAATAGAGCCCCAATGCCGCGACAAGAGAATCACCCGGCAATCAAATGAGAGGGCGGCGGCGGCGATCCGAACGTCTGGCCAGACTTTCGTTGAAAGGGTTGGGCTTTAACGAAAAGTTTGGGGAGAGTGGCAGTTATTGTTTTTTTTCCTTTCCTGCGTTATACTGCGACGACTCCCGGATCGAACTCTGTAACCACGGCCTGCAAAAACACCTAATGTCGTCATGACGGTATGGCAAAATTCTCGGCGGCTGTTACTTTCGCACGCTAAGAGGATCTCCGGGATTGCCAGTGGGGTCTTCCTCTACCTATTGCCATCATCGCAAATTTCGAACGACAAACGCATTTCTAGACTCCTTACAATGGGAAAAAACGGATCAAGGGAATAGGGCCACATTATGATACTTAGAACTGAATAGACCGGGAGCGCATCATCCAAAACATCCGGGACTGGCAAAACCCAATTCTTTCATCCGGATCGGATCGGGGACAATGGACAACGGACATGGGATGCGAATTGAAATTGATAGTGTTTTCTTTTCTTAACTTTCATTTCTTTGACGATATGCTTCAATAATGCTTTGTGTGGTTCGCGGTGTGTTTCCTTGTTCTTTCACATCATCTCAGGTCTTTCGCAAGGCCTCCAAAACGACACAATAGACTGCGACGATTTCTCTTACCTGTATTTCCTCCTTTCCTTCCCTTGCACTTGCCGGCGTCTCGGGCGCTACCGTCCTTCCCCTTCCCCCATATGTTTCCCACTTCTTCTTCCCCATATTTCACCCATATTCCACACAATAGATGGGTCGGTCGGTTATCATCTTTCTTAAAAACGATCCACGGTTCTCGGATCGTCATGGACAGCCATCGGTCATACTTCGACCGGGTTGGGAGGGTGTCTTCGACCGGTCATGTCGGGAGGGTGTCCGGGTTCCCCACGCTTTCCCTGGCCTTGTTTTAGATAAATATCTTTCTTTTCATGCTCTGAAACGGCCTCACCTCTTTCCAAATTGCATGGCTTGCGGCCGGGGCATCGCCATCCGCACGTTTCCCTTTCCATTCTCTACCGACTCGTCGAAGCGGTTGGACTTGGTCGATCGGCGGATCTCGAGGATGTTCAGTCGCAGGGACTTTTCGTTATCGAGCATCCATACATTCCATCGACGGGCGGTCGGGATTTACTTACGCTCGAACATGGACGACTTCGGCTTAGAGATAAGACTGGCGACTGTTACAAAGCATCCACACATACCATGGTGTCAGAACGGGAGGATTTTTATCGCACTTCGGCACAGTGGTTGAGTTAAAAAGGAGAGGAAACGATGCGGACGGTATACATCGGACTGGGGTGGGAATGCGCAAATCTTCTCCGGTCTCTTACCTGGGTCTTCGTATCATGCAATTCATCCGGGCTTCCCTCTCATCGGGTGGGGGATCGCATGCATCTTCGTCGTAAACGGAGACAACGGAAGGATGAGCCGGGAGTGCGCGATGTTCCACGGCCGGTCAAATATGTACGGAGTAGAGTAATGCAGGAATGGAAATTGCAAGATTAATGGATTGTTCGATGGGGGATGGGCCGTTCCGTCTTGCTCGCGCAGTAGCATAAGGACGTCTTCCTGTCCCTTTTTATTTCTATGGTATTGTGAGTTGTAATTCGCTTCAGTGTTTCCCAAATCGCCGAACGGCACTTTCCATCGATTCTGCTATCCTCCCTTCAGTTCCACGTTTCATTATTATTATTCACTTATTTTCCGTCTTCCATTTCCCATTGCTGGTCACCAGGTGCGCGAGTCATGCAGTAGATCCCACGGCTGATGGATCATCGTGTCCGGTACGTGAGACCGACGTACCAAACACTGAGCTGAAAGCTGGCCACACCCTGACCAAGAGTCTGAATCACGATTCTCGGTATCCGTTCGCACAATCGAGATGGCGGCGGTGATATGGCGAAAATGGTGAACATGGCGAGCCTGGTGACCCCATACCAAGAAATGGTCTTGTACACGGAGTGCATCACGACGAGAAGTGCTGCGTGGGTCACCAGAGCAAGACACGTAAGTCAGTACTAGCATGCCTATTATCTATAATTTAAGGAAAGTATTAATGTTGAACAGGATTATCTTAAAGAACGGCGTGTCGAGGCGCATCCCGCGCCGCAGCGACACAGGGGCTTCATCAAATCGTGGCATCGAGCTGTTAACCAATCTTCGACCGCTTCCGATCGAAATAAGATGAATAGTTCCCCCTCGATACTTCATATATAAACTCGAAGTGCCAGGTGAAAAAGCAAGTTCAATATTTATTGCCCTCGTTCTCTCGAACCCCTGATGGACAGGAGATGAGATCTCCCAACCCTTGCGAAAGAATCAAGATGCTACAGAAGAGAAATTCAAGAATTCTATTTTATCATGTTCACTCCTCGGGCTTTGAAAGGCTGCAGAGCTTAGTCGAGTGTCTAGCCCCCTCCCGCCCCACGGATGAGGAGTTGAAGAATTTCAGTCCTTTCAGTGTCCCGCGAGACAACTCGATCAGACACACAACTGGCATGAGCATGCCGCTGTTTGGCAAGACTAGGTGCCGAGTGCTTCCTGGCATACTTCGGATAACGGAGACGTTTGTCAGACCCTAATCCGACGCATAGCAACCTCACACCAGCAGCACTTCAGTCCCCGTATGAAAAGGACTACTTTAGCGTCTTCCTCCTCCTATCCCCAATAAACGCTCGAAACCCCACGCTCAGGATCAGAGCCTCTCTCACGGCGTCAAAGGAATGTGTTGAAGACTTCGATGCGATCTGTCAATGTTCATCACCGAAACCCCGTACTGTTCAAGGGTGGAGGCGATCCCTCATCCTTTACTGGAGCGAGCGATCCTGTCGTCCCTCGAACTTCTATTTCTGCCTCTTCAACTCCATCCCCCTATCTCCGAGGCTACTCCCTATGGCTCGTCCTAAGGGAAGCGGCTCGAGCATCACTCGATCGGATGGACGCTTCGGTGCGGCACCGACTAACTTGCCCGCGATTGAATGGCTACTTCGGATGTCTAATATTCTCGACCGGGAGCACACTTGCTCTTCTCATCGTTCATGGCGTGTGTTGAGTCAGATGGACTCATTCATCATAATTCTGTCTCGGATGTCGGCTTCGAAGAGGTGTGTAGCATCGATGCCACCCGTCGTGCACATGTTCCTATGCTCATTCATTGTCTGCTGTGTGGTCTTTGATAAGGCGTAGAGCTATATGCTGGGATGGTGGCTATGTCCTCCGAGTGTTGCATTGCCAGCGATAGATCGATGGTCGGCCATTGCATAGCTTGAACAGAAGACATGCTGTTGCATTTAGCATCCAAGGAACGTTGATTGTTGGTTAATGCGGTTCAGATCGCTTGACTTATTTACCCCGTCCTCACAGACAACTTTATCATCGCATGCCGCCGTAGTCATCACTCCGATTGCTCGCCAGTGCTGTCTTTCGTTTGCTCTCCGACTCAACATCCACCCACCTCAGGGGTGCTTTCGTGACGTGCTATCTCCCTGTAGTATGCCCCCATCGTCACCTAGAATATTTAACTAAAATTCACTAGTATCAACACACCTTGACATCATTGGGATATTCTCCGCTACAGGCCAGCTAGAGCTCCTGACCAGAATGAAGGCTTCTCGATATCATTGTTGCCTTGAGCTGTTCTGCAGAGAAGCAAGAAGCCGTATCGAATAAGATGCCCATAGTCGCCATGAAGAATCATAACCTGTATGAAGATGCAAGCCATATCTGCCAACGCCCCTTCATCCTGTAGCTGTTGTCGTCATCATTCAGTTCCGTTTGCCTCCTGTTCTTTCCCATTTCAGTAAATTGCTATATCAATATATTATGCCTTCCACATTCGGCGTTATTTCAATTCTCATAATTCAGTTTCCATCCAACATGTTCGCTTGTCATGACTATATCTATGATCAAAATCAGAAACGTTTGAGAGTCCAGCTCCTATCGTACTGTGTTATCACTTCGCCATTCCAGTTCGAGGAATCTAGAGCCTCCTGTCCTTGAATCTCAACATGTCTTCATCGCTTCTATCCCAGCATATGGCTGTTTTAATGTCGTTCATAGTTTTCGCTGTGTTCTGTTCTATTATTTAATGAGAGTCGAGTAAAGAGTATACGTTTTCCATTGCTTCCGCGTTCCCTCGTATAGAACATCTTTGTATAATCGCTGCGTAAATATATCTCGTTCAATAGCGATGGATTTATCTACATTTTCTATACATCCTGCATACTAAACGAGATGTTGTTCTCGATCCGATATAGTTGCATTGTCAGGTTATAAAGATGTGGCCTTACAAGAATGTCGACAGCCTCTCATTCTTAGCGCCTATACAAACCAACGAGCCTAGAATACAGGATATTCCGACCGATGACCCACCTACCCACCAACTTTGATCCGTCTACGCAGAAAGTCTGCGAACTCCTAGACATCGCTACTTCAACATTACCACATATTTTCAGAGGTGTTTGGCACGGCAAGGTCCTAGCCGCCCAGACATGTTGCGATGTGCACTCGATAATGGATGAGCCGTGGAAGGGATGAGTCACTCGATATGGGAAGGACCCTACGGCTGACCTTCTCGGATCCATTATACGATCCTGTTCGATATCGAGGGTCGTCACACCTTAAAAGTCTCTCTATGGTATACCGCCATGGAACATACCCATCTTGTTGTGCGGTAGCTCTGGACCCCTATTTCGCGAACCAGTCCATGTGGCTAGCCATGGCCTATACCAAACCATCAGCAACCCTATACCGTAGGAATCCTCAACGCGTCTCTGCTTGCTGTCTATCTATGTCCTACTCGTCTCGTTCGCATCATGTAGGCTAGAGACAATGTAGATAGCAATGCAATACGTTCCTTCCCTCGTCCGGATCGTCCCTTAGAAGAAGAAGAGGAATTCCCTGAACTTAGCTGTCCAAGTTTAATACTGCTTAACCGTTGTTTCACGATCTCCCCTGAAAGGTGTTTTCTTTCTTTCACCTGAACCGCGAACCAACCTTGGTTCGTTCCTTCCATTTTCAGTCTTATGACTCTTATTGCGCTTCCGTGGTCTAGTTCTCGCCTTCTGTCTGTGCTAGGACGTGGACCGTGTTGTCTCAACGGGTCCGGGGTGAAATCTGAACCACATCGTTCTTCTTGTGCTGGTTAAAGGGACTTAGCCCTAGCGGTCCTCAAGGGTCCTGCCACACTTGCGATAGCTTCGTACTGTTTCTGTACTAATCACTTCGCCTTCATTTGAATTGGTATGTCCTGTCCTTAGAGAGAATATGTTATTCCTATTAGCTCGCAAATCTCTTTGAAATTTCGTACGCTTGCCATGATCTTTCATATAGGAAGGCATTCGTGAACCTGTATCCGAGGATCGGTCCCTGGCCCGAAACCTAAACCATCTCTCTGGTTCTGGTACCTGAGTTTCCCATGTGCCTTCCCGCACCCCGTGGTGCTATGCGAGTTCGTTCCTGACTACCACAATGTCACTCACCTTTTTTTCAGTCTCAACAGCAGTAGGCGCCCCTGTATATGGTTTCGCCAACCAGATTTTTTCATATACAAGGCTGAGAAACGTACTAGTTGAGTAGAGTTTTGGTCGTAATGTACCGCATCCATTCAGTAGAACAGTATCATCGCGGTTTGCCAAATCCAAACAGGCCAGAGCTGAACTTCTTGAGTCTCACAATCGCACATAAAAGTCCAGATGTCGTCGCCATTCTGTCCCGTTTGCTGATTCCTCAGACACATCTGAAACCCAGCTCTCTTGCACAGTGACTTCACAAGATAGCTTTTGCACTCCTAAGTATTGTCACACATACTCAGTTAATCTCACGTACAACCACATTCATCCTCTTCAGTCAACACAACACCGTTTTCACTCAACCCCCCTCTTTCACTCCGCATCACCTTTCGCCAAGGTGCACAGTAGCTATGGCACACGAAGTCCCGAGCTTCACCAGCTTCGAGTCCACGGACTCAAACATGGCTCAAGAGGCCATGTACATCAACGGCATGGAGCAACGAGATGAGCTGCTGAACTCCGAGCTCCCATCTCCAGACCAAGAAGAGGATGATTGGGAGGAGCTCACCATTCCGGGGGTCCGCGATACGGATTTAGATCTGAGCGATTTCGGCCTGGACTTTCCCGAACTGGGTCTCTTCAACGGGGACCTTGTCCGCCTGGGCGTGTCAGATGGGAGGAACGATTCACCCCTGGATGGAGAGCCCCTGCCCCAGCTAAACGCGGAAAGGGCCAACGAACCGGGCCCGGGCCCCGCTCAGCCGATGGCTCAGGGGAGCAGTTCCGCAACGTCACCATCGTCCTCGGAACAGAATTTCCTCGTGGCCTTCGGGCTTCCCACACCACGCACTCCAGTCGTGGGATCCCCGGTCAGGTCTGTTCCTCTCCTCCCCTCTCCTCCTGCTCCCCTCCGTCGCTCCAATCCCACTCCCCCCAACTCGAGTCCCTCCGCCCCCTCCACCTCTCAGGCGCCTACTCAATCTCAGGCCAAAAAGCGGAGGAGGGCAGGGGTCACCCCCCCGCGGAACCCGCCCATCTTCCGCCCGGTACAACCAGTGGCGTGGCCCGTGCAAATGATGCACGTGCCACCGCACGCCCCAACACTGATGATGCCAGTGCAAGCTGCGACTTCGAGCCTGCCCCCCCAGTACCAGGCCGGGTCACCAATGCAGCTGGGCCAAGGGGGATATGCCGCGATTGGTCCATACGGCTCGGCGGCACACTACCAAATGCAGTCGTCGGGCTCGCATCGGCATCTGGGGTTGGGGTCCCTGGACCAGATGTACTGGGACCCAAACTTGATGGCGGACGTGTCCCAGCCACAGACACACACTAATCCGCCGCCGGGACGTCAAGATCCCTCCTGGGGAAATGGAACTCGCCGCAGTCGCCAGCGGGTTCATTCGGAAGCCCTGCCGGAACCAACCGCGGGATCTCCCGCCGCCCTCACGGTCCAAGTCACGACCGTCGAGCAAGGCCCGGGGAAACCACTCGCTCCGAAGCCACTGCTGGGCTGTACCGCGACCAGTAGGGACCGCGGATGTGTGGTTAGCTGCCTGGTCAACGTCAATCCGGAAGGGTGGTGCAGGCGGGGACGACCGAGGAAGGCGGTGTCGGAGGAGGAGCAGAGGAGGAAGAACCAGATGCCCAAGCGGGGAAGGGGACGACCCCGGGGTTCGAAGAATAGGCTCAAGGTGAAGAAGTCGATGGAGAAGGGGAAGGAGGAGGAGCGCGTGAAGGACGCGGAGGAGGCGCGGGGCCCCCTGTGGAAGTGGATGGAAGACGAGCAGGACTGAGGGCGGGGATTTGGGGCGGTTGTTTGCTCGTCGTGCATTTCGTTCTCAGAGTTTCGGATCAAGCGTTTTGGAAATCGGTCTCTGGCGTTCGGTGGAAGATGCCCAATTCGGCGGGGGTTTCTGGAGTCTGAAGTTCGTTCTTCATGGTCATGTATCCCATTTCTTCATGTATGATAAAAACCAAAAAGATATTAAACACATTCGCCAGTCCACGGCTTGCGCCTCTCTTGATCGACATGGTTGTGACCTGTAAGCTACATCAGCGTATCGATCATGACACTAATAGACATCCTTTCTGGCAAATGCAGTATGAAGAGTCCCATATGGAGATAGTCCCATCTTTTCCTTGTGTTCACCCGATACCACCCAAGTCCTATACCAGACCACCGAACTCCGCTGCCATTCTTGAGGCACCTACCCAATACCCCATTCATAGATCCCGCACCGGAACGAAGAACCGGGTTCCTGGACCTTTCGACCGCTCTTCATCACTGAAAAATCCATCCTTTACATTGGAATTCACGTTACCGTCGTCCGCTTCCGAGTTCTCTTCAATTTGTTGGCCGGATTCCCGTGGCATATCGGCTTGTCTTTCGACGGTGGTGAGAGCAAGTCCAGCTACAGATTGGAGTTGATGCCAAGTGGTATTTCCCAATCCTGGGGCACTTGATCCCGCTTCTGCATGGACAAGGTCCGCTACAGCGTCGTCTTCGGGTCCAGTATCTTCGATTTTTTATGTCGATCGACATGGTTGGACGACCACATGTACTTCAGGTAGGTAAAAATTTCCATTCTACCGAAATTCATGATGATACTTTCTGTACCTATCTCGCCTCTGGGGATTCCAGTGATAGAGTTGCCTTGCTGCGGGTGAATGGTGCTGACTAATCAGCCCCTGAAAGGAGATTCGTTTATTGTGATAAGCCCGCAGTCCTGGGAATGGGGCTGGATACAACGTTCACATCGATTTCGCTCCTGCTATTGTTTGCAAAGTCATCTTGTTCTTGAGAAGGTGATCTGTAGGAACTCAAATCGGGTTCTGCAATACCCTGTTGCCGCCGTGGGGTCTTGTTGTTGTTGTTGTTGTTGTATCGTATGCTCTAAGCTTCGTGGGGGATGGATTTGACACGATTTCTAGAAGCAAGCCGATAGCTATAGAACTAACCGGCGCAAAAAGTCCTATGGAGAAACTGTTGATGAGATGCCACTGGTTCATTTTGGTAGAGGAGATGTTTCACAAGGCAAGTAGCGAAAATAAAGGGGGCGGGGAGACCCACCGCCGAACCATCCGAAGCCTCCCTTCTCCCCGTTCTTTTGGCCCACCAAATCATCCTCTGATAAACATCCGAAAGCTTATATTAACTCCCTTCGTACCCGTAGTTTCCTAGTTAATCCCTAATATAGACAGTCCAGTCCAAATCCCCCATAACACTTCCTGATCGAAGGATATAGTAGTGATCCAGCACTTGTCAAACAGCATCAATACTACCACCTTTAGCTTGAGGTCAATGTAAGATGAGAGCTGCATGGTGACGAAGTCATGGATTCCGTAAAACTGGGAATAATTCAAGCAAGAAGCATTTCTACCAAGAAAAAGTCACCGGCCCTGTGCATGCGATTCGCCTGTCACTATTAGCGCGTTTCCAGGCCATGTTGGTTGTTGGCGTGCAAACGACCAGCTCATTAGCATCCAAGCAGGGCGCAACTTGGGAAATTGGGAGGAGGGAATTTCTCCTCCGCCATCGCGGTGATGGGCCTTTTCATTCATTCTTGATCGTGTACAGAAGGAGGCGACCTTGGATTCTATGAATTCACTCGCTTTTCTGAATCCGAGCACATCGTGACGAGATTACAAGTCGAACAAACAGAGCACCTTGCCGTGCACCACAGTTCACTTCACTTTGCATTACTCAACCCTTCAACTACACTTACTAGACTTACCTCATTTTTGCCGAAGTATATAACCTCCTTATCCCTCTCCGAGCGCGGTAGTGACATCTCGCCTTTATCCTTCCACTCATTATAACCACGAGGTCACTACCCCCATCGCTCAGTATGCGGCACTCCACCGACCCTACCACAGGTAGCTCGACCGAGCCAAAGCCCGACACGATCATCCCTCCGCACTCATCATCTGGCAATAGCAGACATGCGCGGAACTCCTCGCTGCCCTTCTATGGCGGGTCGCCCATGAGGATCACGCGAGGAATCAAGCCGGAGGGAGAGTCGGGAAGGCGAGGGGTGCATCCGTGGAAGTTTCTGAAGATCTGCTTCCAGGGGAGCTGTCAGGCGGGGATGGTGATGAATTTCCTGTGGCCAGTGGTGCCGGCTGCGATTGCGGTGGTATGTTCCTTCCATATAGCTCTTCTAGTCGTATAGTGTGCGTAATGCATACTGGCAGGATAGAATGATTGCTAAGACGAGATCTCCAGAACTACGCCCGGCCAAAAGATTTCCTCGCCATCTTCATCCTCAACTACATCGCCATGATCCCCGCCGCCAACCTGCTCGGCTTCGCCAGCCAGGAACTCGCCCGCAAGCTCCCCAAAGTCCTCGGCGTCATCCTCGAAACCACCTTCGGCTCCCTCGTCGAGATCGTCCTCTTCATGGTGCTGATCGCCAAAGGCGACGGCAGCGTCCAGATTATCAAGGCCGCCATCCTGGGCTCCATCCTCGCGAACCTCCTCCTATGCCTAGGCCTCTGCTTCTTTTTCGGCGGCCTCCGGCGCAACGAGCAGTCCTTCCACGAGGCCGTCAGCGAGGTCGGCAGCAACCTCATGCTCGTCGCCGGCATGGGCCTCATCATCCCTGCGCTGTTCGCCGCCTCGGTCACCTCTGGCATCACCGAATCTACCCCGATGTCCCCCGAGCAACTCGACAGACACGTCCTCCGCATCTCCCGCGCCGTCGCCATCATCCTCGTGTGCGGCTACTTCCTCTACGTCTTCTTCCAAATCCGCTCGCACCACGGCCTCTACGAAGACCTCCTCGAATCCGACGAGGCCAAAGACGTCGACCGCTCCCGCGACCTCTACAAGGCGAAGCTTACCCTCACCGAAACCCTCCTCGCCCTCGCCCTCGCCCTCGCCTGCGTCTCCCTCATCGCCGTCTTCCTCGTCGCGCAGATCCACCACCTCGTCGCGGAGCGCCACGTGTCGGACGCGTTCGTCGGGCTGATCCTCGTCCCGCTGGTCGAGAAGGCCGCCGAGCACATCACCGCCGTCGACGAGGCCTGGGATAACCAGATGAACTTCGCGCTCAGCCACGTGCTGGGCTCGAGCATCCAGACCGCGCTGCTGAACACGCCGTTGGTGGTGTTTGTTGGCTGGGGTCTCCACCTCGATATGAATCTGAAGTTCGAGCCGTTTGATGCGGCGGTGTTGATCTTGGCGATCCTCGTCGTCGGGGGGTTCCTAAGGGATAAGAAGAGTAATTATTTGGAGGGCGCGCTGTGCGTGATGGTGTATGTCATGATCGCGATTTGCGCGTACTTCTATCCGAACCCGCTCGCGGCGGAGGGCCATCATTGACGAGGTGGGTTCGAGTGGGGTTGCTTTGAGTTCTTCAGCGTGTCCATTGCACAGTTTTCTTGCGTCGCGAAGGAATGATACCCCCTTGCGTTTGGCATTTTGCCGACGGTTTTTTCTGTCATGAGCATATATCATATACATAACATCGGGATTTACGACGTCAATGAATTTCGGTTCGGAATGTATCCGAGCCTCTGGATTAGGTACTTGATCATTCACTGATGGAATGAATGAATCGTGTCCACCGCCATCAATTCTTGAAATCAGGACCGTCCCAACTCTTTCGCCGAAGTGTTTAACTGTCTACCCTTCCCAGGGTGCACCTGCAGCAAATCTAGAATTTCGATTCCGGTGCCCCACGATACATGGCTGGTCCCAGACTTGTGGGTGTAACAATATGGAGCCAATGAGGATCAAAGTCAACATTGTTTGTCTCTGACTGCAAAATCTCGCACTGCAACGCTCCAGCCAAACGAAACGACAATGCCTAGTTTCCAGATTCGCCGTTATCAAAATACTAGTCCGCTAGGCCTAGGGGTATACGTCCATTCATAATGGACCCAGGCAACACTGAGAACGATGTCCGATTTCCCGATTCGTCTCCTATTTGAGAACTTCATGATCCCATCCCAGCACCAAGACACTCGTCGCTCAACATTCGGATGTGCTATCGTATGCATTCTGAAAATACTTCGAGGACCACCGACGTATCCATGATTACGAAGTCTGCCTTGGGGGTACACGTCCAGGCAGTAGGATTGGCCTTGGTTCCCGTGTCTGGCATGTTTTCAGGACGGCCAAAGTCATCATCGATTACCGATCGGACCTCCCGTGTGGAGGGAATGTCGTCGTTCTGCATATTGTGTTTCACCGAGAAGCGCCCCTCCTCGCGACGTCGGCCGAACACGGGCCAGGAATCTTCAGTCTTCTCTGGCCCAGCTCAGCGCCGACACACCCGGACGACTGTCCATCGACGATCTAGATAATATCGACCAAACCCCCGTGCCCCCATCACCCGAAATCCACATCCATCTCCCCTTCATATCCCCCCTCCATCTCATCCGGATACACCACCTCCACCCGACTCCCCAACGCCTCCTTCCCTTGCCTCAACATCTCATCCATCTGCCGTTGCATCCGCCGCATCCGCTGCTCCTGCCGCTGCTCCCCATACTCTCGCTCCCGCAGATACCGCCGCGCCTCCGGGGATATGTTCGTCGGGCTGCCCCCCTCGGACCCCGCGCCCCCACCCACCCGGTGCACGTCGAGACGCAGCTCGTGCGCCCGCGTCACGTCCCCTGAGAATGACCGTGCGTGGCCGAACGTTGGCGGCGCGTATGATGCGCGGCCGGAGCGCGAGGTGGGCCGCGAGGTGCCCGATGCGCGGACGTGGGTGGCGGCGGGGGAGCGGAGTGCTGCGCTGGAGGGGCGGGGATGTGCGGGGCGGGTGGGGCTGGGTTGTGCGCTGCGGCGGGTGCGAGGGGAGGAGGGAGATGGAGTGCGGTGGGGTGCGATGGAGGCCGTGGAGGGGTGGCGGGCGTGGAGGGGCGTGGCGGAGGGTTTGCGGCGGGAGATGGGAGTGAGGGAGGGGCGGGAGCGGCGGGGAGGGGCGGTAGTGGAGGAGAAGGGGGAGGGCGAGGGGTGGTGGTGAGCGGGTGCTTTCTCGACGACGACCCAGCCGGTGTTGGTATCGGTGTGCAGGCGTTTCGCGGGACGGGAGGAGAGGTAGTCGTCATCTTCTGAGGGATATTGGCCAGGGACCGGGGTGGCATCGCGCTCGAATCGGCGGATCGCGCCCGAATCCTCCTCCCAGTGGGACTCGTCGCCGTTCATGTCTGGGTCCGCGTCGTTGCCTGGCGACAGGTGATATCCCTGTCCGCCGCCGGCGTGGAACCCTTTAAAGGCGGCGCTACTGCAGAATTGCCAGACCTTCCCGGCGACGCCGCCCACGATCCCGAACATAAACTTGCCCCATCCTCGCCCTGGGGCTGCGGAACCGCTGGGTGAGGACGGCGGGCTCTGTGCAACGTCCCTTATCTCCTTCACGATGTCGCCATCCCACTTGCTCCTAAAGTTGACATCCGCCTGCGCACTGAAGTATTCGTCGCGGTCAAGCTGCCGCGACTGCGCTAGCAGTGGTGTATCCAACCCTCCGGCCAGGATATACTTGGTGTTTACCATCGGCGGAGGGCTTCCGGTTTTCGTGGACCGCGCGATCGAGGAGTCGGCCATCGGAAAGTCGTTCCATGGCATGGAGATCTCGGAGTGGGCGTATGGCGTTGTGAATGAGTTCGTAGAGCGGTTCGAGGAGGGCTCAGGCCGTGAGCGTTTTCGGGAGTAGGAGGTATTGGGGGTCTGGAGGATGTGGGATGTCCGGCCATGGCTTCCGCGTACGTGGGCAGCGCCTTCTCCGCTCATTGGGGTGAAGTAGTCAGGCATTTCTGGCGTGGTATTGCGCGCCTTCATCGTTTCGCTGTAAATGTTTCTGAGGGTATACGTCGACAAGGCAGTTGTTCGACGTTCTCCACGCCACGCAATATCGCAAAGGATGGCAAGAGGCTATTCCGCGCCAGTATGAATCATAGCTGCCTGAAAAAGCATACGGGGTATATGACTATTCGCCTTGTCGAGGCGGGGTTGGTTGCATGTGGTGATACGTCGTACTCGCTCTTCCGGAGCTGGAGGAGCATGAGCTGATCGGAGATCCATAAAATGCCTTAGTGCCTAAGGCCAATTCATGCTTTGGTCAGCTGAGTCAGCCAGGTCTCCAGCACGTGATTTTATGCCTCAGAGCCTAAGGCTGCACTGCAAGGCGCCACAGCGCTTACTCAACCTACATATCGTGCCATTCAACACGACTTCAGCCTCACCTGCGTAGTACACCTTTCTATCACGAATTATACAACAATGCCTATCATGGAGGAGCCCAAACGTTCTGAATACGATACTATACGAAAAACGCGATTCTTTGATGCCTACGATACACTTCCGAAAAGCTCTTCTTTTAATAGTCTTTGTAAAAGAGAGGGAATAGAGATACCTCCATCAACAGGTCGATCTTGGCTGGAGCAACGCGAGCAATGTGGTCTAGCCGCATATCGTAAGACTCGTAAGCTTAGCACACGTCTCGGACAGCCCTCTCGAATAAGCGATTCAGATATCCATCGCTTATTTGATCCATCAAATCCTCTCCATTACCAACCGTACGATGAACAGGGCCTCGAATTCAATGTTAAAGGGAAAACAGTACAACGAAACGTAAAGGAACGGGCAGGAGCCCAACGATTTCGAAAGCCCTACGTCACAGCTATCTCCCCGGCACATAAAAAAAGACGGGTCTCGTTTGGTCAACGAAATAAGGGCGAAACATTGACGAGATTTTGGCGATACGTCTACTTCACGGACGAAGCCCATTTCAATTCTCGAGATCTCTCAGATCGACCTGAATATGAGCTTCGAGATCCTGGGGTAAGTCAACATCCTCAAAATCTCCAGGAAACCGGGTCACTCCCACTCAATGTCACTGTTCACGTCGCGAGTGGTGTTTCGTACGACCACAAAGGTCCACTCGTCTTCTACAACGATCCAGCTTGTCCGACCGTCCCGAAATCCTACAGACCACGCGCCCCTCGCCGATCTAGCATTGAATCAGAAGAGCAACATGCTGAAAACGTCCGAATCTTTCGAGAAGCAGCTGATCGACCAGAGGTCGAATCAAAGCCTAAAGGAAACTCTATGGGCCAGAGATTCTATCTAGAAGAGGTTCTTCCGCATCATATTAAGCATCTTAAGTGGCTCGAGGGTAAATATAATCGGAAGTTCTTCTTTGTTGAGAAAAACGACCCATCTCATGGAACTCGTTCTATGAACAATCCCGTTATACAACGAAAGAGAGATGAAGATCTCCTATTACTTGATTACCCCGCTCAATCATCTGGTCTAAGTCCACAAGAGCCAGTTTGGAGAGCGATGAAACAGGTGCTTCGAGGTGGATCATGGCATTCGGTGGAGGGATTTAAGCAAGCTATTCGGGCTGCCCATCGCTCGGTATCACAGCAATCAATTCGTGGATATATTAGTGAGATGCCTCAGCGTTGTGAAAAGCTCATCGAGCTAAAAGGAGGCCGAATTCGCTCTGATAAGTGGTAGAAAATGAATAAATTGATGAATCTGAGCCTTTCCCAAGCCCTCTAGACGATGAGTAAGCGTCCTCTTGCTGCCCTTTAACATCAAAACATCACGACATCGATCCAAAGTTCCCAACTTTATTTTCACCCTCATTTCCAACTAGCTCATTGACCGGTTTGAAATCGTCTTTTATTAAATATATGAGGTAGCAAAAATCAAGGGCTTTGGCTCTATCTTGTGGAATATGACAGGTAGGGGACATAAGTCATAACCCCCCGTCCACTTGGAGGCTTCGGGAGCCTTTCCTCTTGATAATCAGTCTTTATCGTCGCAGATAAATCGATGGCACCAGATCTTCGAACTGATGTAGGCGAACTGAACTTCCGCCATCTTCTCAGCATCACTAATAATGTTGTTCTCCTTCGCTCATTTGATTTCTTCCTTTCCTCTCCCTCAAAGTCCCCTCCAACTATTCCTAGCCCTTCGTCTGCATTGCAGTCATGTCAGTGGAATCGTCACTAAAAGAAAACATCAAACTTCTTGGTGCTACATAAACTCAATCTCTGCACCCTCGGCCTAACATTCTGCAATATGTGCATTATAATATGCCGATTTCCACAGTCTTCCGCTCACGTGGTCAAGTTCTGTGATAAACAGAGAGGGTGCCTTTCATCAGTTCTCCTACTTTTCATTACTTCCATTCCTTCACTCAACCTTCTACTTCTTATTTATCTCCCTCCCATTCCCCCTTCTTACTTTATTTCCTTAATTATACTTCCTCCTTCCTTCCTTTACTATTACTTTTCACTTTCTTCCCTTCCCTTCACTCCCAATTCTCACTTCCGGTGACAAGTAGCTCAGTCAAGCTCGCTTGATTGAGTGAAACTATAGACCAACAAGCACATTTGCGACATTTATCTCCGGGGACTCACACTTTCTGGATCTCAGATCCTCGTGCTCTCGCATGGATCTAGACAACTTTAGCTGTGGCATGCGTCTTCGAGGCCTCAATATTCTTGAGACCCATCTCCTCCTGAAGACCTAGGAGACCAAAAAGCGCAAAGATATGTCGTGATGTTGTCCGCATGGCAAGAGCCATTTCGGCGAACGAGTTCTTCCCGCCGATCTCATGCTTTCCTCCTGGACCCCGCGTATCAGCACCAATCCCGATCCTCGCAGGGTTGTTCTCCTCTCCGACTACACAGCGAAATCAGCAGAACATCTGGAGTGGGGTCTGGTCGTGAGACGTCCCTGGTATTCGAGAATCCGCGTGTGGATGATGTTTAGAGATAGCGAGACGCCTTGTCTAAGGACATGGGTACTTCGAAATTCGGATTGGAGATTAGAGTGCGGTGAGCTACTGGAGTATGCCCTGTTCCAGCGTCTGGTTTCAAAACACACCTCATATCGGACTGGTGGGATCCTACGGGACAGTATGCAACCCCTGCTTGTGATGGTCTGGCGCGAAGGGCGGGAACCAAGTGGGATGATTTGCGAGTCGAAGAGCTAGGAGTAGGAGTCTATATCTGTTGTTTGTGGATTGGTAGATTCTTCTGTGGGCCATGCTCATCAATCGCAGTCCATTCTCCCATATTGCCGCCTCGTTTTACTTCTCCTCACGCTCTGTCGTTGTATATCCTCCTTCCGATTTCAATCATTTATAGTAGTAGCTGCCTTCTCTGATAGTCTTGAGCTGCGCTCAGTCTGAATGTTGGCAGGCTGGGTACAGAGACCACCCGTAGTGGCAAGCTGCGAGAGGGAGAACTCTCCTCCCCTTTTTCTTCAGCGATTCAACCTTTTCCGCCTCCAAAATCCTTTGTGGTTTCAGGCCATGACATCTTCATCATTGAATGCCGTCAATCATTTATAGTAGTAGCAGCCTTCGGCTTTACTGTCGTCGTAGGCTGGGGGCGCACTTCCGTATACGCGAAGCCTCTGAAATCAGTTTAAGTTCATCAAGAGAAGTTGTCGTTTTCCTTTCCAATTTTTCAACTTCAGTACAGTCAGTCCAGTTCATCGCGGGGAGTTACTTGTCGTTTCCTTTTCAATTCGCAAATCCAGTACCACCAGTCCAGTTCACTTCGTGAACAGAGAGCCGCGGTCGTATTTACTTCGTAAACGGTATAGTTGCGTCATCCATTGCTCTCATGCTTTCACTGTTCCCGTTGGCCACTCTCTCGTATGTTCTCTCTCACAATTAGTTTGATTATATAGTCGATAGTTCGACAACACGGGTTTGCCCAACTTTCAATGGTCCAACCATGCCTTAAAGTCCACCATGAGCGCAAGGCATACTGGGCGCATTCCATCCAAGATACTGCTCTCCGATTTTGCGCACTATAGCAGCATTTGCTTATGATGAAATATTGCGACGGAAATCTCCCAGACAGAAGTCCAAACTTTGTCAGACCAACAGTTGACATGCGAGGGGAACCGGGTCGCTTCTTAAGCTCACTTAATAAAGGATTTGCCCCAGAGTCCTGGGACGAAAACACCCGCAACGAATTCTGGCAAGCCTATCGTGCATGCTGCCATCACACGGTACGCTTGGCTAGAATTATCAGTGACGATTAGCTAGCAATCCGAGCCTCTTTATATTAGGAAAACATATAAAAGTATCAGAGTATACCGAATTCGACTCATAGTTGGAAGTGTCTCTGTTAATTTAATGTATCTATTAATAGATCCATCAGAATGGACAATATAGCAAATTATTTTTATAGTACCGCATGGTAAGTTTCACCGCCACCTTTCTTTCTCCATCAAGTACACAGTTCTCCGCCACTTCTCATGTGAACTTTGGACGTACACTGGCTCTTGAACAGCACTCCCACATCGCATAGAGTTCTTTCGAAGGGGTTCAAAGACCTCTTCAAAGTGGTCCTGGAAGTTCCGCTCGAACACGATCACGGCCTTGTCCTTGATGACCTTCGGGTTTGGTATATTAGTCACCTTGGGTTCAGTATATCCAAGGCACCTCTTTCCAGCGCCGGGAGAACCTCTGGACACGAAGCTCTTTCAGAGCAGAGTCATATCTTCGTGGGCAAGAGACGGGTCAAGAGCAGGGTGCAAGACCTTGCCCAACGGCGTCTAAAGGAATATTGCCATTGTTACTCCGTACAAGGCACAGAAACAGACCTAGGCGATGAAATTGGGGGAGGTAGCCAGTGAACCTGTCAAGGCTCACTGCCTGGTGTGCTCAGACCGAACGAGATTATCAACTTCCTGTTAGAAATCTGGATCTCCAGTCCGTCTCAGTCTCATGAGAAGGATAGTGGCCTTCGACGCCGTCATCAGTAATGTCAATAAGCCTGCTGCTCTTCGACGAGGTCATTAGCAATGCTAATGAGTCTGGTGACTTCGGATTTCTGGTTGATAATATGAAGCTTCTGAACACCAGTTTCACTCGTGGAAGAGAAGTATTCTGTATGGTTGGCTCCGCTTTCCCATTCCATTGAACGAACTCAACTCTCCTTGCTATATGATGCAGTACAGACATGAATTGGTCGTCAAAGATCGGGTCACTAAAATCGATGTCAGGCTATGAGCAGAACGAGACGAAATAAAGCGATGGGGGTCCGGAATACGAGGCGTCGGTCGGGTTTGGGCCTGAGAGTGACGACGACGGGGATGGGCGGTAGATAGGGTGCTGGGGGTTAACAGACCACAATTGTCAGCCATCAACAGAAAGGGCAGAGGATGTCTAAAGAATTGGACTCCCGTGGAACAGAACGAAGATGTCAGAAAACCGAAAATGGCGGGAAAAATATGGTCATGTACATTAGATCGATCACACGTAGGCAACGGGCAGACACTCAAAACTTAGAAGGACAACCATGCTGTGCATGGTGGAGGAGGATCGGAATCTGAGCAACGGTTGAGGGAACCGAGATGTATACACTAGCTTAATCAATTTTACCCATCTAATAGCTCACAGAATAAATGGTGGAACAGTGCATACTTACCGATCCAGAGGCGTTCAGCAGAACGAAATTGATAGCCCAGTGACCTCGAGACACGTCCCCGGCCCACGTAAGGCTGAAACTTCACAGATAACGGTTATGGGCTTTAACCCTGGGGTTGTGCTTCATGGTCATCCATTTCTTCTACCTTGATGGGCCATCAGAGTGGATGAAATCGATGGGCCTGCACACTTGACGGACTCCCCTAGGCTAAAGTTAGAATCGATTCAAGGATCTTAGAAGTCCGCTTGGGGATGTGTTTCGGGGTCCAGGTCTCCAGATAATCGATTTCGTCATCCCGGATAGAATCGCGACCGCCAATTGGCAACGCGAAAGGACGAAAGGAAGAGTAGGAAACCGGAACACTAGGGGGCGCGAAAAGGCTAACGTGACGCTTAGAAAACAATGCCGCACCCCAGATAAAGGAAATGCTTGATATCTTGAACTCCGCATTGCGGAGTGGCAACCCCCAAAGTCTCTGGTGGTAGTGTACCACGGGTGGATGAACGGAGATCCCATCTTCACATACGCGCTGTATGAAGCACGTGGCCAGTCAAAGTCGGGTACCCCTGAAACAATCAAATACCTTCTGTAGAAATCATCTGCCGAATTTCCTATCTTGAAGAGACGTTGTTTGGACACACGAAGTCTCGGTCCCGTGGCGTGGGAGCGCTCAAGGCGAGCCTGCTATGCACGTGGACTGCGGAGTATTACAGATATCCTCATTGAGTCATTTAGAGCACATTGGGAAACCGAAATACTCTCCGGACGATTTTCGTATCGCTGGACAACGGCATACTATCTCCAGGTCTCGAGGCCATGCCACGAATGACGAAATGCGTGGAGTTCAGCTGCCGACGGGATCAACAAATGCACTTTTGACACCATGGTCTGTACGTACGAAGCATGACAAACAACAGACGGCATATGAATCTATCATCATTCAGCTCGAAGTGGGGGATTCCATCCATATCAAAGCCAAGATGATAGTTCTCGAAAATCTTAATGTTGACGTTCAGGAGGCTGACCGGGGATGTTGATGCATGTCTCGAAGCGGCCTAGTGTACGAATAGTTTCAGCGATCGCCACCAGGGACCCTCCCAATTTGCCCTCCTCGAGATCCCTGGTTCTCAACCCAGGAATGATCTTCGGGGATATCTTGGGGATCAGCGCGATTGAGGATGGAGATCGCGAACCCTTCCATCGGGACTTTGGTACTTCGTGGGATCGTTCGCCGATATCCAGGCGAGCCTTATCAGGAACAACTGAACAATGGAATGTTCTGTGGAACAGAGAGATTTAGATCAGTACCATGCGAAGAGATAGGATAGAAAGGTAGGATTGTCCAATTGATACTGAAGACTTGGGGCGTGTATTCTTGATGATTTTGTCTATAAAAGCCGTGTCAACGCGTCGTATTCAGTCTCCTTGTCTCTTTATCCGCATCGTTCAAGTTCAATCCTTCGCAAAGAGTCCTTCATTCCGGCTTCTCCAAGTCCTTCATCCTTCCTAGCCCTTCGTTATCGAAGACTACCCCTACCTTCACCATGCGTACTCAACTCCTCGTCGCCGGCATTGCTCTGGCTGCCTCTGCGATGCCTCTTGAGGCTGCCACGCGGGTCGAGCGTCGCTCTCCATCCCCAGCTACCCCCGCCACACCCCTAGGTAGCCTCATCGACAAGCTCCTCAGCGCAGTTCCGCCTGTCGAGTTCGACCTTGGAGTCGGAGGCAAGCCTGAGAACGGGTCGACTGTTGAGCGTCGCTCACCAACCCCGGTCGAGCCAACTACCCAGCTGGGCAAACTCATCGATGGCCTCCTCAGTGCGGCCCCACCTATTGAGCTCGATCTTGAAATCGGCGGAAAGCCCGAGAACAAGACTGCTACACGTCGCTCTCCATCTCCTGCTACCCCAAGCACTGCGCTCGGGACCCTCGTGGAGGACCTTTTGAGTAAAATCCCTCCTGCCGAGCTGGATCTCGGACTTGGCAGGCGTGCGCTCATCAGCCGTGCGGATATCGCTTCTGCCCTCCCAGATATCATTGGCACTGTTACCGACATTGTCACTGTCATCCTTGGCCACATCCCAGCCACCGATCTCAACCTGGGAGTCGGCAGGCGCGACGTCGCCAGCGCAGCGGCCATTACCACTATCCTCCCTGACCTCCTGAACACGGTCACCGATGTTATCGGCGTCATCCTTAGCCACGCTCCTCCGGTTGAGCTCAACCTTGGTGTCGGCAAGCGTCAGGTCCCCAGTTCGGCAGACCTGAGTGCAACCGCCTCAGATCTTCTCGGCAGTGTTACAGATATCGTTGGTGTCGTTCTCAGCCACGTACCGCCGGCAGAGCTTGAACTTGAAGTCGGCAAATAGGTGCCGAAGAGAAGGCACCGTGAGGCGCTCATGGAAGAATTAGAGAGCATCGGGCAACATCCTTACATGACGGCAAATACGGCGTTCTCATTCGCGATGAAGGACTAGAGAAATATGCTAGGCAATAAGACTTGTAATTAGGAAAATACTCCATGGACTCTTTCTTGTATATTTTTTTTATGAATGCCTGTTTTTCTGGGATGCAATTGTGTGGATTCTGCAGCAATAGAGAACTGGATTCAACTTGATTTGATTCTCAAAATTACCGAAGGCTTTGAAATTTGAATGAATTGACATCATGACGCTTCAAATGGGCTTATTGATAAGGCCCTGATCGACGTTGAACGTGGGGTTATCTTAGTACCTCGGGGGTGTCACGTCGACTGAGCGGCATTCAAGTTGCGTCGCATTCAATTTTCCGAGTTCAATTCACAACCATTGCTATCTTGTAGTTATATACCTCTAATTCTTTCACTTTTGAGAGTTCTAGCATTGCCACTATACCGATAAAACGGAATATGGCAAATCTATTCGAAGAAGGGACCCAATCCCTTCTCCACGCCAGCGAGCATGTTTCGAGACGCACAGTTGGATACTTCAAGCGATTCTTGGATTGGGCGCTACAAGATAACGTTCTCGAAGTCGCAGTTGGGCTGATGTATGTGACGATTTTAGCTGTTCAGTCATTTCTTCCAGTCCCCTCTTCTACATGCCACGTCTCCTTCTCTCGTGTTACATCCGGTGTTTAACCTGCTACGCAGCATCGCTGCAGCCTTCACGGCGGTTGTGTCATCCCTCACTACCGACATTATACTTCCTATTGTGTCACTTCTCCCCTTCTTCAATCGCAATCTAGATGAGAAATTTGCCATTCTTCGTGGTGGCCCGCATAGCGAACAGGGCTACAACACGATCAAACAAGCCCTCGACGATGGTGCCGTTGTATTCGCCTATGGATCCTTCCTCGATAAAGTGGTCCGTTTCATGGTGCTTGGATTGACAATGTATGTCACCGCTCTTGTATACGGCTGGATGAGCAAAGATAACATCGTCCGACACTCGGTGCGATGCAAATATTGTCGGAAGAGGATCAGCGAGAAGGTGAGTGGAATCGATTCGAAGCGGTCGATCCGGAGATCACGACGCTGTGGGCAATCGTTTCTAACTTACCACGTTTTCATAAATGCCAGGCTACGCGATGTTTCAACTGCACCAGCTGGCAGGATGGCAGGGAAGAAATCAACTAATTAACACGTCATGACGGGAACCGGGCAATATACCTTCCACGAATGTTCGATTTGTAGGGGTCTTTTCGCAATGAAGACATCCCAAACCGTTCGTCGTCGCACCGTGTCGGCGAGATTGCACTTTACAATTCACTTGGAAAGCTTATTATCGATCGTCGTTGGGTTCGAAGACGAACAGCAATTTCATCTGAATTGCAGTCGCACGGAGGCCCTCACCGACATAATCTTAAACAATTTATATTGTGGCGCTTGGGTCCAGGTTCTGCTGCCGGCCCCTGCATCCTTCAAACGATTGCATACGAACAAGAAATCCTTGGATGCCATGTGACGATAATGGTCGGTCATGCGAATCGGGGGCAATTAATATATTCGATGGCGCTTGCTCGGGTCTAAGCACGAATAATGTCCAATTTGACTTGACCGTCCCCTCGGCCCCCGTAGTGCGGCACTGAATGGGAGACGGACTGGGCGGAGCGCGGACAAGTTTTCCGAGAACCCGGAATTCAAAGTTGGGAAGCCATGATGAGGACTATTTATTTGAGTCGTCCTTAACAGCAATAAGAGGAAGGTTTATACAGAAGTTGAAGCATCTTGCGTTTCACAGTCCTAAAGTTTGAAAGGCGGGGGTGGCAGAGAGTTGGACGGCGACACGATGCCGACGCTAGTGGTCGGCAGATAGTGGAGCGCCTGGCCGCGGTCCGCCACTCCCCTTCGATATCATCCCCATAATCTCACCTCACCTATTCTCCACCCAAATAACCAGTGTGATATTCTTCCTCAGGCTTTAGTCAGTTTTTTATGCTTCCGAGAGAGCCCTTTTGATCAGCTGTATCGCATATTGGCCATATTTCGAAGGGAGAGGGCCTATTATCGCTCGGCAATCTTGACAACCCTCATCTATCGGCGTTCACCAATTTTGGCTGGTCCTCATGGCAAGCAATCATTCCCTTGATGACTTTATCTCTCAGGAGTTATTACCCAACTCGGTAGATTAACGAAGAGGGCAGCAGTCCTGGCCGCCACCCTACCAATGAACATGCGAAGAATCAACCTGTATCCGTCTTAATATACCAATAAGGTTTGGCTGCAACTTACCCCCAGCATCGCTAGCTAGAAAGGGTTGTCATAACTTCCACGAATCCTCGTCGCTGTCCCATGCCCTCAGTCCCGGTTCGATATGCGTCTTGTTTATACCCATATACGAGTCTTTCATACGCTCCACGCGCTTCCCCGCAATGAAACAACCTGGATTCTACCCCTGATGCGCTCTGTCTCGTTCCTGTTCATGTGGGCTCACTGACCCCTTCTGGCTGCACGGGTCAACCGCTGTCGTTTAACTCTCGCGCATCCCTCTTCTTGCTGCTCCTTCTTCCCAAAATATCCTACATTCGGCCTCGCGAAACGACGCAGTCAGCGTGTTGGCCAGCTCATAACCTGTTGAAGACCGGCCTCATCCTCGAACGTCCTTTTTCGAGTCCTCTGGATGTCGTGACCACTCTGTTATTCCTGTCCAATCCTGACATCACGACCGCGCCTTTGCCTCGGCCTGTGGGGGAACGATGAAAATGTCCACCTCTACCACCCAACACCGACAATAGTACGAATCGGCGACGGATCGCCATCATGCGAAAAGTACCGGCCGCGGTGATGGACCGTTGGCCTGCGCCCAACTTCGTTAATCCGGAGTCGCAGGCCAACAAGATGCTGATTTCCATCTATATCTGCATAATAATCATCATCTTCGTGCTCTTGCTTCGGCTGTACTCTAGAATATACGTCGCAAAGTGGGTCTCCGCTTGGTGTGATGGAGCGAATCGACTGGGCTAACTGGCATTTGCATCAGATTCTTTGGAATGGACGACTGGATGATTGTGCCCGCTGCTGTAAGCCTTCTTCAAATCCACATGAACCTAGATCACACAGAACTAACTGTAGTATAGATCACGGCCATCGGGTACGGGATCAACGCAATTGTCGCCATCGACCACGGCTGGTGTAAGAAGTTTTTAGTCTTTAGCTTAGAGCACGACTGACAAACTCCAGACAAACACATATGGGACCTCCGACCACATGAACTAATGATGGCTCGAAAACTCGTCATCGCATCCAACCTGACCGGATTGTACACAGCCGGTTGTACAAAACTTTCTGTCCTTCTCCTATACCACCGAATCGCGCCGGCATATTCTCGATTTCAATATCTAGTCTGGTTCTTTACTGGACTCGCCATCCTTTGGATCATCAGCTTTACCGCCGCGAACTTCCTGCTGTGTATCCCGCTTCATGCGTATTGGGATCTCAATTACGATGGTCCGCAGTCGTGCTTTGTGGAGGTGCCCTACTTTGTCGCCTTCGCAGGAATCGATCTCTTCCTAGATACCGCCATATTCATCCTGCCTCTACCGCTGGTCATCCCACTTCGTTTACCGAAGCGTCAGAAGATGATCCTTGGAGCTGTGTTTGGGATTGGGATTTTGTGAGTACAGCAAAATCCATCGATCACTACCAAAACTGACGTGCTTCAGCGCGGTCGTTGCAGCAGCCCTTCGGTTACCAAGCCTTGTTCGGGTAACGGAATCATTTGATCTAACCTGTAAGCACCCCATCGCCTCCCTTCGTCCCTTAAAACACTTCAAACCCTTCGAGTATTAACCAGCCTCAGGGGAAATCTACGATGCTGCCCTCTGGACCCTTGTCGAAGCCACCGTGGGCATCTTCTGCGCCTCCGTCCCCGCCCTGAAGCCCCTCGTCCAGAAATACACCCCCGCCATCCTCGGCACCATGGGCAACGGGAATCTCACGGGGAGCGGCCACATCAATAGCGGGATGTACCCGAACAGCCAACCGGCGTTCAGCCGCGCCGACTCGCGGGCATACAGCGAGCAGGCGTGGAGCCGCACGCGGTCGCGAACCCTCAGCGAGCCGACCTACAGTCGCGAGCTGTCGCGGACACAGAGCGGCAACGTTGTTTTCAGCGACATCGAGCGGGGGAAGGGGTCTGGGGAGTTGGAGAGCGTGATCCTGACGCGGATCGAGCTGGCGGGGCGGGTGCGGGAAAGCACCGACAGTTCGCAGCGATTGGTGTCGCCGCGGCGTATGGTTTGATGGGATTCAATGGGAATGATTATGGCTTATGGTTCGATGGATTGGGATGGATCGTTGTTGAGCATTCGGCGTTTTGCATATGATATGATTCCTGGGGTATGTGGATCTCTTGGTTGATGGCATATAGGTATTTATGCCGACTTGATTTACCTCATATTATGGCCAATGTGTATTTAGGTAGAACTATCAATTGTATGATGAAGAATATTACCATATTAACAGTGAAACCAGTCGCCCCTTTCTTGATGCATCCTCATGAACGTGAATAAATATAGCGACGGACCCATTGACCTGCGTTAGAGACATTCTGCTGCTCATCCCGCCGCTCATCCTGTCGGTCACCGCAGTGCTCGTTGCGTAGATCATCGTGCTTGATAATTCGAGTTGGTGCTTTCTGCCTAGTGATTCACGATCTTTCGAATACATTCTGTGTTTCTTCTGCTTCTATTTTCTGCACGCATCACAATATCATGTTGGGTCTCGGGATCCCGGAGTCTATCCATGATTAGATTGGCTTATACCCGCCACCCCCGGCGCAGAATCGCCTACATAGCTTCCCATACCAGAGTCTGCACAATGTTTAAGTCCATAGGTCGATTTCACTGCCCGAAGCACTTTGTTCGGGGCCTCAGAGTATCTTTTCGGTGCTTCAAAGTAGGTCTCTTCGTCGATGTCTTCATGTAGGCAGGCGGTTTTGATGTCCTCCTGTCGACACTTGTAGCCAAGGAGTGCCACAAGTGCGAGAGAGGCCAGATATAACGGTGACTTGACCACCGATGCGAATGCTTCCTGGAAGTCCACTCCATAGGCATTTTCAAACCCATGTACAACTCAACTAGCTTTGTATCTGGTGGTCCCTCAATCTTCGTGCCATGGCATGCGTCGACGGACTTGACGGGCTCTTATATATAGCGCTTCCAACCATGCGCGAAGCCCGTCCGACTGCTGAACCACCCGAGTTCACATCCTCGTCCACCGTCTCCAAGGCCCTCTGACTGCCTCAAGGGGGACAGCTTCTCCCAGCGCCAGCCTCAGGATTCGGAGTATCTCGGGTAGCACCTGGTTCCCTAGTCGAGTATTTGAGCCCTGGTATATATAGGACCTGCATCATGCCGTAGAAGAAGATGGCCTAGAAGTGGCCCCGAACCTGGTCCCTCTCACTGCGGGACCCCAACCGGACCATGTAGGAGGCATAGGTCGAGGTCCTTGTGGTAGTTCAGCAGGGCTTCTTTCGTTTCTCGTTCCGCATTCAATTTCTCCACACCGCCCTGGAGCTTCCTCATCCGCTCGTCCTGCTCCTCATTACCGGCGCGGAGTTCACGAGGAAACTGGCGGAAGGCTCGGAGTCGTAAGAAGGTTATCTGTTCGTAAATCGAGAGTATGAATTCCTCGATGTTGACCCCATTCCAGCTTGTGTCGCGTCTCGGTTAGGGATGAACCTCCTGGGTCGACAGGTCGAAGCGGGGAGAAGCGGTCGGGGCTTTGGACGACCTCGCAAGTCTAAAGGCCTGGAGCCGGTTGGAAACTTTCATGCTCCTCCAAGAGATTCACCGACGCCGCTTTTTCTGCGTCGAGGTTTGTTATATAAGCGATTTGAATGGTTCTATATCGACTATTTCGTTGCTACCTGAACTGCCGAAACTTTATGAGCTGCTGAAGGTCTAGGGCACTTACTTCGTGGACATATGTTGATTTCTCTGCATGGGATCGGGAAATGGTATATAACCTGTGCATTGCCGCTCGAGCGGTAGCCTTTGTAGTAGCCAGTGACGAGGGCGGGAACGAGGGCGAGGATGAGGACGAGGACCAGGACGAGGACAATGGGTGCCATTCCTTGGTCGCTCTGCATGCGCTGAGTATATACATCATCCATGCAGCCATGTTGGCTTTCGTTCTAAACGGGGCCACCAGCGAAGAGGATGGTTCTGAATTGAGCTCGCATCGGGCTTGGTTGGACCATGGGTTCCGATCCTCGTCAGTTCATCCCAGTGGGTCGCGAAGTTGGTCGATGCCGGCAACGGCTTGGCCCTGCATGAGCCATGTGGTGACAAGGTGGGCGAACATGTACGTGGACCGTGGTCGTTGCAGGGCTTCTGCGGAGTCTATGAGTCGGCTGAGTTTGTGGTATATAGATATGACTTCGGCATTACGACGTTGGATCGATACCAGCTCCGCGAGCTGGCGGACTCACTCAAGAACATGAACGAGATCGAGATGGGCTTCGATCCTTGTTTCGCCAATCTACAACCAACGTTGGGTGTGCCATATCAAGGCTTCGTGGGCAACTGGATTGCGTCGGTTCGATCGGCCAGCGGCAAGGCGATCGAAGAATCTTGTCACAAAATATATACTGATCGAACAAGTCCAGGACTATATTGATGGTGTAGAAATTCATATATAAGATCGGTTCGATAAGATATTTCTGAGGGCTGGCAAAGGAGATTTAGGGTTAGAATGAAGAGCAGGCTGAAGAAGATTGAAAGAATTTCTCATAAATTTGATGGGCTGAATAAGTCATATAAACGACATATTGTTTGACCGGATCCAAACGGTTGAATGAATTGGTTTATAATTCCGGAGGGTGCGAGAAGGATAGGGAAGGATAGAGAAGTAGGAGGACGATCTCTCTCTTTGAAAATCAGGACGGAAACCTAACAAACGAGGAACACGAATCACAGTGGACAATACAGATACCCTCGCAGAGAAAACGCTGGACGCAAACGAGGGCGGATGAAAGGATACAACTGTACGGAGTATTAGGAGGTGTATGTAGCCGTCAGAAGATATGAAACTCGCCTAGTTCCTTCGTTGTAGTGATGGGAGGTCTCCCAAACAATAACAAAGACGGGACGAAATAGGTGATAGATAGCTATCGCCGTAGGGAGGTATCCTTGACACACAGGTCTCCAGCCTACCAAAAAAGAAAGAAAAAAGCGAGGAAAGAAGCACAGGGCATGGAAATTCTTTCAACATAGGCACGGCAAAGAAGTCCAGAGCAGATACCGCTAAGGTACAATAGCAATCGTGAGTTTTCAAAGCCCTGGACCCCATGGTCCCGGTCCACCCGGGTATCAAATGCATCCAGCATCAATGATCCATCATGGTTGGGGACATCTAGTAAACGGGATAGTATTCTAGGCTTGTACTCAAAGTTTTTTGGCGCTCTAAAGGTGACTAAACGCCGGAGTTTGATGGGCAGGGGAAGCGAGTCCACCCATCTTAACAGAAGCTTTGCATCGAGTTGATGATACAAAACCAGAAGTCAATTTGACATCTTTAGGCAGATCAGAGGAAGCCATCAATTCGTTCCAATGACTGTTCATAAGGCAGATGGATGCCATGCCCATGCTCTTGCTGCTGACTGCTTGTCTGGCACATCGAAAAACGGTCTTGTTCATGGTACTTTATGCAGTGTAGCTTGCATCGTGAGCCAATAAATGGCTGACAAAGGATTTCCTCAGCGGATAAATGCTATTATCTAATCCACTTGCAGATCAGATGATACCTGTCGTCCAGCTGAGTGCTAGGAATTGCTTTACAGTGGGGGTGGAGCTTGTTGATTTATGATTGTTGAGTGACAGGCTGACAGCGGAGCAAAAAAATGCAAAGGGGTGAGATGATCGGAACTGCCCCGCGGATGTGTTGATCGCCCAAACATTTCATCATCGCTTTCTCCGGAGGTTCACTTCATCATTTCTGGTTCCCATAAGTCAACGACTCTTGACGGAATTATCTGAAGAGATCAATTGCAAAAACATCAGGTTGTAAGTTCCAACATTCAATTGTCTTTCTTACACTAGTTAGCCTTCAACACTTTCTGTTTGTCGTGTTGATAGTGCCCCGCCTACACCGCCTACCATTGTGCTGACTCTCTGAATTTCTCCGCTCGAATCCATTCATAAAGGATCAGTTCTGATACATTGTCTAATACATTCTAGAGTCAATACTTCTCCCATTGAGTCATCCATCAGCCGCAATCATGCCCGGCTTCAAACAAGCAACCGACCTCAATGCCTGGTCCGCTCTCCAGGAGCACCACACCACTATCAGCAAAGAAATTGTCCTGCGCGACTACTTCGCCAAAGACCCGGCTCGATTCGAGAAGTTCAGCAAGACCTTCAAGAATGCTGCCGATGGCACTGAGATCCTCTTCGATTTCTCCAAGAACTTCATCACCGACAAAACCGTGAGCCTGCTGGTGGAGCTGGCCAAGGAGGCCGGCCTGGAGCAGTTGCGCGATGACATGTTCAAGGGCGAGAAGATCAATTTCACCGAGAAGCGCGCCGTGTATCATGTGGCGTTGCGTAATGTGACCAACGACCCGATGCAGGTGGATGGGAAGAGCGTGGTGGAGGAGGTCAACAGCGTGTTGGACCATATGAAGGAGTTCACCGAGCAGGTGAGGAGCGGAGAGTGGAAGGGATATACCGGAAAGCGAATTAAGACCATCATCAATGTTGGCATCGGAGGTTCCGATCTGTTAGTTTCCCTTATACCCTTACCGCGACTTCTGGTCTATCATTCTGATCATCCTCAGTGGCCCTGTCATGGTCACGGAAGCTCTCAAGGCGTACGGTGACCGCAATCTCACCCTCCACTTCGTTTCCAACATCGACGGAACCCACATCGCCGAAGCACTCCGCAACTCGGACCCGGAGACGACCCTCTTCCTCATCGCGTCCAAGACGTTCACTACCGCGGAGACCGTCACCAATGCCACGACGGCCAAGAAGTGGTTCCTCGAGACCGCCAAGGACCAGTCGCACGTCGCGAAGCACTTCGTTGCTCTGTCGACCAACGAGTCCGAAGTCACCCAGTTCGGCATCGACAAGAAGAACATGTTCGGCTTCAGCGACTGGGTTGGCGGTCGATACAGCGTGTGGAGCGCCATCGGCCTTAGCGTCTGCCTGTACATCGGCTGGGACAACTGGCATCAGTTCCTCGCGGGAGCCAACGCGATGGACAAGCATTTCAAGGAAACGCCACTCGAGGACAACATCCCGATCATCGGCGGTCTGCTGAGCGTCTGGTACTCCGATTTCTTCGGCGCGCAGACCCACCTCGTTTCACCGTACGTCCACGATCCATCCCAACGCCCATTACCGCTGCTAACGTGAGACCAGTTTCGACCAGTATCTCCACCGCTTCCCCGCCTACCTCCAGCAGCTCTCCATGGAGTCGAACGGCAAAGCCATCACACGCAGCGGCGATTACGTCACCTACACGACCGGTCCCATCCTCTTCGGCGAGCCAGCTACCAACGCGCAGCACTCCTTCTTCCAACTACTACACCAGGGAACCAAGATGATCCCCACGGACTTCATCCTGGCGGCGAAGAGCCACAACCCGGTGGAGAACAACAAGCACCAGAAGTGAGTCGTATTCCGTCGCTTCCACCCACCCTCGATACATGTCGATGGATGTGACATGCAGACACTAACAGTAATTCAGGATGCTCGCTTCCAACTTCTTCGCCCAATCCGAAGCCCTCATGGTCGGCAAGAAGCCCGAAGAAGTCAAATCCGAAGGCGCCCCCGACGAGCTGATCCCCCACAAGACCTTCCTCGGTAACCGGCCCACGACGTCGATCCTCGCGGAGCAGATCACCCCGGCGACGCTGGGCGCGCTGATCGTGTACTACGAGCACGTGACGTTCACGGAGGGAGCGATCTGGAACATCAACTCGTTCGACCAGTGGGGAGTGGAGCTGGGGAAGGTGCTGGCAAAGAAGATCTTGGCGGAGCTGGAGGAGGAGGGGGAGAGTCAGGGGCATGATAGCAGTACGAGCGGGTTGATTAATGCGTATAAGAAGAAGTCGGCTTTGTAGAGGCTGGAAGGCGAGAGCCCGCATCGATGGAGGGACTGGAGAAGGGAGGGCGATTCGGTGAATGGGATGGGAAGAAACAAATAGTGCATAAAATGACTTTATGAGTTAGTAGTAACAAGGGGCAACTCTCGATAATAGATCCGTATCAGCCTCCTAAAGTCGTAGATTGACCGCACTGTAGGTTACGGGATTCCGCCAAACGATGCTCCTCAAATGGCTGCCATCTAAAATTCTTCCTGGCCTCTTTGCCACATCACTACTCTTGCTCTTGCTCTTGCTCATAATTACATCTGAAGCCATTCATAAATGCTATGGAGTACGGTACCTATTGGTGAGCTTTGGAGGGAAATACCTAATGGTAACGTCAGGACGTGAGGTAATTAGTCGTTGGAATAGAGCTCTAACCGAATCGGGTTAGAACGAGTATGGATAAGGTACTTCGACAACAGGGAAACGGATCTGATATCGTCAACAACCCACCCTTTAACCACAAAATCCAAAATGGTTGGAAGATAATAGCTCTGCGCGAGCACTGCGCTCGTGTGACTTTTGATAGACATTGTAATTAATACTTGCCAGCTCCCACCGGTCCTCCCATATGGACTCCCGACGTGTCTCGCCATGGACGAGTGCCATACTAATCCTGCTGGTTTGGTCGACTGTTTGCTCCGCCGTCGCAAGCGGAGATGGGCCTGTGAAATCAGTCGCGAAGGGATGGTCATATAATGATGCTATACCGCTGAGTTGCTTGAACCGGAAAATGTGAGTAACGAGTGAGAGCGCGTGGAACCTATGAATACCAAACCAACGAAGCTAACCTCTGCTATAGAGAGAGTGGGGAACATGTATGCTGCACGAGACAGATATTGCGACGATATAGGAGCAATTGCTTATGAATGAGCGCTAGATCACGGACGAGAATGGCCAACTGCAATATATCCCCTTCCATATCTGCAAGGAGACCGGTCGACCCCTCGAACTCCTCTATGGAGTTGATACCAGTATGTCTCCAGCCCCTCCCCTACACATCCTACTTTGCTTCAGTGACCGCTGACCCCTCCTCCCAGCAATCAACTGTACCCTCGACTTCATCTCCGACTCCCTCTTCCACCTCCTCGAATTCTACGTCCACAACGACGCTCCTCTAACCTGCCGTCTCCCCACCCGGCCGCTTCCCTCCCTCTCTCCACCCTCCTCCACCGACAAAGGCGTCCCCGACTCCGGCCCCCACGACCTGCCCCCACCCCCCGACTCTGCCTCCCGCCCCAACACTGGCATCGGCGCCGACGACCCTCTCTACACACCCCTCCTCGTTGCCCTCACCGGCACCCTCCAACTCTCCCACCTGCATGTCTCCAACCACCTCAACCTCATCGTGCACACCGCCCACGGTGCCCTCTCCCCCTCCACCTCTCCCCCTCCCAACACCAACACCCCGCAACGACGAAAGGGTGCGAAAGACGGCCTCATCACCGCCGCGACCGCGTACTCCAGCCCCCCATTCCCGCACACCGATTCCAGCAACGCGAAGCTCGTGATCGGCGACGAGCTCACGCTGCGGTTTACGGTACGGTGGTATGGCGGAGCGCTGCCGGTGGACGGGGCGTCCGGGACGAGGGTTTCATGGGCGGGCTGTTTGTATTATTTGGCGGTAGGGGCCGGGTTTGGGGGAGGGGTGGTGTTTGCGTGGTTGAGGAGGGGGAAGAGGGCGGGACCGATTTTGGCGATGTATGGGGGTGGGGGGAGTGGGAAGCGGGATTAGGGGGGGGGATTGGATTGGGATTGTGGATATACCCTAATGTTGGAAGTGAGGATGGGCTGTGTTTTGGGAATTTGGTGTGGTGATGAGCTAAGCTGGTGGAAGTTGATATAGCGGTTGAGATTGTTGTTGTACATTTGTCTAGATCTGGTCCATAAAGCCAAGGCTAGGACTATTTACGAAAAGCCTTCTATGATATAAATGCCAACGCTATGAACATCCCTTGTTTTTATACATGTCCCTCCAAGAAGCCATGGTACAGGAATTACACATAATGCTCAGACAAACACCATGGTCACGGAATCTTCCAAGACCTACAATCCCCATCTGATCCCACGCCTGTCCAGCTCCATCAACGAGTGAACTTCCACTGACGCGTTTATCGATGCCTCAAGTCAACCACCCCTCACCACCCCTTCGTCCTCAACTCCTGCACCCTCTTCACCATCAACTCAAACTCCTTTGAAAACCTCCTTCTCCAACTCTCCCTCGCCACCCGCTTCCGCTTCAACCCCGGCCGCTCATGGAACTTCTGCCGATGCATATCCGTCTTCACTTTATTCCGCCGCAGCGTCATGTCCAAGTTCCGGATTGCGTACGCCACGTCCCCCTTCAACCCCACGTTCTCCCGCTGCACCTTGATCGAGCGGCCCACCGTCGGGTTCGTCCGCACGGTGCGTTCCTCCACCTCGGTCGCGGAGTGGGGGAAGGGCGCCGAGGCGGACGCGGGCACAGCACGGCGGAGGGCGGCGAAGTCGGCGGTGAGGTCGTGTGGGTCCCGTTGGGATTTGCGGAGGCGCGAGCGCATGCCTTCGGCGATGGAGACATGGGGGGTGTCCGAGCGGCGGGGTTGGGTCCATGAGGGCGAGGAGGTGACGGGGCCGGAGGAACGGGAGAAGGTGAAGTCGGAGAGGACGTCTCGGGAGTTGCGGGGGTTAGGGGTAGAGGTGGATGAGTCGTTGGAGTGCTTAGGTTCGTCGGAGTTGCCTTGGGCGGCGGATTGGGCTTGGCATAGTCGGGTTTGGGAGAGGAAGCGCCGCTGAGCGGGGTTTAGGAGGGGATTAGGTGAGGATGGGATGATTGTGCGCGATGGCGGGTTTCGAAGGATGTGTGATATGCGATTGGCAGCTTGTCGCTGGATCTGAACGAGGCATCGTGCCCCTCGGTGCGATGGCATTGTGACGAGATAGTAGGACCCAAAGCTCTATCATCGACTTCTCATGTTTAAGAGGGGGATCTAGATGGTAGAAATGATATATGTGGAGGATGATTGGATTGCGGATTGGGTAGTATGGTGGACTGATAGAGTTAATGTTGAAATCAAAGATTCGTAGTGGAAAAAGTGCCTAATAAAGCACGAGCCAAATATTCCTTCAGTTCATCCCGCAGCTCAAGTATCAGGAACACATCAACTTCTGCTTTCAACTTTCGCTCACTCCTTTAATCTGCCGTCTTTTCCTCCTTCTTGAACACGGTGCTGGAGAACCCCTAAAATATTTTAACATCTCTGGCATTCATTCCATTCGGCCAACCCGAAGCGACACGCAGAGTTCCACCTACCATACGTCCCCGGGCATACAGCGTCTCGATGTACAACTATCAAGGTATTGCATATCCCTCTTCCGTTTGCGCTAAAGCCTAACTAACAATCCAATAGCGCCCGGCCAATATGGTGGTCCTCCTGGATATGGCGGATTTCCCGGCCAATCCAACTCTCCCCCCGGAGTGGGCGCGCCAGGCATGGGTACGTCCTCCTCACTTTCACGACCATACTCCACTAACATCACGAAGGTCCCCCGGGGTCTTCAGCTCCACCAGGTGTAGGCGCACCTCCAGGCGTTGGATCACTCCAGAACCCTCTTCCGAACCGACCAACCGGCCTGCCAGCCAACTTCCAACCCCCCGCGAACATGCCCAACATCAACTTCTCCGCACCCGTCATCCGACTCGGGACCACAGGCCCCGGCAAGGCCGGACCAGGGGAAGGTCGACGAGACGACAGTGGCCCACGAGGGAGTCGCTCTGGGCTAGGGATGGGTGACTTCCGCGGGGACGGACAACGCCAGCAGATGCGGGACGCGATGGCCGCGTTGGTGCCGCCGACGCGCGAGGAGATTGCGCGCACGATCTTCGTGGGCAACATCACAGCCGGAGTGGGCGGCAACGACGGCATGGAGCGGATCCTACGAAGCGCGGGACATCTGCGACGGTGGACGCGGGCGACGGATGCAGATGGGAAGGAGATGGATTTTGGGTTCGCGGAGTTTGAGGATGCGGAGAGCCTGGAGACGGCGGCGGACGTGCTGCAGGACGTGATGGTGCCGGTGAAGAAGGCGGAAGCGGGAAAGTCTTCCGATGAAGAGATGGAGAAGTCAAAGTTGCTGGTAAGTTGATCATGGGTTACAGTGAGTACTTAGGCTGATCCTCTAGGTCATTGTCGACGACGCGTCGAAGAAGTACGCGGAGGAATGGAGAATCAAACGAACCGAAGACCCTTCACAGCACGCTTTCAGAGTTGACACGGCGCGAGATGCATTGACTGGGGTCCTAGCGAGCCTTTTCAACCCGATGCCCGACGTCTCCAGGGATGCGGATGGCGATAGCTCGATGCGCGACGAGAAGCAAGAAGCCGATCCCGTCACTGGGGAGATCATCACCATCCCAATCACCGTCGAAGACGAGCTCTCCGACATCCCCGCTGAGATGCGGGAGATTGTCGCCGGAGAAATCGCTGCGTTCCGGGAACGAAGCAACCGCCGCGACCAGGAGCGACTGCGACGCGAAGAAGAACTCGAAAATGTCGAAAAGCAGCGTAACATCACATCCCGACTCAGCCGTCTCGCATCTCCGCCTCATACCGCACCGACCGGACCCGGCGGCGCCAATCACATCCCCACCGGCCCAGCGGGCGCCCCTAGCGGCCCCAAAGCGCTCGCCCCCACCAACGGCGTCTCCTTCGTCAACGGCGCCTCTAATGGCCTCTCTACCTGGCTCGGCAAAGAAGACACCGACAGCGACGCGTCCGACTCCGAACTCGAACGTCGCCGCGCCGACAAAAAACGCGCCGACCTCGACAAGCTCGCGCACGACTACTCCCGCCGCTGGGAAAACCGCGAGCGCTCCCGCGCTGCCGCCGTCGAGCGCGAGCAAGCCCGCGACGAGGACGACGAACGCGCCCGCGCCAAGGAGAAGGCGTCCCTAGCCCAGCGGCTCCGCGACTGGAACGACGACGCCGAGGCCGCCCGCAAGACGGACGACTACTACCTCGACCGCAGTCTCTGGCTGCGCAAGCGCGCGGCGATCCGCGGGCGCGAGGCGCTGAACGACGAGCGCGACCGCGTGGCGGAGGGGCTGGAGCAGGCAAAGGACCACGAGCGGCGGGAGCAGGCGCGGGACATGGCGGACTCGTTCCTCAGTACGCAGGCGCGGGAGTTCGGGGCGCCGGCGGCGGGGACGGTGGCGAGGGAACCGGCAAGGTTTAAGATGTCGTTGGGGGCGGCGGCGCAGAAGGCGCAGGCGGCGGCGGCGCCGAGGCGGACGGTGGCGGAGGTAGAGGGGCTGTTGGAGGATGAGGAGGAGGGGCAGGCGACAGGGCGGCGGACGTTGGTGCCGATTCAGTATGACGCGGCGGAGGCGGGCGGGGCGGGGTTGAGTGAGGAGGAGCGGGCGCAGGCGGTCAAGGCGCTGGCGGGGGAGATTCCGACGGATCGGGAAGGGTTGTGGGGTTGGAAAGTGCGGTGGGAGTTTGTGGACGACGCGGTGGTGAGCGAGCAGTTGAAGCCATTCGTGGAGAAGAAGATCGTGGAGTATCTGGGTGTGCAGGAGCAGATGCTGGTGGATGTGGTGGAGGAACATATCCGCAAGCGGGGGGCGCCGGGGGAATTGGTGGGGGAGTTGGAAGGGGTAAGTCTACATTTCTTTCTCCTTTTTGTGGTTATAGTTCTGTGCTTGACTTGATGCTGATATGTTATAGGCATTGGACGAGGAGGCGGAGAATTTGGTGAAGAAGCTCTGGCGTATGATCATCTTCTTCTCCGAGAGCGAGAAGCGTGGGTTGTCGACTTGATCGGTTTTAACTCCACGTACTCGAGACGAGATTCCATGATGGACAAATTCTACTAATTGTCGAGGTGTCGCTTATTTTCTTGCTGAACGGCATACGTAACCTAAGTTCTGCTCATGAGTTTGTACGAAGTTCTGCTCGAACCACGGTGCCATATCAGTGTCCGGTCGTGGCTTCAACTGGGTTGAAGGACACTGAACTTATTCTGTACGATTACCGGCATACCCGCCGGAACCAGAACACTACATAGTTGAAATTCCGAAAAGTCCAGAGATCAAAGGGTTACAAAGGATCCAATAGTTGTCCGCATCTCCTGACATCACCAAGTCCACGCGGGATTCTCTCGTTCTCTGCCATTGATCGACACCGACTACGGTAGCGCCCTCGGCATCAGTCCTTCAACCTTCTCGAATATATATGGATCCTTAGGGACCGGGAGTTTGAAACACCGTTCCAGAAGGCCCGTGGAAGGAAATTGAATTCATTTCACCTGATGAAGTGATGAAGCACCTGGGTATCCTCGGCATGAGAAACCGCGGCAGCGCGGCAGCATTGGCCGAGACAACAAATCCCTGGAGCATCAGATGCCACTGACGTGACGTCGATTATTTATTTTATGCCGCCGGATGTAACGTGTCTTGTCCTCCTTGCGAATTGTAGAATCCTCCTTCTTTCTCTCGTTTGTATACTATTTTCATCTGTTTTTTGGATATCGTTGGAGGCGTGACATCTGACCGTCTGGAACTTCCATCACTCCACCAAACTGCACGCCGACGCATACTACGGGAACTAACGACGCGGGGAAGCTCAACCTACGTCTCAATAATTGTGTAAGACGAGTAACGAACGGCTATTCCTCCTTAGCCTGGTCAGTGAGACAGAAAAGAAAGTTGAAGTGCAGACGCTTGCAGCTGGAAAGTTAGTCAGAGCCAGTCACAGCTCTCCCAATTCCCGTGAATCATTCACCGTTGGCATTTTATTGGTATCGATTTAATCGCATCACTCCCGACTTTTCATCGCCATGTCTCCTTCTTCCACTTCCCCGAAACAAATACCGCTTCAACGCCTCACTCCCAGCCGTCGTCTTCAACAAATCTCAAACCACATGGCGTCCTCCAAACCCTCCGCCTTCCCGGCCTCGACCGTGCCGCAGGCACCGGAAGATCCGCTGTTCGGCCTGATGGCTGCGTACAAGCGGGATACCTCGGAGAAGAAGGTGGATTTGGGAATTGGCGCGTATCGTGATGATAATGCGAAGCCGTGGGTGTTGCCGGTGGTGAAGAAGGTGAGTGCGACAGCGAGTGGCAATGCTTATCGCGAGAACGGGAATACTGACTGTCCTGTTCTCAGGCCGATGATATCCTAAGAAATGATCCAAACCTCAATCATGAATATCTGCCCATTGCCGGTCTTCCGGAGTTCACTTCCGCATCGCAGAAGCTCATCTTCGGATCGGATAGCCAGGCAATCAAGGACGGTCGCGTAAGTCTGCGCCATCTACAACCTCACATCATCCTAACTCCTCTAGGTCGCCTCCATCCAAGCCATCTCCGGCACTGGTTCCCTCCATCTCGGCGCCCTCTTCCTCCGCAAATTCTACAACCCCGCCAATCCCCCTAGCATCTACCTCTCCAACCCCACCTGGGCCAACCACCACCAAATCTTCACCAACGTTTCCCTCCAACTCGCCCACTACCCCTACTTCTCTCCGCAGACCCGCGGCCTCGACTTCACCGGCATGCTCGCCGCCATCTCCGCTGCCCCCACCGGCAGCATCATCCTCCTGCACGCCTGCGCCCACAACCCCACCGGCGTCGACCCCACCCAAGCCCAATGGACCCAAATCGCCGACGTCATGGAACAAAAGGGCCTCTTCCCCTTCTTCGACAACGCCTACCAGGGCTTCGCCTCCGGCGACCTCGACCGCGACGCCTGGGCCATCCGCCACTTCGTCGCCCGCGGCTTCGAGCTGCTGGTCGCGCAGTCGTATGCGAAGAACTTCGGATTGTACGGCGAGCGCGCGGGCTGCTTCCACTACGTGGCGCCGGCGACGGCGAGCGCGGCGGACGCGAGCCGTGTGGCGTCGCAGCTGGCGATCTTGCAGCGGAGCGAGATCTCGAACCCGCCGGCGTATGGGGCGCGGATCGCAAGCACGGTGCTGAACAATGGGGCACTGTTCGCGGAGTGGAAGGAGAATCTGACAACGATGAGTGGAAGGTTGATTGGGATGCGGGCGGAGTTGCGGGGGTTGTTGGAGAAGAAGGGGACGCCGGGGACGTGGAATCATGTGACGGATCAGATTGGGATGTTTAGCTTCACGGGGCTGTCGGAGAAGCAGGTGGGGTTGTTGAGGGAGAAGTGGCATGTGTATATGACGAAGAATGGGCGGGCGAGCGTCGCGGGGTTGAATAGCCGGAACGTGGAGTATGTGGCGGAGGCGATTGATGACGTTGTGAGGTCGGCCTAGGGAGATTAAGACAGACGGGAGAGAGTATTGGGTTGGACAGTGGATGTGGTAGGATGTGGTATATAACCCATCTAAAATGGGTAATCCAGGCGCTTCGACTTTTGCTGTTTGTTTAGACTGTTCCCACTCATACCATAGACTCTCAACACGATACATCAACGCTAGTTAGTATGCAATGTGTATTCCTTTCATCTGACGCATCCCTCGTAAACGCTACGTGATCAGATCCCATACTATCATGGTCGAACAGAATGCCCCCGTGGCCCAGAACACCATCTGCGCCGTGCTCTTCCGCTCGGAAGCCCGCTTCAGCTCCTTGGTGCCCCTATCTACGTTCACGGCCGTGTCCATCGCATCTTCCTGTAATTGCGAGATGTGGTCCGCCTGCACCGAAATCTCCGTGGCCAACTGCGTGTTCAGCTCCGCGATGGTGACCATCGACTGCTGAGTTTGCCTGCCACCAACGCGTTAGCATAATTCCCATGTATGACCGGAATCTTTCGGTCGACGTACCTGATCTGCTCCATATCCCGCTCTGCCTGCTTTAAGATCAGATCCTCCTCCTCCTGCAACATCTGCAGCTCCTCCTGACTCATCTGGCCCTCCAATTCCCTCCTCTGGCTCTCCCCCTCCTCCACCTCCTCCGCACTCGCCGCTCCCCCCACCCCCCTAAAAAACTCCATCTCCTCCTTCCCCATCCCCTTCCCTCCCACCCTCCCACCAATCCCTCCCCCAACTCTCCCTCCTGCCCCTCCCTTTCCCCATAAACTCCTCGCCCTCTCCCTCTCCCTCTCCACCCATACCTCCACCATCCCGCCCTGCACCTCCCCCACCCTCCTCAACCGCCCCCTCAAATCCGCCGCCACCCCCTCCCAAAACTCCCTTCTCTGCCGCCCCTGCGTCTCCTCCGCCACCTCCTCCTCGCTCCGCGCGCCCCCCGCCGCCCACCGCTCCAGCGTGCGCGCCACCGCGTTCTTTTGCGTCGATGTGACGGAGGAGTCGAGGTGCGTGGTCACGGCGGTGGAGAGCGCGGTGATGCTGGAGGCGAGGTTGCGGAGGAGGGTGGAGGTGGAGGCATCGATTTGGTGGCGTTCAGGGGCGGTGAGGGGGGTGGTGGCAGAGGTGGGTGGTGGGGGTGTGAGGGTGGTGGAGGAGGAGAGGGTGGAGAGGGAGGAGGAAAGGGAGGGGCGGCGGGCAGCGCGGTGAGTTTGGTGGAGGGGGAGGGCGAGGTAGGAGGGACGGATTTGTTGGAGGTAGGCGTGGAGTTTGGAAATTTGGGCGTTCTGAGCGAGGTTAGCGGGTTGGGGAGGGTTGGGGAGGGTTGGGGACGTACAATGGCGTAGGCTTCTTTCAGGAACTTGTCGATGCGGGAGAGGTCGAGTGGTTTGGGGGAGATGGGTGGTGTGGAGTGCTGCTTGAGCGCGGCGTTGAAGATGGGGGAGATGTCCATGATTGGTTTCGGAAGGTTTTAGCCGGATTATATGGGTTCGTGTTAGCTCATATTGTAGACAACTCAAAGTTGAGGAGCTGGTCTTGGTGTCGTCACGGTCGTCAACAATTCGATGCCACGATGTCAACATTTCGATGCCACGATGTCAACATTTCGATGAAGCTCATATATGCCTGAGGCATTTAGTATTTGATGCCTAATATTGGTTTCAGTTTGAGAAACGGCCGATCCTCTCACAGGCCAGTTTCTGCTTCAGTTGTTCAAGACAACGCAAACAACATTTTACGGTTGTATAGGTATATTCTCATGGATTAGAGAGTGCTATCCTTGAAATCTTCACGCTGCCTATGTCGTCGAAAACAATGATTGACACCTCTCTCAACCGCTTCCCTCTGTGTCAAGCCTTCAACGGACCGTATCCTGACCACCTATGGAAAGAGGGCCTGCTTAGCAACTAGAATGCGATTCAAGTCAATATGTTTATCAAGTAATAGTTCTCGTAAGAGCGATTTCAATGGTGCCGACGCTAATCAACGCATCTGATCGCCTACATCTTACCTGAAAACAAGGTATGAAGGTCTACCCCACCACATGTAACAATCAGTCATCTTCTCTTCCGCATTTCCTGTTGCCCAAATTCCATCCCACCGGGACTTTTTTCCTGCCGATTCCGACATCGCACATGCGACAGATAAAGGCGCACATGCCCCTAAACTAGAACCTGCAGCATCGCAACCGAGGGGTTGAGAGCAGAGACGCATTATCAATCATGTAACCAATGGCGGGTCGGGTAAATCAAAGAAGTCGCTCCGGGCGATCGAATGATGATCTATTAGGAGGCTTGCAAAGTGGCAATCCTCCGTGGAGAAATGCGGAGAGGAAATCTCGCGAAAATCGCTGTTCTCGAGGAGAGGCGATTGCTGAGAAACCTCTGATGTTAGGCCCGTATGACGGGGGACTCGGTCTACTGACATTCAACCTCCATCCTCTAGGTGACAGCGAATATTTCACATCTCAGATCTCACATCATCGGACCGGAGCCGAAACGTAGAAAATCAAAGGCTAGACCATCTCAAACGTCGAGCATTTCCAATTTAATGTTCGGATTGGTTACATCCATAGTCCGAGCCATGGACTAAAACGGCATCCCGGCACTTCTTCCCCCCCACAGTTTCGCCGCACTTAGTCTTCTGCCGCACGTTCTCTTTCTCGTCACGCCGTAGATCAGTCTTTGAATCATCTCAATAAATATCCGAAGACGCCCAATCGTGTGTTTCTGGCTCATCCTCCTCTTTTCATCGCCAGTTGACCGTTGGCAACTCTCATTATCTCACACAATACGCCAGTGTCACCTGAATCGCCACCATGGAGGCTCTTCTTCGTCAATCGAAGTCGATGTGTCCTTTCCTGATGAAGACGTCCCCCGCGACGCTTCGGACGCTGTCGACCGCTGCCACCTTCACTGCCTCCCCGGGCGGCGGGTCCATGTCGAACCTGCAGGTTCTGGCCCGTCGTTGCCCGGTGATGGGCAAGGCGTTAGCCGTTCAGACGGCTCGGACTCGCCTTGCCACGGTGCCGGGAGCGGCTCGTCGTTATCATGGAAAAGCAGGGAAGGCCAACTTGCATACGACCGCGGCCAAGGAGGCGCAGGCCGTGAATGTGGAGGTGGTTCATGATAAGCCTGGTCAGTTTAGGAAGAGATTCATCAATGGACTGTTGACAGAGTGCTGACGGTTTCTAACAGTCCCAATTCCTCATGCAGTTCGACCCGATGCCCTCCATCCTCGTGCTGCTGTTGCCAGCAAGCCCCCGACTCCCCAGCCGGCCGCGTTCGATTATGAGGCCTTCTATTCCGCCGAATTGGACAAGAAGCACAAGGATAAGTCCTATCGCTACTTCAACAACATCAACCGCTTGGCCAAGGAATTCCCTCGTGCCCATACGGCCAACAAGGACGAGCGAGTCACCGTGTGGTGCTCGAACGACTACCTTGGCATGGGCCGCAACCCCGAGGTTTTGAAGAGTATGCATGAGACTCTGGACACCTATGGAGCCGGTGCCGGAGGGACTCGTAACATATCTGGCCATAACCGGCATGCCATGGAGCTGGAGGCGACTCTCGCCAAACTGCACGCCAAAGAGGCCGCTCTGGTCTTTTCGTCCTGCTACGTCGCCAACGATGCGACCCTGGCGACCCTCGGCAGCAAGCTCCCCAACTGCGTGATCTTGTCCGACAGCCTCAACCATGCGTCCATGATCCAAGGCATCCGCCATTCCGGCACCACGAAAATGGTCTTCAAGCACAACGACATCGCGGACCTCGAGAGCAAACTCGCCTCCCTCCCCCCCTCCGTTCCCAAGATCATCGCCTTCGAATCCGTTTACTCCATGTGCGGCTCCATCGGCCCCATCGAAGCCATCTGCGACCTGGCCGACAAATACGGCGCCATCACCTTCCTCGACGAAGTCCATGCCGTCGGCATGTACGGGCCACACGGCGCCGGCGTCGCTGAACACCTCGACTTCGAAGCCCACCGCACCGGACGTCCGACGGGCACCATCATGGACCGCGTGGATATCATCACCGGCACCCTCGGCAAGGCATATGGCTGCGTCGGTGGGTACATCGCCGGGTCCGCGAAGCTCATCGACACGATCCGTAGCCTCGCCCCGGGGTTCATCTTCACGACGTCCCTCCCGCCCGCGACGATGGCGGGCGCGACCGCCGCGATCGAGTATCAGGTGCGCACGAACGCGGACCGCCGGCTGCAGCAAATGCACACGCGGCAAGTAAAGCACGCGCTCGGCGCCAAAGACATCCCCGTGATCCCGAACCCGAGCCACATCGTGCCGCTGCTGGTGGGCAACGCGGCAGTGGCGCGGCAGGCGAGCGACCTACTCCTCGAGCGATTCGGGATCTACGTGCAGGCAATCAACTATCCGACGGTGCCAGTGGGGCAGGAGCGGCTGCGCATCACGCCGACGCCGGGTCATACGGGAGAGCTGCAGGCGCATTTGGTGGAGGCGGTGGAGAGCGTGTGGGCGGAGTTGGGGATTAAGCGGACGAGCGATTGGAGGGCGGAAGGAGGATTTATTGGCGTGGGGGAGGAGGGGAAGGTGGAGGAGGATCCGCTGTGGACGGAGGAGCAGATGAAGCTGGAGGAGACGGTGCCGAAGACGTGTGGGGAGGAGGTGGAAAGGGTGGTGGTGCCGACGCCACGCACTGCATTTGCGTGAGATGCATGTGAAAGCTGGATGTCGGAGTATCATAGGGGATGATTGATGAGTATAGCTAAGGTGTGATAAGCAACGGAGAGATGAATCTACTAGTATCCCCTCCAACTCGTTTATTGCCATTGACTGTTTCCCGTGCTCCGACATTGTTTAATCCACTACCTATTGTGCCTATCCTCGACAATAGGAGGCTATTGGTTGATAGTTGGGTCTATTGAGCTTGCGTCGAACCTCCATAGTTCTACTATGGTAGATTCGCTTCTGCGAATACTTACCAACTGACCTGTTTAATTTTGAATGTCCCGTAGCTTTCTGCGACGTACACTCAATTCTTCTTTCTTTTAGAAACCTCAACCAACTCCTGAATGAGACATACGATCTCGTCTGCCTTTCATTATAGCAATCGAATTCACAGTGTGACTGAAGGTGCTTACCTACAAGTATCATCTCCAATTCGAGCAGATATCAGGCAATCACCAAATCCCTCACGTGATCTTCAAAGGTAGTTGTGAAATCCAGGCACTGCGCCACACTACGCCACAAATAATCAGCCTTGTGTGTCTTTCACGTCTAAGTTGTCGCGCATTGTCTCGCCGAAAGCTCAATTCACCACCTTCACCATCCGTGGAGTTTTCGCCCACAATCCTCTCCCCTCGTTCATTTCCCTTTCAATCATTCCTTTCTCGTCCGTTCATCTCACATGAGGAGGGATTGTTGTGCTACGAGTCTCCATCAGGCAATCTCTTGCGTGTCCCCTCTATTCATCCCTGCTCCCGCTTTTCTCTGATATCATTCTCGACATCGAGCTCATCGAGACGCTGGAAGCACCTCCGAATACCTACACAGGTCGCTCATCACTGTTGGATGATCGAGATTCACTCCATCAATCGTCCCCGCCCTTATCGGGCTTCGTTCTCACAGGTCCGTCACCATGCCGCCGCCGAACAAGCGCAAACGTGGTGATCGATCCTACTCCACCGATTCCACGGAGTATGGGACGCGCCCTTCACCCCACCGTCCACAGAACTTAGGCCTGGCGCAGCAGAATCCGAACGGCCATGGCCCTTCCATGTCTGGAAGAGGAGGCGGCGCGGCAGGCCGACGATCGAGCAGAGGTGGTATGAGAACCGCGTCGAACCAACATCCTCCGAGTCCAAGCCCTTCCGCTTCCGCCGTGTCAACTACTTCGCACGCACAACAGAGACTGCAGTCACAATCCGGCTTGAAAGGACCGCCTTCTGCCGTGTCCAGCCCTACGGCCTCGATGAAATCCCCTCACCTGACTGGACAGCATCCGAATATGGCCTCTCGGCATCCAAGCACAACCAGCAGCATGGGACCTCCACCGAGCGAGAAGCCACAAGCACCGTTGATAATACCCCGAGCGTACGAATATCTCACGGACGATGTGGTGGCGGCGTTCTCGACTTCCAAAGGCTCGTTACCCGATAAAGTCCTTAAGAAGGAGGAAGATATCTATGTGTCCTTGAACACGATGTTCCAAGAGCTGATGTATTCGGCGTTGGAGGGACGGTTATCACCTCGTGATGCCGGTGCGGCTGTCAACATGATCTGCAAGAACGCGCAGATTGTTGAACTCGTCGATGCTTCCGACCTGTTCGTCGACTGCATCGCCATTCTACACGAGTCCGGTCTGGCCAATGCAACCCTGCATAGGCTGATCCTATCGAGCGGCGTCTCCCCTGCCTTGATGCGCGAGCGACTAGATCAAGAGCTCCTCACTGCCCTTGGTCTTGTTCGCGGTACTTTCGGACGGATGGGCATTAGATACCTGACCGCAGCACTCTACAAACCGAACTCCTACAACCTGCTTCGCGAAGAGTCCGAAGGCTACTCGAAACTCATCACGGAATATTTCACCACGGTCGAAAGCCAACCTCCGTCCGGCGAGATTGTCGCGGAAACCTTTCACCGGGTCCTCGGCTTGATCGGCACCTTCGATCTGGATGTCGGCCGTGTGCTCGATGTCACCCTTGACGTTTTCGCGAACCTCCTCATCCGTCACAACCGCTTCTTTGTCAAGTTTATCCGTGCCAGCACGTGGTGGCCGGAAACCGTCCCGAACGAACGGTCAGAATGGGACGCCCTTCCTTCATGGGCCGATCCTTCGTCCTCATCATGGACTACATCCGATGCAGATCGGCAGAAAATATCGGCACGTCGCGAGGAGCGAGACCGAATATTCTGGGACTCGGTTCGCGAGAAGGGACTTAAGGCGTACTTCGAAATTAGCACAGCTCGAGAGCTTACAGAGGGCGAGAAAGCTGAAGTGGAAGCCCAAGCCGCGGATGAGCATTTGAATCCACAACTGAAGCAGAATGTTGAGTGGATGAAAGACACTGGAACGTTTCCACCAAAAGGAAACCACACTGCGGCCCAGTTGATTGGATTCAAGCTACGGTTCTACACGTCGAAGGCGAGAGACAAGGATGATATGCTACCAGACAACCTGATCTGCCTGGCGGCGTTGTTGATCAAGATCGGGTTCATTTCACTTCGAGACCTATATCCGCACCTATATCCCGAGGATCAGCAGATGGAGACGTTGAAGGAGAAATTGACCACCGACAAGGAAGAGCGGGAACGGAAGTCTAGGCCAGGTGGAGGAATGAACGCCTTGACCATGGCGGCTCCTTTAATCGACGACACCCTCCCCCAAGGCAGCTTACCCGCCAAAGTCCGAGAATTTGCGAAAGCCGAAGAGGCGGCCAAGAAAGACGTCGAGATGAAAGACGCAGACGGCTTCAAGGAACCCTCTAACCAAAAGATGGCCCTCCTCAAGGCCCTGCTTTGCATCGGCGCCCTTCCCGAAGCCCTCTATTTCCTTGGTCGATTCCCTTGGCTGATGGAACTGGACCCCGAACTCCCCAAATACATCCATCGCTTCATTAATCACAGCATCAGCCAAATCTACGAGCCCCTCGAGCCACTTGCTCATCGAACGCACGTGCGAGAGGCGAAGAAAGTTCCTTTCGAACAGGCGGGTATGCCAAAGGGCCATCTGAAGGCTGGCAATCCGCCATCAAGGAAATCCCTCCGTTGGCAGAACCTCGACCGTGCCGACAATGGCGACGGGATCGACTACAAGTTCTACTGGGAGGATTGGGGTGACAATATCCCGGTGTGCAGAAGCATCGACGACTTCTTTGCCCTCTGTGCCTCGTTTATGAATGTTGCTGGCCTCAAGATCGGTCTAGATCCGGCTCTCTTGACGAAGATGACCAGACTTGGGAAATGGAGTCTGGGGCAAGATACCTCCGAAGCCAACTTCAAGAGATGGGCGGACCTGTTGAAGCGTCTCATTGTTCCTGCATTGAGTCTGACGAGCAACAATCCCGGTGTTGTCAACGAAGTGTTCGAATTGCTCCAACTCTATCCGACCAGCGTCCGGTACAACATCTATGCCGAATGGTACACCGGTGCAACCTCACGTTTACCAGAAATGAAAACCGCCTTCGATCAATCTCGCGCAGAGACCAAAGACGTCCTCAAGCGCATCAGCAAGACCAACATCAAACAGATGGCCCGATCGCTCGCAAAGATCTCTTGCGCTTCTCCTGGCATTGTCTTCAGCGTTGCCATCAACCAAATCGAGGCGTATGACAACCTCATTGAAGTCATCGTGGAGTGCGCTCGCTACTTCACGCTGCTGGGCTACGACATTCTTACCTGGACACTCCTTAACTCCTTGGGCGGCAAAGGACGGAACGCTATGCAAGCCGATGGAATGCTCACAAGCCGCTGGCTCCATTCCCTCTCCACATTCACGGGACGAGTCCTCAAGCGGTACAGCATCATGCAACCCACCCCGATCCTACAATACGTCAACTTTCAACTTCGCAACGGCGTCTCCACCGATCTAGAGATCCTCGAACAAATCGTCACGTCCATGTCCGGCATCCGATCCGACCCGACCTTCTCGGAAGCGCAGGTTCAGGCGATGGCCGGCGGCCAGGCGCTCCAAGCGCAGATCATGGAGCAACTTCTCGACAAGCGGAGCGACGCGCGGGTGTCATCGAAGCGGTTGATGAAATCGTTAGAATTTAAGCTCGCTGGAGACATTTTGATCGCGTTGACGCACGAGCGACAGAATTACATCTTCTATGAGACTTCGGAGAACGCGCCGTTGAAAGTGGCCGCGAACAACCTGGACAAAATCCATTATGTCTGGGCGCAGTATCTGGATCTGCTCCACACCAATTTTTCTTTCAAGGAGTTCGAGGCAGCCATTCCTGGCATCATTGACTTGGTGTCGAAATATGGCATCGATACTAGCCTTGCCTTCACGATCTATCGTCCGATCCTTACGCAAGGGATGGCAGAGGTCGATGCGAGCAGGAAGGCTGAGGAAGCGAAAAGGACAGACACGGAATCTCCTAAGACCAATGGAGACGTGGACATGAGTGATGTTGGAAAGGACGCTCCGAAACTGGCAGAGAGCACTGCCGCTACACCAACCTCTCAAGAGTCCGACTCGAAAGATGTGAGGATGGAGGATGCTTCGCCCGAAAGTACAGAGGCCAAGACACCAGCTCCCTCAGTCATGTTGGGTGAGCCATGGCACCCCGTCCTGAAACCGCTTTTGGACGAGATTCCCACGGACCACCTCGGCAGCATGAAAGATTCCTTGAGTCGATCCTTCTACGCCACGTTCTGGCAACTCGCCTTCCACGACATGCTAGTCCCCACACAGAGCTACGAGGACGAGATCAAGCGACTTCGGGAGAGGTTCACCTCGGTGGCTACCGACCGTTCGGACATTTCCACGACAGGAATTGCGAAGCGTGATGCCAAGAAGAAGCAAATCACGGAGGTGCAAGACAAGCTTCGAGCTGAAATGAAGTCGCAGATCACCGCATACCAACAGATCCGAACCCGATTGCAGAAGGAGAAGGACCATTGGTTTGACAGTTACCCGATCAAGAAGAACGAGTTCCATGACGTCCTCCTTCAAGAGTGCTTCTTCCCACGCATGCTTCTATCGCCGCTGGACGCGCAGTATTGTGTTCGCATGATGCTGTACCTCCACAATTCCGGCACACCCGGCTTCCACACCGTGACGTTCATCGACCGTCTCCTCCGCGAGAAGCAAGTCACCAACATGATCTTCCAATGCACCGCGCGCGAAGCGTCGAACTTCGGCCGCTTCCTGAATGAGCTGCTCAAGGAGCTCAAGAAGTGGCACGCGGACCAAGCCGTCTACGAAAAAGCGGCGTTCGGCCCGAAGAGAGACCTGCCCGGCTTTGCACGGAAGCTGCGCGTGGACAAGACACCCGAGATGTTCCTGGAGTGGGAGGATTATCGTCGGTTGCTGTACAAGTGGCATGGGCAGATCATGGCGGTGTTCAAGAACTGTTTCACAAGCGGGGAATACATGCACATTCGGAATGCCATCAGCATTCTCGAGTCGATCCACCAGCACTTCCCAGCCATCAACTGGGTTGGCAAACAGATTCTGGAACATGTCTCCACTCTGTCACGGAAGGATCCCCGGGACGATGTCAAGCTTGCGGCCATGTCGTTGATTTCCAAGTTGAAGAAGCGGGAGAAGGAATGGTTGATGCCCCAGGCTTTCCGAATCGTAAGTGCCCGAAAACCGTCGAACGACGAATCCAGGACTAAGGCCGCAAAGGGCACCGACTCTCATCCCAGTGCGAAAGCGCCCACAGCAGGATCAAAGGCGGGCACGCCTGCTCAGCTGGGGAAAGGACTCAACGCGTCGGCGGCGGAGTTCAAACCCCTACCAGCTACTACGTACGTTTCTGCCACACCAGGCAAACTCGGAACCCAATATTGACTATCCTGTAACAGCAATGGTGTGGCGACTTCCCCGACCAAGATAGAAGTTGAAGATGGCGAGATTGACGATGCTAAGCGGGCCGAGGGAGAGACCACAGTCCAAACGCAGCCCAAAGAAGTTCAGCCTGAAACGGCGGTGACGGAGCCACGGCCTATATCGGCTGGTAACGAAAACCAACTTCCACTACCACCCAAATCTGCGACCGACGAACGACCTTCTTCGCATCCAAACACGCCGATCCTTCCGCCTCAGCCTCTAGTCGGCGCACGTCCTCCATCGTCTCTCCCGCCTCGTCCACACGGTCTACCCAACAAACCAGAACCAGTGGCGGCCCGTTCGCGGCTCTCAGATCGCGGCGATCGACCGAGCGAGCGACATGCCGATCGCCAACCACATCGGCAGGAGAGTCGTCAATCCACCGAATACGGCAGACTCGATCGTCCTGGTGACATATCCCGGGAGGGTCATGATACTCGCACTCGTTCCCGATCTCCGAGTCGTAGAAGACGAGCACTGACACCGGAGAGGATAGCATATGAGACTCGCGATCGAACCGATCAAACCCGCCCAACTAGTACTCGAGAACCTCGTCCCGCTGACGATAGGCAAACGCGGGCAGGACGGGAGACGAGGCAGAGTGCTAGAGGTCATCCGCGGGATCGACCAGCGCAAGAGTTGCAGAGCAGCCCCGCAGAACGAGTTGTGAGGCAAGCACCAGGAGCACCACTAGCAAGAGAAGAGGCACCGAACCGGGCGGATACGGAAGTTGCGCCTTCGGTCAACCCTGCGAGAGCTGCCTTAATTGGACAAGCAATTGTGCGCGGTGAACCTATTGGCCGATCATCCTCAAGAGGTGCTCCAAGAGGCGATGGACAGCAACGTCCTGGTGACCGAGGGCCTGGCCCTGATGAAGGACGTCGGCGATACGATATCCCGCCTACCGAACCCGATGATCGCAGCCAGAGAACTTCTCGAGCACCGTCACCTCGCAGGGCTCGCACCGAAGCAAGAGATGGCAGGAGAGATGAATACCGTGGCGGCCATCCGGACCGACCTTCACATCCCAGCGAGCCCACACCAAGGGGTCGGAAGGAGGAGAATGCCGGTCCTATGCCGACTGGGCCGCGAGGCGACCGTGGTGCCAGAAGCGATCTGTTTGAAAGCACTCACACCGGTCGTAGCCGTGACTTGTTCAATCTTCCTCCCCGGCCTCCGATGGAACCCAGCCATGGTCGGCTGTCTGATTTCGGGCTACCTGCTCGGCCCCCACAAGATCCTAACTACGGTCGATTGAACGCGGCCGCGGATACTCCACAGGGCCCACGAGGCGGACCTCGACAGGTCGGCCGACCTCCACGCAACTTCCCCGCGCAAGGAACGGGTCAGCCTCCACATGGAACTGGTGTCCCGTCTCCCAGCCAAGAGCGCGGTCCACCATCTGGACCAGCCTCTGGTCGACGGGATAGGAGAGATAGCAACTTCCCAGACACTCATCAACAGCGTGTCTCGGGACCTCAGGCATCTGAGCAACGACCACAGCAGCAGGAGACTCTGGGTATCCACCCGAGCCGGCTCAACAATATTCAAGCGGCTCCCGGACAGATCCAACCTGACGGTCATGGTCCTCCACCGTCTGCACCACGCAGCGCACATGCTCGTTCCAACCAACCATCCTTCCCACCCGCAAGTCCGCACACCCAGGGACCCAACGTCCCGTCCGGACCCGGACGACACGCACCCACTGGTCCTTCCGGAGTCTCCGACCGCATGCACACCATGCCACCGCCCCAGCCCGAACGCTTTCCACCCCGCGGCCGTCCCGGTTCCCGCAACCTCGACACCTCCCAACCACTCACCCAAAACGTCCTCCCCCAGCAGACTCCCCCCCGCGGCATCCAACCCCGCATGGACCAACCTCCGCCATCCGCACCCGCTCCCCCTCCGTCTGAGCAACCCGATCTCATCGACGATCGCGGCCGACGTCGGGGAGGGGACGAGCGCCGCTCGACGCGTCAAAGCCGTCGCAGCAGCCGCGAGCGGTCTCGGAGCCCGAAAGATCGCGAGGAGCGAGACCGCACCGTTCGTGAGCCGAGGGAGCGCGCCGGGGGCATACGCGGACGAGATCCACCGCGCGACGAAGCGAGGCCGTTGCGATCTATGCCTTCTGGCTCGATGAATGGGGAGCGAGATGGGCGTGCAGAGAGGGATTATAGTCGGGATCATCGCGGTGGCGAGGGGCGAGATCGGGAGAGGGAGCGGCCGATGAGAGATGACGGCGCAGGACGCGAGCGAAGTGGACGCGATGGCCGGTTGAGTGGACGAGGCGGGCCCGATGGGCCGTGGGGTGAGCGCGACGATGGCAGGAACGGCGGTGGCGAGATGAGGGTGAAGGGAAGTTCGGAGCGGCGAGAGAAAGATGAGAGGGAGCGGAGGGAGTATAACGAGATGCCGCCTGGGAGTGGTGGACGCGATGGAAGGAAGAGGGGACGGCCTGAGGAGGGGATGGGGCATATGGAGGCGAAGAGGCCGCGGAGGAGCATGGGGTGAAGTGGCGGATTGATCGATTCGAGATGGACGGGGGCGTTGGACGCAAGCCGACACTGTTTCATAGGAGGAGAGCTCCTTGGGTCGGTCATGGAGCGAGATGACGTTTCCAGCGGTTCCTTTTGTTTCCATCACCATCCTGTGCCGGCTGTTCTTCACGGAGATGCCTTCATTCACGGGCACCGGATGAGTTTCTAGGATGGCAAAGCATTGCGTTGTATGGCGTTTTTCTTTGGCTCGGCGATTCGTGGCTGGGAATCACTACAGTAGATTGACTGATTGACTAAGCACGGAGTTGGGATGTTCCCTCCACTAAAACATGGGAAACGAGTGCGCAAAGAGCACCGATAATGTCGCATGAGAGAGATCACTATTGAATGTGAACTGGTGGAATGTGAACGGTTTTCATCGAACTCTACAAAACGCAGAGCTCCCCCCACTGCAAGAGATCCAGAAACGCCCCGTCGCGTAACCGTACAAAAACTGAACGGCGTCACGAAAAAACGCAAAAGACCCACCCAACATCGAGTGCGCCAGATCGCCGGTGTCCCATTGATCCCCCAAGCTTTTCTCCCAGCCACGGGACGACGATGTAAAGCCGACCGCCTTCCAAGGCAACCAACGAACGACGACTCAGCAAACCCCAGGCGACCGGTTTGTTTTTGCTTTAAACAGGAATCTCTACTCCGACGACGCTCCACCCATCGACTCCCGCTTCTTCTCCTTCTTCGCCTTCTTCTCCGCCTTCCTCCGCTTCCGCTCCGCGCGCTCCTCCGCCGTCTCGCCGTCGTCGTGCTTCCGCTTCTTGCTGTCGGCCTTCTCTTCCTTCCCCGGGGTGGCCTGCGCGGCCGGCTCCTCGTCGTACTTCAGCTCCTGCGGCTTCGCGGCGGCGGCGGCGGGGGCGTCGTCTTTGATCTCCTCAATGCGGCCGGTGGCGGCAGCAGCGGCAGCGCTGGGGCCGGTGTTGGAGTAGTCGGTGTAGCTCTTTTTCCAGGTGGCTGGGGTGTCGTCGTTGGCGCGGCCGAATTTCTAGATGCTCGTTAGTTTGGAACGCTCTTCTCGGAGCGGGGAGTAGGGATGGATGAACGAGGATGGCAAGAGGAGGGGGATTAACACGTACATCTAATTTGCCAGCGGCCTTCATCTTCTTCTTCTCCATCGAGATCGGTCCCAACCCCCATCGCTTGGGGTACAGATCCCGCTCCATGATGACGCGCTTAACCTTCGCGACGACGCCGTGGTCGCAGCTGCCGAGGTCGGCGGTGGACATCATGGCGATAGCGAGGGCGATGGCTTCGCCCTTGGTGGAGATGACGATGATTTCCTCGAACTGTTTGATTCCAGCCTCTGCGGTCATGTTAGCATTGTGCAGAATGTCGGAAAGGGGGAATAAACGTACGGTATCGCAAAAGACCCGGCATCATGACCTTCGCACCGTAGGTGATGGCGTTGATCGAGGTGTCCTTGACGACAATGCGCTTGTAGGTCGTCAAGAGGGACTCAAGCGGTTGGATGACGGTACGCAGCAGCGCCTCGTCTCGCTTGTTGTCATACGCCCACTGCGCATCCAGCACGTCGTGCATCGTGACCAATCCCTTCTCCTCGTGCATCGCACCGCTGCGCACTCTCCTCAGCTCCTGCATATGCCCACCAACGCCCAGCAATACACCCAAATGCACACACAGCGTTCGGATATACGTCCCGGCCTCGCAGCTCACCCAGAACACGCCCAGATGCCTCTGCTCATCGTACTCATACAGCTTCGTCTCGTAGATCGTCCGCACGCGCAACTGGCGCTTCACGGCCGAGATGACGGGCGGCCGTTGGAACAGCGCACCGCTCAGCGTCTCCAGAGCGCGCGCCACGGACTTCTCACCCCCCGGCACCGGCGCATGGAAGCGCACGACGCACACGTACTCCTTTCCGGCTCCCTGTTGGGCCTTCACGAGGCGGGTGGCACGGTCGATGCAGACGATCAGGCAGCCGGTGACCTTGGGGTCGAGGGTGCCGCTGTGGCCCGTCTTCTCGACGCGAAGCATGCGCTTCACCCAGGCGACGACTTCGTGGCTGGACGGGTTGGCGGGCTTGTCGAGGTTGATGACACCGGAACTGACGTAGGATTTGAGGTCGCGGTTTTCGGGCTCGCTGCCGGCAGGGATGGGGGTGTAGTGGGCGGTGCGGACCAGAACTGGAAGGGAGGGTTAGTTTCCAATTTTGTCGTGTGCGTCGGGGGAATGGCCTACGCTTGTCCCAGTCTTTGAGAAGCAATGGGTATTCCGAGCCGGGAATCTCCTGCACCGAGCTCTCCGGCTTGATCGTATATTCGGGCTTCATTTCGACGCTCGTCATCTTGCCTGTGGTTAAAATGATTTGGCGAGGTGCCAATTGAAGGGATAAACCGGAGCGATGTTCCCTATCAATACCAATATATTATATGGTATTGAGGAATGGGATGAATGGGAGTGGACCGGATACGCGAGCCTCTGGGGAGTGATATGGAGGTGGCTGTCAAATCCGAACTTTTGAAGCCGAAATTTTCGATATGGAAAAGCTCAAGGCTCAAGCTGCAGGGAAGGCGCACGAGCCATGCCTTCCTCATTTTATGTGGCGGTGCATGACAGTGGCTGACAGTGGCTGACAGTGGCGGTACCACTCTGCCTTGTAGCCTCAATATCTAAGGCAGAAAGATCGGAAAGATGTGGCTGACGACATGACATCTACATGGCAATAACAGTCTCCACGTATCACTGGCCACAGCAGCAAGAGCCCGGAGGAAAGGAGAACAGAATCTGACAGTTTTGCCTCTCTAAGGCGGTCATAAGCAGTTCATGTTATTAAGCACTTCTTAACCACCATATCAACTGCCATATCAACTACCATATCAATTCCAATATCACATGTATCTCACTGCTCTGCATTCGCAATTCACACACATTCATTCTTCTTTAAGTTGGTGCTAGCAATTTGTTCCTAGCAGGTAGTAGTATCCTTGATCCTGGACTGAGTGACAGTGGAACCCTGGAGTCTCAATCACGAAGCACCGGCGTACCGTATTGAAACCCCTTACTTGTCCAAATTTCCCTGTTACCCCCCGACCGCCCGACCGCCCGAACCAGCCTGCGGCAAAGGACTTTCGCCTTTACGCTGTCCTCTTCTCCGCGTGAATGGCCGATGAGAAGCACATCGTCGAGATCCCCCTTCAGGTTCGCAGTCAGGACAACCTTCGATCGCGCCCTCTTTCGTCCGCTTCCTCCTCCAGCAGCCGACCGTTGACCTTCCCCTCCGACGACGAAGCCACCACTATCTCCACCATGTCGAAGGATTTGTCGAGTAGCCCGATATTGCCGGTCATATCGTACTGCGCTTCGTCGATTTTGATGACCGTGACGAATAAATATGTTCTATCGGGTTTGGATTTCAATTTAAATTTCTTGCTGCTGGCCACGCAGGTTCGTACATTAGGGTGGGATCGTGACATTCGATGTGCTGACGCGTTGCAGTCAATCATATGTGTCCTGGCCATCCAGACATGTAAATCAGCCGGATGGATCAACTTTCGCGACTTCAATTCGGGCGAGGCGAAGAAATGTGAGTTGTCCTCGCGTCAAGTCGCACGCGAATACGCTGATGACCATCGATTATAGGGTTCCCCATATCTCTCCTCCTCATCGGCATGATCTACACAAGCACAAAGGCGCTGCAATTCCTCTCCATCCCCGTCTACACGATCTTCAAGAACTTAACCATCATCCTCATTGCCTATGGCGAGGTTCTCTGGTTCGGCGGCTCAGTCACCGGCATGGCATTGCTATCGTTCGGTCTGATGGTGGTCAGCTCCGTCGTCGCCGCATGGGCGGATATCCAACACGCGATGGCATCATACGGCACCGCGAGCGAGCGAACCAACGACGCCATCAGCACATTGAACGCGGGTTATATCTGGATGATGCTGAACTGTTTCTGCACCGCGACCTACGTCCTGGGAATGCGCAAGCGGATCAAGTTGACGAACTTCAAGGACTTTGACAGTATGCCCTCCTAATCTCTTTCTAACCCCCTTCCCGAACAACATACTAACTCCTTCAAGCCATGTACTACAACAACCTCCTCACCATCCCCGTCCTCGCCGTCTGCACCCTCTTCCTCGAAGACTGGTCCGCCCACAACATCGCGCGTAACTTCCCCCCTTCTCACCGCATCCCCATCCTCACCGCCATGGTCTTCTCCGGCCTCTCCTCCCTCTTTATCTCCTACACCTCCGCCTGGTGCGTGCGCGTCACCACCTCCACCACATACTCCATGGTCGGCGCCCTCAACAAGCTGCCCATCGCCGTCAGCGGCCTCGTCTTCTTCGACGCCCCCGTCACCTTCGGCAGCGTCAGCGCCATCGCTATCGGCTTCGTCTCCGGGATCGTGTATGCGTGGGCGAAGGTGCTGCAGAACGCGAAGCGGGATACCGTGTTACCGTTGACGCGGCCGAACATGCAGAGCGCGAGCGCGAAGAGCATGAGCGAGGGCCTGAAAGGATGAGGAGAAGAACGGGGAGTGGGATGTGGAGGGTTGGACGTCGTTCCGCACCGCATGGTCGGAAATGCGACGGACGGCATTTTGGACGATCAACCGGGTATTCGAAAACGGGAGGCGGTGCGGTTCCGCTGGTCTATCAGCGACCGCGAACCACACCTGCCGTGGGTTGCGTCTATCGGAGGCATATGACCTATTCCGGGCCATGGTCTCCTTGATTCTCGAATAGACAGTTTGTAATGGGCTTCCGTGATCGGTTGCTCTGCGTTGGCTTTGGTACGCGTGCAAAAATTCCGGGCTTGGAAGGCTGGCTCTTGATGGAGTTATGGACATTCCAATGTGTATATTATATTACCTTTTGAGATATGTTGGAGCGGTGATGAATCGAGTGTATAGGTTCTAATCTTGGATGTCGAGATCTTTCTGATGCCTCCATTGACCTTGAAAACACTCCGGATCGTATATTCGAACCCTATCTTAAGCCCCTCCAGGCTATTCATTATATATGATACAGCCTGAACATGTCCGGAAGCACATTTGCATCAGAAGTCGACTATTCTTCTCGACATAAAAATGACTCGCAGGAGAAGATGAGCACGTGACATGCATCGCCATTTGGAAAATATTTCTTTCCCAGCAACATGAACGTTGAATTAATGAAAGCTTCGTGAACGAATAATCTTTATCAGATATAAAATGCAATAATCCCTGCATTGTAACCTACCAGGCGATCGTTGCGTTCAGCGTTGGGCGCGAAAAGCCCTCTCCATCCATCACCATGGCTCCAAATCCCATGCCATCCGCCCTCACCTTCGAGCTGATCGCCAAATGTTCGGTATGAATCTCCCTAAATCCCTAATCTGAATTCAAGAATATCAATTAACATATGTCCAGGTCACCAAAGCGCGCGCATCGCTCCTCACGTTGCCCCATGGACCCGTCCAGCTCCCCGTTTTCATGCCGGTGGGGACCCAGGCGACGCTCAAGGGAGTCACCCCTGAGCAGCTGGAGGGGACGGGATGTCGACTGTGCTTGAATAATACGTATCATCTGTAAGTTCGATATTCTGTCTCATCTACGGTTGAAGGATACACGATGCTAACGGGTTACGTAGCGGACTCAAACCCGGACAGGCGGTTCTTGACGCCGTCGGGGGCGCGCATAAGTTCCAATCATGGCCGCATAATATTCTTACAGGTGAGGATTCCATGGATTCGCGTGGATGATCAGATTACTGAAAATGGTGCAGATAGCGGAGGGTATAGCGACCTCTCCCCGTCAACCTCTATCAGGCATTAACCTCTCTGCCCAGTTTCCAAATGGTCTCCCTCCTCGAACTCGCCAAAGTCACCGAAGAAGGCGTCCGCTTCCTCAGTCCGCACGATGGCTCCCCAATGTACCTCTCCCCCCTCATAACCTCCAGCCCACACACTAACCACCCCCAGGCTCCTCACCCCCGAGCACTCCATCTCCCTCCAAAACTCCATCGGCTCCGACATCATGATGCAACTCGACGACGTGATTGCGACCACCTCGCCGGACCTCGCGCGCATGGAAGAGGCGATGCACCGCTCCGTACGCTGGCTAGACCGGTGCATCGCGGCGCATAAATACCCCGAACGGCAGAGTCTGTTCTGCATTATTCAAGGGGGGTTGAATCTGGAGCTGCGGCGGGAGTGCTGTCGGGAGATGGTGGCGAGGGATACGCCGGGGATTGCGATTGGGGGTTTGAGTGGCGGGGAGGAGAAAGATTCGTATTGTAGAGTGTGAGTGGGAACTGAGGGGGAGTTGGTGTGGACTGTGGAGGCTGACTGGTTGGTTTAGGGTTGATACGTGCACGGGCTTGTTGCCGGAGATGAAGCCACGATATGTTATGGGAGTGGTGAGTGGCGCCTAACAACCGCAGGTTATATGATTCCTCTGACATGGCGTAGGGTTACCCAGAAGATCTGGTTGTTTCCGTGGCACTTGGAGCCGACATGTTCGACTGCGTCTGGCCAACCCGGACGGCCGTAAGTGTCTATCTACGCCCCATCCAATCCCACTGCTGACTTGGATCCCAAAGCGCTGGGGCAATGCCGCCACCTCCTCCGGCACCCTGAACCTCAAACACGGCAACTACGCCAACGACTTCTCCCCTATCGAAGAAGGCTGCACCTGCATCTCCTGCCGCCCGAAGTCCGCCGGCGGCCTGGGCATCTCGCGGGCGTACATCTACCATCTCGCGGGTAAGGAGACGGCCGGCGCACACCTTCTAAGCATACACAATGTGCATTATCTGCTCGCCCTGATGCGGTCGGCGCGGGAGGCAATCATCGCGGATCGGTATCCGCAGTTTGTGAAGGGGTTCTTTGGGAAGTTGTATCCGGATCGGACGATGACGCCGTCATGGGCGGTGACAGCGTTGAGGAGGGTAGGAGTGGATTTGCTGGCGGATTAGTCTTGGCCATTGGATATTAAAGTACTAGGACAAAAGTCTGTGCATGCCCCACACCAAAATCAAAACAAGCTGAACAACCACCAATCTTCAACCATCAATATTATCATCAAAATGAGGTCGTTTGGGCAAGAAATTAGTGGTAATCGACAGAGAAATCGCGAATTAAGCGAACGTCAAAGAGCTGCGATTTTACAGGCCGTTGCGGACGGTAGAACTAAGGCGGAGGTTGCGGAGGAGCATAATGTCGTTGTTCGCACCGTATACAATACCATCAATCGATGGAACCACCACCACGTCACTGCATCCTTACCCCGTAAGGGGACCCCCCGAAAACTATCGCGGTCTGACGAACGACATATCGTCAAAATTGCACGTAGATTCCCAAAGATAGAGTATACAGAGCTCCTCGAAAGCGTCGAATACCTCCGGATCTCGAAGAGGACTATCTACCGAACCCTTAAGAAATATCACCTTACGAAGTGGCGAGCGAAGGAGAGGCCCCATCTTAGGCCTCATCACGTCAAAGACCGGCTCCAATTCGCCCGCGAATTTGTGAGATTCAACTTCTCAAGGACCCACTCTACAGACGAGTGCTCTTATGAGAAAGGGGCCGGCGAAAAACAGGTTTGGGTATGGCGCCTATATCACGAGGCATACGACCCAAAGATGGTCGAGCCTAAGACCCCTAGCAAGGCGATTTCGCAGATGATTTGGGGCTCAATCTCGCGTGAAGGGAGGTCGGAGCTGGTGATCATGGACCGCGACGAAGACTCTCTAAGACAGGGCTATTCCGCGAAATCTTACATCGCTGCGTTAGAGGAGGGGCTGCTCCCTACGTACGAACCCGGGGATGTTGTTATCCAGGATAACGCAAAGATCCACACGGCCAAAATCACCCAGGAATGGCTGGAGATTCACGGCATCCGGGTCATCGATTGGCCAGCCAATTCTCCGGACCTCAACCCTATAGAACACATGTGGCATGTGCTGAAAACGATGGTCAAGAAGCTCCACCCTGAACTAATGCGAATGGGGGCATCAGATGAGACACGGGAGGTAATGAATAAGGCGTTAAAGGAGGCGTGGTGGGCGATCCCTCAGGAGAAGATCCGGGCACTGATTGACTCAATTCCGCGACGTTTACAAGCGGTGATCAAGGCAAAGGGCTGGCATACGAAATACTAGGCTAGTACTAATTAGGCAATCAAAAAAGCATACACTGATCGCTTCCTCTGCGGTTTTGAGCGTATCTCACGATGGGGGTGGTGGTGGTGGTGAAATCACGTGGTTGACGACCATGCACAGACTTTTGTCCTGTCAGTGTATAGACAGCAAATGTCACCTGTTACCTCCTCCTCTGCGTGATGGAACACCCGCTGTGCCGGAACGAAATCGATGTACTTTGACGTCAACCCTACTCAGAGGCCCCACACATATTGTAATCCTCATAATATTATATAAATTGCGCTCATCAGCCACTTCTAAACATGCATGTCGGAAATCCGCGGCTATTACTTAGTCACCACACCTTGTAGATTACATAAGATTACATAAGCCTGGGTATATATACCCGTCAAGGTAAACTATGTACTTCTGACCGAATAGAAGCATCTCACTGCCTCTGAACAGGTGTCCTATTGTTTCCGTGATTGACTGACACGCCAAAACGATCCACAGTTACACTCTGCTGGGGTAAGCTTCCGAGAAGAGAACCCCACAGGTCGCAGCATCCCTTGGTCATCTTACTGATAGACTGCGCCGCCAAGGGCCCAGCCGGAACAATCGCAATCAAGAATGGTTTCTTTGCCATCCTCCCACATCTTCAGCAGCGGTGCTTTCGTAAAGGCCTCCTTCAGGAGCTCGAAACTTCGTGTAGCTCCTTCGTCCATCTCGAATGGCGTTTCTTGCTTTGACTTCTTGGTTAGGGCGTTTAGGGCTAGTGCTAACTCGGAGTAATCCTTTATAAAACCTCTGTAAAAGTTGGCAAAACCCAAGAACCCCCGAAGACCCCGGAGGGTAGTAGGCGGAGCCCAGTTCATGATCGCTGAGACCTTCTCAGGGTCCATAGAGATACCTTTTTCTGCTTCGATGATAAAACCCAAGTACTTGATTCGTTTCACGAAGAACTCGCACTTCGAAATGTCGATCTGTAGCCCTGCATCTCGTAGAAGTTGAAGGACTTGACGGACTTATTGCTTATGCTCTGCGAGCGATCCATCCGTTGAAACGTGCTGGGTGCGTTTGCTAAACCGAATGGTGTAACTAGCCATTCAAACAAGCCGTAGCGGGTCCGAAAGGCTGTTTTCCATTCGTCTCCATGGGCTATCCGAATCTTGTTAAACGCAGCGATGACATCAAGTTTCGTGAACCATTTTGCTTGGCTAACTTGGCTCAAAGTCTCTTTAATCAAAGGTAAAGGGTAACGGTCCTTGCTTGTCATCTCGATGATCCCTCGATAATCAACACAGATGTTATGGTCCCAGGCCTGCGGCCTGTTCCCTTGGTTGTGGCTGAAGACGTGGCTGGTGGATTATATCAGAGAAGCAAACAAACATGGTAACACAGCAGTAGGGCATTGGAGAGGAGAGTCGCTATCTCGCGCACAAAGGTGCCGGGAGATTTCTTCTCTCTCTCTCTCTCTCTTCAGTTTAGATTAATGGAACTTGGTAATCGCAGACCTTGCGCATCCAGACCGTGTCACATTATTCGTAATTATTCGTAATTATTCGTAATTATTCGTCTATCTCTGAAGCTATTTCCATGTATCTCGCATCGGAGAGATGGTCGACAGAGAGCTTTGAGCTGGGGTCACTTGGCTTGCTGAATCGTCAGGACTCAGGAGTGATCAATTCGACGCTATTGATATGTTTTGTATCTCTTAGAGCTCAAATCCTCCAGATCGTGTTCGGGTAAACAAAAGTCGCGACTGCTGGGCATTCATTCATTGGCTCGGCTTTTGCCGAATAAGTCTTGGCATTATTTACGAATATTCGCGAATAATACGAATAAAGCGTCTCAAAACTTAGTCGAATACGAATAATCGTTCAAGAGGAAAAGTCGAATACGAATAGCCAAATTCCTTATTCGTGTCCAGCCCTAACCCTGACGGGACCCGGATAGCACGTTAAATTGAAATATTATTATTAAATATTTGTCACGATATTGTTAGAACATCAATCTAGGGAGTTTTCTGCGTATGTAGTTGGCTGCAGGTACGGATAAACTTCGGCATAGATAGCAACTTTCGTGGTTGCTCCTGGTTTCCGTTTGGGTTTAGCCCTATGATGAGGTTGAAACTTACCCGAAATTCCTCCGTACATGCGGTCAATTGTGAGCCCGGGTTTCACACCTGTCCCCAGGTCCAAGGATGACTGCTGTCAAGCGAACATGATCATCCACTAAACCTTACGGGATATATTAAAGTTATATTCGGGAACATTAGGGTAAATCTCGGTAAGATATGCCCTATCTTCCTTAAATTCAATGCTCTTGCTTCTGCACCTGAGTCTCTCGACTCCCTTGCCACGTTCTCCACAACTAAACACGGTTTCTCTGATCGCCTAAGATCTAGTTCGCTCGCGGACTAACCTCTTTGGTACTATATTCTGATCGCTTGGCTTACAATTTGGGTTCCAACAAAGTTGACGTAGGATCACCAAGCACAGCTTCTCCACATCGAATTGCTATACCGAAAACGCGACGACGTTGCTAAGACCTTTAGCTGAAATTAACGCAATATTAAGGTCGTTGGTCTAGCCAAGATGGACTCGTGTGATCTGGTTATTATTCCGGAATCAAATCGGATATAAAATGACCTTCCGAATCAGAATCATGCTTCCTCTATTTCTATAGTCTCCTCAACAAACCTCTTAGGCTACTACAGCTCACGGTTCCGTTATTTCACTTCGTCTATCCTTTCAAAATGCAGTCAGTAACACTCCTTCTCAGTCTTTTGGCCGTCGCCACTGAGGCTGCCCCTCAGTTTGGTGGGCTTGGTGGTGGATCAGGCGGCTCCAGTGGCGGAGGACTTGGTGGGTTGTTGGGCGGTGGCGGCGGCGGCGGACTCGGTGGGTTGTTGGGCAATCTGTTGGGCGGTCTTTTGGGCGGTTCCGGCGGATTCGCTTCTTTGGGAGAACCTAGCACTGGTGGCAGTGGCCCGTATCCAGCGGTGAGTGTCCCTCCAGCAAGCCACGGAAAACAAACATGAACTGATCATTTTAGAATTTCTCAACGGACCCAGGTCTACCTAAACACACCATCTATCTTCCAAACGAGATTCCCGCAGATCTGAAGCTGCCTGTTCTCGTTTGGGGAAATGGAGGTTGTATGGCCGACGGTACCGGGTTCCAAGGGGCTCTAACCGAATGGGCTTCCCACGGCTTCCTGGTTATTGCCAATGGCAGTCCAGGCGGCTCCGGCCAGACTACTTCGGACATGTTACTCCAATCGATCGAGTTTGTTACTCAGAACGCCGGTAACGGGAAATACGCCAATATTGATGCGAGCCGAATTGCTGCTGCGGGACAGAGCTGCGGTGGTCTCGAGGCATACGATGTCGCCCCCGATCCTCGCGTTTCGGCTATTGGGATTTTTAACTCTGGAGAATTCACAGACTCAGCATCACAACAAACGATCGCTCAACTGCAGCAGCCCGTCTTCTATTTCCTTGGTGGTCCAGACGATATCGCCTATGAAAACGTACGTTTTTCGGCCCTATATCCGCAGCTCGCAGTCAGTCGATGCTAATCTATTATTAGGGCGAACGTGATTTTCAAAATCTGCCCAGCAATATTCCATCATGGAAAGGCAACCTCCCTGTTGGCCATATGTCAACCTTTATGGATAAGGACGCTGGCAAAGTCGGGGTTGCGGGCGGCAACTGGTTGAAGTGGTTACTGAAAGGTGATCAAGAAGCAGCGCAATGGTTCACTAGCGGCTCTGCCCAACAAGCAGGGTGGGACGTAGAGGAGAAGAACTTGCAAAGTATCCAGGTTACACCTATTTAAACTCAACGCGAAGAGTCAGGGGCCGGAGCTAGGGTTTTGAACGATTCCTGTAACTACCTAAGTTAGTCTTTCTCAAAAAAAAAGTGTACCAGGAAGGAAACTCACACCATGAAGGCTTTGATTCAAATTTCCATCGCCCCAATGTGCTGACGAACAACCCATCAACCGATCTCTAGAGCCAAGATTCTCTTAACTATCAGCGCTCTGCCTTGAGCATTTGGCTACATTGGCCTAATTTCCATAGTTTGGCATGCCTAACAATGGATGTGAAGTAAGAAATGACGGAATAAGTAGAGACTAGATGGCATTACCGTTAACCGTATGCATGCTACCCGTTGAAACAAAACATCGCAAAGTATATCGTAAACTCCACCAATGCGTCATATCGTCCTCGCATCATAGTGCTGGCTCAATTTGTTTTATTAACAGAGAGGTGGACGTTCTATTCCCTCAGAAGCGCAGCTCACAAGCGGATGAAATGGAAGAAGACTGGATTGGGAGTTCATTCGAAGCGATAGACAAATCGCTTCTGGGAGAGGAAATGGTTTTAGGGATGGCACCATCTCAAATGTCCATGGAGTCCGCATATCCCTTCCAGTGCTTCGCCCTACTCTAACGAAAATGGGAGCCGACTACGGTGCTATGGACGACGACCTTTCAGTAGCGGACCATACGCGACTGCTATTTGAGAGCATCGTTCAATCTACCGAAGCGGCCGAATCTAGCAACCAGCAACCTTCAGGTAATTATGGCCTTGCTGCGCTCTAGAATAGGCATGACCCGGACTAACAGGTTTGTACAGAGCAAACGGATGGCATCGCCGATGAAAACCACGACCTTGAAATCAATCTGTCGTCCCTTGAACAAAGGAAGCGGAACCGTTCCTCCTCCTGCACTACCCCATCCACCGATCTCGGTGCTGCGCCCGGCGCTAGTCCGTCGCCGCTGTCCACGATGCTGGGCTTGACTGTTCAGGGCGGCGCGAGACTCCACCCATATATCATCGTGTAGGGAAGGAACGACCGGGCTCTGCCGATGCCGAGACATCTCCCCAAGACGGCGATAAGAGCGGCGCAGCGGATAATAAAGGAAGTGCGCGAAGCGAGCACATAAACCGCGACCGCTCTAGCAACCGTGGGCTGACCAGCACTGGCCTACGACCGGCCTCGTCTCCCCGTGTAATAAGAGCGTACTAGCGACGCGAGACCAACGATCCGATTCGCGAGCATAGCCAGCTAGGAGACACTGCTCATTATGGTCGTGGCTGTGGCGGTGACACAGACGAAGAGCATGCCGTGGATAACAACTATAGAACAACGTCGCCGAGACCGCCACTGGCGCGAAGGAATCGAGGCAAGATCCAGCTCAGAGGTCGACCGTTCCAGTCGGATGCTGGGAGGAACATACCCACGCTCGCACGGGATCAGCGGATTCCACGCTGCTTGAGTAGCCCGCATCCCGACTCCTCAGCAGCCAGAGGCGACGATCGAGGCCCTTGGTACAGTCACGAGAGCGTACCTTTTGCCATGGCCCGGCACAATATAACCGACACTTCTCTTCGTCCAACGGCGGGGGACACTTTCCTAGCAGCTACGATCAAGATCGATAGCAGCACCAAGGCGATTTCTTGCGGCACGTTACTCACGCTTCTCGAGAGAATCCTAGGCCATACAACGAAAGTACAAGACATGACGCTCAAACCGCTCTTAGAAGGCCAATGGCTGCTGACCGGTTTCCTGTGCAGACCTTGCATCAATGTCGGCGCCACCACGCAGCGCGAGACCACGCCAAACTGGCGAAGGAGTGCTGCCTCGGGGGCCGCCATTCCAGTGGCCCGATTTCCTGACTCGGAAGATGACGGTAGCGTCGGCGGGAACGATAGTAGCGTCAGTGACTATGGTATCGACGACGATAATTACATCGATCAGGGCGTACATGGGCGAAGGAATCGGCGCTGGGAGCCTTTGGAGGATGAGCGCTTGCGGGCGTACAGAGTAGAGGGAAAGTCATGGGAGTGGATCTCGAAACAGTTCCCGGGTAGGACGCCGGTCGCCGGACGCCGTTTGTATCCACTGGCACTAGGGTGGTTGAATTTCAGTAATTTATATATATTTCTTCGGGGCTGGTGAGGTTTGGCTGGTGAGATTTTCCCCCCCCGCTTTTGAGATTTTGCCCCCCAGCCGCGGGCAAAAAGGCGCAAAAGCTGTAATTTTCGTACCGCGTTGTGATTGGAGTCTATTAGTACGCTAACTTGGCGCCACCAAGCCCCTCCCGGCGCTAAAAAGGAATGAACCAGATGGACCGTGTATGGGATAAGGTTTCTACAGGCTTCTATAAGAATTACGATATGCATAGAGCCTCTGAGTGGGTATGAGGTCAAAGTACGGAGGACCCCTTCAAAAGTTCTTGCCCACGCCAAGACCCCGTAATAAAACCATTCCTAATTAGGATACATGTACTAATGGCTAAGTCCTCCCCATTCGCGTTATCTCAGTCCTTTCTCGTATGGTCTCTCCCTTCCTTATACTCGTTCCCTCCTTCTAGCTCAATTATCTGTTGAATATGTCGTGGAATCCGCTCAATCCAAGCCTGTACCTTCTCCTGCGGGAGTCCTTCCCAGCAAGCTTCCCAGGCTTTAATGGCTTCATGCCTATTCTTTGGAGCACCTTTTCTTGTCGTCGCTCTCTTCATGTATGGCCAACATGGCTCGATAGCATTTAGATCTAGGGAATTCCCGCACCAAAGAAGTCGCTGTACTCCGTACAAATCGTATACTCGTTGCTGTGCATGATGGGCGTGCGACGGAGCTTTATCCTCTTGAACAATCGTGTCTGGCCGATCCTTCTGACATTCCTCTACGAAAGGAAATAGCTTCGGAATTAATATCTTTGTCTGATATCGATACCAGTCGATTCCTTCTCCTTTCCGTCGAACTAGTTTCCCTGTCTTCTGCGTCCATTTCCAGATTGGCTTTCTGCCAGAGGGATTCCGGAGTCCCATCCTCCTCATACCGGTCTCAAGTTCCCACTGGTCTCGACGAATAGGTTCAAGCAAGTCGTTCATCTCTTCTAATACCTTTTCCGCGTCGATTTTCTCCTGTTTCGTTTCCGGCATCCAGCAATGGCAAGGGCCTTTCTTATCATACGTAAAGCAGGCCCAGAACATAAATTCTGTATATCCTTTCCAACGCTCCCGGATACAGGTCTTTGCAAGCGCTTCGTCTTTCGTCCTCCATACTCGATAACTACCTCTCCGGTGGAGTAATACGATAGCTGTCTCGTCACTCCAAATAACGTTTTTCCAATCTTCCAGTGTCCAATGCTCGTGCTCTTTCGCAAACTTCAACCATTCAGCTTTCATCTTCTTCGTCAATCCAGGCTTCCTCGTCGGCTTCGTCTTGTTGAAGCCGGCTTTCTTGAGCACTCTCCAGATGGTAGACTCGGAGACAATCCAACCGCCTCTACAAAGCTCGCCCGCGATATCAGCGCAAGTCTTCTCCCTTCCATATCGATCCTGACGCACTTTGGTAAGAACGGTATTCGATAGCTCCTCCGTCTGTTTTTGGGGCCGGCCGGGACGGGGTGCATCTTCTAGCCATTCGTCTCTAATATGCAGAGGCAGATGATTAGGGTCAAATCCCCGCTCAATTGCACGGGCATAAATAGCATTAATTGTACGCTTTGGAAGACCCGTTTTTTCAGCGATTTCAGCTGTTGTTTTTCCCCCAATAGGTGACTTAAGAGTAACAATAAGCGCCCGTGTTGCGATGTCAGTATTTGAAGGCATTTCGTAACGTGAGAGAGACTTCATAAGATTCAAAATAGGAGCGATGAAGGACAGATTCGATGTACTTAGGATTCCTCGGCTGGTATTGTGGGACTGCCAAGAAAGTGGCGTATTTAGCGTGGGCAAGAACTTTTGAAGGGGACTTCCGTACCTCGAATTCGTTCCAGCACGGCGGGTGTTCCATCGCGTAGGGTGTTACGGCACGGTAGCTGGATGCACACAACATACACGTAGCCAAAGATATTCTAGATTAAGCTAAAGAAGAGAACAAGAAAGGGAAGCTTTCTTGTTTACATCGGAGAGGTTGGACTCTGATTTATCCTTAACCTAATCAGGCTTAGGCTCTCAGCCTGAGCCAACCAAGGGTTTCAACCCATAACATAGGGAGGGGGTCTACATAATATCAAAGTGCTCAATACGGTTAGATCTTGTCTTAATAGCGGCTCCTTAGCATCGATTTGTTTTCGGCTCACTTTCCATCATTCCCCCCTAAACAACGGCGACGCTTCTCATTGGCTGCGTCTACGACGCGTTTCTGCGCGATGCCATCACAAGTTTTGGGAGAAACATCTGCATCATAACTTTACGTTGTTGTATTCGCATGTGTAAGACAACGGAAAGCTACTGTGGTTTAGCTTGTTTTTGAGAATTGCAAAGAGAACCCATTCTAGGCATCCAACGTTCCCTCCTTGCATCACAACCATGGAGCCCCGTCCTCCCGACCAAGACGTTCGCCAATTCAATGAACCGCGACACCAGCAACCACCCGAAACCATCTCGGACAGCAGCGCGCGACTGGTCGATTCTTTAAATCAACTATCTATCAACTGCGATGGACAGCCGACGTCGCCCGCCTCAGCATTCCAACCCCGATCCCCTCGACGTGACCAAAACGGCGCCTCTCGCTCCCCTTCTACCACGAGAATGCCCCCTAGCCCTCTACGCCGTATGTCGAGCAACTTGACCAGCGACCGGAGCCGCAACCAGGAATTATCCAGGCGAGCGTCCTCGTCGTCGTTGCGCGCACATGATCCGTCGTTGACTCCGCGAAAGTCCCTGTCGAGAAGATCGTCAATCAATCCACTTCCTTCTCCGACTATGGACCGGCGCTTCCCCCTGCCTCCGATGGAAGAGGCGACACCACTCACCGCGGCCTCGGTGGCTGCGGGACACTTTCAGAGGGAGCTGGCGCTTCATGGGGAGGGGCAAGAAGGAAAGACGGTGGTGATTCTGCACGACGATTGTTATGGACACCGATTTTCGCGACCAAAGACGAGCAAGGCGAGCCTGTCGATGATCGTGGAGCGTCCGGAGCGGATACATGCCGGTATACTAGGGATCACAACTGCGTATGTCAGGCTGGGCGAACGACATGCAGGAGGGCTCCACGCTCCCCATCCCGCCCGATCTCCATCATCGAACCTCCCCTTCCGAATCCACAAGACGGCCAGAGCTCTCCCTCTAAATTCCCCCTCGGTGGTCGCAGTCCACGGCGCCAAATGGATGGACGAATTGAAGACCATGTGTGGCGACGCGGGCCAGAAACTCGTGTCAACCGGGAAGGAGCTGAGCAGGACGGCGAGCTTGCCTGGGCAGCCTACCAAAGAGAAGTTTCACGAAGGCGATTTATATCTCTGCTCGGAATCCCTCAACGCTTTCCAAGGGGCGCTCGGTGGCGTCTGTGATGGTATCGACGCGGTTTTCGCTTCCACGAAGGGGGGTAAAGGGGCTTCAAATGCCTTCGTATGTGTCCGACCACCGGGCCATCACTGTTCGGCAGACTACCCATCCGGCTTCTGTTGGCTCAACAATGTCCATGTGGGGATCCAGTATGCGGCACAAACGCACGGACTGACCCACGCGGCGATCATCGATTTCGACCTACACCACGGCGATGGCTCTCAGGCGGTCACTTGGAATCACAACGCGAAGACGCTAAGGCTCCCGAAGAACACGCCGAATGCGAAGAAGAACACCATCGGATACTTTAGCTTGCACGACATCAATTCCTACCCATGCGAATACGGCGACCAGGAGAAGGTGCAGAATGCGAGTCTGTGTATTGAGAATGCGCATAACCAGAATATATGGAACGTGCATTTGCAGCCTTGGAAGACCGAGAGGGACTTCTGGGACTTGTATGAAAGTCGCTACCTCGTCCTGATTGAGAAGGCTCGGGCGTTCCTCCGCGCGCACACGACGAAATTGAACACGGAGAAGAACCAACCGAAGCCGCTCGGAGCGATCTTCTTGTCTGCCGGGTTTGATGCGAGTGAGTGGGAAAGCGAGGGAATGCAGAGGCACAAGGTCAACGTACCGACCGAGTTCTACGCTCGATTTACCCGCGATGTCGTCCAGATGTCGAAAGAAGAGGGACTTGGTGTTGATGGGCGAGTTATCAGTGTACTGGAAGGAGGATACAGTGATCGGGCGCTCACTAGCGGCGTTCTGAGCCATCTCAGCGGACTTTGTGACAATGACACGCCGATATTTAAGCAAGAGGAGACGGAGAATGGTCTTGGTTTCGAGATGGGCAGGCGCATGGGTATGTTGAACATGTCGGACGGTCACGAGCTACCGACTCCGGCTCCAGTGCCTGTATACGACAGTGCTTGGTGGCATCCGTCCGCGCTCACCACGCTCGAGACTCTTGTCTACCCAGCACCACCAGCGCCATCCAAGAAACCGAAATCCGGCCCGCACCCAACCTACCAGACCCCCACGCAGTCTTTCACCGCCAAGGTCATCGACCCTGAGCGCGTCCGACGAAGTGCGTCCAGCACCTACCGACCAATGTCCGCTAGCCCGTCCCGCCCACCATCTCCACCTCCACCGGAAGTAGACTGGGCAACCGCCGCTCACGAACTTTGCAAGCTGCTCGTCCCCACTGATCGCCAGACCAAGAGCTGCCAACCTGAAGAGCTCGCCGAAGTGCGTGTAAAGAAAGAGCGGCATTCGACGACTAGCCTCCCAGCTGACACTGCTCCGCCGACCCGTCAACTTCGCGAGCGACGGACCAGAGCGCCGAAGTATGTAGAACCTCTCTCGGATGACGAGACTGCCTCCGTGCGCTCAGTATCGCGGACAGACAGGCGCAAGACGATGGGTGACTTCCCGCTTCCCACCGACGAGGTCCCCGCACCGGCCGCCACGAGGAGTTCGAGACGACTCAGCACCGCGTCGACGATGAGCTCGACCAGCACGGTGGCACCATCCGTAGCCAGCACGGCCACTCGACCAGTCAAGCCTCCGCCTGCAAATCTACAAGTCAAGAAAACCCGTGTTGCCTCGGGTACGAAGCCGGATGCTACCAAGTCAAGAAATCCCTCCGCGCCCCCCGTTCCTCGAGTACCATCTGGCTACGCCCCATCCACCAAATCCGCAACCCAGGCAGCATCACAAAACAAATCCACCACCGCCTCGTCAACCGACGCAGACGTCGACGCCCTGACTACCGGCGTCCAACGCATCCGCATCAAGATGCCCACGCCAGAGGAATACGCGGTGCGGGAACAGCAGAAGGTGAAAGAAGCCGCGGAGAAGAAACGAACGACCACCAAACCTGCGCCTCGCAAACCCGCTGCGCCGCGGACGACGAAGGTTGGTCCGGTGACGAAGCGTGGCGCGGCTACGAAGGAAGCGAAGCCTGCAGCGGTTGGAAATACCTCCGCTGGTGTGCCTCGACCAGCGATTCCAGAAAGCCAGGTACCCCCTGTTCCTACTCCTATTGCTGCTCCTGCGCAGGCTTCGGCTTTGCATCCCCCCGCAGTCGCTCAGCTAGTGAAGCAATTTAATCCCGGTCCCGCCGAGTCCGTCCCTCCTCACGTCGGCTCCGCGGAGCTTAGCGCCCAGTCCGTCATCTCGCGCAGTAACGGCGCGCAAGTTGCCCGCGCATCGCACATCACGCCTCCTGCTGCTCAACCATCCCCTCCCGCCTCCATCTATCCGTCCTCCCTCATCCCCGAGACCCACGCCGGGTCGCCACCTGCGTCCGTGCACAATGGACAGCCTGCAGTCGCCACAATACCCGAACAACGACCTGGTACTAGTCCACCGGCATTTGAGTTCCATAACTCGTTCCCCCCCTCGTCAACGCCCACGAATAGCGTGACGTCTCCGAAGGGAGATGATGCGGGGTCGCCTAGAGGAGGTCCACCGCGGTTTCCGATGGGGTTGCAGTGGCAGCCGGTAAATGGGGATATCGGAGCGGCAAAGAGTCGGGATAGCGAGGGGAAGGGAAGCGAGTAGTGGGATGCGAACGACCGGAACCCATGGTGTGGAGGTGACGGGGTTGTAATGGAGGAGGACATGATCACTGCATAACGCTTGTCGCTAGGGGCTAATGTTTGCGAGTTTCTGTGTTTCATTTGTACGATTTCCTTGGCTCGAACATGGATCGGTTATATGGATGGAATGGTGCGAACGTGGGAGCGGACCATTGGGATTTTACCTCTGGTGTTATACCCAATCTGATGTTGAGGTTGCTCTGTTTCGTTATTGGTGTCAACAGGTCTGAAAGTGTGATACCCCTGAAGCTCAATGTAATCTATACTTCTATTCAAACTACAGCCTGGAGTGATTCCAATTCTAATTGAACGAGTTCTTTGTATACAATCTACTAACAATCCTTTTGGTCCTCTCCGCCCGTCTGCCCTCGCACTTCCACCTCCGCCACCCCGTCTCCGTCTTCTACCTTGCTCGACCTCTACCTCGACTGCCTCCTCAGGTGGCTGAACGATGCTCTGAAAGAAAAAAAAATCCATCTCTTCCCAGTGTTCTTAATTCGGATCTTTGAGGTGGTGAAGCATGATCCGCAAGAGGTCGTAGACAATGTTGCTATGTCGTATCAGTATCATATCCATAAACAAAGATCCAGAAGGCTTACAGATCCTGGAGAATATTCTCCCCATTGCGAAAGTTTCGGAAACGTCGCCCATCACTCCATACAACCAACATAACGTTGAATGGCTTCCAGGGCAAGCATGTCCGTCTCTCTAACCCATTGGGCTTGTTCAGCGGGATAGCCCTTCCATTTAACGAGGTATTCCGTGAACTCTGTGCGTGCATGACCGATGCCCGTTGCTTATACTTGACGCTCAACTTCGGTGGATTACTTGAATGACTGCTTGAATGGGTCTCGCATGGTTTGTTTTGTCAGGCGGATCGTCGAGTTTGCTGTCGATAAGATGCAGTTTCATTCTCTAATAGAGACACACAAAAGAGAACCCGAAGGGAAGTGCCGAGGGCACCCACACCCGCAACCAGACACAACATACCACATTTCACGGCCAAAGATAGAGGACGAGCTGAGCTTTAACGAGGCGGTGAGGGTGCTGTGCGACCACGCGTTAGTGGGAGTGGATAGGTCCTCTAAAGGAAGCGTTGAGTCTCTGGACTACGGGATGCATAGCTGTGTGCATTCATGGACGGTTTATGTGGTCAACCAAGAATGGGATTCAGAGATGGCCGAGGTAGCTCTGGAGTGTGTAGGTAGACATACGTTATGTAAGATCTCAGGAGGCCTTCTATACCAGTATCTCCTCTCAAAATTATTTACCTCCTCGTAAAAATCCGGATAGAGATCAGCCAGCCGCACCCTCTGAAATCCTACATCATGTGTGCTCCTGCCCTCTATTACCGGATACCCATCATTAGCCTCGATGTCGTCCAGCTCATCCGGGTCATCGCCAGGCCAGTCAGCCTGTACTATATTTACATATCCCTCAGCTGGATCGTTTTCCACCAGAATATTGTCGATACTCTCTTTATTAGCCCGAATAAAGTAGTGGTATTTCGGTCTGCTTATAGCAAACAGAATTGAACTTTTCTCGTTACTAAGATGAGGTTCGGCGGTAATCGGCCCGCCGCCGGATCGCCAGGCCAGAAAATGTTTTCTTAGCTCTGTTGTGCTTGCTTCATTGAAGCGCTCTTGATCAGCCACAATAGGCCACTCCATATACTTCATATGTTCCTCGTTCCCATGTACCTCTCGGATTGTCGATAGTAGAGCCTCGTTAAAGATTTGAATGAATCGTTCCCATTTTACTTCCGAGTCGTACGTCGTTCTGTAGATACGCCAACCCCACCGCTTGTGATTCTGGCCAAGGTACCACCACCGGAGTAGTTCTAGTTTCCCAGCGGTAGTCCATAAGGGGCCATATCTCTCCCGACGGAGTTTATCTAGTGGAACTCCGTCGAGAGCGGTAATTGCCTCGTCGGTTAATCCTAGGTCACCGACCGTAAACATACGTCTACCAGCTTCAGCTTCAGCTTCGTCGTCCATCCTGGTATTCTGTCCGTAATTTTGAATACGGGCAAAGCTTTGAGCTTTGTGAGGATAGAAAAAGGAGGCGACAAAAGATTGCTGGAGTCTGTGGGCGCTGCGGAGGCGGGCTCGGCTATTCATGTTCTAGGGCTGTCCGGCTATCTTGCGTAGAACTGGGGCCGTCAGGTGCTTCCCTTGGGGCGGTTGATTAATTGTATCTGTGACGAGCAGGAAGCCTCATAGACGAGCATATCTGGGATGACGGTTTTATTCGTGATATCGAATCTAAAGAAAGAAAGGAATGAGTGTTACGGCACGGTAGCTGGATGCACACAACATACACGTAGCCAAAGGTATTCTAGATTAAGCTAAAGAAGAGAACAAGAAAGGGAAGCTTTCTTGTTTACATCGGAGAGGTTGGACTCTGGTTTACTCTTAACCTAATCAGGCTTAGGCTCTCAGCCTGAGCCAACCAAGGGTTTCAACCCATAACAATGAGAGAGAGATGGAGGCCTTATGTGGAGAACTGGGTAGGGTGACTAATTATATCAGAAATAAGAGTGGGGTACTATGGTTGGGCCTGTAAATAATGTGGATGGCCGCGCTAGCAGGGGCATTGACGCTTTCCCTATAATAGTCGAGAGAAACCATAATAGTGGGAGAATAAGCGGAAACTTCGCTCGTCTAGAACGTTAGCGATAAGATTCTGTCGCAGACCAAGGCATGAGCTCTAGGAGTCCAAGGCTACAAACTGCATTAATAATCTTGCCGTGACTCTCGTATATCTGTAGGGCCGGGGGACCAGGCATTCAGCTAGAACACACAACTTACACAACACACAATACAAACAACTTCGCTGCTGTAACAACAGCACCTCACTCCCAACCATTTTAGCACATGACGTGCGACAATATATTATGCGCGTACGGAGGTCCATTTCAAAAGTTACTGCTCGCCAAGAAAATGGCTTGATTACATAATCCGTTCGAAAGCCGATAGAACGGGCAGTAGGGTGCCTAGCCAACAGGCCGGCACTAGGCGCGGTAAGTCGAATTCCTGGCGCCCTTGCTTCGAATTAGGCTCTAAGACATAAACTAAATGCCTAGTTGATAGGCAGTCTAGTGCCCATGGTATCGGCTCTCGCAACTGCTTATATAATCAAGCCACTTTCTTGGCGAGCAATAACTTTTGAGATGGACTGCCGCATTCTCAGAATTAAAACAAGTAAAAGAGACGACGGTAGGTCGACCGCTAGAATGGCAGGCCTGCTTACCGTGCATGCTCATTGGTTGATGCGCATGATCCGAAGATTTCCCACATGCTCTACCCGGTCCGCCTGCTTCGACATCATAGATATATCTGCCCAATTTCTTGCATACTAACCACAAAATCAACCATAACTCTACGAAAAATGACCAGATCGCTTCTAAACAAAGTTTCAATCGATTTCTTGCCTGATTCTGTATTAGAATAAAAAATGGGCAAAAAGAAAGGTCCTACGCAGATTCGAACGGCGGTTGTCGGAAAGATGAGGATTTGACATCAAAATCCGAAGTGATAACCACTACACTATAGGACCTGTAATTATAGAACAATTCCTGAGTCAAACTCACAACCCCAAAGGAGAAGCGAAGAGTCAGGGAGCTCCATGATTCACGATCCGTCATGGCATCCAGACCGGACGAAATCGATGCCCTTGGAGCACACCTCCTTTGATTGTTGTTTTTTATTTTTGAATAGTTTGAATAGAATTCGGGTACTCTGCTGACCGTGTTAGGGATATTTTGATAGTAATTAATATTTTATATGGATGTGTCCTGACAATGTCTTCTGTAATCGCGTCCCACCCCCATTACGAGCGAGTAATGCAATATTTAGAGCATTTTCTTTACATTATCGCACTGCGCACTAAGGCTTCAGCGCCTCCTAGTCCGGGTTTGGGAGCTCTTTTGGGCTCTTCCTACTTGACATACGAACATTCCCTTTCTCTGCTGCGAATACTTCGATCCTGGGGCTCAAAACGTCTTCTACCTCTGCATGTTGTGAATGCCCGCTTGCTTCAGTCAAAGCTTGCACCTACCATTACCTCATTACTCCATTCTTGCGTCACGCCCAGAGAAGATGTCCTCTATGCGATTCACTTCTCCTAACAGCTCACCATGTCCAGTTGCCGTGATACTTCACAAGGAGAAGTTGTCGCAAGATGCCCCTGTTGGTTTCTATTGCCACCTAACATTATTCACTGCCCTCTACCCCTGGGCTAGGCCCAATCAGGACTCTTCAGCCTTCTCCTATGTATTTAAGTTATCTTCATCTGGCTTACTAGCTAGATCTCCTTTTCTAGATACTGGGAACCATTAATACCAATTTGCGTTATGACTCTACAGTAAATGAGCTTAAGCAGCGATCGTGCTTAATCATCATCCCCGCGAAATGCGACAGAAGTACGCTCCTTGAAGCGATGACCTGGAAGCAATGAGAGCGGACTTTGCACAGACACAAAATATGTTATCGGTAACTGGTCTACTTGTTACGGTACAACTCCAGTAGTCACTGTTGCTGCATCCCTCGTTGCTTTATGCGCGGAATCAATCTCATCACAAACAGGGGATGCCACTGCTACGTCGGACGGCACATTATCCATCTTTTCTGTCCCCATCAATCGACCGTTAACATTAGAGCCAACTGCCTGATTTTCCAACGACCGACATCGGTCCACTGAGCTAGGATTCCTTCTGAAATCCTGCCTGTCTTCATCGTCTTCGTGAGCACCGAGCGCGGAAGGACCGCGTTCCAACACACTACTAGAGATTGAGATTCTGGCAGGGCTTGGTGTTGGATCAGGGATGGGACTCCCTCTGGTGCAAATCCGAGCAACGCGGGGAGGTCGCAGTCCAGGGTCCGAGCGAACTGAAGTCGCGATGGAATTGCCATAGCCAAAGGTTGGAAGATAACTGAGAGGGAAAACATAGGTCATTCTCTTACTGAAACCAAATTGTAGGGTCGTGTAGTCTGAGATATGAACATGGAATGTTGCTCGTACCTCATTCAAAAAGCACATACGCTCTGACCTCAACACTCGCTCTTGCTGCTGCATTTGGATCCGCCTTGGGATTGTAGATGCTCACACGCGCAACACCTGATCGAAGAGCCTGTTAGAGTGTATTGGACATACCATTAAGTCTGAAATCAGGAAAAATAGCCTCACTCACCCCCGGCACCTTCAAGGGCAGAATCAGTCTGTCGAAGTAAGATGACTTCGTCATCTTCCAAGTCCTTGAAGTAGTACCATTCATGTTTCGGATTGTAGTACAATCGTTCATTCTCTGTAAACCGGTTGGTGAACACCACGTCCGCCACGATGCTGTCAGACTTGTGGTCAATAATTCGCGAATCGCAGAGTGCCAGAGGCCAGTCGTTGCCGGGACCTTGAAGGGACTTCCAAACGCTATCAAGTTGAGGATGGATTTTCGTAGGAGCAGGGTGGTATTTACTTCACCGTCAGCAATCGTTTATATTCATCTAACTTAGTCGTGAATGCCCGAGCGGTTCGAGCGGCCGAGTAAGGGGAATAGTCTGGCGGTCTGTGAGCAAAAGACAATATCAAAAAGCGCTGGGACGCTCACCAATATGGACAGCAGTAGCGGACTGAACGGTCTCGAACAATTCTTCGCTGTTCGCATTGAACTGCGCATCTCTTTGGCTGACCTTGCCTTGTCACTATGAAATCGTAAATGGTGATCAAGCGGATCAAACATACTCCATGTTCCAGTACTCGAATCTCAGCTGCGTCGGGGAACATTTGCTGTAGTAATTTCTCAACTGCTGGATAGTACTGCGTCTCTACCTTTTCATCGTCATCGAATGCCGCCTCGGTCATGGAGCAGTCCACGTTCGCTACCCGGAAACCATATTCTATGAAGCTTCGAGGATCTTGCAGGGGCCGGAAATTACGAATCGTAATGGTTCTGAGATCACTCGACATGTTTGTATGGGGAATTACTCCTCCAGTGTCGTATCTCATCTCGTATGGTTTCTCTTCTTTGTGCTTCGCCTCCTTGGTGAGGTAATTCAGCTCAGTCTGCACATCATCGCTAAGCGTGTCGCTGTATCCGGGGTTTAGAACTCTCATTTTGTCCTTGAATGGGGTTGCGTGTGGTGTTTCCATCGTGCTTGTGGTTGTCACTGTTAATAAGTATGGTGATGGAACTTCCGAAGTATTGGACTGGCGATAATAGCGAGTGGATGGCGGAGGCGTCAGTCATGAAGCGTGAATCGACAATGAGCTCGGAGCATGTATGGATATGGTAGGGCGGGCGATGCAACTAGGATGCATCGGGCAGGGCAAGCGTCTTCGCCCTCCGTTTTCTTGTCGATTCCGGTGAAAATTCCAGCATTCGTAGCATGTCGCCTTGCCAACACATTCCGCAAAGTGAACAGTCTCGCCTAGCGGGAAGATATAACTACGAAGTACGAACCCTAGGCGAACTAAGATCTGCATGCTTATACGATCTCCGCCCCCTCAAAGCGATGAGCGCAGTTCTGCAGCATGCAAGGATACTAAGGATTTAAGACAGTATGACATGAGGAGGATGTATTCATTTATTGCACAGTTAAAGAAACAGAAACGAAGTAACCTCCCTCCCTGTGTGGCGGGCATCCCTGCGTAACGGACAAATTCCTAGGTACTTCGATTTCAAAGCAATCCAGGCTCTGCACATACAATTATAATTCCATATCTTTAGATTGATCGTGCTCTACAGTCATTTCTTAATATGCTAGACAATTTGAATTAGAAAAATATATTGGGGTGGCCGCATTCCCGCCTGGTTTCTGGAAAGTATGTCATTATCCTAGTAGCAGACCACCTCGATCAGAGCGCCACCCTTATGGTCTTCTTACCTTTAAAACCGATTAAAGACTTTATCCAGGCGTTAAAGTCACATAAAGATATTTAGAACGTATCATCAACGATGCGTGTGCGATAGCGTACAAGATTGCGCAAGTTCGGCATGCAGGCAGGTACTTCCAATCGAAACGATGAACAATCTTGGTTAGTGCGGTATGCTTATACAAGCAATGTATATTTGGTCGCCTACAGTCAGTAATGAAATTTTATTTAGTTGTCATAAACTCCATTGCCAAGTATGTGGTCTGTGGCTGGTGGAGTCCAACTACTTCTGGGGGACGTGGATTTCCCTGCGTGCAGGACCAGGAAACGACGTCGCTAATTATGCTTCTTCAGAACGGCTCTCAGCCGCCCCACGGAAGTTCTCTCATCAATTCTCGTGATCTAAGCGCTTGGGTCTACTCTAGAGGACCGCGTGCTTTCTATTAACAGCCACATTTGAATCTAGTTCCTGTAACATGGCGCTGAACCACGACGAAAACTAACCTCCCGCCGCCCAGTAACAACCCGAGAAAAGTGCGTAAGCCGTCCTGCTTCATACAGATCAAACTGGTCTAGACGATAGATTTCTTCGCTTTCCGCAGGCTATTCCACTGAAGTTTGAAATTCTGGTCCAATTCTCCAGCCATAACCACCAAGATAAAAGGACGAGCAGAGTGGAAGGGATTACCACCGCCCAGTATATCCAGAACTGGTTAGAGGTCTTCCACTTATCCTCACCAAAAGAGAAAAATGTAGTGCTAAACACTGTCTATAAAAAGTTAGCCTGTCCGAGTAGAAGCCTAGGACGTGCGAAAAGTTAAAGCACCTACCGAGACGAACGTCGCCGGGAGAAATGCCATGGTTAAGAATGCGATTGATTTAATTACCACACTATCTTGACTGGCAATCATATTGTATGCCTACTTGGTTAGCTAGCTCATGTTGCAGCAAACCAAGGAACAAGCATCATGCGAACCTACCACATTGACTTCAGCATTAAGTCTTTCTTGAGTAGATAATGAGCGCCATTTGAGGCTCTTCATCATCTGAAGTTGGAAGCTCAAACGCTCTCGCGCCTGTACCAAATATCCATTTCCAAGCTCTGTGGGGAGCGTTTGATGAAGAGCCTCCTGACGTTGCAGCAAGCTTTCGATGGCTTCGATTGCGACTGATTCGGTTTCCACGACATGGCTTGTATGCCTGGAAATCTCGTGCATCGTCATGAAGTCTGGCCGGCGCTTTAGTCTATTCTTTGAAAACATTAGTCTATGATCAACTGCACAATGCAACCAAAGTACCTCTTCGATCGCCCGCACCGCGTCTCGCGCTCGCCAAGTGCTCTCGTCATATAGTTGGATGATTTCGTTGAGGAGGGGGTCGAGCATTGCCAAAGGATCCCCAAGATTGAGTGGTCGCGGCTTGTTGAGGACTGCTTGGAGACGCTCGCGTAGCGTATCTGGTGTGCCGATGCAGAGCACTCTGCAACGATGTGGGTGATACCAATATGTGAAGCATGTCATTTCATACCACAAGTAAGGATTCCCATCAGGGACCCTCTCTTCCTCGGGTTTTAAAACCTTTTTTACCAAGCATTGAAACCAAATCCCTACATCACGAAGGCGTAAATGGATTGCCGCGTTTAAGCAGATTCGACTGCAGATCAGGAGAACGTACTAAGGTCTACCAGTTTCCCGTTATCGTCAAGTGCGCTCTTAGAGCCCAAGTAACCGTTGAGATCGGTACATAGCTGGTTGGAGAGAAAGTCCGGCACGTTAAAAGGCGCCAGCATCCTTTGCCGGTCGTTTTCGGTGCACCGCCTCTTGTATAAATCCTTGTCTTCAAGGAAACTAGAGAAATATATTCAGCCAAAACTTCACGATTAATATTCTCTCGTCCTACATATAACATATTTCAGGGAGATCAGGATTCTATATCACTGTTAGTCATATACTAGGCAAGGCTGCATGTGGCACCGACATCAAGAAGGTCGATCCGACTCAAACTCCACGCATTTCCGACTGCCAGTCCGACATAAGTGGACTGTCACCGCTCTGGTCCTCTGAACTTACTGAGGGCTAAAGCCATTGCGAAAGCGTGCACCACGGGAGGTTTCGATGCCATTCTTCACCGATTTTCGCTGTTGTGTGAGAAAAGCCGACACGGTTAGGTGGTTTCCAGAAATGGTTCCAAAGCTCGGGGTAATTAAGAATGACAGTGCTTCTCAATGTCTATGTAGACCTAGAGGCAAGAACGTGAGAGGAAAAGCATAAGTCGTGTTAAAGTGTTGGATAAGGCTGTCGACAGGGAGTGGGCCGTGGACTCACCAGGGCAAGTCGAGCGATATCATGTTTTCCAGTGCTTCTTTCTCCATCCAATGAGACGTTCAGCGAGCCTCGGGACTCGTTCAACGTGGCTTGCATAGATTCATGGGCACATGCAGGAGGAGAGCGCGTTTAGTTTTGGATGACTGGATGAAGCGTTGTAGGGTTGTGGATGGCCAGTGATTTGAACCGTCCTACCGCCGCGAACCAACAAAATGGGCCCATTTTCGGCTCCACGCTTGAAACGATGTCCAAGGCCTGCAGCCAAAAATAGGTTCGATGGTTTTAATCGTGCCTTCGACCAGTTTCTTGCATGCTACGGAGAGCGCTCGAGATTACGATGATTCTATTAAGAAATAATATCGCTTAACCTGGATGAGTCGTAGTGCCGCGTCTGGTTCTATAGAGAGTCTATGAGCGGCCGCGTGTTCTCTAGAATTATTGCCTAGCGCCTCTCGCTCGTTCCTCTCCCATCACTATCGTCGAAATGGATCGAGCCAGTGAGGTGCTGGATGAAGGGCTTTACCCAGATGCACCTAAAACATACGCTGCCCTAGCAGGATGGGGCAACGTCCCTCGCTCTACCTTGTGGCATCGTGCACACGGACGGCGGTCGAAAGAAGAGAAGGCCCAAAGCCAACAGTACCTCACCCCATCGGAAGAGAAAGCCCTCGTAAAGTATCTGTTACGAATGTCGAGGAATGGATATCCTATTCCGGTTAAGTATCTAGGCTCGCTAGCATATATCATGGCGCGTCGGCGCTCCTCCGCCGTTCAGCCTTCGGGAACGGACGAAGCAACCGACCCTCCCGGCAAGAACTGGCCTCAGGCCTTCCAGAGACGCCATCCCGAGCTCAAAGCGAAAAGGGTCAAGGCACTAGATTGGAATCGACACGATCATAATATCTACGATAAGATCATACACTGGTTCGAGGTGATCGGGAAGGAACTACATGACCCGGTCATTATGCCGGAGAATGTCTATAATATGGACGAGACGGGAGTTATGTTAAGTATGCTCCGCTCTCTCAAAGTCCTGGTAGGTAAAGATGACCTGCGAGATTATAGAGGCACGGGAGTCAAGCGAACGGTAGTAACTGCGATCGAGTGTATATCCGCAGACGGTAGGTCTCTTCTCCCAATGGTCATCTGGCCAGCTACAACCCACCGAAGCAACTGGACCACGTACCCCACCCCTGGATGGCATTATGCATGCTCCGAATCTGGCTACACCGATTCCAAGATCAGCCTGGAGTGGCTTAAACGTGTGTTCGACCCCCAAACCAAAGCACAAGTTCATCAGAAACCACGGATTCTGATTTGCGACGGCTTCGGGACGCACGAGACCCTTGAAATCTTGGAGTACTGCCTTGAAAATAACATCATCTTATGTCGTATCCCCTCTCACACCTCCCACAAGCTCCAACCCTGTGACGTCGGAGTGTTTGGCCCACTGAAGACCGCCTATCGGGATCAGGCTGAACGCCTGTATCGAGGAGGAGCAAATACAGTCGGCAAGGAGCATTTCACGTCTCTCTACGGCCCTGCGCGGGAAAAAGCGCTCACTTCTCGCAACATTAAAGCAGGGTGGATCAAGGCCGGGCTGTATCCATTCAGCCCGGAGAGGGTGCTAAAGGATATCCAGAAGCCGCTCGCCGAACTAACTGTTCCGAAAGCCGATAAGGAGAAGGCGGGATTATATCCGCAAGGCGATGTACTCGAGACGCCAGTAACAGTAGAGGCTCTAAGTTCGTTGCGTAGCCGGATCGAACAGGATGCTCATATGCTTGACGGTCCGGGCAAACAACGCCTTCAGAAGCTGGCAAACGCCGCCCAAGTATCGTTTGCTGAATGTGCCCTTCTTCTCGATGGAAATCAACTTTTGTTTCAACAGAACAATGAAGCTAGACGTCGCCGATCGACCAAATCCACGGTAGTAGGGAAGGCGAAAGTGATGAGCTATGACATTGAGGAAGCGCGAGGGAAGCGTGCTGCGAAAGAAGCTGCGAAAGAGGTTACGGCGGCTTCAGGAAAACGTGGCCGGAAGCGAAAAGGCCCTGCGCCAGCGAGAGCGAAGGCTAAAAGGACACGGAGGAACGAAGCAGAGATTGCGGAGGATGAGATTGCCGCAGCAGGCTTAGAGAATTACTGCTCTGTTCTCCAACTTTGATACAGATCCGACTTAATGTAGGAAACGCCAAGTGTCTTCGAGACCCGTTACTATATAGTAGGGGGTTGGTTTTCGTCGTGTATTCGGCGCCATGTTACAGGAACTCCATTCAAATATGACCATCTGAAAGGAAACGATCCAATACCCTTGGTCCGAGCGCTTGGATGACGAGAATTGTCAATTGATGAGTGTAGAAGTGATTGGCGAGAGCCAATTCTGACCAGAACGCATTGTCACTTGCGATTCGACGCCACGCATCAGCAGCAGCCGTATTTCTGTCCGACCGACCAGCCAGATGCGTGTATAAACGCCCGGCCAAGGCGCAAAACGCGAGGCTAAGGTCGCAGAGAACAAGCTGTGGGCTGACCGGAACGAAGCGCAGCCTTGTAACAAAGGTTATAATGGCGGCCTTTCTTCGCCGGTATGCCCATAGTTATCATTCTTCAAGTCAAGCTAGTGTTTATCCTTCATTAAGTGAAGCCCAGAGGCATTGTTCGATATTTTGACTGATGCTCGAGCAAGATGGCACCCCGGCTCCGACATAACGATTACACGGTGGGCTGGGTCTGTGCCTTGCCGGACGAGCTCACCGCAGCGCAGGAGATGCTGGACGAAGAGCACCACGACCTCCCTCCGAGCGGCAACGATACGAATATATACTGTCTAGGCCGCATTAGCGAGCATAATGTCGCTCTTGCCTGCCTGCCTGCGGGTTTCATAGGCGTCGCCTCCGCCACGGCCGTTGCTATGCAAATGAAGTCTACTTTCCCCGCCATTCGGTTTGGACTCATGGTGGGGATCGGAGGCGGCGTTCCAGGCAAAGACGCTGATATCCGTCTCGGGGATGTTGTTGTTAGCCAACCAGGGAAGGGTCATGGTGGGGTGATCCAATACGACTTTGGAAAATCGACGCCTAGCGGATTCGAGCGGACGGGGTTCCTTAACGCGCCACCCCTAGTACTTCTTAATGCGGTCACGAAGCTTCGATCCAACCAACGCCGAGGAAGAAACCGTCTCTCGCTACATCTATCGAAGCTTAGCGACCTCCCCGATTTCTCCCGCGATAAAGCAGAAAGTGATATGCTGTTCGAAGTGGGGTATAATCACGTTGGAGAAGATAGCTGCGTATCATGCGTACCGACAAGACAAATACAAAGGGAGGATCGGGCAAACAGCACGCCTATGGTCCACTACGGCACGATCGCATCAGGCAACCAGGTGATGAGGGATGGGACTATAAGAGACCAGATCAGCTCGGAGTTCGGAAGAGTGCTCTGTTTCGAGATGGAGGCGGCGGGCCTAATGAACAACTTCCCCTGTCTAGTGATCCGCGGCATCTGCGACTACTCCGACTCGCATAAGAATAAGAGGTGGCAACCATACGCTGCAGGAACGGCGGCAGCGTACGCGAAGGAGCTGCTTTTGATTATTCCTGCGGCGGAAGTGGCGAAGACGCAGACGATTGATGAAGTAACGCGAGGTTAGTATCGCCATCGAGTTTATATAAGGCAATTGAACTTATTTGCTATAGAGTATCTTCCTTTCTCACGAAATCGAAAGTTTGTTGGCCGAGACACCGACCTTGATGCGTTAAAAAACAAGCTCTTCATAAGCAAAGAATGCCAGAAGATGGCCCTTGTTGGCCTCGGTGGTGTCGGCAAAACACAGATCGCGCTCCAATTCGCGTACTGGGTTAGAGAAAATCATCCAGATTTCTCTATCTTCTGGTTACCGGCGCTGAGCATGGAGACGTTTGAGCAGGGGTGCACGGAGATAGCAAGAGCGCTAAGGATACGTCAGTCGGAAGACGGCAAAGAAGATGTCCGGAAGCTAGTGCAGCAACGGCTCAGCGCGAAGACCAAAGGCAAGGGCAAGTGGTTGCTAATTGTCGATAATGCCGACGACATGGACCTCCTCCGCGGCGTAGAGGAAGAGGAAGGCTTATTGGACCTTTTGCCCCAGAACGACAACGGTCTAACTTTGTTTACCACCCGGCACAACGAAGTTGCGCAGTTAGTGGCCGGTAGCGATATGGTTGAAGTCGAAAAGATGGAAAAGGAGGAGGCAATGAACTTGCTGAAGAAATCCTTAACCTTAAAGCGCCTGCCCAACGACGATGGGCTTATGACGGACCTTCTCGTTGAACTAGACTATCTCCCCCTAGCTATTACCCAAGCGGCAGCATACATCAACACAAACAGAAGCTCCATCTCTGAGTATCACCGGTTACTTAAGAGCTCAGAGCAGGACGCCATCGCGATGATGAGTACTGAATCCCCCGACAACACACGATACAAAAAGTCGGTGAACGCTGTAGCAAAGACTTGGATAATCAGTTTTAATCAGATTCTTAAGCATGATATAGTGGCAGCAGACCTTCTTGCCTTTATCTCGTGTATCGAATGGAAGGCGATCCCATACTCAATTCTACCTGCTGTTCAGCCCGAAGTACGGATGGCGAGTGCCATCGGCACGCTTTATTCATACTCGTTCCTGGAACGAAGAGAGGACGGTAAGATGCTTGATATGCATAGGCTTGTCCATTTATCAACGAGAATATGGATCAGTCAGAGGGGCCGTGAAGGAGAAACAAGTAAGGCGGTACTGAAACGCCTCTCGGAAGTTTTTCCGTGTGACGATTACACGCATCGTGAGATCTGGAGACAATATCTGCCGCATGCGGCGCGTATAGGGCAAATCGAGCAATGCCAAGATACCGAGGAGAAGAGCGAGCTCTGTCTGAAGGTAGGGCGATGCCTATACGTTGATGGGAGGATAAAGGAAACTGTCGTCTGGCTACGGGAGTCTTGCGAGTGGAGGGATAGAAATCTTGCTGAAGATGACGCAGATCGATTGGCGTCGCAGCATGCGCTTGCCGGAGCATATCAAGCAAACGGACAGGTTAAGGAGGCGGTCGATCTACTGGAGCGTGTTGTCGCGATACGAGCGGAAGTGCTCGCAGAAGACCA